GCTCGCCTTCATGATTAGTTCACGTTCACTGAGAGCTTGGCTCCCTTCTCCGGTAGCCTGGGGATCACGGTCAATGAGTACCTGACGTTGTCGTGCATCACCTCTTGCCACTACACGTGTGTGTGCGGCTGGAACATTGCGCCGGGCTGCTGCAGCATAGGTGAGTAGTTCCCTATCAGCTGCTGTCATGCCCCCTGGTCCTCCGGACGAGGAACACGTCGCACCCGCTCCGGGTTGTGCGCTCAGTTGTATCTCTTTCTGAGCTTGCCGCGAGGCTTCTGCGAGCGCTTCCACGCCCTTCTCTATCTCCCCCCTAATATTCTTTCGATACTGTTCAAGGTCACGCACCTGCTCCTTCGCCCGGTTCACACATCCTTCCAGCTCGATTCGAGTTTGCTCTAGTTTGTCAATTCCATCATCAAGTATGTTATAGGCCGCCATGGTCTTGTGGCATACTTGATTTGCCACTTCCGAGGTGATCAGTTCCATGTCGACGGCGTCAGCAATTCGAGAGAATGCGACAAGGCATTCCACAGTGGTCGCAGCGGGAGCAGCCGCGCGAGCGAGGTGCAATAGGCCGTCTCGTATTATTAGCAGGCTCATTGATTGCCCACCCGGAATTAGTTCCTTGGACTCAAGAAGCTCAATAGCCCTCTCAACACTGTCGATTTTTTCAATAGCCGCACTGTACGCAGCATCGCTGTTGCCCGTCATTGGGGTGCTGTTTCGCGTCGTGCGTCGCGTTTGCGGGCCTCCTGGCGGTGGCTTGCCGCTAGTTGATGCCATAGATAATATTACTTCTGTCGTTGAAGTAGTGTAGACTCTAGTACTAGTTGATATACGAGCCGCACGTCTGCTTTTCCCGCTCCTATGGGTGCAGACCGTGGGAAAGTTGCCGGAGATGGTAGTCTAAAGCAAGAAGGAGCCTTATGGTGGAATTAAGATGATCATTACGCACAACTTTGTACGCCCTCTAGCAACATTTCCATTATCCGTTCACGATAACGGCTCTTTTATTTTGTTGTTTGAATATTTTGGCGAGATTATTTTCCATACAGCCTCCGATAGCTATTGACAATGGGCTCCGCGCCCTCGTACGGGTACGCCCAACGAAATGCGTATCTCGTGGTGTCTTTGCCCTGCATGTTCCGGACAGATCAGAACGATGGTTCATTGGTAAGCCGAGGTATCCCTAAACTCCATGCATTCTATCTTGTGTGATCTTACGAAAGTGCGACTTCTCCGTTCGCTCGACACGAGGTGCGGACGGTCCCCAACGATAGAATTGGCACGATGTGCGGAATAACACGGCCGTGGTTGGGCGCCCACCATCGTCGTTTCTCCCGTCTGCATATAACTTCCTACGCTCCGCAGCTTGACTCCATATCTGTTCCCCTCTTCCCGGGGTATTTACTACTGGAAGGAGTTCGAAGGTTCATCCGATACGATGGCGACAAGGTTCTGATGCCTGATAGCACAGATGAGGCTGTCTAAAAAGACCTACTGCTGAGGGTTCTTCGGCGGGAACACAACCGGAAGTTTTCCGCTCAGAATTAGTGTCAGAATTTGTTAAAGTCGCGGTCTCATACTCACTTCTGACAGCATCCGGCTCCTGTTTGGGTGGACCTGGTGACAGTCTAGACCTACTCGTAACCTTGACGTGCTCCGCAGAAGATACATTGTTGAGGGACTCGCCTCGCCGCTCTTCTGTTCAATTGCATAAGTTTCATACTCGGATCTTCAATATTGGTCGGACTACCGTTCAAGCCATGCCGGTTTGGTGTTTATCTCAGCATTTGCTGTCATCAGTGGAAGTCCGCGACGATGAGGGTGTTTCTCCGCGGACCTACATTTTTGATAGTTCACTTTCTCCGGACTGCGCTGCGGGCAACTGTAGATTCATACCGAGAGAACAATATCACCATTGCTACTGGTGATATGTTCGAGTAGACATCTACATAGAGATATGTGGGGCATGGCGAACACAGCCATTAAAATGTGTTATCAGTGCAGAATCATGAAGTGGGGGGCATTCACCGAAGAAGGCCATGTCGGACCTAAGTCAGACCTAACCAGGTCTGTGATCGAACAACAGGCGGCCGTTCGCACTAATTCTCAGCGTCACAATCTCGAGACCGACGTCTGTCCACATGGAGCATCAGTTTCGACTATAAATCAGTAAATTTGATGGTCTCCTGCTAGCCAAGCCGTACTAGATACCCACTTGGCAGGCGGCCGCGCGAGTAGCTGCGCGTGCCTAGAGTGCGCGGGCATTGATTCGGCCCATCACTCCAATGTGCAGTTGCTCCAATGCCTGATGCCCGATATTTCTCGCTTGTCATTGATATACCGAGTAGTACATTGTTACAGCCTTCGCCGGATACAGCGGTTCGGGTTTAGAAGTCAGGACTTTTTGTCCCCTTGTACTTCTGCCCTCACGCCAGAGGAGCCCAAGCGAGCATCGCTTTCGTTACTCCTAAGATCGCTTGGCCCCCTACCTTCCTCTATACACTCGTCATTTGACGCCAACCGCTCGAAGAAGGGACGGAACATACTGTAGATGGAAGCTTGACCTTCTTTCTGCTTCATCTGAGTGCTCGCAAAATACATGTATCCTGCAGTGGCTATGGTGCCTACTACCGTAGCGATGGCCTGTAAAGCACATTAAACAATATCCGTGAGACACGGCATTTTCCCGAGTTTGCATAGTGCGACGTAGATCTCATATGCCTACCAAAGGTCTGCTGTTGCGCCGAGAGCTCATTTTTTGTTGGATTGTTGTTATAGATGTGTATCTCGAGTTGAACGTTGAATGTCGAAATTAAGAGTGTGTGGTGGCCGATGGCATATTGCGGGGTAGACAGAGGCGCCCAAGGTATAATGACATCAAGCCACGTGGATCTCGAATATAACGGTTTCGGAGTACCAGTCTACCATCGGGAACCCACAATACAGCTTTGTTGTTCTTGTGCTTGCAGTCAGTTAGCATTTTCTTACTGGCCGAGAAATCCCGGACGAGTGCAACGGCCAGATTCTCCTGTCGCAGTACTATACCAGGGGAGTCGTGATACGAAGATCAACCGAGGCGAGTTCACTATTATATTCAGCTTTGAGCTAGGGAACGAGTTGAGATGAAACACTTCATAGCACATCACATAGTCATGGCAAAGAAAGCATCTACTTCCACGGATAAGAAACCTGCTGACAAGAAAGGTGGAAAAGGTGGGTCTAAAGGCGACGATGCTGCAGCTAGTGAAAAGTCGAAGGTAAGGAAGATAAATGTCTCGATGTTGCCATTGTCTATCGGTCGAACGGAGTGACGGACCAAATAGTAGCAGTACATACTAAACGAGGCTGCATCGTTAGGGCAAGAGCGGCTTGAAGCCTGCAACAGCAATTAATGTACGACACATTCTCTGCGAGAAGCACTCGAAGGCTACGGAGGCGCTGCAAAAGATTCAAGTGGGTAACCTATTCTCGTGTTCCTGAAGTCTCGAAATTCACAATGCTGCACAAACAGGAAGGTCAGCGCTTCGACAAGGTTGCCCAAGAATACTCAGAGGACAAGGCGAAAGGTAGGTACCAAGCCATGTATCTCCTATAATTGCCTTTGCTGATATACCCATTTGTAAGCTGGTGGTAGTCTTGGTTGGATGACCAGGGGCTCCATGGTGGTTAGCACGTCTCACGTCGAGTCTCCCACACGGTAACATGGCACGTAACATTTTCTTTAGGGACCGTTCCAGGATGCTGCCTTCGCTTTGGAGCCATCGAACGTCGACAGGCCGATCATGTCGCCCCTTGTGAAAACGAACTTTGGTTATCACATCATTATGGTCGAAGGGCGTCGGTGATAAATGATATTCGATGTACAATCTATGCTGTACAATAAACTTGTGTATTATATAACGCTATTGCAGGTGTTCGGTAGCGTATATGAGCTAGAAGGTAAACAAAATATTGGAGGAGACAGAATAGTGGAGGAACACAGGGACTCAAATTGCATCCCACGGATATTACATGAAGTCGTCTGATGGACGTTTTTCAGTAACTAGACTACGATGTTCCAGATATGCAACCAGATCCTCTGTGGTCTGCAGAGCTGTAGGCATCTGGGGTGGTCCACTAGTAGACGCACCTTGAGAATTATAGGACCTGAATGCCCATGGTGGCTGTGTAAACATGGCGGCGTCGAACATCATCGTCGTGCCTGCTGCAGGAGCGTTGGGCGGCGTCACTCCTCGCAAGGGCGTCGCGCGCGGCGGCAGGCGCGGTTCTCCAGCAAAGTGCGACGGCGAAAGGTTGGCGTACGCGAAGCTCGATGGGAACGTTGTCGTGAGCGGCGCGCTACTCCCACCTGCCATCGGAATGGGGTCACCTAACGGCATTCCCACAGCGTTGAAAGCAGCGGGATTACCCATGCCCATCGATGCGCCCGATCCATACTGCGCTTGCATAATCTCGGGAGAGGTTGAGTGGAACTGGAACGATGATGACGAAGTGGCCGCCGCGAATTCGGACATTGATTGCTGCATCTTATCTCCCCCTGTGGATCGACCTCGTGCGGATCTCGTGCGCTCATTCGTGCGAAGCTGAGGTTCATGTCCGAGCGCCGCGGGAGTAGAAGCCCTCGTACTTGGCGTAATGACACCCGACCCGTGCTGGGACGATTCCTTCCACAGGTCTGTTCCCGTATCCGGCGTGGGCGATCGCTTAGGCGCGCTTGCGGCGACCCTCGCCAAATTAAGTTGAGCCATGTTCGCCTTGTAAAACACGCTGACTTGAATTGTTGTCTGGGGAGGGCGTAAGGGGACGTTTTGACAAGTAGCGCTGTCTTGTCGTACCTTATTGGGCATGGAGGCAGCTATACGTTTAAAGTCATCACCGTACTGAGATAGCAAACGTAGAAAGAGTTCTAGGCCACATGAATTTTGTGAGACATGCTTGAAGTGCGTTTGCTTACCTTTGTCTTCCTCCGACCAGTAGACAGCGCCAGGAGGGACCCTCCTACGTGACGTCAGTTCTGTCTGATCAATGAACCTGGTCTCGTTGTACAAAGCGGGCATGTCAGACATGTCCGGAGACACCACCGTCTCTTTGACCTTGCGGCCTCGACGACCCCGCCTAGGCTTGGACTCTAGATCCTGCAAAGGTGGTGTTAGCCACGGACGATGATCCATAGTCATACGAACCGTAGGATCTTCATCGGCCTCCTGCTCTAAAGATGCGACTGCTTTTGCGGTGAGTTTCGGTGCCCGCCGCCTTCGTCTAGGCTCTGGCTCGGGATCAGGGGTGGGGGTAGATAGAGGTGAGTTCTCGAATTGCGTCGTGCCTCGTCGAGAGGGGCCAGATCGTCGGGCTTCTGCCGCCGTAGGGTCGCGTCGTCTGCGTCTCGTAACGGGTCCGTTGGGAGTCGAATCTCTGGAGAGCTCTTCATCATGCTTCCGAATGTCCGTTAACAGTGCGTTGCCTTTCTTCTTGTCGCGCCGACCGCCTCGCCTACGTTTGCCTTGGTTGTGTTGCGCTACGATCTCTCTGAAGTCTATCATCGTCTTCTTGTGTAGATAATAGAAGGTGACGCATTGTGCAGTAGTCTTAAGCGGCAGGAAATCAGAAATGATACCGAATTGTTTCGGATACAAAGCATATTTCTCCTTGAGGATCGTGATCTCCTCCTCTGACCACTCTTCCAAGCAAGTGTTGGGGGTGTAGAAGCTGGCGGTGTCTTCAACAGGATTGTTGGTGTCATCGAAGGCGTAGTCGACAGCGCCCTTCTCAACAGAGATCATGTCTGGGATGACCGCAGCATTACGAGCGGCAAGATGGTTGGCATCGGTGAGCTCTTCATTACCAAGGCTAGCGATGATCTGTTCCATCTCCAGGTCGGTTCGGACAGCATCTCCTAGAGCAGCAGAGCGTCGAGTGGTCCTGCCAGCAGTAGCCGCAGCTTCCTCGAGAGCAGCAGCCTTAGCGACCTCATCCAGTTTGGCGCAGTGGACCAGCCAGCGTTGATGTAGCGCAAGATATTCGCCGCGAAGTTTCTGTACTTTCTCTGCTAAAAAGGCTTGTCGTTGCTCGAAGAGAGCTTGCAGAGAAGGCCTGGCACGCGCAAACGCATCTTCTCTTGTTTTCAGTCGCTCTCCTTTGAACACGTCCCTTATGACATCGTCAGGGTCCACGGTTGCACTAGGACTTTCAGCCGTAGCCAGATTAGCCAGAAAGACGGGCGCGACGCGTTCCTCCCTCGTTTGACGATCGCAACGCAGTCTCGTCATGACAACTAGACGGAGGGCTTGCGATAATGGGTTATCAGCACTCTGAGGACCGCCTGGTATTTCCTCTGGCGGCTGCTCGACTGCTTCCCCCTCTGTAAATGTCGCTGGTAGAGACTGTGATGCAGATATGTCATGCGCCTCAGGGAAGTAATCCGTGATTGCCCTGTTAGCGACTTCGTACGCATCGCTAACGACTGGCTTGTCAGCAATGCTTTCTTGCGTATCTTCGGTAAGTAGCCTGTCCACGGCAGCTTCTTCGACAGCGGTGGCGCTGTCCTCCTTCGAGCTATCGACCTCCTGAGCATCGATATTCTCACTTGGGATATCATGTAGCACAACATCACCTGGCTCGTCTGATGTGAAGTTTGACGGAGCCTCCACAGCAATACCTGCGCGCTCCAAGACCAGCTGTGGCTCCAGGTCTGCTGAAAATGGCGAGATTGTACTATCATACTGCGGCGGCAGGGCATTGATCGAGTTTGTCTGCTCCAGGGGTGAAGAAAGCGTCATGGCGATTCCCTGCCCGGACGTCTCGCCGCTCAATGCGATATGGTAACTTTCGAGGGATGATTCGCGGGCTGGAGATGGAGAACGCGACATTTCCATGTCAGATTCGTCACCGGGAGGCTGTTTGTCTTCGCCAACACATTCAGACGTATCGTTTAGCGGCGCGTCGAATGGATGTACGGAGGTACTCCTAGGCGTGATACTCCGCGGCAACAGGTCGCTCGACGCTCCCAACAGTCGAGTCTCCGCCGATTCCGATGGCGAAGAGCGTCGCTCATCAAGACTTTCACGCCGTAAATTAGCAGGTAGTCGTGAAGGAGATATCGGTGGCGACATATCCATATCAGAAACAGCCGGAGTAACATCCCTGTAGTGCCAGATAAGCCATCAGGGGCTAGTGAATACTTCCACATAATGCCGCACCTCGAGCCTACTGCCAGCGAAGGAGGCGAAGAAGCAATTTCTACGCCATGCGACCTAGGGATTCGAGCATCCCGACGACCGAGCGTTTCATCCTTCGGGGATTCGATAGCGGGAGAAGGAGGCAAAGACATATCCATGTCAGATTCGTCTGCTGATTCTGCTGGCTGAATGGCCGCATGTACAAGTCCCGACGTTTCTTCCGTGGGGACAGGCGCGCTAGGTGTGCTGTGACTAGCTGACTTGACGATCGCAGAAGTTATCGCGACGAGCTGCTGATCATCCTCGGCCGTGGATACGTCCCCTGATCTTGCGGCAGGCAGTGGACTCCCAATGACCTCGTCTTGACTGAGTGGTCGAGACAGCACAGTGGAACCTGTGGCTATTGAAACGGCGAAATGAGCCACAGAAGCTGATCGGAGAACAAGAGAACGTTTACGCTTGTCAGAGACTCGTGAAAGCCCAGGAGGCTCATCGAAATCCCAATGTTCCTTCTTAAGTGCAATTTTGGGCGCCGGGGCGCTTTCGGTCGGTCGCAAACCCGGTATAACCTCATCTGACGGGGAAGGTTCGAGCTTGGGGCGCGCAGCAGTATCATTTCCTTCAGATCCTTCATGCGACGTCGGATGAAGACTGTTCGAAGCTGCTATATCGCCCTGCGTGCCAGGCTTACTCTTGGTCGGCGCTTGAGTAAGACCAGGTACATCTGACGAGCGGGAAGAAGAGGGAGACCGAGATACTTTGCGACGAGCTGAATATCCATCTTCTGCAGATAATCTCCTACGCTTGTAAGGGGAATACGGAGAAGGTGGTCCCCTGTAAGGGAGGGCGGGAGAGTGGATCCGTGCTGTCGTTGGTGAGTACACTGAAGTGGCATGGGATGAATCCCTGCTGCGGGAACGCTCGCGGCTGCGAAATCGCCTGAAGCTTTGCGCCGGGCTGATAGGACGCACTGGATAGGGTTCTGGCACGTAGCGGTCGCCAAATCTGTTTGTGTGCGGATCGCCGGAATAGGGGCCCCTTACGCCACGGTCGTCATCGTAATGAGGTCGGTAAGAATCCGAGCGCGAGTCCATGTAAGGGTGGCGGACCGGAGATGGTGAGTACGGTCGATACCTGTCTCCAGCAACATATGGAGGTGAATAATGAGTATTATCTGGAGGCGGTGAATAGTGATCGCGAGGTGGTGAAGAGTGGTTTCGCGGAGGCGAATATAGACCGCGTTGGGGTGAATAGTGATCTTGAGGTGAATAATGATCGTGAGGCGGTGGATAATAATCACGGGGAGGCGAATAGTGATCGCGCATGTTCCGCTGAGGGATATGTATAGGTATCTCTATCGCGTGCGGTTCTTGGAGGCGATCGCCAGCAGGGTTTGTTGCTGGACTACGAGATGGTCAGCAACACGTTCAGTAAGTTATAAATCAACTTGCAGTGCTACAGGGGCATTGTGCGTCTGTTTCCACGATTCTGATGGCTCAAACATGCGTTGTGCCATAGTATCACGACGTCCGCGAGAAGCTGGATGCGAACCGCGCGCTCTTCTTCGGTTACCTCCTCTCCGTGTTGGACGAGGTGCAGGAGCCTGCATGGGCCAAGCCATTGGCTGTGCCCACGTATCAAATCCGGGCCCTGGAGGCGGTCCCGGAGGTGGTCCTGGAAATGGTCCCGGAAATGGTCCCGGAAGTCCTGGGGGCTGGCCGTAGGGAAGCGGAGTTGGCAGTCCCGCGTCATAGAAGTTATCGGGGCGCCAAGAGTTCCTCTCGTAGTTGGCGATCGGATCTTCCCAGTACGCCTCGCGAGGAGGAGGGTATCGAGAATATGGTGAATAACCATTTGATGGACCCGGAGAAGGGGGTCGCTACAGTAAGTCATTGCAACGTGAGCAAGCGGTTTTACACGACATATGACAAAAGTCTAACATCATAATTTAAAGGCGCGTTATAATAGCCGGATTGAAAGTCATTGTTTGGTAGCATGAAGTCTGAAAGTTCGTCACAGCGACTTTAGGAAAGTGGCAATGTAGACAGATTTTCGGGTCTTGGGTGGGGGCCAGGAAGATCGCACAAGTATTCTTGTAGTCAAATTTTCGAAGAGAAAGACTCTACCCAGTCTTCAGAGATTCCGCACAGCGAGAGGATAGTACAGTATGCAGAGGTTGAGGGTGAGTTGGAGGCGGTTCCCTCTTGTGGACTTGGTGCCATCCATCCAAGCTCCGCAGAGCTCAGAAGGGTCCCCATTGTGGCGGAGTTAGAATCTGGTTCGCGCCGCTCCATTCGTGGCGTGTGAACGTATTGAACTCTCTCGCCTCGTCACGTCCGCAGAATGCAGCAAAACCTCTTGCTATGATATACGGATAAGACAAAAGGCTGCATCTGGTTGAACGAACACTCTAAGATTCTCACTGTACTGATGGTATCTGGAAACCTGGCACTCGAGTCGAACGCTTTCGTAGAGAATCTCTGCAATCTACTCGGGAATAACCACCAATCGCTTTCACTATCATCTCACTTCGATAAATCAGATCTAACCATGCACGACTGGGCCGACAGCCCTATGCTGCGGGCACCACCAATCACAAGGGACAGTCGAGATGCTGTATGTCAATCAACAGCAAGCAGCGACCCTTGGTTGGAAACCTAACCAGGGAGCGGATGGCATACCCTCAACTCTGCGGTGTTGGCCCGCATTACTTTGCTGTCACCCGAACTGGCGCTGACTGCGGTATGTATTCACCACTCGTTGCGTGCCACATAGCTCAAGTATATAGGACAGATCACTCGGCAAGAGTGATTGTTGAGAGTGGCTCCAACGAGAGTGTACAATCCGTGCTCGATTAGTTGAAGGATCGTTGATGCAAGAGGTACAGGTTCGCAGGCCACTTAAGATGTACTTTCAAGTGCATTCCCATTGCCAACGCTAACAAGGACAGCCGGATGTTCAGACACCACCCCTTCCTCCGAGATAGCATAATACATGGCACTTGTAGTTCCGTTGCGCTGTGTCAGCAATCGCACCATCGAGCTGCCTTTCGCTAATAGATGCATCATCAAGAGTTAGATTGAGATGAATGCCCTTCAGATGGGCCTTAACCTGTCAGTGACTTGCTCCATTTCTTACTATATTCCATGGGCAAATCAGTACATCGGAGACAGGCATGGGCCTTCGCCTTTTGTGAAGATCGTTTCAAACCCGTCCGCCTGCCAGCCCTTCAACATCGAGCTTTCCAGTCGCCGCATCAATAAAACGATCTGCTGCGGCGAATACATCTTTGCGAAATTGTAGGTCATCGACCCAGCCGGGCAGGCCTTGAGCGCGCAAATATGCGGTACCCAGGAAAAAGGCTGCAATTTGTCAGATTAAGGGGAAACGAGACAAGGAACGAGGTAAGAAGTTATGTACCAGTCCGCTTGTTACCATCCATGAAAGGGTGCCCTGTCGCCGAAGTGAGCGTGATCACCAGGCCATACAGCAAGCCTAGAACATGCCGTTGATGATTCCATAGGCGAGAGTGGCTGCCAAGTACCGAATCGGCCGATCAGGTTCATACGTGGACACCATGAGCGGTCGTGCCAAAGCTGAGTGAAGCTCGTTTGGCTTTACAACATGTGACAGCGCAGGATGCACGAGCTGCATGTTGATTGTACGGGCATATTCCGGTGTGAACAGACGAGCCACGCGAATTGCATGCGGCACCATGTAAGCAAGCCAGCTGAACCGATGTACAGTGAGAGTATGAGAACCGTGAGCGCTGTCCCGCTGCTGATCAGCTTCAACCTTCAATGGTGTACGTGGAATGTTCCATATCGCAGCACATCACGTGCCGGACGCGTTTCACTTACACTTGCCCGTCCCCAGAGGTCCCCAGTCTCAATTGTGCTATCTGTTGGACAAGGTTGATATCTCGCGTCAAATTAACTGCTCGAAAATATGTGGGTGAAATCTCAGGCCACAAGCTGATATTTCACGGATGAATAGTATTCACTCGTGTTGAAACGAAGACAGACGTTCTACAGCAAACCGCGCCGCAACCACCACATTAGTGAGGGAGTAGGGCAAGGGGCACTCAATGGAACTTACCGCTGCCAGAACTAGTAGTGGCGGTCGGTTTGGTGTCTCGGTTCCCATGTTCGACTTTCAAGTTGAATCTATGCTATTCCGCCTGTGGGTAGCTTCATCAATGTATTCCACAACTCCAGAGCCACCTGTCTACAGCCTGGTTTATCTCATGGATCTACGACGTGTGCATCGGCGTAAGGCAGCGTACGATTGGATCTAGATTTAATTTTACCCAAGTTGCGCAAGATCGTGTGCCGAATGGTCAGAGCGAGTGAAGAAAATTAAATTAGCGGTAGATTTATAGCAAGTGACAAGAACGGAATTAGACTTGTTAGCATGACGGCAGCGAGATACTAGCCATTGATACCTGTGACGTTTGGTAGTCTTCAACAGCTCGCCCACAGCGACAATGGGAACGGCCGACAGCGTATGCGTTACCGAGTCAATGGTCGACTTTGGGCGCGCATTGCTATAACAATATTTGTGGGATATGATACGGGCGAATGAAGCGGGCACAACGACATTGAACTCGAAGATAGGAAAAGTGTACATGAATAGCAGATATAATCGTACTTGTGGACAGCGGCGGCGAAATACTAGACAGCGTCGGAAAGCATGAGCGAAGAGCGAATGAGATTCCGCATGTAGCATGCCACTATGGGAGAGCAACGGGACCACGGAATCGGTATTCTATAGGCAACATTGACAGCCGGTGAAGCCAATGTTACTCACACGTGGGAAGGCGGAGTCTGTCAACGGTCTTTGAGATAGTCAAGAACCGTTTGGACATTCGGATTACGGCTGCTCTCCACTGTCCCTCTTGCGAGCAGGTCTGTGCGTACAAGCAAAGTGAGAAGACGTCACAAAGTGAAGTCTACAACATACCGCTGTCAGTGCCAGTTCTGGCGATGGCAAAGTAATGCGGGGGCCAGCCACTCAAGGTCAGCGGCACGCCATCGATGCCTTGACCAGGCTTCCATCCAAGAGCTTCCGCCAGCTGCTGGTCAACATACAGCGTTTCGTTGTCGAGTACTACCTTGAACTCTCTCGGGCCGGACGACTTGGCGCTCGTGGTATTATATCGCTTTCCAAGAAGTGTGCGCCCCACATAAAAGCGAGTCTGACCACTGAAAAGATGCCGGATGGTAATCATCAATGGAGGTTCAAGAAAGTAGAAGTAGCACTGATGGGAGGTACACCGACAGGGAAAAGGTGATTCAGCGCCTATTATTCGCCGACGGCGTCCCGAGATGGTAAGTGTATTCATTATCAACTCGACACCACGAGCTTTGAAGCCCGTTTACGGTCCTACGTAATGCCTACTCATGCCATTCGTCTCGCTCGTCTTTTTACGGCAGAGTATGCTCGAAGGGTTAACATGCAATTAGTTAGTCCCGCCGCTACACAGGTTATGAGGCCACAGGCACTGGAATCCGCATTGGCGCGTCCTCTCATTGCGTCGGTCAATGAACCCCAACGTCCAGCCGCGCATTTAGCGGCTCAGCTGTCGCATAGTATTATTACAGGTATTTACTACTCTACTCACTATGACCCAGCGTTTAAGGCGACAGGTCAGAACGCCCGTTTCTTCACGGCAACAAGAGGACCGGCAAGTAGTAGATTGTTCGTACCTTCAATCTCCTTCGCGCCTGACCTGAGCCTACAAGCAGCATTCTTCCTTGCCAATGAATACATACGTGCTCGAGGCACACCAGGCCTAGCCGATGAAGGCAAAGTGGGCGTGGTCTACGCACATGTGGCGCAACTGGCAAACCGTCAAATAGAGGCCGCAGCAAGCAAGCTGATGAGGTAAAGTCGACAGGAACATCATGTACGCAGCTCTGTAAGACCATAATTGTCGGCTTGTCTGGGCTATACGTCGACGTGCTGGATATATATGCAGGAGAGCCTCATGGATGAAAGGCACATTGTCCAAAGACTGATTCCTCGTTCATGAGCTACACCAATACGTCGTCAAGCAAGAAGACCAGATATCCGCTGGTATGGTTGTGAAGACATGCCGATGCATCGTATATGCATATGTGGACAAGATGCTCAGACCGCGACCCTCTACAAGTGAATTTAGTGTCCACAACCATATGAGAACGCTGGACCTGCTCTTGCACTCATTGTACAGAGATTTGCAATTTGTTTACTGCTAAATCCCAATGAATCATACGTCCGATCTCATATCGGCGCAAACACATCGAAAGGCCCTCGAAACATGTGTCGGACCCGAAGCTGCGAGGTGGGAGGTCGTGAAGAGAGGCCACAGGGCATCTCGGTATGCGGCTCGTACGTTATGAGCGACCTTTCACTCGTACTGGTCGTACTTTTCAATAGGCTAAGAAGACCAATAAACTGCGCGATGATCATATCAGCTGAAAGGTGAGGGCATAATCAAGTGCATAAGTACTGATACAGATAAACGATGGTGATGCGCCGGACTGGGGGCACCTCGGCAGGTGATGGAGAACCAGCGAGGAAAAGGGGACATTAATGGCTCCGAGGTGAGTTGGATAACATCACTTCGTATTCCGTTGCCGTGCCAGTACATGTGAATTATGCGAATATTACTTTGCCTGTTCTCGCACGTCTACAGACTGAGCAACAGTATTTGTGTCGACTCTCTCTGCGAAACCGGCGTCCCAAGTCAGATTCGACATTCCGGTGAACCATTGACTTACTGTCTTCAGTTGTCACGTTCTTTTTTGCCGCGGTCTCGGGATGAAGACTTCGCGGCTGCACATAGTAGAATGCCGCTGCCCCTAATGCCAGGGCTGAACCAGCGATAATCATCTGAATGAGACTTGGTCAGCTATGACAAGCGCTAACATACCGCCAACTCGGCCGTTTACCATTCGTTTTTGCTGCGGAGGTGCGCGGTCCATGGTGTATAGTTAAGGTGCTGCTGAGTCCTGAGACCGCCAGAGGTGGAAATCCTAGTTTATAGGTAGCTGCCTCCACTCGGACTCTATCAAGGAAGAATGACGCCGGGAGTGAGGTCATCATTCCTGCTCATGCAATGTTGGACATCAAGCACTTGAACAGAATGATGTTAGCATGTGTCGTATATGTTATGGTTGAAGCGTGAAACAGGGATAAGTTGGATGACTGTAAGTTGTGCGCTGCAGAACATGCGTGGTACGGATTCTGTCACGTATCTATGAACGCTGACCCGCTCAGACGTGATTTTCACTGGGATGCAACCTTGGAGCACGATCGAGATCACCCCAAAGATATGTGACTCATAGGTGTTCCAGCCTCCAACACTACACCGGAGGTTACGATATCGCAGGATTAGGTCGTACGATCACAAGTGACATCAGCGTCCGATTATACATACATACAGAAATAACCTTGAAGCAGTATGATGGGGCACAAGCTCTTGCCTTGCGCACGTGTTTCACTCTACTTTCTGCCTGCCCGTTGTGTCCGCCTGATGCTCGCCACGATTCCTCGCTTTACGCGCGCGTCTCCAAGCCAAAACCTCTCTGAGAATGGCAGCGAGAAGCGGTGCAGCGCTGGAAGCAAAGAGCGGCGCGTAGACAGCATACTTGTGCTCCGGGGGGAAATACAAGAGTGCGAGCATCCCAGGGTTGAAGAAGGCGCGCGACGCTAGTGAGAAGGCTGCCCCTGCGGACTGGGCTGCGCGTGCAGACGACGCTGATGCCGCAGCATATACCTGGGCGAATGATAGTGGCGTTCATCAGACAGTACACATAACAAGAAAATATGGACCTCACCTTTTCAAGCGCGTTCAACGCGCCGAGAACGTCGCTCTTCACGTCGAGACCCACAGGCATACCCTCGATTTGGTCGACGAGCCGCACAATGCTCTGTAGCGTTTCCTGCGTGCCGACGACATTTTCCACAGCGCGGCGTCGGAGTAATGCGTCCAGCTGCCAATCCGTGATTCCTGCACCATCAAAACTCGCGTCGGCCAGATGGACGTGCGAAGGGAGAGCAGGAACACCAAGTAGCGCCTTGAGCTGGTAACGGAACGTTACGAATGCTGCATCCAGAACCGACGCTGCCAAATGGCGCGAAACAATCGGTGAGGGGCGATTGAGAATGACTATGCCGCCCCACTGTGGGAGAACAAAGGCTGTGGAAGCAATGGAATGCCCTGAAATGCGATGTAAACGAGAGGCTATATGCGATTAACGTATCAACATACCTCTTTCGTCGAGGATGTGGAGGGGGCTGTGCTGTTGAGAGGGTATGAACAGCACAAAGTGGAGCACGGGGTCATTAGAGACACTCGACGCTGTGCACCCATGAGCTTATGGTCGATGATGTACCTAGACGACTCACAAAGCGTCCATTCTGCTGAGTTGACAAAGACAGTGAGATCTTCCTGAGTCAGGCCATATTCGGTCCTGTCTTGCGAGTACACTATTTGAGGGTCAAATGCCAACGGCGCGTGATATTGCACCTGGCTTTCCACAGTGAAATTGTGCAGAACGGAAAGTCGCTCTAGAAGAGGCGCGATATGTTCTGGATAATATATTAAATCGCAACACAGAGGCCCAGGAGGGCCGAGGGCTTACTGGAGAGAGATGCACGAATATCCCATGTCAATGCAGCGTTGCCAGACGCCGAGTCTTCATTTAGCAAGGTGAAGGCGAGCCGGTACCGCGGTGCGTACTTAACAACACGTTCCGTCTGAGAACCCCGTGCAGCAGTGTACGGCGCGAGTAGAGTTACGATCGTGTCAGCCAGTTGCATTGCCAGTACGGTAGCTGCAACAGTTCACGTTTCAGGAAATATGCGTCAGAACTAAGGACTGGGTACGACGTACGTGAGCTCTGGTCATCTGTCTGTACATCAAGCGAAAGCTGTCGACCTTGAACCGCTGGCTCACGGGCGCCACGACTGAGCGAGACCTGGTACGTATCGCCACTTCAGAGACGCTTGATGGCAGCATCGGTGCATTGCATGCATGGGCACTCACTTCGAAGGCTCAGATAGAATCTGCACCCGCATCTCCTGGGCCTCGCTCAAGTCCCGGTTGCTATCCAATTGACGCTGTACCTCCTGTACGAGGATGGTATTCTCTACGCCGCCATATCTCGACGTGTCCAGATGAACGCGCACAGGGAATACTAGCTGGCGGCAAATGAGCCAGTGAACATAGTTCATACGTCGGAAGAAGCACCTCTCTTTCTTGTTGGGCCAGGACGTTGGCAGTAGGCAGCGACTGTCGCTCGATGCTGGTTGTCGACCACCATAGCGGTATAGCAAGTAAAATCACTATCCAATACGAGGCGATAATCAAGCGTCGCGTTTTCTTGGATTCAGTGTGAAGAATCGCAGGGTCTGGTGCCTGCGTGGCTGGCGTAGCAGCATCCATCGTCGTACAGTCTCGGTCAGCTGGTGTGAAGGAAGGATGCAATTCAGAGATAGGACATCAGAGTGCGTCACTCGTTGAACAACAGGCCTCGCTGGCAGCTCAAGTTGGATTGAAGTAACGGAAGGAGACCTTCGAATATGTGTATCAGCCGTTGGAGAAGCCAAAGAATAAATCAGCTGTATGTCACAGTTAACCGGACGTAAATATGTGGTAAGTAAACCCGACTTATGACCTATTCGCCGAATTCTATTGGTTGGTTGCCTCACGTGGCCAGAGATTAGAGGTTTAACGGTAAGTAAAAGTTGAGCAATATTTACCTTCTCTCCCTCATTGCCGTCTTCCCCTCCTCACACTGTCCGTTTTCACCGCTCACCATGGCAGACAAAATTACGCGTATCGCCATCGTTGACTCTAACCGCTGCAAGCCAAAGCGATGCGCACAAGAGTGCAAGAAAGTGAGTGCGAAGACTTCATCGATATTGCAGATCGGCACTTAAGGGCGAGGCAGTCATGTCCGGTGGTGAAAATGGGTACGTTCCAGTGAGGGTTTGATGCGGCTTTCTTTAACGCAAGGATCTCAGGCAAGCTGTGTATTGAGGTCAAGCCAACCGACAAAATTGCCTTCATTTCCGAGTTCCTATGTATTGGATGCGGTATTTGCGTAAAGAAGTATGTCGAGATCCGCAGCCAAGACACGACCTCCTGATATCATACCCAGGTGCCCATTCGAAGCTATTGCTATCATTAACCTGCCCACAAACCTTGACACCGAAGTCACGCACCGATACACTGCAAACTCGTTCAAACTTCACCGACTACCGACGCCCCGGCCAGGCCAGGTGCTCGGGCTCGTGGGCACCAACGGTATCGGCAAAAGCACAGCGCTCAAAATCCTTGCGGGGAAGCTCAAGCCGAACCTCGGCCGCTACGATGTTCGTCATGCATGTCATTTTTGCCTGTACGCCCGCTGAGCCCCCCTTCCCTACAGGACCCGCCCGACTGGCAGGAAATCCTCAAGCATTTCCGCGGGTCGGAGCTACAGAACTACTTTACGAAGGTACTAGAGGACAATTTGAAGGCGCTGATCAAGCCGCAATACGTCGATCATATCCCCCGCGCGATCAAGGGCAAACTATCCGTTTCGCAAATGCTGGATACGAAGCTGGAGCGGGACAACAAGCAGAAAATGTGCGACGATCTAGAGCTCAACGAGGTTCTAACACGCGAGGTGACACAGCTATCTGGTGGAGAGCTTCAGCGGTTCGCAATCGCGATGTCGTGTATCCAGAGAGCGGACGTGTGCGTGCATGTGTCTGTTGCATTGCAGGAGGCCACTCACATTGGTGTAGGTATATGTTTGACGAGCCGTCAAGTTACCTCGACATTAAGCAGCGATTGAAGGCGGCCGAGGTTATCCGCGAGCTACTGACTTCGGACAACTATGTCATCGCCGTTGAGCACGATCTGTCCGTGCTTGATTATCTCTCGGACTTCATCTGCTGTCTCTACGGCAAGCCGTCGATGTACGGTGTCGTCACGATGCCATACTCTGTCCGTGAAGGTCTGCAGTAATGGCCCCCCTTGATACATCTCCGTGCTGAACACGCGCGCAGGTATCAATATCTTCCTGGACGGCTTCATTCCGACGGAGAACCTCCGGTTCCGCGAAGACTCGCTTTCATTTAAAATGATGGAGACGGCGGAGGAGCTGATCGTGGACAAGACGCGGCACTACTCGTACCCGGCAATGACGAAGACGCTTGGTAACTTCAAGCTGACGGTACAGAGCGGGAGCTTCACGGACTCGGAGATTATCGTGATGCTGGGCGAGAATGGGACCGGCAAGACGACGTTCGTGCGGCTGCTCGCGGGCGACACACCGGACGAGGAGACGGACAAACAGACGCTTGCGGTATCACTCAAGCCCCAGGCGATCGCGCCGTCCTTCCCTGGCACCGTGCGCATGCTTCTAATAAAGCGCATCAAGGCGGCCTTTATGCATCCACAGTTCAATACGGACGTCTTGAAGCCGATGAACCTCGACCCGATCCTGGACCAGGATGTCAAGACGCTATCTGGAGGAGAGCTGCAGCGTGTCGCCATCGTGCTCGCGCTCGGGAAGCCGAACGTCCAGGTCTATCTGATCGACGAACCCAGCTCGTATGTGTACACCTTTCATACTGTTGCCTACACACTCACTCCGCCGTTTAGTTTCCTCGACTCCGAGCAACGTATCATAGCGAGCAAAGTAATCAAGCGGTACGTCCTTTCAGGCCTCTGATGGTGTAACTTACCCATTGAATGTCGGTTCTCCCAGATTCATTCTCCACGCGAAAAAGACCGCATTTGTCATCGAACACGACTTTATCATGGCGACGTACCTTGCAGACCGTGTCATCGTGTTCGAGGGCAGGCCTGCGGTTTCAGCAACGGCCACGCCGTGCGTGGATGTTCTCTTGTTGGCTGACGCGAGCACAATTAACGATGTGCTTGTTCAGACCGCAATCGCTGTTGACTGGCATGAACAAGTTCCTTGCGTCTCTTGAGATCACCTTCCGGAGAGATCCCACCAATTTCCGGCCACGCGTGAACAAGCTGCACAGTGTCAAGGATCGAGAGCAGAAGGGTAAGTGCTTTCAAGCATCACGATTGGCTTGTTCTCATAAACCATGCGTAGCGGCTGGCAGCTACTTCTTCCTTGAAGAATAAATTATCCACGACCTATAACGCTGGATGGAGATGGGTCTCCGCGGTGTACAACAGTTGCTGTAGCCTAGCGCGGCCCTGTTATGTAGCTGTAGGGGTGAGCGTGCGAGTGGTATACGGGCGCCGTGCCAACTGCACGTCGGTGGCGCCGTAGACGAGAATACTAAGGAACCTTAGATAGGATAAGTGTAGGCTGTTATAGTACACGCGAGGGCTCGAGTGGTTATCGTTATTCAAGTTTTGAAGCTGCGTATCTGGGTTCTGGGCATTCTTCCAGTGGAAAACGACCGATTGAATCATAAGTGGTCGCGACTCAGGCCAATATTGATGCCGAGATTGGTTGTCATGTAATATAAAACCACATGTACTACCAAGCGCATATATTCGCTTTGCATGGTCCGCGGCAGAAGATATCGAGGCTTGGAGGGAATCCACGAAGGCGGCTAAAAAAGGATATGTTTCCGGAATGTGCCGTTTTCGGACAGAAGGCTGTTGTAAGCGGGGCCAAACACGGCCGTACAGCCAAACAAGCCGTGCCCCATCCTTACCTCCGTCCACCATCTCTCTCAGCTCGACTCATCCCACTTGTAAGTCGTCCAACGTCCTGCCCTCTCGTTGAATCTGTTTGCTGACCATCGTTCCTCTCTTTACTCACCGTTGTCGTCCGCTGCGTGCTCGCCGCTGCACATATCTTCCCATCGTGCACGATCTTGCACGATCTCTACCGATCTGTCTCTTCCCGCCGTCGACTCGACAGTCACGACCACACTCTCACGTTAGAGACACCATATAATGGCCCTCAAGCGCATTAACAAGGTGAGACCTCGCTGTTTTACGCCACGGGTCGCCCGAGGACACGCGCGCTAAATGGGCCGTGGCGCCCACCTGCGTCTTGAGTGGCCTGGTCCTTTTGGGCGATGCTGACTGCGCATTTTCAGGAATTGATTGACCTCGGACGCGACCCACCCTCGTCATGCAGCGCGGGTCCCACAGGTGACAACATGTTCCAGTGGCAGGCGACCATTATGGGTCCCGTGAGTGATTGTTGTTTTTGCGTCCTAGGTTGCTTTTTGTGATGAGAAATGTGTCGCCCTCAGGGAGACTCGCCTTACGCAGGCGGTGTATTCTTCCTCTCTATCACATTCCCTACCGACTACCCCTTCAAGCCGCCCAAGGTCAGCTTCACGACGAAGATCTACCACCCCAACATCAATGCGAACGGCTCGATCTGCTTGGACATTCTCCGGGACCAGTGGAGTCCTGCATTGACGATCTCGAAAGGTGCGTTTTGCATGTGCCATTATACTGTTTGGCGCCCGGATTTCAGTGGGCGGCAAGGGCTATTGTTTCTTGTTATCTATGGCAGGCGGGGTCTGTGGACTAATATGTTTATTGTCCGCAGTGTTGCTTTCGATTTGCTCAATGCTGACGGACCCGAACCCTGACGACCCGCTCGTGCCCGACATCGCACATCTATACAAGACGGATCGTGCTCGGTACGAAGCGACAGCTCGGGAGTGGACGAGGAAGTGAGTACTCTACTGCACGCGACGTTTCGCATTTGGCGCCTGTGCTGACGCCATGTCTTATGAAGGTATGCCATGTAGCAGTTTCCGCCTAGGACCACCGGGTTGTCTTGACGAGTGTATGGTTGTACGATGTGTCGTGTCTCACAGCTTTCCTTCAATCGCATGTGTAATCATCAAATACATGAGCATATCGTGACAAGACTGTTAGCAGTCGCTTGCTTCATATTTGGCGAGGATTAGGCTGTTCGCCTGGTTGTGGTATGTGCTCTGCTAATATTGTTGAAAACTAGCACCCAAGGTAATCTACGTGAGTTTGTTGCCTCAATTGCCAACGTCCCTAAGGCGGCCCACCTTCACTGCTATGGCCGTATCGCAAGTGGCGTTTAGAGGTCACGGGATTGTTTCCTCCATGTGTATACGAGAAGAAACTGTCGCTGCAAATGCACAAGGTCACCTCTTCGCTTGAGTGGCCGCATTCATAAAGCTTATGGCCAAATCGGAAGAATACTGTTCTCGAGATTGTCACACATACGGAAGCTCCATAACCGACCGGCAGCTTGACGGTGAGTGATCCGGTCTACACTGAGAAGTCACGCTGCTGGTAGTATCGTCAGAGTTTGGCAGGGCTGCGAATCCGCGGTGGACGAAGGTAGGGCTCCGCCAGTGGTTGTGTAAATCCTTCGGCATATTACTGGGCCTGCAGCTTTTCCAGTAGCAATCCCAATAACGATAAACATCCCCTCAAAACTACGCTCGGACAAAGATGTAACAGGAGCTACAGCAGTATACAGTGGCGGCGCAGAACCTCGCAATTACCTGCTTCGATTCGACTCGCCGTCCCGTCACGTATTAAGAGGAGACTAGTCTTCCGTTCTCTGCCTTAGCCTGTTTGTGATTTCTTCTACGAGGGATCTATATCAGGATTGCTGTCGCCGCGGAGGAGCTGGCGGAAGATATCCTACATGCCAAAGCCCGATTCTGCACCGGCCATTGGACGTGTCATGTGTTCTACATTCAAGCAATCGGTGGCGTTACATATGGAGGAGGCTCTGACAACTTACGCATTAGCATGACTTACAGGTTGCAGTGGTTTATCTGCGACATTCACCGAGGTAATGGCTGCTTCCGCGAAGATCCTCTCACGTTCAACCTGTGATCTCTCAGACATGAATGATCATCCCTACCGCCAAGGACATAGTGCATTCACGATAGGCCCGGGCCACTGATCGATCTTCTGGTAAGTCCAAAGCAATATGTACGCTGGCGTTAGCGTAGTTTATGTACCATCAGGTTCGTGCTCCGGACGACTTGTCATCGAGGCGATGTGCGCTAGAACTGTGATTGTGCGTGTTCGCTGCAAGTGGAGGGATTGGAGACCGTATCACCGGAAGGTGCGAATCAAGAACGGGTGTTGTGAATCCCAAGGCGTTGATGTTCCGCTAGCCTTCATAGCAGCGCCATTGTAAAATAATTTCTCTACTGTCTGCCCTTCGTTGCTACTAGCTCATATCCCTTCATGTTCGGGCCACACGCCTTGCGTGATTGGAGGCATGTAAGTGGTCATCGAACAGCTCTCGCCCGCTTGAGATAAGAGCTGGGTTAAAGTTCTCTCATTGCGAAGCAGCTCAGGATTGTGGTACAACTCAATTTTTGAGATGTTCCAGGTTCCGGTACAACTCCCCTGTGCCCTATTCGCTGGCCAATAATGACCTGACCACCAGCACAGTTCAAGCGAGACCAACGCCATATTGCAGCCGCACTATTTGATATGTCTGCTTGTGGTTATGGTTGTGGTTGTATCTCTCCACTTATCCCCCTCCCCCCCTCCTTCGAAACGCCATAGCCCCAAATCCATCATAAAATCAAAACCATGAAGTACATTGTGTACGCATTGCTGCCATATCCCCGAGGCATCTGTATCAACCGACATGTTTCAGCGTTACTGGGCCGACAGGAAGCGGTAAAACGACACAGTAAGCTGCTTGATCATCAACAGAGATGAGCAGACCCACCATACTGACTGACGTTAGTTTGTGAATCAGATCGCGGGGTCCGCTTTCAAGGTCGGGGAAGGCCTGGAATCTTGCACCAGCAAGGTGCAACTTGCGAGATGCATCATCAACAACGAGCTTGTCACGCTCGTCGACACACCGGGATTCGACGATACTTACAAATCACGATGCGAGATCTTGAAAGACATCGCAGACTTCCTCGCGCAAGCGTGAGCACTCGTTTTAGAAGATATGCCTCCGAAGTACTTACCATTCATAGACACATGCAGGGAGCGCTGTTGTGCGGCATATTTGTATCGAATTTCTGATAATCGCTTTGGCGGGCTCGCGGTAGAGAACATGGCAATGTTCAAGAAAATCTGTGGAAAGACCGCAATGTCGAACGTCGTGATTGCTACGACAACGTGGGGAGAACTAGATGCAGCTCCAGATCGGAGGAGGCGGGAAGTACTGAGGGAGCAGGAGCTTCAGACCAATAGCGTATTCTTCAAGGCGGCATTCGATGAAGGAGCTCAGTCTCTCCGCCTCAGTGGCGACCGGTCCTCTGCTATGGAAGCCATAAATTTCTTGATCAACAAGGATCCTGTGGTTCTCGAGATGCAGAGAGAGCTTGTCGAGGGCCGCAAGACACTACGACAAACCGCAGTTGGGAAGAAGCTGTATAGCATATTGAAGGAGACGTTGGAATGGTTTTCCCAGAAGTTGAAGCAGGACCAGGATCAGCTCAGGAAAGCTCAGAAAACCCCAGGCAATCTCACTTCTCAGGACCGGAGCAACCTGGAGGAAAGTATTGGAGAGGGTGAGGAGAGGGTGAGGAGGCTTCGAGAGGATATGGAAGTAATATCGAGAAGCGGCCAGTGGATCCGCAGGTGGATGGAGTGCCGCAGAGAGGTACTGAATGCCATAATAATCAGGAGAATGTGGGGCGGGGGAGGCGGATGTTTTGGCGCGGAAGATATTGAGTTGTAGTAGACCTCCAAGGTCGCTCATGCGACTGCTACGATAGCAATGTCATTCGGAGTAACTCCTGCCCGCTGCCCGCACACTGAATTAACTTGTTGGCTTCTGACAATTTCTCAGCCGGCGGCGGACACTAAGCGTTCTGGTAGAGGTGACACAGAGTTATTGCCATCTAGGCGTGGCGCAGCTGCGACACACACAAACAAAATCAACGAGTTTCTATCCCAAAACTCATGTCCTGCGAGGCGCAAAGGGATGCGCCGAGTTTATGACCGCCGACCGGTGTTAACAGCTCATCGTCATTCAGCTGCAGCCGTTTTAGACACGAGTCGTAGCCATGCAATAAAACACTAGCTCGAAGCATAAGCGGCATTGTAAACGCGGCATTTCGAAGTTTGACATTTTAAGAACACCGCCATGTTGAGGCTACATCACTCACCTCTGTGTGTCTGAGCGATGCATTCATGCGCAACCAAGCTAGATGCTTGGCCCTATGTCAAGCCCCCACTTCACCAACCACGTCGCTTGGCTAAAGAGACATACGATCATATGGATTATGAATCTTGCTGCATACGTAGAAGCTTCCAGCTTTGCACTCAAGGTCGGTGCTGAGTATCGAGGTTTGTATAAACTGAGAGTGGAAAACAACAGTAAGCGGCTTCCCCTGCGAGTGCAATTCGATAAAAAGTACTCACCGGACAGAATACAGAAACCGAAGTTGGTCAATACAGTCGTCGGTTCAAGCTTCAAAAAAAGGGAGGAACTAGAGTCATGTACCTCCGAGGTGCAACACACGACGTGCGATATTAAAGGACGATCACAAGTTTCAATCCTCAAGGTCATTGCAAATTCCCTCGTCGAACGGACGAGGTGGTCAAGTCAAGGAGGAGTTGCAGGCAGCGGAGGCAGGCAAGGCAAGAACAAGCGGAGATCGGATACGATAATTCGCGCGTGACGATATTGGTAGTTATTGATATCGCATTGCATAGCCACGCCTGGTTATACTTAAAGCATGCTCCATATTGCGAGCATGCACTGTGAGTATATTTGGGCGCACTTCAAGAAGGGTTCCACGCGAGTTTCAAATCACAGCAACCGGTGGACGCTTCGAAGGCGTTTGTTTACCAAAGGCTTCTGATCCTAATACGGTTCAATACTGCCAAACAATGCCGCTTTCCCGTCGGGCGCTTGTCTGCCATTTCCTGTTTCCTGTTCCTTTGGCTTTCAGCGTCAAGACATTGCAGTCCGTTAGTCCCGCTCTTCTAGCTGGTATAGTTTTGACCTGATCCTGCTGCTCGGGTTGAACAATGTCCGGTGGGTCTTACTGGGAGACGATAACACGCGTATTTAATAACACTTGGGTGTTCCACAGATCAAAGTGAACTCGCATCCCCGCCGTTTGATAGCGTATCGTCTGTGCGCTTTTCACCGAAGAATCCATCGCATTTGCTGGTGTCATCATGGGATACGGTATGTGCGCTGTTATTCATGAAATCATCGGGGGACCCGGTTCTCTGCGAGCGACCGCGCCGCACTTTTTCCTGTGAGGTTTATGATCATGCATGCGGACCCGCAAGCAGCGACGCACCTCAGTCCTCTGTATTGACCATTCTCCCATAGACTGTCCGCCTTTACGACACTGCAGCGAACGAGCAAAAGTCAAAATACGACCACCGAGCAGCTGTCCTTGCATGCTGCTTCTCCGACGACACGCATGCCTATAGCGGCGGTCTTGACACTTCTGTCCGCGAGTGCGTCTCGTTTCATCAATACTTTAAGTATTTCGACGTTTGACCATGGCTGTAATTCAGACTGAACCTCGAGACCGAGAAAATGAACCATCTCGGTCAACACTCCGACTCGATCTCCAGCATGAACTGGTCGCGCGGCACCAGTGAGCACGTCCTTCTGCCTGCTCCTTCTGCGCGTTGCTAAAGCAGATCCCTTGCAGATGCGCTCGTCACCGGTTCCTGGGACCGTACTGTCCGCTTCTGGGACCCGCGCGCGTCCTCGCCACAGCAGTCCTCGCACAGTCTTCCCGAACGCGTGTACAATATGGACCTCGTGAACCACACACTCGTTGTCGCGATGGCCAGTCGACTGTTCCACATCTACGACATACGCAAGATGGACGCGCCCGCGCAGACACGTGAGAGCAGCCTGAAGTTTATGACGAGGGCGCTGGCGTGCATGGCTGACGGACAGGGTATGTGTATGCTTGTGCGTTCTGTAGCGTATATCTGACAAGTTGGCTGTGTTGGCTGTGTAGGTTATGCGACTGCCTCGGTTGAGGGCAGGATTGCTGTTGAGTACTTCGATCCAAGTTCGGAGGCACAGGACAAGAAGTACGCGTTCAAGTGCCATCGTATGACCATCGACGATGTGGACCATGTATGGCCGGTTAACGCACTCGCGTTTCATCCTGTGTAAGCACCCCATACTCTTGCGTACATCATCCGCTTCTCGTGCTTTGATGGTTATTTCGATCCATTGTCCGCTCATAAATGCACACCATACAGATACAATACGTTCGCCTCTGCTGGATCTGACGGCACAGTCTCGATCTGGGACCACAAGCTCAAAAAGCGACTGCGACAGTATCCGAAGTATCACTCTGCCGTGCCCTCAATTGCGTTCAATTGCGACGGTACCAAACTGGCTGTTGGTGTTAGCTACACTTGGGAGGAGGGTGAAGAGGGGGCGAAGACGGCAGAGCGGCCGAGTGTTTATATACGGACAACAGGAGACGAAGTCAAGGTGAGTGTCCGCTCTGTCGAGGAAAACAAACGACTGATGTCGTCCTGTATAGCCAAAGGGCTGGACAGGCAGCTGAATAGGCGCTTAGGTTCCGTACATCCCGGCCTTACATTGATTGCGCTGTTACCCCTCTGTGCCTTTTCGTGCACAATGAGTAATATTACGCTCGCCGCACTTGCCTTATTGACTTGGTGGTATTTCCAGAATGCATTCCTCCATAAATTATGACATGATGACATGATTGTGACGCCCTCCCTACTCCAGCTTCTGCGTCGAGAACTGGAGAAAACGTCAAGCTGCGAGACCCGATAGGTTGACACATATGACGTACCAGCGTGACCACCGTCCCATCCTCCAGTCGCTCTTTGCGCGGGACGAATGTGTACCCGAATAATTTTGGCAGTTTCCGCCATGCTGCCCAGTAGAGGACGCCAGCAACCATGATGCCAATACCCACCAGGCAGTATCTAGCGCGGGTGATAAATAGTCGTCAGACACGGACACCAAGGCGTGCTCCAGGAGCTAATTTAGGTAAGGAACAGTGCACGTACAGGTAATACGGCAACGGCGGTGTGTCGCCAATGCCACCTGGCGGGCGGATGAATGGCGCGACGAGGACTGGATGTGCAAGTGGTCATGAGCCCGCCCCGCAAACTGGACACGAAGGGACCTACGGAATACAGCGGCTGCGAGGTAGAACACTGCGACTGGCCACCAAACTGCGGTGCGCCTCTGCATGTGAGCACGGCTCCCCGCAACCAGAGAACATCGTCGTACGCACCTTTGAATGGACGCAGGGCATGCGGCTTGTGCCAACGCAGCCAGAACAAGCCCTAGCACAGGTCAATATATGGGCCGACGGCCAGGACGAGAGAGCAAACCCACGATGACGACAAAGAGGTTAATGATCTGCCCCGGGTAGCCTTCGATATCCAGGATGAACGGGTAGGCGATGGAGGGCGGCGGCCCCAGGATGATGACAACCTGCGGAACGCCGCATCTCGCTCAATCTCTGAGGTCTTCCGCACACAGAATCGGACACACATACCGAGGGGATCAGGTGGATGATGAGGCCCGGCAGGGGCGACTTGCCCGTCGGCCAGTTCGACGCCCAGAAGCGGTTGCCAAAGGGCAGCGGGATGCCCTCTTTGGCGAGCTCTGCGCGGGGCTGTGAGTGTGTGTGCGCAGTCCGCCTGTAGGCACGCGTACCTTGGTTCACGCGCGAGGCACCGAATGTCTGTATGGATGCAAGCGTTTCGGTCCGGAGCGCGGGACAAGGGGAGCGCAGATACGCACAACGGTGATGACATTCTGCGCACGCGTCGTCAGCGCCTCCAGTCTATACCACTGACTGATATACACTCACCCTATATGTACACAGGTCGCACACGAGGACCGCAAAGGAGTGTCGTGTCAGCTAGTCCCCGCGATTGCGGGAAGAACAGCACGCACCCTATCGCACTACACAGAGGACAATGAGAATGAGTACCAGCACAGCACGGGCCGAAGACAGAGCACGTACCTCAGCGCCACGAACACGGTCAGCGCACGCTGCGCCGTCTCGCCAAACACGTTGTGGAAGAAGAGCGACGCCACGGTCACGCCGCTCCCGAGGATCTCGTCTTTCGTCGCCGCCCTGTGTGTGTGCGTGTGCGCACGCGCCGTCAGTCAACGGTCCGCTTGGTGCCGCCGCATGCGGTTCGACTCACGCGAAGTACGCGACGTTCGCGAGCAGATACAGCACCGCGCAGATCCCGAGGCCGAGCGGGCCCGCGATTTTGAGCGTGCGCACGGGATCGCGCACGCTGTTGAGCACGTAGTTGATCGCGGACCAGCCCGCGTACGAGTTGAGCACCTTGAATGTCGCCGTTGCGTACTGGGGCAGACGAGGCGCGTAGAACGAGCGGGCACCGTCAGCGTGCAGCCGCTGAAGACAAGGGGAGAGGAACGCACGTCATAGCTGCTGTGCGAGCTGCCAGCGAAGGAGTCCCGGAAGTTCGCGTGCGGGTCCTTTACGCGCGTGTGCCCGGAGAGGACGGCCCAGCCTGGAACGCACTGTCAATCCTCGACTAGCCGATAATGGAGAAGCAGGGCGGGGCGCACCCGCAATGACGACGAACAACAGAATGACGATCTTGAACACGCTCAGAACCTGCGATCAATCGTTCGTTGCGGTCAGTACGATGTGGGGCGATTTCATGCGCGGAACGTACGTTCATGACCAACACGCCGAGGCGTGGGGTGAAGCCGTGCAGAAAGGTGACGAAGAAGATGACTGTGCGGTGTGTGAATTGAGACGAGAGCCGCCGAGGCGGGGCGCAGATGACAGACACACCTCCAAGTGCGATTCCGCGCTCTTTCCAGCGCGTCGCTTCTACGCCGGCGACGACCAGAATGCTAGAAAGTCGATGTGTTACAACGTACCACAAGCCTCAAGCAGGGAGAGCATACTTCTCTGCAAACACCTACGACCAGAGAATATGCTGAGTGGTTCTGGCGGCAGCCTGATGCTATAAACTCACAATGCATCCAGACGCGGTGAATCCGAGAACGATCGCGTTCACTGCGAACACAACTGTCGCGAGATAGCGCGGTCGCTTGAAGGCTGCCTCGAGGTAAACCTTTTCGCCGCCGGAGCGCGGGATCATCGTGCCAAATTCGAGCCAGATGAAGAGTCCGCAGAAGGAAAGGACAAAGCCGAGGACCCAGAGCATCATCGACGCGCCGACGGACCCGACAGAACCAAGGATGGATGACGGCGTGGAGAAGATGCCTGTTCCGATGACACGGCCGACGCTGAGACACACAGTGAGCTCGCGGTGCCTAGGTTCGAGGAATAAGACACCCACATCATGAGCGTACAGGTGAACACGCCTAAGTGACGACCCATTCCACCCGCCGTAGCTGCAGATAGCGTCGGCATCTCGACAGTCGCCCCTTAGATGCCAGGATACGCACCTTCATCATAAGTGAGGCCGCTGGGGGTGATGTCGGGCTCGTCGATGAGGCGCTCCTCCCCCTCCTGTTCCTCCTGCTCAGGCTTGTCCTTGAGCGAGGATGCGTCACTGTTGCGCGACGGAACTACGTCCACCGGCTTCTTCTCATCTGCAAATGGCTCCTTGTAATCCGCAGCCTGTGCATCCGGTTGAGTGCGCCTTGGAAGCTTGAACCTCAGGAGAGACGACATCCTGATGGCGACCGAGGGCGAGCACGACTGGCAGCCTGGGAGAAGAATCGCGGGAGAAAGCGCGGTGTGTGCGACCTGCGCCCAGATAAAGCTCCGCGTCCGGGAGCGTCACTTGCCAGGGCTGAGAACGGCACGCCATATTCCATCATATTGCTAGAGAATGGCCTTTTGACGCTGATGCACACCATGGTCGCAGGCGTCTACCGAAAGCCCGCCTGCAATCCCGCCTGATCGCGACGTCGTTAGCAGTCGATCATGATGCATGATCGGGGAGACAATTCCGCCGGTCCCTCGCTCGCATGCGCACTTGTGTCCCTCAGCCCATTGCACTAGCAACCAGCACCGACTCGACGCACTTGCCGCCCTGGCACTCGACAGGTCACAGCACCACATCGGGAAGCGCATGATCACGCAATATGGTATGCTCTCCACTTTGGCGGAAATGAATAACACAGCCTTGACGCTCGTCCGACATCCAGCAATCAATTTGCTGCAAAGGCACAGCCATGTCCATCATGCAATCAGGTGATTTTGTATGATGAGTTCGCGCATTGGCGTGCCCCTGTGGTGCTCGCAGCTAAAAGGAAATCACCACCTGCAGAGTAGCATGGCACGTCCCGCTCCGTGTCAACGAACCTACATTCCTCGGTCGCGCTCGCAATCTCGCCTCCGCGACCGTGGCGTGAGACAGCGGCTTTGTCTTGTCGCACGTCATAAGAAACAGATAGCACGACGACGAGCACACCCCGACGTATGCGATGATCTCGGGACCGGTGCAATTTCACAGTGTGCTGTGGGTGGACTGCACGCATACAGCGTTCGATGCAGTGAATGTCCGGAGATGGTTGAAGAGAATATGATGTGCCCGGCTAGCCTGAATAAAATAATGAAATGTTTTGTATGGCCGCAACGAGCTGACTATATGCGTGTGTGCGCGACGACCAGAAGGATACGATGACAAAGTGAAAGAACAAGTTTCAATAATCCACAATGACGAACGATGAGCGAACGAACAACGACCTGGGGACGAACAAAGTCAACGAACTACGATGGCGAGAAGCGAGGAGCGACGACAGCGACGAACGAAAAGCGAATGTCGACGAACAGCGATTCGACAATAGAATCACTGCAAAGCTTACGACTTACCTTGCATCAGAAGTACGAAGTCATTTGCCTTTGTATTGTTGTGGAGATGGTAGGAGTTCGAGTGAGAGGGAGAGAACTGATTTCTTTGGTGTCGACACAGGTGTATATACATACAAAAGAACCCAGACAGGATGATGTCACAACGATGCTTGAGGGGAGAACAATGACGTACAAGAGTATCCGAACTTCGAAACCTGTCTGGCTGATCGAAACACCTAAATCGGGTAAACCACTGTCCAAATCCGGATGGAAGCTCGGTCCTGGGCACAAGCAAGCAAGCCCCGGCTCTCCAGATTGAGTTCGCGACTGGCAATATCCCAGCTGATCAAGCTCGCGAGCCGCAGAGTCAGAGGAACTAGACCCAGGTATGTAGTTTCTGCACTCTTCTGCTTGGATTAACATAAGAGAGTAAGAAGAAAGAAAGGAAAAGAAAAAGAGAAATGATACGCCATAGCCGCTCCTTCAGATCTTGCGCGCTTTCCTCCACAACAGTGGGTCGCGAGCCTGATGTATGTTGGCGTCATGCATATACCAGATCATGTAGCCACAAGGGTCTACCAGATACCGAGCCTAGGAAAGCGCACTACCAATAATGGATGGGATAGAAGGGATATATTGATACAGAAGTGGTTGCGAGGGCTACACCACAACAAGTTTAGAGATACAGTATATGAAGTCCGAGCGCGTGCAAGAAGAATGGCAGTTCATGAGATGCATGATGTGCGGAAGTATGGGAAAGCAAGCAAGTATTACAGACGGATACAATTAACAAGCGGGACACCTCGCCTGGCATGGAAACTTAGGAACACAAACAGTTTGTCAAAACGTGAACACTTCGTTCCAATCCTGGGTTGAAATCAAAGCATGAGCTGAAAGCAGTTCACTGAAGACACGAGCTACAAACCAGCTTCTCCTGGCTTCCGATCTGCGTCCACGTGAGCATTGTGTATGATGAGCAGCTTGTGTGTCAGACGAACCTGGATGTCAGAGAAGTTTACCATCTCAATGGCGATATCGCCAGGCGTCTGTGTCCCTCGATGACTTCCCGAGCGGGGTGCGAGCGCTTCGGCTCGACGCTGTTCTTGAGCGAGCTGCTTCTGCTTGTGCGACCAGTCATGCAGCTTGCAGGACGTGCGGTACCGCTTGAAACTGCGGCACATGAGCGACAGCAGACACTCGGGGCTCCGACGATGGTCTACCTGAGATCAGCATACAGCTTCCCGAGTTCCGGATGAGCATTAGACCCTGAAGTACATAAGCACAGGTCCGCTGGTGAAGGCAGGAGGGGCTCACTGAGCAGTCGTATGAGTGTCTGCGTACACGATAAGCAACGACTGGGACCCGCAGAGCGAGAACGACAGCTCACCTGTGTGGCTGAACCTTTCCTTCCGCATTCCCAGGTCGACTGTGTGTCGTTGCATGCGGAGATACATATCTGATACACGTCAGATCGACGAGGTGAGCTACATTCGAGTCCGTGCCGAGGTCACGCATACCACGTGAGGTGCTTGAATCTCGCCCCGCATGCAGAAGCCGTCGCACTTCCGCGAGGACTCAGGGGACGCATTCTTGGGCACCACCAGCTGCAATATCCTCTTTGCCTGCTCGAAGGCAATCCCTGGCCGTTTGAACGCGACCCGCCCGCGTACGCTCCCGAAAGACCACGAGGTCGGGCTCCTTTTTGGGATTCTGTGTTCGAGCTTCTTCGCCGTGCCGTCAGCAGAGCGTTTCCCATCCAACGTGCATACTTTGCGCATGCGCGTGACGGTTTTGCGTAGGGACAGGCTGGGGAGGGGCATGAGCTTGCGGAATGGACTTCGCAGAGCAGACTTTGGCTTGACGTCGTCGAATTGCGCGTCATCTTGACGGACTGCCGGACGCGAATACGATGAGAACTTGAGTGGTGCGTGGAACGCTGTGCGTGACGTACCGACGTTCATTTGTCGGGTCATCATACCCCGGATGCCTTTGGACACCCAAGGATGGTACAACGCGTTGCAATCGTAGTGATCGAGATCTGGGATGAGTCGTGGTGAGTGATCGGCACGAGGAACATGAACCCAGATTTACCGAGGATAGTGCCTGAATGGCATGCGTCGAAGATGGCCTGCGGATCCACATGAACCCTGGTCAATATCCACAGTGATAGGCAGGCTCACGATCAAACGCGCCCCAGGAGGAAGGGCATCGACAAGCAGCTTCCGGAGAGTCTGTCGCGATGACTGCGTAAGCTATCTGACATGGAGTGATATCATGGATACCCACGTTGTCGACAATGTACCTGCCCTTGTTCTTGGTCCCTTCGTGATCGACAGCGAGCAGGACTGGTATAGCATCGATAGGATGAGGTGCGATGCGACTACCGCTGCTCAGCGCACCTACCTTCATCCATGTCGTCCTCCTCTGTATGATCTTTGCAAGGAATCTGGTCTGCATGCCCAGCATCTTGCGAGCGAGCCTTAGACAATATGAGCCCTAGAGTGATCTAAAGGAGGGCTTACAGTAGAAAACAAAGGTGTCTCCGGGTCGAGCACCACGGACAAGCGATCTGATTTGCGCAATCTAATCGGCGTGCGTGCTTGTTCAGATTACACAAATCGACAACGCAGGCACATACCATGTTCTTTCGTGTGGGGATCAAGTGATGCGCGCGATCCTTAGAGTCCGTCATAAGAGTCACATCTCGGGGTCTGTAGTCATAGACATCTATGGAAACACCTATGATGGGTGATCCCAGACGCCGACTTCCAGTGTACTCACCGACTAGTAGATTGCGGAAGTCAATTGCGTCCTTGCGCGAGGCGAGTAATTGCCCTAAATCTCGAGAAGCCTGGGATGACGAAAGATCTTCGTCATCATAGTTGATACCTATGATCAGAGCCTTCCTCTTCTGCGGCCTGGGCGCATATGTCATGGCTAGTGCAAGTCCGGTCGCCCTCTTCCAGTGTGGGGAGAAGTGAGGAGGTACTTCAAGACGTCCTCGAGTCATAGACGTACGTACCTATATACTTGCACCATGCACCATGCCGTATAAAACCATCACAGCCACTTCAACAACACATCGTTTTAGGACACAACGTTCTCGAACAAACGGGAAGGCGGTGCCATGAGCAGCTGCTTGTGCTTCAGTCTCAACACGTGCAAGCGATGTTGTCGGACACGGAATAAGCAACCCGTGAAAGCGCACTAGCTGACAGCAAGCATGTGGGCTATGCGCAAAGACGCCAGTGTCTAATCAGCACTACTCAGGCTCGCATTGAAAATCGGGAACTTGCGCCTCTAGGCAGGCACGAGACCATGTCATCGAAACCGTTCACGGGCTGAATTGGCACTTAAGGACTGAACATAGTCTCCTGTGAGCAGAACATGATCACTTCGTCAACCTTTGCAGGCCCTGGATATTTGTGTATAGCGTATAACAGAGGATGCGACGACGCGGACAAGTGGAGTCAACTTCTCAATCGGAATTGGGGGCGCTGCGAAAGTGAGACGATCAGTCGATCATGCGTGAGAATTACCTGAGTAGACAATTCCCTCAACCTGCGCCGGTTCCGGATATCTTTGTCTGACAACGACTCCTTCTCCCCCCACAGACCGCGCATAGACGGCGTGGTGCGCTTTCCTCCAAAATGTCTAGTAGTGCACCCGATGACCTGGAAAATGAACTGCTTGGAAGAATTGAATACGATAAGAATGAAGTCTTCGATCGCCTGAAGCTTCAACTAGTAGACGACAACCTTGTGCACCAGTGCCGCCTCGCCTTTCATAGAGATGACCGTGTTGCTGAAGCCAAGACGGAACTCAAGACGCTTGTGGCCAGCGCAAACGTTTTGTCTCTAGACGATCTTGACGACCAGCAATGTAGGAGCTTACTCAACAGTGGAGAGTGGGAGCTCGACATGTATCCGCATCTGGTGCGAAACTTGGCTCTGCTCAATTTTTCCTCAAAGCTTGATTTGCTGCCCTTGGGCAGCGCACACTCTTCGACTTCATCACGGATTTCTCCTCCGCAACTTGTCTGCGGCGGTTGGTTGAGACCTCTGTACCCGTTCAAGAAGACGACAGCTCTTACACCCTGGGATTCCCGAAGGCCGTACCGGATTTCCGTTTACTCGATGAGGCGTCTCTGGATGCGAAGGCGTCCGAACAGCCACACCTGTGGAGTGACACACATGCATTCTGCGTAGTCAAGCCTTCTAACAAGCAGTCACCGAAGCCTGGCGATCCCTCGGATGTGGTTTCCCTGATCACGCTGCAGTCCTCACAATATGCTCGCCTATATGCATGCAGCCGCCCGTTCCGACTTTTCGCCGTCTGCCTCCTCATCTTCGGCTCTGAATTCTGTGTCGGTATCTTCGATCGCGGCGGTCTGATGCTCTCCCCAATTTACGACATGTGGGAGCACACAGACGTGTTCATTCGTGTGATACGGAGCCTGACGTCTGTCGTGACCGACGTTGACCTTGGCCAGGACCCGACTGTGCGCTCTCTACCCAACGACATAGCAAGTATCGTCTTAGAACAGTCTGAGCCACCGGCACATACGTCGTACCTCGTTGAGCCAATTGGCGACGATGAGCGGGTCTGGTGCACCGTAGAATCTCCGGTTTGGAGCTCCCTGTCGCTCTTTGGTCGTGGGACGTGGGTCTGGTATGTCCACGAGTACGATGTAAATGGACGGTGCTTGAAGGGAGCGAAAATGATCATGAAGACGGCATGGCGACAAGGAAATCGCAGCTCCGAGTCGATCATTCATCGGAGCATCAAGGGTCAGCATCCCGGCCTTGCCAAATTCTTGGTGGGAGCCGATGTCGAGCATCGCGCGGCTGGACAGCGTCCCGAACGCATGTCTGTTCGATATTTGCGCTCGGGACAGAACAACGTCAACAATGGTTCTCCGGTGCTGCACAGATTGGTGTTAAGCACGGTTGGGCGACCACTTTGGGAATACGAATCCGAGCTTGAACTCTTGTTGGGTGTGCGTGCAGCTCTGGATGGTGCGTCTGATCGACGTTTCAATTTGCTTACATCTTGACCAAGATCACATCATACAGCACACGAGTTCCTCTGTGACCAAGGTATCATTCATCGGGACATCAGTCCTGGCAATATTCTACTCCGAGACAGGTCATATAACCCAGACAGTGAGCCAGATGGCGGCGAGGGTTTCCTCACAGACCTCGAGTTTGCCCGGATCCCGGATGCAGTAACGGTCATTGAAGGCGTTGGAGAATCGCAGCGGACACATACCAGGTGGAGAGAACATGGAGCTCCACTTACTGTGAGCTTGGGTCCTCTGCTCTATTTCTGCCTGATTGTATACCAAACGTTCCGCAGGGGAATGTTCAATTCATGGCGCTCGACATCTTGAGAGCTGGAAACGGTAGTATTGAGCACACTGCCTGTCACGACGTCGAGTCGTTCATCTGGGTTCTTGGCTATTGTGTGTTGCGCAAATTGCTCAACACGTTGAAGGACAAGGTACCAAGAAGAGACCCTGGCCGGAAAGCAGTGGAGGAAGCTTTTCACGACGCTTTTGGACATAATAATGTTCGATCAGTTCTGATTAGCAGGCGGGCATGCATGCCTTTGGTGTGGCTCACCGGGGAAAGCAGCAAGCCGGAACACATGTTGGGTCCGATTCGAGAGAACACATCCGTCGCTATGGCTGCCCTCTTTGGTAATCTTCGTAATCTTCTATCTCGGGGAACATTTTATCCCGTAGTTGCTGCGGCGATGCGAGGATCAGGTCTCGCAGCAGAGGATCCTCCGATTACGCATGCCGTCCTGCGCGAGATGCTGGACACCACGATCAAATGTACTCGCACTCAAGCTACGCATGGGTGGGAGACTCAGGAGTCCCGGAATTAACAACTCACGTTGACTTGTCTGGGCACGAGACCCATCGTCGGGGATGTCGCACTTGTACCAGTACCCTAGATTTCTTGCTTGTATTACGAGCACACTACGTCGCAAAAGCGTGATATGCGATTCATATGAGCGCACCGATGTCTGCATCACGCTCCCGACGGCGACAAGACTCGCGCGCGAACATCGGGCAGGTAAGTAGAAACATTCCCGATTCGCGAAGTCGCGAGGGAGAGACCATAATAGTGGCTTTCCGGACTCTGGATCCAGCGCCCCGCCATCGTCGTTATGTTCGATAGCTAATAGCCAGATCTCTCAATCTTTGACACGTCCTTAAAATGATTGGTGATTTGCCCTGAGTTCTGCATGTGCGGCCTTCCGACAAAATAGAATGGCCGTGTGTTTATGTCACATGTCAGGGGAAGCATTCATATTCTGTTGCAGGGTTTCAGGTCTATGAAATAATCCTGCTAGGATGGCGTACCAGTGGAGCTATGCTACTCAAGCATAATTGACCCAACACGTCAGCAAACAAACTATAGTGAACGAGAGTAGTATTTGACTGTGGTTCCTGATGGTCTGGAATGCGCAGGCTCACAGCTCGTACCATTGGCGTGGGCAAATTAAAATGCGACAGAGGATGAGGCATTCCAGGCACGGCACAGAATCATGAAAGTATCACCGAGCAACGCTTTTAACCTCGAGCGTCACGGTGTCGGTGTGCTAGTCATTCCCCCGGTCTATCGAAACCTGGTATTTCTGCATAAAGCACTTTAAAGTATGCTCGTCCTAACAGGAATCAAGGATTGCCCACAGGCACACCCATCGGCCACGCTCCACGACGGATGAACATCTGCTGCGTATTGTAGCCCGGGATGAGAAGCGAGGGACCCCATGATGTGGCCGCAATGACGTGGAGCGTCCCAGTCCTGCAAAAACGCCTCGAAGAACCGTGCTGTGCCATCGGCGGATGAGAGACGACTCGGGTTGGACAGAACTTAAGGCATAGCTCGCGCCTGACAGCTGTCAAAAACCATCGTCTCAACGGGCCGGACGCGTTGACTCCCCGCTCCACTCAGGGATCTCCGAGTACAACGCCTCAAGGCGGTGCCCCCGCCCCGTCCTAAAGGCGGAAGCATATGCTTTGTTTAGGGCGCCGTCACATGCACCGCGGCACGGAGGGAAGGCTCGTGCGTCATACTTCGCAGACACGACCTTATGATTTCCTCTACGACGGAGTCCGGACTGGCCGAATGCACACCATCGGCAGCCGGCCGTACAGAAGTGCGTGAACATTCGTCCCGGACATTGCATGCGAACGGCGCAACGTGAGGTGGGCTGTGTTCTGGGAGAGGGGCGTGGTGAGAACAATGTGGCCAGCGTCTGCTGGCAGCAATACGAAGGCGGACCACACTCACATGGCTTCGAATCTAAACGCGCACGCATTTGCGAGCGTTACGTTGGCCGCGTCTGACACGGCGGGAAACGCCTCTGGCTGGCACGGGCCGGCAGCCATCACGTCCCTCAGGACCCTCGAAAGCACGGCACAGTTGGTTATCAAATTTGGCATTGCATGTTCTTCTCCGTCGCTGCTACAGGTCGGTCGAAATGTGGATGCCTGCAAAACAGTGATCGCTGCTTGAAAGCTGTCTCAAAACGCGACAAGGACCAGGCATTGTGGTCTTCCGCCGACTAGACCACAAGTAGCGGGCATTCCGGTCAGCACGGGGCGCTCTAGACCTGAGATGACTCGTCAGACAAGGAGGATGGAAACAGACGTTGCGTCCGCAAGGTTCTCGCGTGACGCAGGGTGAAATTGACCATAAGGGACATTGTCCCTGATGGAGACAAGACGCCAACCGTGCCCCCGCGGCCGTCAAGGATGCAGTGTGCCTGCAGATAGGACGTTCCTCAGGAGAACACAGAGGGAGACATGCCTGCCCACATTACCAATGACGTGACTGCAGCCTGGTACACAGACCGGGCCGACGTTTGGGCCCTGCACTCCACGGCTGCAGCGCGCTACTATACATAACGTCCAACAAGGGAGGCTGGGTCCCGGGTGGAGCCCGTCAGGCTCGGCCGACATGTCGCCACTCAAAGCGCTCCAGACCTCTATTGTTGCGGCGCGAGGAACCAAATCCTGACGACTGCTTCCGTGCAGTCCGCGCCAGATGCGGTTGTGGAGATGCGTGCGATGCAATCTGTCCGGCGGTCCGCGCCTACGGTGGAAGCAAGTAAGGGTCGATCAGCGTCTGTGGTGGCTGCAGCCAGAGCATTGCTCAGTACAGGCTGGATGAGATGATAGATCATGCCTATTTCCGCCGTACCTTGCCACCTTGGGATCGCAGCAGCTAGGGGGTTTGGCATACCACGCGAAAGCCTGATAAGATCGCGCTGTCCGCGTGCGCATGACGCGCGTTCCGCGAGCCCAAAGTGACTTCAAGCATTCAGACGATTAGGCGATAGTCCGCCGCCTGCATGACGCACCCGGGCGAGCAGATCACGATAAATGAAAACACGCGGCAGGCGCATCATGCTGTGCAGTGCACAGCAAACACACTCGCCACGCGCTGGGCGAGAGGAACATGGTCCGGGGGAGGACCACGGTGGACCAGCGCGTGCCCCGCGACCGCTGGATTTCACACGTTGTGGTCCAACCACAACACATGCCATATCGGGTCATCGTGCGCGATCGCGGCGCGGCGCTTGCCGCTCGTCCATCACAGTGACGCCCAGCGGTACGCATTGGCGCTGCGGCAGGGCGAATTCGAAATACACCGTGTAGGCTCGCACAAGTGTGGCAAAATGTTATGGTTGGCATATGGGGTACATTGGTTTGGAGCGGTACGGTATGGCAGTATGCGGGGGGTCATGTAGTTACTACAGAATAAGTTACGAATATGTCAGTTCTCAGGATGCACCGCAGCAGGGTGAGATCTATGGAGGTATATGAAGACAGAGTGTCGGAGGATGGTACAGTAATGGAGCCAATTATGGATGCAGTTTGATGTAACAATGCGCAGTCCGTATCGTCGTCTGATGTCCATGGTCATCGTAATCATTGTGGTTGTCGTCGTCATTGCCGTAGCTGTCAACGCAAAAGGGAGGTTAACACCGGCGGGGGTTTCAGTCACGAGCGCGGGGGTGCATACCTAGAATAAGGAAACAAGAGGCCTGCCTGAGGCTGTTCACGCCTGCGCGAGATGCAGGGACCACACCGAACCCAGGCCCCTGCCGTTGAGCGCGGGGCCGCCCACGACTATCGACAGGCCAGCAAACCGGCGCGCGTCCATCAAAAAGTCGACGCGCTTCACGCCCTTCGCCCGCTCCTCCTGCCGCTGCCACTCGTCGCGAATGAGCCGATATCGCGCATGGAACGCGGCATGTACGCGCTGCTGGGCGTCGGGGTGCAGATAGGCGAGCTCGACCTGGGAGACGCTGAGGCGCAGTATGCGGTAGAGCGAGTGCAGGACGTCGCCCACGGAGACGACTGCGCGGCCGGGCGCGGGGGCGATCGCGATGGACCAGGGGAGGATGTCGCAGATGAGGGTCAGCGCGGGCAGCGCGGGGTGCGTCGCGGCCTCGGCGAGGAGCGCGGGGGCGAGCGGCAGCGAGGAGGGCGGTGCGAGCATGTCCCATGCGAGGGTCGTGTGCGGGGCGACGAGCGCGGGGTGGATGCGTACCTGGCTCGCGGCGTACGAGAGCGAGTCGAACGAGGAGAAGGACGCGAAGGACGCGGGGGAGTCTGGCACGAAGGGCTGTTTCTGTGGGAGCTGTTGCGCGTATTGCAGGTGGGGCGGTGTGGTGGGCCCGGGGGAGGATGCGAGGGACGCGTTGGAGAGGGCGGGCGAGGGGGGGATGTCGAAGTGGACGCGTTTCGTCGTCGCGGGCATCGTTGGGGAGGAGGGGATGTGGTTGAGGCTGAGGTTGAAATCGAAGGCGGGAAGATTAGATTCTATGTGCGTGTGAAGTGGTTGCAAAGGAAGGGAGGGCTGGATGTGCATCGTCTCTTATAAGTCAAGGCAACGGTGGCGGTTGACGATTGACGCGCGGACTGGTCGGGAACGAGCCAAATCATTCGCGCACAGCACAACAAGTGGCAGAGATCTCAGTGAATTCGTCACGCGTCAATTGGATATGACTCAACATGTCCACCATCAAGTCACAACGCCCCCCTTCCAGTCGTGCTACCCCCTTCGCTTTCTCCCGAAGAATGGCCTGTGTGGGCGAGCAGATCCCCTGGGCCAGCTCGAGTCGCGGGGAAAAGAAAGCGAGCGAAAGATCGACTTGAGCCTCAGACATCTTCCCGCTTTGGTTTGCCATCGTTGGATATACAGCGCCAAACAAAGCAGTGGCTGCCTCGCGGATCCTGCGGATATCCAAACCTTGGCCACCCTCTTCATACGTGTCTAGGCCTAGACACAGCACGTTGCCCCAAGTCTCTTGTTGATCTTTGTCAGTCACAGTCCCGTCCAACCGGGTAGATCCTTGTTGTTGCTGTCCCCACGAACAACTCGCAGCCACAATTGGCGACGGTCCTCGGCCGGTCCCCGCGCCCCCCGCTGAGCGATCCTTGACAACGACAGTTACCCCGGAGAGAGCCACTCCGCAGCGGTGAGGGACGGTCGAGCGGCCAGCCCGGACCGTCCGCTACGCGCGCTACGTATACGCAGCTCGTCGAACTTCCAGTCAGTGTCACCACAGAACGTGTCTTCCACTCCGGCCTTGCAGTGAACCCACCCGCGACCTGCCCCTTTGGGCTAGCTCTCGGTCCCCGCTGTGCCCCGCCGCCCAATCAGGTACGCCTCCCCGATTCTATTCAGTTCTTATATTGAACCTAAACTAGCGTGTACCCACGCGATAGCAGTTTCAGTTTGTTCCAACCCCTGGCGCGGCGGCCTCCGGCGCCCCCCGCTCAATTTCATCGCCGCGGCGCGCTGGGCGTGATCGATGCTTTGGCCCTGTTACGTTCCAATTCAGTGCAGCGTTCTGCCATATACGGTCATTCGGTGTCACCATCTGCTTCCACGTCATACAGTAACCCGTTTATCAAACGTCAGTCTCTCGCCCGAATAAGCCTATGCGCATGCCCTGTTGCTATCAGGGCCAGGATGGCAACATGTCCACTAGTGCGGTGATACCCTCAGCGTGTGCTGAGGATGCAACGCTCTGTGATGCACTTATGGGGTAGGTGAGCATCTCATCATATGCATGTATGGGACGAGTCTGCAGATGTTTCGACCCGCACAATACATGCCCCAAATGTGTCTCTGCTTGCCCAGTCGCTGTTCGCCCATCAGCCGCCCGGACAACTGCCGGGCAGATCCTTGTTATGCCAGTCCCCGTAGCAGCTTATGATTGCACCCTCGGCTGGTTGTAGTAATCGCGCCCGGGATCCATGACAGCCTCCCCGACCTCGGAATCAGTCCGCAGCCGCGAGAGCGCCCATGTACATGGCGGGACTCTGCCAAGTGCAGCAGCCTAATTAGCTCGCAAACTGCCTTTCGAGCGGGCTCTACAAAGAGGGCGCTACGCAGAAGCTTGCAGAGTAGTTATCTTTGTTATTTACTTTGTGATCAACGAGTAGTGAGTTTCCCTTGATCTCGCAGGCTCATACATTAAACCTTAATCGGCGTGACTTCACACCATGGCAGTTTCACAGCGGGCGCGTCGGATGGCGATGCCCTCCGGGGCGGAGAGGGTGCTTGTCCTAATATGGGCAATTTCTATTGGCGCAACCGCGCTCAGGGGCTGTAGTCAAGGAGCCACTTGTTCACGCTTCATGACGCGTGACGGTACTGCCCAGCACAACCAGGGGTATGCCAACAGTACTGCCTAGAACGGACGCAGTTGATGCTCTGGACAAACACCTTGTCGTTCGATGCTCCTCGCGGAATATACCATGGACACTTCCTCCCACCACGCCTTTGACAAACCCCCAATATCAGGTCAAACACACGAAGACCACAGCAGTCACACCAGAGAGCTCCAGAGCCATGATGGACCATGTGTCCTCGCCCTCCGGCGTGAGAAGTGATTGGCCTTGCGACCTGCCCTTTGTGGCGATGTCCCACGGGGAAGGACTTGGAATGCGAACCTCGTCGTGTGAGTGCAGCCACCTCAAAGCGCAACGCATCCCAGTCGGAGATCAGAACTAAGTCGGATTGAAACCACACAGATGATGCGCCGAACCTTAGTTGACGTCGTTCCACGCCGGCCGCGGACGCCCTCCGCGGTCAGAACGATGTCCATGGGAGCATCGCACAGCTACTAGCCTCAACTGAACTCACCAGAATCAGGCAATGGCTGCCCCAGCAGAGGATCTGCGGCGTCCCGCTGTCAGGTGAGACGAATTTGACGACCCCCCGCTAGCGCAGGTGGCGTCGTCGCTCGGCCACAGCCCAGGCGCCCCAGCATGTTGCCATCAGCGTGCGCCGTATTCGCCTGCATTGAACGCGCTGGCCCATCGCGCAACAAGTTCACGTGTGCTGGACCTGCGACGGGAACAGAAGTGATCATCTGACCATCTGCACGGGGAGGGCGGTCCACAGTTGGGTTTGGACACTACGCGCAACTCACGAACCACGAATGTTGCCGTTGGCACCCCGATGCACTGCACGCCCGGCCAAAGCTCAGCGGCGTCGTGCCCTGCATACCGAGCCAATTGCGCTGACTTGGCGGCCCAGCGGCTCGACGTTCTCTGCGCCAAGAATAGGCTTGCGCTAGATAACCGGCCACGTTGTATGAAGTCATTCGGTGCGTTCGTTCGCCTCTCAAACCCACGGGCTGGCGCTGACTTGAACACGGCAATGCATGCATCGGCTTACGCATCGCAGCGCGAGATTGCGGCCCGGTCAAGGTGCGCGGAGCGGCGGGGCTGACGACCGCCGTCGCGGCCGTGTTGTCATCGAATCTACGTGTCCAGACCAGCATTGCATCCTGTGGTCGTGGCACCGCCTGTGCATCTTGCCCGCAGCCCGCCCTATACTCGTTGCCATCGCGATGATGAACCCAAACGATAGCACGTTCTCGGGCCCGTGGCTGTGCGACACTTCGTTGCGGTGAAGGCTAACGTCCATGAGCACGTCAAATCCTATCGTAACCCAATTCGATACTGGCTTGGGTGCTCTACGGCGCGCAGACGCTTGTAACGCCGCCCGGGGGCTGCTGCACTTCCACTGGACGTTCCATCGCTCACATGCGCCCCATGCAGAACGCCTCAGAATCCGCCGCGAGCTCCGAAGCTCGTGCCGCGCTCTCACCGTGGGAGGCGATTTCCTACTTCGCGCGCCAACGGCGGTCGGGGTCTGGCCCCTCTGCACGGGATCTGCTTCCACGATCTTCTCCCGCTGGCGGCCACTGGATATTACCCCTCCAGGCACAGCGGGCGCTCTCAACTACCACTACCACTGGAGAAGCTCGGGATCGGTGCTCCCGCCGCAGACGGAGTCGGATCTTGGTCTCGCTTAGCCGGCCGTGCTTGTCGGGGGCACTCAGGGTCCATACATGCACATCGGCCTTGAGGCTGCCGACGACGGCGACCGCTGGTCTGTAACGGCACCCACTGGAGGCTTATCCCGGGATCCTCGCTGCATGGCGTCCCGTGCACACCTATCACGGTGCTTGTTTGGCCGGCGCTTTGGCCCGCTGTATCGGGCACGCGTCCTCGGCATGCAGCAATACCTCGCACTTCGCCGTGCCCGATATCACGAAGCACGCCGTATCTGGGATGGGACCGTGTCGTCTGCGTCGGTCCGACGGCTGCACACAACTGCCAGGGAATGGAACGGGCTTTACCCCCCTTGTCATGGATGTCACCATTGGTTCGCGTCAGAGACAGACCGCAGCTACCGCGACCACAACCACGACAGCGGTGGTGGTCACGCCCGCTTTCCGCAGGGCTGGACGCAGCGTCAGGCCGCTTCTGGCCGCCCAAGACCGCTTTGCATATTCGAAGTTTTCGTTTACGAATGTCTTGTCAGGCAGCCCTGCCAGTTCCATTCTGGTCCAACCAGGCTGGATCTCTGTGACGGCTAGTTATCATCCTCATCTGTGGGCATGTCAAGATGCTCCGGCCCTGCTCCATAGCTCGGGCAGCCGACTCTGCACAGACCCAGCACTGACTCATGTGAGACGTGCACTGTGTGGTCGGTTTACAGTTCTATCCGGATGTATCCGCTGATTTGGGCCCTTGATGCCAAATCCAGTGCCGAATCTTATCTCCCAGTGGCGTACCGCCACCCCGCGGTGCCGGCGCTCATGGCTTGTCTACGGCTCCCAACTCCTCGTCAACGGCGGTCGAATCATCAGATTGACTGACTGACACGCCCAGAAAATCGTGCATTGCCCTTGTGGTCGAACCGCATCCACTATTGCAGGTCTGTTGCCATAATGGGGATGTGAATCTCATCGCCGCGCGCCCGGCCTTGAGTCATTTCGGCCTTCGCGTGCGAGCGCTACCGCTCATGCAGTGTCCTCTTTCACCCGACTGACGTTCCTCTGGACGAATCGGGCTGGTTACTGCGCCACACACATATACCTTGGCCTATCGCATATATACTGGGATGCCGTCCGCCATGTCTGTCCCACAGCACCCCATCCGCGTATCGACTCACAGCAGCGTTCGGGTCTCTGCCAATCCCCTACACCGCTGTTCATTACATTGTCCGTCCACCACCCACCACCCACCACCCACCACTTTGAACATTGCATACCATGGGCTCATCGTCGAAGTACGTACGCTCCGCCTCGGACCAGCGGGTCCCCCCTTCTCCTGGCTTGTCCTCATCGTCATCGTGGTCAAGCGCAAGCTCAAATGGCCTTTACACACCGTCGACGAGCACCTACTACCACTCGCACATCATCCCTCTCCCACCGGTCACTCCGTACCTCTCTCCGGTTGAGCTCGCGCAGCTCGATACACCAAAGGCATCTGCATACACACCTGCCAAGTCTGCACACCTCGTGGTCCACCCATGCCTTGCACGAGGGCATTCAGTCCTATCATGGGACATGATCAGAGAGCCTTACGGCTTGCCGCTGCCGCCGAACATTCTCGCCGAGTCAGCGACGCAGCCTCCAGTCCCCCGCCTCACGGTCACCATCGGATCTGGTTACCCATGGCGCGTCGACGTCGAGCCCCGCACATCATCCTACATCACGGTCGCCGACGTGCTCCATTGCATATACCGCAACCTCCGCAGCATCGTTGGTTCGGCTGAGTGGGACCATCCGTCCACACCTGCAGAGCTCAAAGCGCGCGCCTCCGCCGCATATCACGACCGTCGCAGGCGCTGCCCAGACCCGGACCCCCGAAAGGCGGGAATCCGCAGAATCGACTATCTGGGTGACATGCGCGCTTTCCGCGGTCTCGAGCCCTGCAAGAGCACAGGCCACGTCAAGGGCCAGCCTGACGCTGCGACACTGCAGGTGTCCCTCGGCCGCGCCTCATGAGAGGCTGGACCGCGCTCATCGCATTATACCCAGCACTCGCGCCACGCTGTGCTCGTCTTCTATACCCACCTTCCCCCCGTCAACTCAGCATAGCATCACTCAGGGCCTGGATGGTAGCGGCCTGGGATGGTTCGTGGCATAGCCACGCTGTATTCTTATAGTTGTAAACTAAGTTTAACGTTGTGCGATTGCTGTGCATCGTCTTGTATATGCTATCTGTATTGCTTTTTGGGACGCTATACACTTACAGACTCCTAATCATCACGGACTCCCCCATCGTCTCTATTCTCAGCTCCTATCCCGCGCACACACCCGCTCGTCTCTTCACATGTTTTGTATCCCACACCCCTCACGATAACGCAGCCACTGCTGTGCGCGTCTGCATCATGTCTCTACAACTGTGCGTCAGTGATCGAATGATACTATCACTAGCTTTCGTGAACTATAGCGAACAGTTTATCATGCTTCAGTTGGAAGCAACGATCTCACATGTTCGATGGCGTGTTGGAGGGGGGATCCCTGGCGTACGCCACGAGGCCTTCCACAGTGACCACAAATCAAACCTACCCCCCACTGCGTACGCAGTACGGCGCGGAGGTACCCGACCAACCAGCGCTGAAGTGAATTACGCTGTCGTACGGACGGCGAGCTGCTGCTGCTCCTTAGCATGTTCCCACAGTCTTGTCCTGGCCTCGTCCATCCCGTAATACCGCTTCATTCCCATGACATCCCTTCGGATTGCGGCGCAGGGCGCAAGGCCCCGCCTGCAAGAGCGCATTCAACATGTACTCTCCCCAGTCCTCCGGGGATGTCATGAACGGGTAGAATAGGAGCTTCAGAGCGGGGTGCAGGAGTCTCGTGCGCACGACGCCCGGGTGAATGTGGACGAACGACACGCCCGGCTCCTTCTCGGCGAATGACTGCATAGGAAGTAGGAAGCAACTCGGTCACGGAACAGCATTGACTTCGATCGCGGAGTCGATCAGAGCAGAAAAGGCCGCGTCCGGCAAGTCGTGCAGCTCAACGTTGAATGCGTCCGCCGGGGCGCGAGCACAGACATGGCCTTTGCGTCCTCTCACGCATCCTTGGCAGCATAGAGCAGAGATGGCAGATCGTGCATGGATTTCCACCGCGCATCATAATGCAGCGCAAGCTTCCGGTCGATGCCCTCGGACATCTCGGAATGCGTAGCACAAGCATATACGTGGGTAATCCTTGGCTCTTGTTAGGACGAGCTACTTGGTACTGCTTTCTCATATTATCAGCCACCTTTTGACATTGGCTTGCAGACCTGTAGAGCATTCTCCCGGCTCCGCCTCCGAGTCACTCTGCAGCAAGAACCTTTGCCGACGGTAGAATGAGAAGCTTCAGGTGCTATAAGCTCTCGGCCCGGACCTGGTCAACAAATTCATAGCGAGGAAAGGTGAGCAGGTTTTACCTCTGAAACAGCGATATGTCCCCTGAACGACCTTACTCCCTGATATCCCACCACTCATACTCCTACTTGTCAAAACCAAGTTCCAAGTAACTCCGCTGCCCCGGGGGATCATCATATTGCCCTCGCCTGGTCTGAGGTCGCCGATGCGGTTTCGAAAATTTGCCCTGTGCATAGAATCTCCCACAAATTTGACTCGTACGTATGCGCCCGCATCATTGCCACGAGCTACGGGTCTGCTCATTCCAGACTACCAGGAACTGCAAGTAGACCCCGCATGCCTTGTTCTTTTTGCTGACGCGTTTGGTTGATTTTACTTGGCTAGCTCAGCTCCATTGGTACGCTATTCTAGCAGGATTGTTTCATAGACCGAGACCCATAAAGGGGGATATGGATGCTTCCCCCGGCATGTGACGTAAATACACGGCCAATATATTTCGTCGGAAGGTCGCACATGCAGAGCTCTGGACAGATCACCAGTGCAAGATGAATTCGGGGATGAGAGATGCTGCCATTAGCCATCAAAAATAACTATGATTATTCCTTCGCGAATCGGGAATGTCTCTGCTTACCTGCCTGATATTCGCGCGCGAGTCCTGTCGCCGTCAAGAGTATGATGCAGCCATCGGTGCGCTAATATGAATCGCTTATCATGCCTTCGCGACATAGTGTACTCGTAATATAAGCAAGACGTCATAGGCTACTGGTACAAGTGCGAATCCCCGACGATGGCACCCATGCCCAAACAAGCCAATATAACGTGTGAATTCCCGACTTCCTCAGTCCCCTATTCTTATACTTCTCCAGTACGGATATCTTTGATCGTAGTATCCAGCATTTCGCGCAAGATGACATGCGTAATCCGAAGCTTCTCTGCAGTACCAGCCAGTACTTGCATTCCTCAAGACTACGGGATCAAAGTTCTGCAGAGGCAGGCGATCATGAAGATTAGCGAAGAGGACGGCAATAGAGACGGATATGTTCTCTCGAACTGACCCGACATCGCTGCCTGCTTGTCGCGGCCACTGGGTAACCGCACCAAAGGCAAGCATTCCATCCTGCTAATCAGAACCAAATGAACATTGGCGTGTCCAAATGCGCAGTCAAAAGCTTCCTCCACTGCGATTCGATCAGGGTTTGTGCATGGGACCTTGTTCTTCAACGCGTTGACCAATTTGCGCAACACGCAATAGCCAAGAACCCAGATGAACGACTCGACGTCGTGACTAGCAGTGTGCTCAATACTGGTGCTTCCATTTTTTATGGCTCTCAGAATGTCGAGGGCCATGAATTGGAATATCTCCCTGCCGAAGGTTTGCTACACAATCAACCAGAAATAGAGCAGGCGGACCAAAAGCTCACCGTAAGCAGGGCCCCACGACGTATCCACCTGGAATATGTCCGTCGCGATTCTCCGACATCTTCAGTGGCTGTCACCACATCCGACGAACCGGCAAACTCGAGATCTATCAGAAATCCCTCGCCGCCATCTGGCCCACTATCTGGGTCATATTTCGTGTCTCGGAGTAGAATATTGCTACGACTGATGTCCCGATGAACAATACCTTGGTCACAGAGGAACTCGTGTGCTGCATAATTTGATCTTAGTCAAGGTGTAAGCAAGTTTAGACGTCGATCGAACGCACCATCCAGAGCTGCACGCACACCCAACAAGAGTTCAAGCTCAGACCGTATTCCCATAGTGGTCGCCCAACGGTGCTAAACACCAATCTGTGCAGCACCGGAGATCCATCATTGACGTCGTTCTGTCCCAAACGCAAATATTGAACAGACATGCGTTCGGGACGCTTTCCGGCCGCGCGATACTCGACATCGGCTCCCACCAAGAGCTTGGCAAGGCCGTGATGCTCACCCTTGATGCTCCGATGAATGATCGACTCGGAGCTGCGATTTCCTTGTCGCCATGCCGTCTTCATGATCATTTTCGCTCCCTTCAAGCACCGTCCATTTACATCGTACTCGTGGACATACCACACCCACGTCCCACGACCAAAGAGCGACAGGGAGCTCCAAACCGGAGATCCTATGGTGCACCAGACGCGCTCATCGTCGCCAATTGGCTCAACGAGGTACGACGTATGTGCCGGTGGCTCAGACTGTTCCAGGACAGCGCATGCTATCTCGTTGGGGAGAGGACGCACAGTCGGGTACTGGCCAAGGTCAACGTCGATCACAACAGAAGTCAGGCTCCGTATCACACGAATGAACACGTCTGTGTGCTCCCACATGTCGTAGATTGGGGAGAGCATCAGACCGCCGCGATCGAAGATGCCGACACAGAATCCAGAGCCGAAGATGATAAGGCAGACGGCGAAAAGCCGGAACGGACGGCTGCATGCATTTAGACGAGCATATTGTGATGACTGCAGCGTGATCAGGGAAACCACATTCGAGGGATCTCCAGGCTTCGGTGACTGCTTGTTAGAAGGCTTGACTACGCAGAATGCATGTGTGTCACTCCACAGATACGGCTGTTCCGACGCTTTCGCCTGCAGAGACGCCTCATTGAGCAAGCTGAAATCGGGTACGGCCTTCGGGAATCCCAGGGTGTAAGAGCTGTCGTCTTCTTGAAGGGGTACAGAGGTCTCAACCAACCGCCGCAGACAAGTTGCGGAGGAGAAATCCGTGATGAAGTCGAAGAATGTGCGGTGTCCAAGGGCAGCAATCCAAGCTCTGAGAGTACATTGAGCAGAGCCTGGTTCCGCACCAGATGCGGATACATTTCGAGCTCCCGCTCTCCGCTATTGAGTAGACTCCTGCATTGCTGGTCGTCGAGATCGTCAATAGACAGACCGTCTGCGAAGGCCACATGCGTTTTTAGTTTATCCTTGGCTTCAGTAACACAGTCATCTCTGTCAAAAGCGAGGCAGCACTGGTGCACAAGGTTCTCGTCCACCAGCCGAAGCTTGAGGCGATGGAAGACCTCGATGTTATCGTATTCAATCCTTCCAAGCAGTTCATTCTCCAGGTCATCGGGTGCACTACTAGACATTGGTGGAGAAAAGTGCACCGCGCCGTCTATGCGCGGTCTGTGGGGAAGGATAGTCTATTTCAATTTGAGGAGTTCGAACCGTAAGACGCGATTTCGCGTTACATAAGCATTTGATCTCCGAAACGCGTTTAGATCTTGAATGTCGCAAGGTATCGCGCGCCTAAGGACAGGCGAAGACAAGATGGTGATCCGCCAGCTGCTCAAAGCCCGTCATTGGAAGTAACAATGGCGGGATGAAGGAAGGCCGCTCAGAGGGCTGATCACTGCGTTAGAGGTGAAATTTGCTTATACTTCTACACTATGTATGCCTTTACGTGATTCGTGGCCGGAAACTAATCGCTTCTGAAGCTTCTCGGTATGAAGTGACACCGGCATCGGGGGAGAACTCAGGCCACATGACCGCTAGGATAGAATTACGAGATAAGAGGAGGGGTAGCCAGGAAGCGGAGCCGAGCGACTGCTGTACACGTCTGCAAACCCATGCCAGAATGTTTCCGATCGTGTAAAAAGGCGCACGAGGTATGCTCGTCCTATCAGTGATCAGGGATTACCCACAGACATGCTCAATATTCCGCGTCTCATGGCGGCTGGACAGCTGTTGTGTAACTCAGCCAGAGACGGAGAGCGGGCACCCCTGAAGACCCGCAGCGACGCCGAGCGGAGTCGTGCTGTGCCATCGGCGGATGAGTGACGACTCGAATTAGACAGAGCGTAAGACATGGCTTTCACCTGACATCTGTCCAACCACCATCATCTGAACTGGCTGGAGATGGCGATTCCTTGCTCCGCTCAAAGCGCCCCTAATGACGCCTAGAGGCTGTATCCACGTCCCCGGGTCTGAATAGTACCTTAGAAGCGTATACTTTGTTTAGGGCACCGTCATGCAATGTAGGGCGCCGTCATGCAATGTAGGGCGCCGTCATGCAATGTAGGGCGCCGTCATGCAATGTACGGAACGGATGTTCACGGACTCCTGCACAGCCGTGCGTGACCCCGAGGCTGCCGACAGTGTGCGGTCGACTGGCCCATAGCATACGAAATTGGTAAGTGGCTTCCATTTTCCGCACATCCGCACGATCAAGCGATAGTGGGCTCGCACTTATGTGGTATGACGCACGGACTTGTCTCTCCGCACGGCGGTGCATGCGAACGCAGGGCCGCGTGAGGGGAGCTGTGCGTCAGGCGAGAGGGCCGCGGTCTGGCACGGTGAGAACACTGCGGTCAGCGTCTGCTGACAGAGATACAACGGCGTACCACACTCACACGGTTTCGAGCTTAGCCACCTACCATATGCGTCCGCGTCTGCTAGCGCTACAGAGTTTGCAATCGGCATGGCGGAGAACGCCCAGGCGGTGTCCAGCAGGGCGGATGTCGCCTCTTGCAGTAGTTTTCAGCTGGCAACGTTCCTTCGGGCCCTCGAACGCACAGTTTGTACATCATCCTTTCTGCGAACGCTGCTGCCAGTCTAAGTGTGGCTGTTCAGGCGATACGCCTATTGGGGGAACACTTGGCGTGCTCATTACTTGCAGCTCGCAGAAACATAATGATCATGGCAAGAGCGCTCCAAATCCCAAAAACCTCGCCAGGTGAAGCAGGTAGAGCCGGCCATTACAAGGTGAGATGTTACGGGGAGGAAATTGTCCCCAAAGGGAACAATGATGGCGCCGGCCGCGCCACACAGCGGAGGCAAGGGCTGCAGTGCCTGTAAGTAGAACCTTCATGTAAATAGGCAGGAAATACATATACTCACATACCTGCCCGCATTATCATTACAAGGCATGATCCACCGGAACGGTACAGTGCAAAACCCCTTGTGCGGTAGCGGCGGCGAGAAGCATGCTATGGCCTTCTTGTCACAGGTTGGGCACCGCTGCCGGCCAGTCGGTACTCCACTGGCAGTATGTGAGTAGGGGGAGCATGTCCGGCCCGCCACTGCATCCCGCAAGCTCATCGGGAGAGGGTCTAAAGCTTTGTAAAAGGAACAGGCAATGCATTGCAGGCACCAGACATTGCCCTCGTGCGCTTCGCGCCTGATGCAGTGTACAGTTGCCATGGAAGAATTGTCGGGCGGTGCGCGCCCGTTATGGAATAATATAAGCTCCATCCGCGCCAGAGCTAGCTGTATGCAGAATCGTTCTCAGTATACAGATGAGGTCATGGACAATAGCCTTACCGTGCTTTCCTATGGCGAATACAACGGCTATGCCGGCAAGGGAGTGCGGCGTACCATGCAAGACGTCGAATAAGGTCGCGTGTCCGTCGTATGTGCGCCTGTTAATGACCCACGTCGGGCGAGCACATAGTAACTTCAAGCACTCAGACGATTAGGCGAAATAGCACCCGCGCCCTGCCCGCATGACGCACCGGTACCAGTAGCCCGGGCTCCGTGAGGCCACGGCGTAGTGTAACCGCATTAGCATGCTATGCAGGGGGCAGAAAATGCTCGTTGCGTGTGAGCATGATGGTTCGGCGAGAACACAGTGGACGCCGCGCATGTCCCGCGACCACTTGATTTCACACGTCGTCGAACCACGATACATGCCATATCGGGTCATCGTGCTCCATCAGGTCGTAATGTAGCGCCCGTCGACTGGCGGTTCATGCATAATGATAACAACGCCCGCGGGCAAAAAGACAGTCACGAACCGTGAGCGTATTCGAAAGTGGCCCAGGCAGGTGTGAAGTGCTTGCAAGAACATGATATGCGCGATGAAACTACAAATCAGGTCAAACAGTTAGACACATAACAACGATAGCATACAACAGCATATGACAGTGGGCCGCAGGGCTCGATGAGGATTGGGTATATAATGTTCGGCAGAATCAAGAAATAGTCCGTGATAAGAGACCAGGTAACACGCATTTAGCTTGCAACGTATGGAGCGGGATCAAAAGGTAAAGACTTCGCTCCAATCCTGATGCCCAACACAAATCATTCGATCAGGGCCCGAGATGCTCGGGAGATGAATGAGTACCTACTAGTTTCTCCTGACTTCCGATCTTTAGGCACATCAACTACATGTCAGCTCACGCGTTGCAGCCAACCGTTTCACGTAAACACATACCTGGATGTCGGAGAAGTTGACCGCCTCAGTCACTGGTGCCCGCGTCAACTTTCCGTCATGAAATCTCTTGTTCATCCGGCAGGACCAGTCGTGCAGCTTGGTCGACTGTTCGTAACGTTTGTAGCTGAAACATCAGTCATTAATGTGAATAGCGCACGCTGTGTGCTGTGCGGACCTCAGGTCGGTATAGAGTTGCTGGAGTGTCGGGTGCGGATTTGCTCCTGAGCGTGATCATATGAGCTATCACGGCATTCCTAACAAAGCGAGCTCTGGCGCTGCTCACTGAGAACTTCGATGAGGTCCTACGCGCCAAACACATCGTCAGCATCAAACGTATCTCGGCACGTGTGCTGGAGAACACACCTGCGTAGCGGAGCCCTTCTTGCCTCTCTCCCATGTCGACTGTGCATCGTTGCAGGCTGACACTGATATCTGACGGACGTTAGGTGCACAAATCAGTCCAAAGTCAGAAATCCACGAGCAACCAGACGAACCACATGCGGCACATCCACCTGAGCATGCACACAGTACCCATCGCACTTGCTCGTCGACTCCGGAGATAGACACCTCCGTACCACCAAGCTCAGGATACTCTTCGCTTGCGCGAGGAGCATCCCAGGCTGCCCAAAGGCGAGGCGTCCGCGTGCCATCTCCAGTGAGAACGTCGTCGCGGACCGCTTTGGGGGCTTGATGCCCAGTTTCGCAGCAGCTCCGTCCACGGTCAACCTGCCGTCTAGCGTACATGCTCTCTTGACTGATGTCACGGTCCGCTGCAGCTGGAGAGGGAGCAGAAGGCGTAGAGGACTCTGACTAGAGCGTTTGCGTTCTGGCTCTTGCAAGTCAATGGCATCCTTGCGAGCTGCACAGCATCAGGTCAATATTGCAGAAGGGATGAAGACAGCTGATAGTGCACGACATACCGACGCGCATCTGCAACGTCTTCGAGCCTCTTAGACCTTTGGAGATCCATGGACGATAGAGGTTATTGCATGTGTAGTGATCCAAGTCTAACGAAACAATGATCGTCAGTGCCATGCGTTGCACTGAGACCATGGTCATCTTACCTAGCATGGTTCCTGAGTGGCAAGCGTCAAAGAACGCCTCCAAACAAAGTTAACCTCTATACTGCATTCACTACGAAGGACGGAGACACTTACAGTCATCCGTGTCCCCGACGGGAGTGGGTTCACGAGCAGCTGGCGCAGAAGCTAGCCATGGCAGAATGAGCGCCGGCTGTGAACGGCGTTGGTCGAACACTCACATTGTCCATGATATACTTCTCTTCGTTCCCAACTCCCTCGTGGCCCATGGCAAGAATCACTGTTATACGAGGAAATGATGATCGATCAGTGGGATACTCACTACCCCCCGAGAATGACGCACAAACCTTCGTCCCTGTCGTCATCTTCTGTGTGATGTTTGCAAGGAATCTGGTCCGCATGACCGGCAACTGTCCAAATACATGAGTACATGATAGACGGACACAGCAGCAGAACGCACAAAAGAACACGAAAGAGTCGCCAAGTTGAGCGCCGCGGACTAATTCATTCATCTGTTCTATCTTAGGTAGCACGTGAGAACATGGGTGCAGCGGCGCATCTGACGACGGCTACCATGTTCTGCTTCGTCGGGACCAGATGAGGCAGGGCGCTGTCATCACACATAAGAACAACATCTTCTGGGTTGTAGTTGTAAAGGTCTGCGGTGATTGTCAGGGGGGGGGGGGGCACATGGTACCATGATGACCTCACTCACCGATTAATAGATTCCTGAAATCCATCGCGTCCCGGCGAGGGGCTCGCAGGGGTCCGTAGAGACTAGCCGATTCCGAAGAGCAGGACGCAGCATCACCGTCGTAATTGATGCCTATGACCAAAGCCTTCCTCTTGTATGATCGAGAGGAAACCGCCATGGACACCTTGGCCTTCCCCAGCAAGAGGTGGAGAGCTGGAACTCTGGCCGGCGGAAACGCACCCCATATTATATGCGCTCATTCGGCGGGTAACGGACGGTCGTCCACTGCCACCACTTCCTTTCGACATTCTACGATACTAGCGACACAAGGAGAGGACCCCACAGTCGACAGGACGATCGCGTTTCGAGCTCGATCACTTTCTGGAATACCGTTTGGGGCGGAAATGGCGACTCCAAGACCAAGCGGGAGGAGCGGAAACACCCGTAACGCTTGCAACGGACCTCGCTGCTCCTTGGATGAGACGCGAGGACGCCACCCACAACTGCCCTCAGTCCCACCAAAGCAGTGCTCCTCGGAACTCCGGAGCGAGGTTGAATTTGATCGTGCTCTGACGAAGAATAGCCATGAAGCATTCGGACGAGGCCGTGCCGTTTCACCAGCCAAGACATGAAGGGCCCATTCTCCCGACTCCTGTAGTGTCAATGATGATACTGAACATGTGAATGCAGCTATGCCTCAGCGATACAGCTCCCAGAGAGGATGAAGATCTCAAGGTCGCTCTTTAGTAGCTTAAATAGATATAGGAAGGGCCCGAGTCGGGTATAGAGTCCGAACAAACGAGAGACGACCAGCTTGGTGGTGGGAAGCCGAGAAGCGAGATCGAAACGAGCGCCAAATCCACGATTGATTCCCTGCTCCTACTTATTGTTGTTTACCATCTTCTTTCAGAATGTGGATTTATACCCCCTACAGCATAGTTGCATGTAGAGTGTGACCGAGCTTCCTATAGCTCTTACCAGTGGGCTTCACGCCCTCTTACAGAAACGTCCAATGAAGTACGACTGGTTCCGAGGCTAACTTTGCCATACAGCCCCTCTTCCTGATAAAAGAAGTCTTTCTCTCTCCTTCCGTTTCTTGAGACTATACTTTTGCTGTATGTCATTATTATGTTGCAGGTGTCTACTGTATCTGTGCGGAGCGTCCGGATTTTCCAGGAAACTTGGGTCATATCCCTTCATGTCATTGCCCATATATGCGCCTCTTTTAAGTCCTAGCGGCTTTTCAATAAGAGCTTATTTGACGACTTTATGGCAGGGTGATGGTACTACGAGCTTCTAACTCGGCGTTACAAGTCTCACTACTACATATCCGGTTCGTCGGCACTACATGCATGCATGCATGCAACTCTACCCCTAACGTGTGATTTGGACAAGACTTCGAGACTTCACAATTATGTACCTCGTATGCCCGCGCTCAACGCTCTGATCTTGAATGTATAGCTCCTCGGGCATGCTTCGGTGTTCGTTAGCGCCAAATGCGTAGTGCGCCCAAGTGATTTTGGACACAACGTCGCTCGATATTCTGGGAGGCACGTTTTTACTGATGCACAGCTTATCTGAGAAGGTCATTCTCTGACGAAGTGTATTCACAGCGAAAACTAGCATTTACTGAAGTCATACCAATTGCATCCGACTGACAGTTCGCCATGCCTTCCCTCGCGTTAGCACGTGCAGCGAACGCGGCCTACTCCTTCCCATCCTGCCCCCTCGCCATTCTCCTCGGAGGAACTTCAGGAATTGGCCAGGCCATCGCGCAGACGTTCGCCCGGCACACCAAGGGCAATGCGCACATCATCATTTGCGGGCGCGACCGTGCCGCCGCCGAGGCCACCATCGCCGGCTTCCCCAAGCCCGCGGCAGACTCGGCCGCGCAGCACGAGTTTGTCGAATGCGACGCATCGCTGATGAAGAACGCGGAGGCCACGACGTCTATGCTCCGCGCGCGGCTCACGAAAGTGAACTACCTCGTCGTCTCGCCGGGCATCCTAACCCTCAGGGGTCGCGACGAGACGTCCGAGGGCATCGACCGGAAGCTCGCGCTGCATTACTACGCGCGGTGGAAATTCATACATGATCTGCTGCCTCTGCTCAAGGCGGCCAAGGACGCGGGAGAGGACGCAAAGGCCATGTCCGTGCTCGCGCCCGGGGACGGCGGACGCATCGACCTGGACGACCTGGGGCTGAAGAAGCATTTTAGCTTGGCGAACGCGGCCTTTTCTGCTGTGACGTACACCGATCTCATGATCGAGGTAAGCCGGCTCCGTGATCGAAGTCAATGCTGTTCCGTGACCGAGTTGCTTCCTACTTCCTACGCAGTCATTCGCCGAGAAGGAGCCGGGCGTGTCGTTCGTCCACATTCACCCGGGCGTCGTGCGCACGAGACTCCTGCACCCCGCTCTGAAGCTCCTATTCTACCCGTTCTTGACGGCCCCGGAGGACTGTGGAGAGTACATGTTGAATGCGCTCTTGCAGGCGGGGCCTGGCGCCCAGCGTCGCAATCCGAAAGGGGATGACATGGGAATGAAGCGGTACTACGGGACGGAGGAGGCCAGGACAAAGCTGTGGGAGCATACTGAGGAGGAGATGCGGCTCGCCATCCATACGACAAAGTAATCCACCTCAGTGCTGGTTGACCGGGAATCTCCGCGCCGTACTGCGTACACACGGCGGAGTAGGTTTGATCTGTGGTTACTGTGGAAGGCCTCGTGGCGTACGCCAGCGCACTGTTGGGATCTCCCCTCTAGCACGCCATTGAACATGTGAGACCGTTACTTCTAACTTTATGAACTGTTCGCTATCAGTCGCAAAAGCTGACGATACTATCAATCGATTGTGGACGTATACTTGTACCGACATGATGCAGACGGACACATCGGTGGCTGCATTATTCTGAGGGGTGTGAGATACAAAACATGTGAAGAGACGAGCAGGTGTGTGTGCGGGGTAGGAGCTGAGAATAAAGACGACGGGGGAGTCCGCGATGAATAGGGATTTGTAAGCGTAGAGCATCCCGAGAGCGATACAGATAACGTATACAAGACGATGCACAGCAATTACACAACGTTACACTTAGTTTACAACTATAACAATACAGAGTGGCTATGCCACGAGCCGTCCCAGGCCGCTACCATTCAGGCCCTGAATGATATTATGCTGAGTTGATGGGTGGAAGGCGGGTATAGAAGGCGGCACAGCGTGGCGCGAGTGCTAGGTATAATGCGATGAGCGCGGTCTAGCCTCTCATGAGGCGCGGCCCAGGGACACCTGCAGTGTCGCAGCGTCAGGCTGGCCCTTGACGTGGCCTGCGCTTTTGCAGGGCTCGAGACCGCGGAAAGCGCGCATGTCACCCAGGTAGTCGATTCTGCGGATTCCCGCTTTTCGGGGGTCCGGGTCCGGATAGCGCCTCAGGCGGTCGTGATATGCGGCGGAGACGCGCACTTTGAGCTCTGCAGGTGTGGACGGATGGTCCCACTCAGCCGAACCAACGATGCTGCGGAGGTTGCGGTATATGCAATGGAGCACGTCGGCGACCGTGATGTAGGATGATGTGCGGGGCTCGACGTCGACGCGCCATGGGTAACCAGATCCGATGGTGACCGTGAGGCGGGGGACTGGAGGCTGCGTCGCTGACTCGGCGAGAATGTTCGGCGGCAGCGGCAAGCCGTAAGGCTCTCTGATCATGTCCCATGATAGGACTGAATGCCCTCGTGCAAGGCATGGGTGGACCACGAGGTGTGCAGACTTGGCAGGTGTGTATGCAGATGCCTTTGGTGTATCGAGCTGCGCGAGCTCAACCGGGGAGAGATACGGAGTGACCTGTGGGAGCGGGATGATGTGCGAGTGGTAGTAGGTGCTCGTCGACGGTGTGTAAAGGCCATTTGAGCTTGCGCTTGACCACGATGACGATGAGGACAAGCCAGGAGAAGGGGGGACCCGGTGGTCCGAGGCGAAGCGCACGCGCTTTGACGATGAGCCCATGGTATACAGTGTTGATAGTGGAGATGGTGGTCGGGCAACGCAATGATCAGCGGGTGGGGATTATTAGAGACCCAGGTGTGGCGCACTGCTATAAGTCGATGCGGAGGTGGGAGACGAGGCACAGACATGGAGGACGGCATCCTAGTATATATGCGGCAGATCAAGGCATATGAGTGGCACAGTAGCCAGCCCGATTCGTCCAGAAGGGATGTCGGTCAGGTGAAAGAGGACACTGCATGAGCGGTAGCGCTCGCACGCAAAGGCCGAAATGACTCGAGGCCGGCAGCGCGGCGATGAGATTCACATCTCGATTATGGCAGCAGATCTGCTATAGTGGGTGCGTTTTGACCACTGGGGCGATGTATGATCTTCTGTGCCTGTCAGTCAGTCTCTGATGATTCGACCGCCGTTGACGAAGAGATGGGAGCCGTATGCAAGACAGAGCGCCCGCACCGCGGAAGTGGCAGTACGCCGCTGAGATAAGATTCGGCACTGGATTTGGCATCAAGGGCCCAAATCAGCGGATACTTCCGATCACACAGTGCACGCCCGGCAGTGCTGAGTTTGTGTAGAGTCGGCTGCCCGCCCTGGCATCTGCTGGCAGCCATGGAGCAGGGCCGGAGCATCTTGTCATCACCACAGATGAGGGCGATAACGCATCGGCCCAGAGATCCAACGTGGTTGGACCAGAATGGAACTGGCAGGGCTGCCTGACAAGACATTCGTAAACGAAAACTTCGAATATGCAAAGCGGTCTTGTTGGGCGGTCAGAAGCGCCCTGATACTGCGTCCAACCCTGCGGAAAGCGGGCGTGACCGCTGCTGTCGTGGTTGTGGTCGTGGTAGCTGCGCCCTGCCCCTGACGCGAACCCATGGTGACATCCATGACAAGGGGGTAAAGCCCGTTCCATTCCCTGGCAGTTGTGTGCAGCCGTCGGACCGACGCAGACGACACGGTCCCATCCCAGATACGGCGTGCTTCGTGATATCGGGCACGGCGAAGTGCGAAGTATTGCTGCATGCCGAGGACGCGTGCCCGATACAGCGGGCCAAAGCGCCGGCCAAACAAGCACCGTGATAGGTGTGCACGCCATGCAGCGAGGATCCCGGGATAAGCCTTCATTTGGTGCTGTTAGAGACCAGCAATGGGCGCCGTCGCTGGTAGCCTCAAGGCCGATGCGCATGCTTGGGCCCTGAGTGCTCCCGACAAGCACGGCAGGCTAAGCGAGACCAAGATCCGACTCCGTCTGCGGCGGGAGCACCGATCCCGAGCTTCTCCAGTGGTAGTGGTAGTGGTAGTTCAGAGCGCCCGCTGTGCCTGGAGGGGGTAATATTCAGTGGCCGCCAGCGGGAGAAGATCGTGGAAGGAGATCCCGTGCAGAGGGGGCCAGACCCCGACCGCCGTTGGCGCTCGAAGTAGGAAATCGCCTCCCACGGTGAGAGCGCAGAACGGGCCTCGGAGCTCGCGGCGGATTCTGAGGCGTTCTGCATGGGGCGCATGTGAGCGATGGAACGTCCAGTGGAAGTGCAGCAGCCCCCGGGCGGCGTTACAAGCGTCTGCGCGCCGTAGAGCACCCAAGCCAGTATCGAATTGGGTTACGATAGGATTTGACGTGCTCATGGACGTTAGCCTTCATCGCAACGAAGTGTCGGACAGCCACGGGCCCGAGAACGTGCTATCGTTTGGGTTCATCATCGCGATGGCAACGAGTATAGGGCGGGCTGCGGGCAGGATGCACAGGCGGTGCCACGACCACAGGATGCAATGCTCGTCTGGACACGTAGATTCGATGTCAACATGGCCGCGACGGCGGTCGTCAGCCCCGCCGCTCCGCGCACCTTGACCGGGCCGCAATCTCGCTCTGCAATGCGTAAGCCGATGCATGCATTGTCACGTCCAAGTCAGCGCCAGCCCGTGGGTGCGAGAGGCGAACGACCGCACCGAATGACTTCATGCAACGTGGCCGGTTATCTAGCGCAAGCCTATTCTTGGCGCAGAGAACGTCGAGCCGCTGGGCCGCCAAGTCAGCGCAATTGGCTCGGTATGCAGGGCACGACGCCGCTGAGCTTTGGCCGGGCGTGCAGTGCATCGGGGTGCCAACGGCAACATTCGTGGTTCGTGAGTTGCGCGTAGTGTCCAAACCCAACTGTGGACCGCCCCCCACGCGCAGATGGTCAGATGATCACTTCTGTTCCCGTCGCAGGTCCAGCACACGTGAACTTGTTGCGCGATGGGCCAGCGCATTCAATGCGGGCGAATACGGCGCACGCTGATGGCAACATGCTGGGGCGCCTGGGCTGTGGCCGCGCGACGACGCCACCTGCGCTAGCGGGGGGTCGTCAAATTCGTCTCACCTGACAGCGGGACGCCGCAGATCCTCTGCTGGGGCAGCCATTGCCTGATTCTGGTGAGTTCAGTTGAGGCTAGTAGCTGTGCGATGCTCCCATGGACATCGTTCTGACCGCGGAGGGCGTCCGCGGCCGGCGTGGAACGACGTCAACTAAGGTTCGGCGCATCATCTGTGTGGTTTCAATCCGACTTAGTTCTGATCTCCGACTGGGATGCGTTGCGCTTTGAGGTGGCTGCACTCACACGACGAGGTTCGCATTCCAAGTCCTTCCCTGTGGGACATCGCCACAAAGAGCAGGTCGCAAGGCCAATCACTTCTCACGCCGGAGGGCGAGGACACATGGTCCATCATGGCTCTGGCGCTCTCTGGTGTGACTGCTGTGGTCTTCGTGTGTTTGACCTGATATTGAGGGTTTGTCAAAGGCGTGGTGTTTGTCCAGAGCATCAACTGCGTCCGTTCTAGGCAGTACTGTTGGCATACCCCTGGTTGTGCTGGGCAGTACCGTCACGCGTCATGAAGCGCGAACAAGTGGCTCCTTGACTACAGCCCCTGGGCGCGGCTGTACCAATAAAAATTGCCCATATCAGGACAGGCACCCTCTCCGCCGCGGAGGGCATTGTTATCCGACGCGCTCGCTGTGAAACTGCCAAGGCTGAAAGTCACGCCAATTCAATTTTCATATATAATGATTGAGCCTATGACATCAAGGGAAACTCACTACTCGTCTGTAAAAAAGCGGGATGACTGCCCAGAAGGCTTCTGCGTAGCGGCCTTTTTTGTGAGCCCGCTCGAAAGGGCAGTTTGCGAGCTACTTGAGCTGTTGCACTTGGCAGAGTCCTGCTATGTACACAGTTGATGGCGGGCGCTCTCGCGGCTGCGGACTGATCTCGCGGCCGGGGCAACTGCCATGGATCCCAGGCGCGATGACTACAACCGGCCGAGAGTGCAATCATAAGCTGCGAGGGAGACCATAACAAGTATCTGCCCGGCAGCTGTCCGGACGGCTGATGGGCAACAGCTACTGCGCAAGCAAAGACATATTTGGGGCATGTATTGTACAGGTCCAACCATCTGTAGACTCGTCCCATATATGAATGCAAAGAGATGCTTACCTCCCCTATACATGTTTCCATCAGCGCCGAGATGGTAGCGTCTCGACTACTGTAGTGATGCCTCCAGCGTGTAAGTCCTCTGGTGTCGTCTTGTTGCCCCGAATAAGCTTGCAATATTTTGTGACGCACTTGCATGCGCGTAGTCGGCTGAGCGAGAGGCCAAACCATCAATCACGCCCAGGGTGCCGCGTCAATAAAATTGAGCGGAGAGCATCGGAGGCCGATGCACCAGGCATTGGAACAAACTGAAACTGCTATCGCGCGGGTGCACGCTAGTCAAGGTTCAATATCAGAACTGAATAGAATCGGGGGGACGTACCTGATTGAGCGGCGGGACGGGAACTGGGCGCAGCGGGGACCGAGAACTAGCCCGAAAGGGCAGGTCGCGAGTGATCTCATCCGCTGCAATTCTGGAATGAAAGACACGTTCTGCGGTGATACTGGAAGTTCGACGAGCTGCGTATACGTAGGGTGTAGTGGACGGTCCGGGCTGGCCGCTGGCCCACGGTCACTCACCGCTGCGGTCGGCTGTGGTCTCACCGTATGCCTCCGGGGTAACTGTCATTGTTAAGGATCGCTTGGCGGGGGTACTGGGACCGGCTGCGGACGGTCGCCAATTGTGGTTGCGAGCCGTTCGTGGAGACAGCAGCAACAAGGATCTACCCGGCCGGACGGGACTAACTGACAAGGAGCACAAGAGACTCGAGAAACGCACTGTATACAGATTTAGACACGTATACACTTGTTGTTATTGCGAGAGGGAACTCCAAAAGAAGGATATTTCAAAGAGGTCCGCACAAAATCTGGTGAGGGGCAGCCACCGCTGTATTTGGCGCTGTATATCTGATTATAACGGGAAGATGTCTGAAGCTCAGCGCTTAGATGACGAGACGGACTGCGCCTTAAATTGCATCCATATTTGGCTCCGATACTGTACCATCCCCGGAAACTCTGTCTCCATATACAATCCCACCCTTCTACGGCGCACTCCGAGAGCTGATATATTCGTAACGGATTCTGTGGTTACTATATGACCCCCCGCATACTGCCATACCGTACCGCTCTAAACGAGCGTATCCCATATGACAACCATGACATGCATTTTTCACACTTTTTCGAGCCGACGTGCATTTCGAATTTGCCCTGCCGTCGCGCCAGTGGTGCACCGCTGGGCGTCACTGTGATGGACGAGCGGCAAGCGCCGTGTCGCGATCGCGCACGATGACCCGATATGGTATGTGTTGTGGTTCGACCACAACGTGTGAACCTGAGTGGTCGCGGGGCACGCGCTGGTCTACTGTGCTCCTCCTCCGGACAATGTTCCTGTCACCCCGCGCGTGGTGAGTGTTTTATTGGGCCCTGCACAGCATGATGTTGCTGCCACATGTTTTCATGTATCACGATCTGCTGTGCGCGGTGCGGATTGCAGGCGATGGACTATCGCCTTATCGTCTGAATGCTTGAAGTCTCTTTGTGCGCGCCTGTAGCGCTTCATTAACAGGCGGATTGCGCGATGTTGTCAGACTTTTTCCATGGTGCGTCAGAGCCTTCTGCCGTTGCATTAGTAATGTGGGAAGGTACGGCAGGACTAAGCATGATCTCATCCGGGTACTGAGGAACGCTCTGTCTGTAATTAGTTCAGACGCTAGTGGAGCCTGGCTTGCTTTCGCCGTGGGTGCGGGCCCACAGACAGCTTCATAAGCATCTGCGTACCGCACGGGGTACGAACTGCAAGAAATAAATTGCAAATGACTGGTTCCTGAGCATTTGGAATCTGTAACGCCTGAAATGGACACAAGAGCTGCGACATTTGGTCAAGTCGAGCTCGAACTCCTTTGCGCTAACGTGCGGAGCCCGCCACGAGGCCGTCCTTCTCGGATGTCCTGTACAAATCACTGTGGTTATGGAGGGCAGGGTCCAAATCTCAGAACGGTCGTTGTGTCAGGCTGCAGGCATTCTATTGGTAATGTGTGCAGGCATAGCGAGACTCTGTCTTCGTCTGTGTAATTCCAATACAATCCACATCTACAGATAAACTGCACCTTTGGCGGTTGCGGGGGTACGGCTGGCGCATTCCTGATCTCTGGCAGGAGCAATTTCCGTTCTGGTCGATTTCACCTTGCGTCGAGCGAGAATCTCACGGACGCAGTGACTTATTCCACCTGCCTTACCTGACGAGTTGTCTCAGGTATGGAGCGCTCCGTACTGTGCGGCATGCCCGCTACTCGTGGACCGGCAAAGGGAAGATCATGATGCTCTGTCCTGCGGATGTCGCTTTTTCGAGATAGCTCACAAGCCACGATTTCTCTGCGCCTGAGAACTGCAGTCAACCAGCGCCCCAAGCCCCAAGTGTTGGAAATAACAGTCGATGTGACTTACGGTAGTAAATCACATGATCGCATATGGTACTTACACCGATCGACCTGTACTTAGTTCCTTACGTGTTTGCTGGCTACAAGCTGGGTCAAACACGATTTATCCTATCGTCTTCAGTCTCGATCCCTGCAAGAAATCTAACACCAAGAGCCCAAAAAGAACGTGTCGCCCGGGCATTTGCATTTCGACCGACTTGCAGCAGCGACTGGGAAGAATATGCACAGCGCTGAATTTGATAAACCAACTATGTCGTGCGTTCGAGAGCCCTGAGGGACGTTCAGAGCGGCCAACCCCTGCCAGCCAGCGGCGTCTTCTGCCCTGTCGGACGCGAACAGTGTAGCGCTCGCGGACGCGTGCGCACATGAGAGTGTTTAAGTTCGAAACCATGTGAATGTGGTACGCGTTCGTATTGATACCAGCAGACGCTGACCACAGTGTTCTCACCATGCCCCTCTCACCCGACAAGCGACCCACCTCACGCTGAGCCGCGCTCACAGGCACCGCCGCACGGGGAGACAGGTCCGCGCGTCATACTTTGCAAGAACGAGCCGGTGCGATTCGGACGTGGCGGGGGCACCGCCTTGATGCGTCCCACTCGGAGAGCACTGAATGGTGCAAAGAGTCGACGCCTCGGGCCGGTGGAGGCAATGGCATTGGACTAGCTGTCAGGTGCGAGCTGTATCTTATGTTATGTAAAATCCGAGTCGTCTCTTATCCGCCGATGGCACAGCATGGTACCGCTTGATAGCAAGGCGGGCCTTCAAGGTGTCAGAGTCCTGTAACCCTTTGCGCCATTGCAGCCACATCACGGGGTGCCCCGCCACCCATCTCTCTCGAGGTGACGTAGCAGGTGTTCAGCCGTCTCGGAACGCGGACCATGAGCATACTTGTCCGTAACCCTTGGCTCTTGTTAGGACGAGCATACCTCGTTCTGCCTTCTCATACTATCAGGCACCTGACATTGGTTCGCAGACGTGTAGGGCAATTATCTCGTCTCCGCCTCCTAGTCCTTCTTGTCCTATGGTAATTCCGTTTATGGTGACCACCTTGCTCTAGAGGAAGCATATTATGGCGCACCAAGCTCTCCTGCTCTATGCTCACAACAATGACCTTCGACCAAAAGCGATGTACGCTGAGGACTGATGATATTGGCGTCACCACCACCATCCCTCTCCGAGTCGCTCTGCAGAAAGAACTTCTACCGACAATGCGACCCAGTGGTCATAAGTCCTAATTCCCCCCCCCCCCCCCCCCGGAGCCGTTTTGTCGCGGTAGAAAGAGACGCTTCGAAAGCTATGAGTTCTCGGCCCGGACCTAGTCGACGCATTTCATAGCGTGGAAACGTGAGCAACTCTCTGCTCTATTGGTACGCCATCCTAGCAAAATTGCCTCATAGACAGAAACCCCTGCAACGGGATATGAATGCTTCCCCTGGCATGTGCCGTAAACACACGGCCAATATATTTTGTCGGAAGGCCGCACATGCAAAACTCCAGCATGTAAGATGAGTTCGGTATTGAGAGATGTGGCCATTAGCCATCAAACTTAGCGACGATGGCGGGGCGCTTGGTCCGGAGTCCGGAATAAGGCCACTATGGGATGGGTACGAGACCAGAAATCATAAGCCCCTAGTACAAGTGCGGCATCCCCGACGATGGTTCCCATGTCTAAACAAGCTAACGTCAGGTGCTAATTCCCGGGTTCCTCAATATCCCACACCTGCGCTGCTTGAGTACGGATATTTTTGATCGTGGTATCCAGCATTTCGCGCAAGATGGCATGCGTAAGCGGAGGTTTCGGTGAAGTAGTGGCTGGATAGCCCAGTGCCCGCCGGACCTTTTCAACATGGGGATCAGCCTCCTCTTGGATAGGAAGAACAAAGCGAAGGTCATTGAAAAGGATAGCCATGAGGATAGAGACATTGCCCTTGATTGAACTCAACGTCTCTTGCGGCTTCCTGGCGGCTAGCCACGTCAAAGGCAAGCATGCCACTCTGCTTTTCAGAACTGATCTAACATTATTATGTCCAAAAGCGTCGTGAAAAGCTTCCTCCACTGCTTTCCGGCCAGGGTCTCTTCTTGGTACCTTGTCCTTCAACGTGTTGACCAATTTGCGCAACACACAATAGCCAAGAACCCAGATGAACGACTCGACGTCGTGACAGGCAGTGTGCTCAATACTACCGTTTCCAGCTCTCAAGATGTCGAGCGCCATGAATTGAACATTTCCCTGCGGAACGTTTGGTATACAATCGACCAGAAATAGAGCAGAGGACCCAAGCTCACCGTAAGTGGAGCTCCATGTTCTCTCCACCTGGTAGGTGTCCGCTGCGATTCTCCAACGCCTTCAATGACCGTTACTGCATCCGGGATCCGGGCAAACTCGAGGTCTGTGAGGAAACCCTCGCCGCCATCTGGCCCACTATCTGGGTCATATTTCGTGTCTCGGAGTAGAATATTGCTACGGCTGATGTCCCGATGAACAATACCTTGGTCACAGAGGAACTCGTGTGCTGCATAATTTGATCTTAGTCAAGGTGTAAGCAAGTTTAGACGTCGATCGAACGCACCATCCAGAGCTGCACGCACACCCAACAAGAGTTCAAGCTCAGACCGTATTCCCATAGTGGTCGCCCAACCGTGCTAAACACCAATCTGTGCAGCACCGGAGATCCATCATTGACGTCGTTCTGTCCCAAACGCAAATATTGAACAGACATGCGTTCGGGACGCTTTCCGGCCGCGCGGTACTCGACATCGGCTCCCACCAAGGGCTTGGCCAGGCCGCGATGCGCACCCTTGATCCTCCGATGAATGATCGACTCGGAGCTGCGATATCCTTGTCGCCATGCCGTCTTCATGATCATTTTCGCTCCCTTCAAGCACCGTCCATTTGTATCGTATTCGCGGACATACCACACCCAGGTCCCACGACCAAAGAGCGACAGAGAGCTCCAAACGGGGGGGGGCCTACGGTGCACCAGACCCGCTCATCGTCGCCAATTGGCTCAACGAGGTACGACGTATGTGCCGGTGGCTCAGACTGTTCCAGAACAGCGCATGTTATATCGTTGGGGAGAGGACGCACAGTCCGGTCCTGGCCAAGGTCAAAGTCGATCACGACAGAAGTCAGGCTCCGTATCACACGAATGAACACGTCTGTGTGCTCCCACATGTCGTAGATTGGGGAGAGCGCTGCGATCGAAGATACCGACACAGAATCCAGAGCCGAAGATGAGAAGGCAGACGGCGAAAAGTCGGAACGGGCGGCTGCATGCATATAGGCGAGCATATTGTGAGGACTGCAGCGTGATCAGGGAAACCACATCCGAGGGATCTTCAGGCTTCGGTAACTGCTTGTTAGAAGGCTTGACTACGCAGAATGCACGTGTGTCACTCCACAGGTGTGGCTGTTCGGACGCCTTCGCCTGCAGAGGGGCCTCACTGAGCAAGCTGAAATCCGGTACGGCCTTCGGGGATTCCAGGGTGTGAGAGTTGTCGTCATCTTGAAGGGGTCCAGGGGTCTCAACCAACCGCCGGAGACAAGTTGCAGGGGAGAAATCCGTGATGAAGTCGAAGAGTGCGCGCTGTCCAAGGGCAGCAAATCAAGTTCTGAGAACGAATTGAGCAGAGCCTAATTTCTCACCAGATGCGGATACATTTCGAGCTCCCACTCTCCGTTATTGAGTAGACTCCTGCATTGCTGGTCCTCGAGTTTGTCCAGAGACAAAACGTTTGCGCTGGCCACAAGCGTCTTGAGTTCCATCTTGGATTCAGCAACACGATCATCTCTATCAAAAGCGAGGCGACACTGGTGCACAAGGTTGTCGTCTACTAGTTGAAGCTTCAGGCGACCGAAGATCTCGATCTTATCGTATTCAATCCTTCCAAGTAGTTCATTCTCTAGGTCATCGGGTGCACTACTAGACATTGGTGGAGAAAAGCGCACCACACCGTCTATGTGCGGTCTGTGGGGAGAGGTGGGGTCGTTCGCCGTGGTTGGTTGTAGAGCGCATGCAAGGTAGATTCGGTGGCGAGATCCGAGATCTGGGCTGAGTTTGAACATCTCCTCAGAATATTGACGCGGAGCGGCGTCGTCGTCGGTAGCGTAAACAGACATTCCTCAGTACAGCGCGCTCTCAATACGAGTGCAAGCCTGAGGGTGTGCTACACAACACGGCAAGTATAAAGGCGAAGTGCGTGATGGCTGCTCGGCCAACGGATAGCAGGTGTATGGCTAGGCAGGAATCCTAAGTCTAAGCTGACTATGGAAAGCGTTATACGGCAAACTTACCTTGGGTGCTCTTCAGAGAAACCTCGTTCACGAATAGCCCGTTGCAGCCTCCCCCTCACCACCCTAATCCCCACCCCTATGCGGGGATGAGCGCCGCTTGTTGGCTTGCTTTCGTCACGAAGACTGTGGACTCTTGACTCAACTCATCTATCCCTGCTTCTTCCAATAAGGCCGCCTGCCGTATCTTGACGGAGGTGAAACAGAACGACACTTTTAGAAAGCCTTTATTATTTCTGGCCGCGGACGCTGATCATAATGCATGATATGTCTGGAGCCGTAAGAACTGACTAGCTTGTTACCTTACCGCTCCTTGTTGATTTACAGACTGGCCTTTACCGCCGCGCCAGACGTGTACATCCGAGCGTCCGCAGATGCGCACACATATGGTTAGTATTCAAGTTCAACGTCGACGTGCGAATTGCGGTTCGCCTTCGCACCATCGAATGCGGCAGACGCGGACCCGCTGACCAGAATGTTTCTGCTTCCGGGCCTTGCCCTGTCGCTCCACGCGTGGCTCTTCCGCTTCGCTGCATTGCTGCCACATGTGATAATCTGCACGTTTTGTCTGTGTGTGAAGATGTACGTGAACTACCGAAACCTCGAAGCTAGTTTACGACGGACCGGCCGAGCGCGCACACAAGTCCGTTCCAGCCTTTTCATAGCCCTCCTGGATTAGACTTACATGTGTGTACTAGGACAGGGCGGTGACGTCGCCTTGTACTAGGAAGATACTTGGTCGAGGGAATAGCTGATGGCTCAGATTGTATCAGCTGTTGGGTGCGAGGTGTCATTCTTTTGGTCTGCAATTTTGTCGCTAATCCGCCGGTGGTGAAGCACACTTCTGCGCTGTCGCGCCACAGTCCTTCAGAGCATCAGACTGCCCTGACGTTATATACCGCTATAACATGAGGAATATCCTTACTCCTCTATGGCCACGGTGCGTATCAGACATTGACCTGTCAAAAGCACAGAGGAAGAGCGCCCCTATAGCTAATCCTCTACCTCCAATTGGTCAGGCTTATCCGTGCCCCCATTTCATACGAGCTGGCGCTCTCTAGCATCGCTATACAGACGTGTGGGAGATTCGCCTGACTCCCCCTCCTTCCCCTCTACTCCCTATTCCTGCGCCATGGGTCTCCGCTCTCCTGGATGTGCGCTGTTTCCTGCCACCTAAGGCATCTCCATAAGGCATCCGCCACACGGTTGTTTTTTCAATGGAGTCCCATCGATGGCGGTGCGCTCTGACGGGGCGATGCGGAGCTATCAACGTCCATCACTCCCTCGCTACGCGAATGGAACTTCGCCAAGGCAGTTTACATGCTGGCCCCTTAGCGTTAACATCTTCGTCGGACCCCTTCTGCATGCTGGAACAACTAGCTTCGTGAAGCACAACGACTCTGCAAAGAGGGCTGATCGTTCTCAACGGTGACCAAAGCGGGCGTACCAACGGACAGAGGGCGAGCGTCCTTCTCCTCTGATAGTGTCCTCCCTTCTGGGCCAGCGGCCTTCCTCTATGGCACCCTGCTATTGCAGATGATTACCTTTGTCAATAATCCCCAGCCCGAGCGCCGCCTACATACAGGGGAAACCATCTTCCTCCTCGCATTATTCGGCAATGGCGAAAGCAGTGCAGTCAAGCGTTCTGAGGGCCAGACATTTGCTTTTGTGGTGGCGAGAACGTCACCGCATTCGAGAGACAGAAAACGCACCGAGCCGCCCGAGGATGTGATTGCCACTTAGTAAATTTTCTGAACGTTGCCTAGACCCACAGCACACCCTCTATACGTTCGCTTCCGGAGCGGCGCATCCCATATGCAAAAAAGCTCCTTCCCGGTTATGCGGATGTGTGCGCCCATCGTCTCATCACCCGCGTTGCGATGCCTCACTCCACCCGTTCGCAGAACGCAGTCTACACCGCAATTCGAGCTCGAATTTTGCATACCGATGACCAGGCATCGAGAGGCGTCCGATGTGGAAGTGCGTGAATTTCGCTTACCCGTTCATTATCTCTCGTCCGCAGCTTCGTCCATCGATGTCAACGCTTACGCCAGTCTAGATCATATGACAGGCTCACAGCACCCAGAGGAGGCAACTAACGGTGTTGCTCAGCATCCCAGATTCTTCTTCCGCCTCCGTCCCTGGGCGTGCTCGTGATTGTCCGGCAGCCCCACCCGCCATATATACGGCCGGTCGCTCGTCGTTTTCCCTGAATCGATATTTGCCACCGACTCCTTGTCGTATTTCCCCCATCTCTCATTTTAGCGTATCTTGTGTCACGTCAATGGGTCAGGCGCACTCTTCGTTAGAGTCCCTTCTTAGCCGTCCGCCATTGAAGAAGGCGGTCGTTATCGGCATAAACTACAGTGGTCGCGGAGCGGATGAAGAATTCACACCATTGCATGGCTGCTCGAGGGGCGCACGAGAGTTCAAAGATTTTCTAATAGGTGCGTGGGGCCTCAATTGCCCGTTATGAAGAGGCGCTCAATAGAAGCTTTCCAAGATGTTTGCGGTTTCGAATCGGAGAACGTCATCTTGATGGTCGATGACGAAGGTCATCCTCTGCAGTCCCAACCTAAGGAGCGCAACATAGTGAGCAGCCATGCCTTCTACCCCGCGATGTCATCCGTTGACTATTGAGTTATTGGATAGTTGCGGGAGCTAAAAAACCTGGTCAGGGGCGCGTTACCGGACGACATTCTAGTCCTCTACTGTGAGTTCCTGCAATTGAGATCATCACATCAGTCGCACATGAAACCCCTTAACTGTCAGATGCGGGACACGGTACACAGCTTCCATGCAAAGACCACACAGAGAGTGACGGTTTTGACGAAGGTATAAAGTGCTTAATGACGAGGTAGATCGTCGGCATTTACAAACGTTTATGATCTGCAGTGATCGTCGCTGCAGATTGCGACGGAACAGGGAAGCATTGTGGACATGGACTCATTAAAGACAATGTGCGTTGCGTGCTTCACCTTTACTCTAATGACCTAATTAAGTGCTGCAGGTCCTGCGCAAAATCCTTGTAGTGCCTCTTATGGAAGGCGTTTGCTTCAGGGTAGGACACCAACTTACTAGACGTGCTAGAAGTCCGTCCTGAGTGCCTCTTACAGGCATTCTTTGATGCATGCCACTCCGGGACTCTCATGGGTATATGCACTATTACATTAATATCTCAGCCGATCTTTGACATAGTCATCACAGATTTGGATCACTATCACTGCAACCGGCGTCAAATTGATGCTCAGTGTCCTCCTCGGAAATGGTCGTCATACCTGACGCTGGAAGCTGATGTTGCCCACGCACAAGGAAAACTGGACGAAGAGCGTGCTCACACCGATGTTGGCATAACGAAAAAACGAAAGAGCAAGCCCTCATTGACAAGATCGCATTGCCGGCCGCGTAGTTCGTCGTCCGCTTTGCGGTCCATCGTGTCAACCGCATGCGACGTGGCTGGCAATTCTTTAGGCCGCCCTAGCTTAGACGCAATTCTCGACAACATTCCTCACGGCAGCTTCCAAGATGCCGTCCAGGAATTCTCCGAACAGTTCCTCAGATGTTCATCACCGGAGCAGATACCGCTATCCATTAAGCAGCCTTTGATGTGTCCATGCGATGGACATTGCGCTCCGTGCAATACTGGAGGGAAAGACATCGTAAGACATTCACTGAAACCAGTCTATCACAATTCCTGAATCATACATTCTCCGCACCCGTTCAGATATCTTTGTCCGTATGTGCTGACAGCGAGCTCTGCGTGGAATTCGCGAAAGGCGACACGATGACACAGGTATGTCCATAATATTACACACAGCTAGTTTCTTACTCCGTCACGCTGCTCAGATCCTGATCCAATATCTACGTGAGTTAGTGGGTATGGGTAAGGATTTGACTGATGTTGTATTTCTAGGCGCGAATCCACGGGCGTCCATGGCGGACGTCATGATCCATATGTGGTGCGCGTGCGCTAGCAGACAGCCGTCCCACCGGGCCCTCATACTGATTTTCAACCGTTAGTGAACGTCATGACACAAAGATTCACAAGCTGCGTCAGAGATGTCGTAAAGCAGCAGGTAGCGGTGAGTTCTTTCCACGATATGAATTCCTTGTGTTCAATCTCAAATGGAATGGCCTAGGAAACCCACTCCGCCCACTACCCAATTATCAGAAGCCTCAGGTGAGTTTATTATCCTTATGCGCTATCCTATACGCTGACGGCACTTGAGTATACTAGTTAGGCAGCATGATGCCGCTGGTGCGTGGCTTATTCTGCGGAGCCGTCTTCCCAGCCAGGCTGACGACGATCGATCAGGACATGAGTAAATCATTCATACCTGTTGCCCACATTTGAGATCCGATCCTCCTCCTCACCACGGGACTACAGATGCTAACAGCAGCTGCCGTCCTTCTCTATGTTGTTCTATATACCTCGGCAGTAAATACCCCCAGACATTTCGGTACCCGTATTGTGTAATGGACACATGAGTTATGATGTCATTATTGGAATGACAAAGTCTCATATGCGCAAGAGTTGGATTTCCTGGCGACTCGGAGGTAAAGCAGCCCTGCGTCTCCCGCTATACACTGGTCTCCTCTAGGGGGCGGAGAATCTGTGATACATCGTTGTAGTTACGCGGAGAGGATTTCAAACTTCATGGCAGCGTCACGGCCACGGGTACAAACGCGCGAGGATACTCATACGAACTGCCCTGCGCGGGACTACATCGTAGTGCGATCACATCAGCAAAAAGGTACGAAGCAAATAAGGTCCCGTGACCCATGCAAACCCGCACGTCACGGTCGGCGCATCATTAGCCCTTGCAAGACATTCCATGGCGTCACTAGAATGCTGGGGTATTGTTTGACATCGAGCTGCTGTCTGAATATTATAAGGAACTACCAGTCTGGTAATACCTATAGAAGCACTCACAATAAGATGGCGAGCCTGTTGTTCGGCATCCGAGGACTGGGAAGATCGGACCATTCGCGTGAGGTCCTTCCAAGATACTTGCGGCCCTTTGGATGGTCGTAACAGAATCTTCAATCCAGGCGAGCACATACATAGGCAGATCATCAAGGCAGATGGCCCGGGAGCGAGACTCGAGGTAGAGATATATCGAGAAGTCGCAAATGATAGGAATACAAGGCACAATGAACCATAATCGAAATGACGAGGTAAGAAAGAATACAAAAATTGATAGTTTCATAATGATGCGTATCCTTCGACTGTGCAGGGATCATCACCACCATCGTCTTCCCCATCTTCAGGACCCAAAGCATCTTCGTCGTCAGTCCCAATCTCACCCCCATCATCTATGTCTTCGGCATCATTGTCAATATATCCGTAGTCTGCTTCCTCGGCCTGTATATTATTGGGACCCTCCTGGCACAGCATCCCCACGGTCAGCGTGTTTGGAGGATTTCCGAGTACTACCTCCGAGTGGCGCACATCAGCGTACTCTTGATCTCTACCCCGGGCCGGGCGCAAAGCATCAGGAATCGAGGGCTTGTCTGTCGGATGACCCTCCAGGTTATCTTGCATGTCTTCATGACTTTCCTGCAGTAGGCGTTCAGTGACTTCAGCGATTGCCATGTGACCGATACCACCGCCGCGGAAGCGCATGAACATGTCGCGATCAGCAAAGCTATACATGTGTTCCGCATCAGGTTCGTAGTATGTCATCTGTAGATAGATTTGTTCGCTTACATATTAACATAATAATATACCCAATCTGTCGCGACTTGAGGTCAAGCGACAGGGGAATACCTAAAAGCAAGGGGCGTCCGACTGGTTCTCACCGAAGCGATGGTGAGCGAGGCTCAAACCTAAGGCTAGGGACAAGGTAAGTTAGCATTGGTAAGTAGGTAAGTAATACATGAGCTTACTGACCTAGGGACAAGAGGTCGAAACTGAGGTCCCTAGGGCAGCAGAGGCCGGCTTATATACATGGGGAGATTTAGGGCAGGCTGTGCACGTTGGTCCGTGCGCAGCTGGTCTGTGCGCAGCATGCCGACGCGGCCCCGGGGGCCGGTGAGTCAGAGCGGCTGCGTCAGCGGGGCCCGAGCTGTGCCGTGCACTGCCGTCCTATCTAATCTGATCGTACAGTAGATAATGATGTGTCCGTATCGGGCAAGTAGTACAGAGGTCGCGGGTTCGAGCCCGCGAAAAGGAAAAATTAAAAAGCGGTTAGACGCCGTGTCAACTCGTGACACAATCCTCATCACATTCTCGAGGATGCCTTGCGATTGAGGGCCGCAGGTACTCATCCGTGCGTCCATGTGCAAACGCGGGTATAGTGTGAATTGCTCGAACAACGTGACGAGGATCAAGAAAGGCGAATGCACCGGGTTCGTCAGCATCAATAAATCCAATTCGCGGTAAGCGACGCGCATTCCATCCTGTTCGAGTTGTTAAATCACGGCCGAACCATCGTATGAAGAGGAATTCAATATGCTGAGGTGACGGGTCGCGTGACCTGAGACCCGAGTGGCAGATGTTCGCATGGAAGACCCCAAGAACACGGGTGTACCAATAGGGGTGATCGCTGTCTTCATGAGCGAGGACCATGATGTCGGGAGCCTCACTGCGCGGATTGACACAGTCCTGGCTGCGACGCAAGTCATAGGTCGTATAGTTAATGCGAAAATTCTTATGCTTGTATATCTTCCCGCCAATAATGGTGACAGTATTGCTCTCTGCATCAGAGAATGTATGCTCCTCACCATCATAAGGAAGGTCTAGCAGGCGAGAGAGGAGGTGATCTTTAAGCTGCGGCATGAAATCCTGGACACAATGATGAAATATGACGAAATGAGGTGTTGGTTGGCACTAGTAGCAAACATTAGAACATTGACCAAGTTTTCGAAAGAGTTGCAGTCAGTCAGAAACCCAAAGGATGGGAGCGTAAATTAAGAAACCAGTTGCGCCTCAACGATCGAGACCATGATTACCAATCGGCCGGTCTCGATCAGTAAGACGCCACTCACCTCGCCTCGGATCTTACGCTCTAGCACCTTTCTGAAGCACATAAAAATGCTGATCGTCTCTACTGGCAGCCAACCCGCTCAAACCCCCTCCAATGTCACATTCAGTACATACACCTACTGTCATGGCTCCTACGGCTGCCAGTAATTTGCCGCTAACCTACACCCCTGAACCTGTCAGTTCTGCGAAGCGGAAGTTCGACCAACCTAAATGAAGAGCTGCAGATCTACAGTCATTCAAGAAAAAGGCGACGATATTCTCGGTGAGTGGTCAGAATGTGAGGGTGTGTAAGGCTCACAGAAACCTTTGTCAATTCTAGAGAGCAAAGTGGGGTGCTCGATGCATTGTACAAGACTGCGAAATGGATCCCACGTGGAATTAGTCCCTTTGTCAATATTCTAACTGCCTTCCAAATCGGTCTGCATGCTGAGGGACAATCCGACGCTGATACAAGCGAAGTTGGAGCGGGAAATGGGCCAGAGTCGATGACTGAACAAGAAGAGAATATGCAACTGTGAGATTCCGTTTTTAGTCAGTATTTTGCGCTAGCTGACTTATTAGACAGGTCGCCAGCAGAGCGATCCGAGTTCATACGTGTCTACAATGCGATATTAAACTATACTCCTAGCCTGCGAGAATTAATCTCGGAGTTTCAGAGCGAGCCAGCAAGTCTGGGTGACCTCTGTGCACTTGTAAGTATATTTGAAGGCTGTTTTTCATGCTTCCTGAATCGATCTACAGCTTGACGAGCACTCGCGAAAGGCACGCACACAGGACTGTGGAGACCTACGCTACTCCGGAGTAAGGTATATCACCCCCGACCCAGCGCGACAACCTATCTTTCCTGTGATTGACGGGAGGCAGCAGTCGAAGAGTGAGCGGGGCTTCCAGCACCAGCAATGTTCCCGTCTTCTAGTTCCTCAACGTCACCTTGCTGACTTCGATGCCGATCCCGAAGGGTGTGTGATATTTATTGTGCGTCATCATTGACTAATTGTGTGAGTTTCTGCAGCTATCTCAGGAAAATAATTGAGGGCAGGGTGAAGATACGAGCGTCCATGCTGCCGAGTTTTGTTTATGATGAGAAGAGCTACGACCCGCACAACATTCTCAAAGGCCTGTTTCGAGGCTTCTTTCTGGTGCGCGTGAGTGTTCTTGTCTTGATGCGCTGCTTCTATCTCTCACAATGCTCTATTTGACAGGTATTCCGACACATATTCACGGGCCCTCGCACGGCACTCAAAGTCACTGACGGGCCCATTGCCGGGAAGCCCTGGAATGCGCAGATCCTTGGAATGCTTAGTGTAACAAAGTATAGTATAGCATACGCTGCAGTTCAGGTGCGAATAATCTGATTTTCATGCTGCCAGATATTCTTCTCATGAACATAAAGGCTCGTCAGCTTTTGAACTCCCAGGAGGAATGGTCGGTTGAAGATGCACACTTCAACGCGGAACATTTCTTCTACACGATTTTGGCCATCTTCGATGACGCAGCCCACTCCACATGGTACGAGGAAACCATTGACTGGTGGAACAGGTACGTAGTGGTCTCTAGCATATCCTCCCACAAACTGATACATCATTCCCTTAACTTCTCGCCATCGACACCTCTAATTAGACGAGTTTTTGGCAACTCCTACACTGGATCTGATCGCTTGACACACGACGATGATTCGGATGACGAGGAGTCAGATCTCTCGCTTCTCAAGGCTCAGCACGCCGCACGTCAGGCAGTTCAATAATGTGGACGTGCGCCACTCCATTGTCATCGACGCAGCCTTTTCGTGCACCTGTTCAGGCCACCATTCATTTGCGACTATATGCTTCTCGTGCCATTTGATTTATTATGCAGAATAAACAATAAACTGTAATTTTATAATTAAAATGAAAATGCATAATGCTATTTTGCGATTCGATCATCTGCGGGTGACTGGTCTGTCACGGAAGCGAACCAATACCACCGTGGATTGATTGGTTTTTTGGTTGCAAGGCATACAGTCTTTAGTCGGTCTAGCAATACCTAACAAGAACTGCGATCACAGTAGACCCATACCACAGTCACCATAATACCATAGCATGCATGACATGGCGTAGGCTGCTAGCCTCGCCAGCCTTGCATGCTCTCGATAGTCATATGGGCCTAGCCACCTATTTTGGCTCTTACATCACCCCGCTGATTTATCATCATGACAATACAAGACTGTATAACAATAGCGGTCTCTCGTGAGCTGGCCGGACCTTACAAGGCCATACGAGTACATGCATGGCCATACATGTCGTGTTCCTTTTTGCTGATGCAGCATCCAATCTAATGCGACCTACCGGCGTGCAAGCTCCTTCCAGACTTTGAGTTCTCACATACGTTTCTGGGGCACCTTGTTGGTTCTGAATCTATCCTTACATACTAGGTCCGTTTAAAGTTGCCGCTTAAATCTCGCTGTAATAATACGAGAAACAATCGACCAAAATAAGCGACAAAGATCTCATCTCCCACTTCCATTGGTACGCCGTCTTAACACCATCAGCACTGTTTCAATGACCTGAAACTCTGCAACAGGATATGAATAGCCCCCTTGGCATGTGACATAGCAAGCGACATGACGGCTCAGACTATATTTTGTCGGTCCTCGGTACACACAGTATACACACATTCCAATAATTGCCAGATGTGTCAGGGATTGCAAGATCTAGCTATTGGCGGTCCGGACAATAGTCACCTTGCGAAATCATTATCCTTCCCCGACCAATAATCTCTGCTCACCAGGGATGGTCCCGCCGGATGCATCATGTATGCGCGCGGAGTCCGGACGTAGCCAGGACATGATCAAGATACCACTGGACTGCTACACTGCCGCCGCGTCGCGGCTGTCGCTGTCCACTATCCATCTCGTCTTTGCAAGCCCTACAGTTTGGTAGGTTGGAAGGGGTACGTAGCATAATCAAGGCTACTACCGGTAGGCAAAAGTAAATAGAACTGAAATAAAAACCGGGACATATCGTTTTTGCAGCGCTTACACAACTCGTACAGGGCGCGTTGGGGCTTTTTTGGGGTGCGGCATATTCATGTTCCGCCGTCATCTTCGTCCGACGCTGAAATCACGATGTATTCTGGTTTCTTCTACATATTGTGGACGAGATCAAGATCGAATTGTCCAAGTAACTCAGTCTGCTCTTTCTGCCCTGCTGCGCTCCTACCGATGATAGCATAGACACCGAGAGCAGTAAGCTTCGAGCACATAAGCTTGCACAGATCAGCTCAATATGGAAGGTAGATTCCTACATTAGGACACTTCTCCTGAGATCTACCCTGCGATTAGAATGTGACAAAAACAAGACGTCAAAGCTGCGTCCTGTGGGTATCTCCTTCATAACTCTGCCTTGCATCGCTCGTGAGTTTCGGTTTGGGCTATACATAAGATCGACACTCCGTCAACAACTTGTCTTCGGACCTCACCTCTCGTGCGCCCGATCATCGTACTGAAATTCTCTGCTCGTCGTTGTTTCGTTTCGCTCGTCCTGCAGCTGTGTGCTCCACACACCTTCTGGGTAAGCATACAAAATCTCGTCGAATCACAACGTGGGTCATTCTGGGAATAAGAGCGGATGCGCCTGACGAATGTCGTCAAAATGGAACCCTAACCCGAGGTCAACGGTCTCAGTGTTTGCCTCTCCCTTCGCTGTTGCGTACCAGCTCACTACCACTAGCGGGGTATCAAGTTCCTGCACCTGTCATTTCCTCGATATACTGTAGGCCCTCCGACAGCTACTATCAGGGAAACGGGCACTCGAATGTCAGGAGCGACGTACGAATGCTGCCAAAACTCGCTACAACATGCAGGAAATATCGGCAGTTTCATTCTTCTGTGCCCCAGTCTGCTCTGCAGCAGAAACAGCTGCCTCGGGTGGGCCCACGTACCAATAGCCCTCTCAGACACAGAGAAGAGTCAAGAAAAGACCACCCGATCGCAAAAACGGAGGAGGCGGGCGATCGTGGTCAGTATATCTTCTATCTACTCAGGAGCCTCGGTACAAATGCGATCTTTTCAGGCATCAAACGCAACGAGCTCGGCGTCCAGCTCCTCTCACGAAAACTCCACGCCCAAATTTTTCGCAACATCTCGTTTCCCGCGCCCAGTCCGACCTACGTGCGGATTGCCCAGGAGCATCTCCGTACTCACGGACTCGACCCAGCCCAGGGCTCAGTCCTCCCCGATATCTCGTTCACTCTTCCTCAGCTGCAGGGTCACACCCTCGACGAGCATTTCTATGCTATCGGCTCGGCGGCGGCGCAACCCTGGCTTGGTCTCGCGAAGGACCTCGCGCGGGCAGAGCTTCCACCCAAACCTGACCACTGGAATGTCCAGTCAGGCTGGACGCGATACGTGCATATGCCCGGCGGCGGCAGCTACTTCGAGGCGGTTGCAACCCCTGAGGCCGACGGACGCGCAGAGAACATGCTCGTGTTCGATGTGGAAACGATGCCCGCGTACAGCCCCTATCCGGTCATGGCGGTCGCCGCGTCGAAGAACTGCTGGTACTCATGGATATCGCCTTGGCTGCTCGGCGAGACGGAGGATGTTCGGCACCTGACCCCCATTGGCGACTCGACGGTTCCTCGCGTCGTCGTCGGTCACAACGTCTCGTACGACCGTGGCAGGATCCTGGAGGAGTACAACATCCAGCCGACGCAGACGCGGTTCCTGGATACCATGGCGTTGCATATTGCTGTCAAGGGCATTTCGTCGCACCAGCGCCCCGCATGGATCAAATACCGTAAGTCGAAGGAGCAGGTGCAAGAGCAGAAGGAGGAGACCATTGATATGGTACTCGAGCTCATGCGCGAGGCCGACGAGGTCCGGCAGGCAGAGACGGACCAGGCGAAGAAGGCGGAGCTCGGGCGTCTCCTACACGAGATGGAAGAGAGCTTACCGCAGCTGCAGGCAGAGGCGCTCGTGGAGCCGGATGAGGAGGAGCTGTCGACGAAGCGTTGGGAGGAGCTCACGTCAGCCAACTCGCTCGCGGACGTCGCGAAGCTACACTGTGACATCACGATGGACAAGGAAGTGCGGAACGACTTCATGAAGTGCACGCCCGCGGAAATCCTGGATGGTGTTCAGGATTACCTGAACTACTGCTCAACGGATGTCGGCGTCACACATGCTGTGTTCTCCAAGACGCTGCCTGGATTCCTCTCAGCATGCCCGAGCCCAGTATCCTTCGCAGGTATTTTGACGATGGGTTCGAGTCTATTGACGGTCAACGAGGAGTGGGATGCCTACCTAGAAAATGCCGAACGGACCTACAAGGAACTGGAAGACAAGGTGAAGACCCGCCTGCACGAGCTCGCGCACAAGGCGAAGGATATGATGGCATCTGAGGAGTGGAAGTCGGACGTCTGGCTCAGCCAGCTAGACTGGACGCCGAAAGTGGCAGGCAAGTCGAGAGGAATTGTCGCATCCGAGGTCTGTCCGTTGTAGCGTTGGCATGACCTGTATCTGATTTACCTCATGCTCAGATCGCTGAGTGGGATCAAGACGCAGGAGTGACCACTCCCTCTGCTCATGTAACTGAGGCTGTTCCAGTCTGGTACCGCGATTTCCTCAAGCTTGGACCTATGAACAAGAGCACGACTAAGCGCACGACTGCGTTGTTGCTTAAGCCGTCCTTTGATGGACACCCACTGCACTACAACACCTCCGTTGGGTGGCACTACCTGGTTGACGATCAGGTCACACGCCTGCCTACGGCCAAGAATACGAAAGTCCTGACTATTCTAGGTACCAGCCATGGTGTTCCACTCATGAAAAGCGGCCAGTTGACGTTCAGCGATCCTGAGCTTGCGATGACCATTTCGTCTGGTAGCGACTGTGCAAACATCGCGGAGCGTGTCTCTGCGTTAGCTCAGAGCACTGTGAAAACGTCTGCCTCAGAGGTCGAGCAGGATCCCTGGCTCCGGCAATTGGACTGGAGAACTGTACAGCATGCCACAGCCAACACGCTAACGGCTCCCAAGGTGACGCGGAAGCGAAAGCCATCGGCAGAGAAGCCAGCCCCTATCTACTGGCCCAAGTGGTACTGGGACTTGACCAGACCAAAAAAGGATGCTCTCCCTGGTTCTATGGACCTTACTGTCAGGAACCGATTTTCACCTCTCCTTCTGCGACTGTCCTGGCAGGGTTGGCCGCTCTTTCACTCTCGAGAGCACGGATGGACCTTCCGTGTGCCCGACAGCGCTGGTTTCGAGACGCGCGCAAAGCCGCTGGCGTTCAACGATTCCGCCGACGCCACGCTACTCGCATCCTTGCAAGAGGGCTTTGTTTTCTACAAGCTTCCTCACAAAGACGGAGATAAGGCGAATGTCGGCAGCCCGCTTGGAAAGACATTCATCAAGTACGCGCAAGACGGAACGCTGACTAGCCCTGGAGACGAGGCGAAGGAGGCGCTTGATATGAACGCGCAGTGCAGCTACTGGATCAGTGCGCGTGACCGCGTCCTGAAGCAAATGGTCGTCTGGCAGGATGAGCGTGTCGACATTGGTGTACCGCGTCCACACGACGCTCGACACCGATGGGGCATCATCCTCCCCCAGGTCATCACAATGGGCACCGTCACGCGACGCGCGATCGAGAAGACATGGCTGACCGCGAGCAACGCGAAGGCGAATCGCGTAGGCTCCGAGTTGAAGGCGATGGTGCGCGCGCCAAAGGGTTACGCGATCGTTGGTGCAGACGTCGACTCAGAAGAGCTCTGGATCTCGAGCGTAATGGGTGATGCGCAGTTTGGACTGCATGGCGCGACGGCGATTGGGTGGATGACACTCGAGGGCACCAAGGCCGCGGGGACAGACTTGCATTCGAAGACCGCGAGCATTCTAGGCATTTCACGTGACCAGGCGAAGGTGTTCAACTATTCACGGATATACGGCGCCGGTATGCGGCATGCTGTGCTGCTCTTGCTGCAGTCCAACGCTGGCATGCTTCCAGAGCAAGCACAAAAGCTTGCGCAAGATCTGTATGCGTCGACCAAGGGGAAGAACACTCACCGCCCCGACCTCTTCGGGCGGAAGTTCTGGTATGGAGGGACGGAGAGTTTTGTCTTCAACAAGCTTGAGGAGATAGCCCTCTCTGATCGTCCACAGACACCTGCGCTTGGTTGCGGGGTGACGTACGCACTATCGAAGGAATACCTCCCTGCTACCTTCGGCGCAGACTACATGCCGTCGCGCATCAATTGGGTCGTCCAGTCGTCAGGCGTCGACTATCTACACCTCCTCATTGTCGCCATGGATCACCTCATCAAAAAGTATAATATCCACGCACGCTATCTCATCTCGGTCCACGACGAGCTACGCTATCTCGTCAAGGAGGAAGACCGCTACAGAGCTGCGCTCGCACTGCAGATCGCCAACCTGTGGACGCGTAGCCTATTCGCGTTCAAGCTCGGCATGGATGACCTGCCACAGGGCGTTGCATTCTTTTCCGCCGTCGACATCGACAAAGTTCTACGCAAGGAGGTTGACATGACGTGCGTCACGCCCTCGCAGCCGGTGCCCATTCCGCCCGGCGAGAGCGTCGACATCGGCACGGTGCTGGCGAAGACGAATGGCGGGTCTCTTTGGCCGGACAGTTCGCCGATGCTCGAGAGGGACGGTATCGACTGCGGGGGCACCCTCGTGGGCTACCGCCAGCCCCACTGCCTGACACATCGGGCGAGCAGCACCGCTTGGCTGCGCGCTCAGGCAACGTCCAGTATCGCAGAAATCAATGGGCTCGCTGGAGAGCACGGCGCTGGCGCGAAGAAAAGTAAAGCTAATGACTGGAACCGCCTGAGGAAGGTCAGAACCTTGGGTGATGGGAAAGGGGTCGATTGGAATACTACTGTTGAGCAGTTGCTCAGGTCTCTCGACCTGCTATCATGATTTACGTAATTTGAGCGACTTGTAGAAAGATTTAGGACATTGTTACCTAAGTATTAGAGAGTACATTACTACCACGCCTTGATCACGTCAATGCATAATGACTAGTAGTTATCGGTGAAGACCAGGAATTCGTCTAGTCCATCCGCTGAGTGACGATGAGATTCCACTGACAAGTTGCTTGTAGGTCTCGGTGACGACTTGAAGGCAGCCAGCCTCCCAATTGTTCCCTCAATCAGGCATGCACGTGACCGTACCTTGCAGGGACCCACAGTCGTACACAGACGGTAAGTCCTTGTACTGCTCACATGACAGACGGTGGCAGGCTATTGTATTCGTTGCCACCCCGGCTCTACATCTGCGACAAAGGTTCGCACGAGCGTATATGGAACAAAACGTTGCCAGGAGACATGTCGTCCCGCACAAGGGCCTGGGATTCCACCGATCGCACTAAAACGCATACGCATGCAACGTCAATGTGTCTCGGGTATACATAGGGCTAAGTGGTACGCGGACGACTTTACACCTGTGCGTACTAGATATCCCACTCGTTGCCCGAGCCCTAGCCAGACGTTTTCTCAGCCCTCAGTCTACGGTACCCATCAAGTTCTCGGCACCCGCCCTCTGCGACACGTTCCGCTCTGTCCTCCATCCCACCATGTACGGCTGCTGCTGCCACTCGCATTGCCATCATGAGCATCATCAGACCGGCCCGACCTGTGGACATCCCTCTCTCTACTGGGACCAAGTGACTGGTGAACGCCGTACTGGGTACCCATACGACCCGAATGCCCCATCTCCCACCCTTCTCTCACCACACCACACTCCTCAGTATCGTATGTGCTCGCCGTTGCAAGGCGTTTCAGGACCCAGCAACAACTGCGAGCCACAGCACGAGCCGCGCCATCACACGGCTCCGCCGCCGGATGGAATCCTGCGTAATCACAACGGCGCGATACACGGTCATATTCCCCGGCCTCTGTCTACAGGGTCATCTGGAGGGGCATATAGTATGTCCCTTTACTTCAGTAGAAATCTATGTTATTCAATGCGACTATTCCAGCAGATTGCGGCCAGCCCCCAAATGCCTTGCCAACGCCGCCAAGATCTCCGAGGCCGTCTCCGACCGGATCTCCCGCACCGGGCATCAATATCTCTGCGCCTGCACCCCTCCCAGTAGTAAGTTGCTTCTAGACATATAATCTTGAAGTACGCTTATCTTCAATTACCAGGGATCCGCGCCTCCGCAGCCGCCCGTACAAATTCAGACATTCCCCACATTTGCGACAACTCCCGTTCAAATGCAGTTGCAAGTCCCTACTCCGGCGTTCACGCCCATTTCGACATTCGCACCCATCAACTTGGGTTCTACGCCAGTCCAAGTCCCAGTTACCGCACACCTCGCCTCGTCTGCACTACAGCCACCAGCACAGACCTCCGTCTCGCTCCATCCTCCCGTTATGCTACCATCCAACTGGGCTTCTGTATCGCCTGCGGGGAAACTAGCATGGACACCTGTAGTCACCGGGGCCCTACCCATCATCACCACCACACAGGTCGGTGTCACTCTATGTCCCTGGCTCATGCCCAACCCCACGAATCCGAACGCCCCCTCGCTGATCTGGGACATCTTCCTATACCCCACTGTGGCCAAACGCATAACTGGGCGGAACACCGTCGTGGACCTCGCACCCAAATTCCGCGACCCAGCGACGCATCCGGCTGTCGCCAAAGTAGTCATCCTATGCGACGCGGGCATGGCAGGCGATTTCTGGGGTCCGATCGTCATCGAGCGAGATAATGTCGTCACTGTCAGGGACATACTTTTCGGTATCTACGAGTACTACCAGACGGCGATGTCTGAGGAGGAAGTGCAATATGTCGCGAGCTTGGATCCCGACAACTATACGAAGATGACAGACGCGTGCTATCGGCGCTGCGAGGGGACACCCGCTCTGCCTGGGTACGTGCTGAGACAAGGTCTCAAGCGTGTGGATTGCTTGGGTGGCAAGACCACTTTCCACGGCATATGGGTCACAATGAACCCCGACAGCACCTGGCAGATGAACCTCAGTCTCATTGGTAACAGGAGACGTGTATAACTGTAACTGTGCTATCGATCTGGCTTACATGCTCTCGGACCCTGCTCTTAATCTTATCTACGAAATTAACTGTCTATCTCTTGACATTCAATGGACTTCTTTCATGTACTGCTACGACGTCACGACGCTCAAACCAGGTGCAACACAGGTTCACGGTCATACTCACGTCATGAGCCTGTCGAGTTCGGTTTGTATCCAAAGCGCAAAATATCGGCATTGCATTCACGAACCGGTGCTACAAAGACGTTCACTGTAAAGCCCGGCATGTAAGGTGATGCTCAGACGACCTCCAGTAGGGGAAACACCAAGGCCAATTATACAAAAGCAAGTCAATGATCATTTGGTCTCTCTCGCCACGTCGAGAGCCATGTGCTTTTAAACGACGCCGGCCATAGGTGTAACTTTCGATTGGGTGGACAACGCGGTCTATATAACCTCATGGCAGTACCGGTGCCCGTTTAAACCCCTGATATCAAGAGTGAGGGATGCTTCAGGTCAATAGTAAGGGAAGTAATCAGTGTGAGTCTACAACACGGTCCAACATCTACATGAAACCGATATTCAGAAATGTCTGAAGGCCCGGCTCACATGACAAATCATGGTGTCTTGAATAGGCGACTCAACTTGAGTTATAGTGTCTGCAGATCAAATGGTTGCAAGTACCGTATTAGACTTAGCGAAGTAGAAGAAGGGGCCCGTGGGCTAACCTTGTCATACAAACTCTGTTTCAGGGTCTATACGCACACGAGGGCTAGCCCACAAATCCTGTAGGATGTAGATTAACCACGATTTATGGTGAGAAATACATATCACTTGTTAATGACTTCCTTCAAGCATACATTTACGCGCCGGGCTTCCTGGCCATCTCCTCCTTCGCCCACTCATTCAGACTACGAGGAAACAACGGCATGCCCTCCTCGAGTCGCTGGCTCTCGTGAGCGAGCACGAGTACTACGTTCCTTTCTTTATTCATCCGCTTCAGCCTCTCCATCGTGTCCCGCGCGACGTCGATATCGTGGTGATGTTCCTGGCTCACAAGGCGCACGCCCGGAGTGTAGTACTGGCGGTGATGGCAACAATCACCCGCGAGGAAGATGAAGCTGTCTGGCGAGACGCGCGCGAGCGCCGCAAGATGCCCTGGGAGGTGTCCCGGCGCGTCTAGCAGGTAGAACGATCCGTCGTTGTACAGGTCCAGCGCCCGTGTAAACGAACCGAGTGGGGCGATCAGGCGAGCGGGCGCGTCCGCATCGCTGTAGTTCACGTAGCGCACCTTCTGTCCGCTCGGCCATTCAGGCCAGAGACCAGTAGGATCGCTAGGATATGTCTTCTGCATGAGGACTGCAGTATCGGCGCCCACGATAAGTTCGGCTTGTGGAAAAGGCGCAAGATCCCCGACATGGTCGAAGTGGAGGTGACTATATGTACATGAGATCGGCCGTAGAGCGTACGAATCGCGGATTTCACAGTACCTGTAGACGATTGAATTGATTGAACCTGGTTGGACGCCGCCTTCCTGCAAGAGATCGGCGACATCCTTCGAGCAATCTACCTTGAGCTGGGTCACAATCTCATCCCATGCTGGTGGGTAGCCTTTCCCGTCCTTCGCAAGAATCAGTTGAACATCACGATAATACAGCGGAGCATACGCATACCTTCCTCAGACCAAGGTCAAATAGGAGCCGGCCGTGTACTTCATGCTCCACCAAAAACGAAAAGCTTGGGGCCTTCAAGCTCCCACTCTGGCGTATGCTGTCCCCGAAGGCTTCGACATGGGGAGGGAATAGCGAGCCGGCGTGTAGCGCATATACGGAGACGTACCGCTGTCCAGGAGAGTCCTGAGGGAAAGATATATCCCCTGTGAAGCTTGTCATGACTTGATCGCTGTTTCTGCTGTTATACAGTATATCTGGAAGGCCTGCAATCGCGCATTATATAGCCTCTGAGCAAGTCTTTGTCATCGACTGCGCTGTCTCGTGTCGCATGCGTTCGGCTTGAGACCGACCTACACATTGATCGTCAATTAATCATCATTCAGTAGTTGCGGGGCGTCACGACTCACATTCCTAGCATCACTGCGGAAACCGGGTTATTTTATTAGCGAGCAAAGACCGCCCAGATTACTACTCTACTAGCAACCTACTAACCCGCATGGCGCTAGCCGTCAGACGGGCCTTTTTCAGCGCCTTTACCCATATATGGTATACCCCGACTATCGGGCGCTTGTTTCTACGAGCGGAGTTACAGTTTTGCGGCCATAGTCGTCTTGAAGTTGTAATACGCGACAATTGGTATCCAAATTCATAACAAACTACGCGAAGTAAAAATGTCAGCCATTTTGGTAACCGTCCTGACCGTACACATGCGCCAACTTAGTACATATTCTCTATGCTGATAACTTTATGTCACCTTTCTTTGAGGTAACCGATGCACCCACTCTTATTTGGTGAGTTAATGCCATGGACATCCATCCAATTATGTTGATAATTACTATAGACGTAGTATAAAGGAGTACACTCGAAGCTTGAACTGACGTCAGGTCAGATCTGTAAGGGCAGGAGCTTACCGCTGGCACACGTTGGCTGGCGGGAGACGGCAGCCACGAGTTCGACTGTGATCAGCGTCGATGATTACTGAGTAAGTCGCGACTTCTACTTCTGCCAATTCTTCATGTACTCCTGACGAATAGAACGTGGAAAGGTGTACGGTCGGGCAGTCAACCAATGTGCCATAACAAGCTCGGACATCACCAAGAAGCACAGAAGCATTCCTTCGTAGGCACCCGGTGTGCACTCGGCAGTGGAATGCCGCGAACGTAAACCCCCAGCTGGGGTATGTGAACAAAGCCCGAGGGCTGAGCTATCCATGTATGGTGCGCCTTCATCGCGTTCTTTCCCATGCCACTCAAGACAAAGCAAGGCCATTCAATCTTCCCCGGAGGTATATGTGTCTCCCTGACCCACAGCAGACAACCGGAATTCACCGCTACAGCACCGGGGCCGTCCACTTAAATAGGGACAATGGGGTCGACCACTGGTGGTCGGGTATGTTCGGGCCCAAAAGCCTCTTAATCGCGCACCGTTGTACAGAGCATAAAGGCGCGGGCGCCGCGTCCACATTGGGCTGGAAGGTTTGACGACCCTGCCTCCTGCCTGCTGTTCGCTCTTCTATCCACATGGACACAGAGCCAAACTTCAGCGCCCCGCCTTCTCCGGCTCTTGACCGCACCACCCAGTGGGTGCAGGCACAAGCCGCGGAGACCTACGACGACGTATCGCCGCCTCCCTTACCGCAACTTGACTCCAATTCACCAGAACAATACCCGCAGTCCAACCGTAATACCTCCTCTTCCGGCCAATCTTTCGCCACGCCGCCAGCACCAGTGCAGTTCAGTCCTATCGCGTCGACATCGATGCAGCGCAGCCGCCCGCGAAAGGAATCGAACGCGACAGAGATGCTCCCATTCCCGCGCAGCCCACCAGGATCGGGATATCCAATGCCACTTGAGATGGATCCTCCAAGAGCCGAAGCACAGGGTCAAGACGGCAAGGTCAGTGTACACACTGTTAAGCCGCTTGCGTATGCGCTTATGACGCATGCGCAGCGTGGACGACCGAAATACAAACGAACGTCCTCGCTATTGAACTCTATCAAGGCCCTCAGTCAGCCAACCGTGCAATGGAAGAGAGAAGAAGCGACTAGGAGAGACCAGCCAAATTGAGGAATAGACGGAGACTCGTTCTAACATTGACCAAACTGGAGAAAGCCGGGGGATTCTCGCGTAGCGCGAATGGCAAGCCTCATACATTGAGCGGAAACACAAAAGATTAGATATCGGTGCATTGAGACTTACGTGTACTCTTCCGTGGCATCTTGGGGCAAGACAGCCTGATAATAATGTACTCTTCCCTTGTGAACCTAGGACTGACAGCTGGTCGAGCAGCTAGCCGTACCCTTCGACAACTAAACGTCTATGCTGTACGATCGACCACCTCAGTTGCATACCATGACGGACTATATCAAAAGGAGTGTTTAGCGTCCGAGAAGAAATACGAACCAGCGCCTGACGGAGGCAGATCGAGTATGGATTGTAACAATTTGTTATCCTTCTCGAGTGCTCCTGCCGCTGATTCGTCGCCGGTTGAGAGCCATATTATCTCCATATGCAAGTGCAGATACAAACGACGAGGCAACTCCTGAACTGATCGCTGTTGGCACCTCTACGCTCAAGATGCTATCCCATCCTCTTAAATGAGCCTGCGAGGTGCCATTGTACTGTCCAACGGGTCCTAACTTGATGAAATATATTGACACGAGAAATGGGGACAACGCACATCGAGTGTAAAACAAGTCGGCTAAATATAGGCGGACGCGTCAATATAAACGTAGAGGGACAATGTGCTCGCCACAACCATTTTCCTCGGGTCGGATCCAATTCTAGATGGCTTTACTTGTTGTCCCTTGTCGTGAGAGATAGCCATGCACACACCTTCCCCCATCTCTTTTATGCTGAGATGCTACATGGATATGTGCGTTTTCCTTGCCAGCTCGAGCTAAACACATTTGAAGATCAAGGACGGAGAGATAGGCGGCACATCCGATACCGAGTCCCGTTTCATGCTTTGACTCGTGGTGACCACCATAGGTGTGAAGAGCGGCAACCAACGACCCGTCCGCACTTCAACCTGTGCAACCGTCAAACCCCCGTCTCTACGTGACACAGTGTGCAACCTACCGTGATCTCCAGGCGCGGATGGCCCATATACTAGTCCGCACCGTCTTCTCAGCAGCGACAATTTTCCAGTCATTTCAATCTCCCTGCTGTCCAACAGCTGGCATGCGTCGGCACGATCGGGGTCGACGAGAAGCGATTGTTCATGTGCAACCCCGTCCGACCGCACGCCGACCGCTTCGGGGATCCGGCTGCAGCCCAACCCGTCTGGATAAGGATGCGCAATGTCACTCGAGATGGCGCCACCCGGAGTGGACCCACGGAGACGAGACAGCAATGGCGTGGCAACCTATCGTAAAGTCTTCTGCGCACATGCTAACGTGCAGCTGGTAGATCCCGCACAGAACGAATGGCGCTACTCCCCTCCGTCAAATACTCCGTGAAGTAGAAGATAAATGGAGCAACTATCGAGGACCCAAATGGAGGTAATCGAAGACATGGCGCTGAACTCGCATAGGCAGTCTTCCCAATGCCCTAGCCGCAGAAGTCCGATACGGCGAAGCCTCAGAAGTGGCAATGTCGGCACGGCTAAACGGATACAGGGCAGTCATGCTACCGTGGCATTGGGACTTCGGTCATCTTCCGTAATGGGTTCGCACAGGGAGTCTGATGGCAACTACTGTATGCTCCGTGATTGCGAATATTACTCACAAGCCTGGGATACGGTCGAAGGTAGTCCGTCCGGCTCTTCAATCTGCAAGTCAATCTGCATGATTGTCTGATTCTGCCACAGTCCAGTATGAGCTATCCCAACCAGATATTAGCATATGGACAAATGTAAAAAAATCACACTGACGGAGGTAAATCTAACGTGGAGTGCAGTAGTGCGTAGTCCGCTCCATTCGCCGCAGGTGCGCCATCGGGCGGCGCTGCATGATCCACGTAGGCAGGTGCTGGCATAGGTGGTAGGATCATCCCAGAGGTAACCACAATCGGCACGTCTGTGCTCAGGGTGGTATTCCATCCTCCGAACTGTATGTGAAGAGACAGGCTGTACTATTCGAAGGGCAGATACTCAGCATATTTCGTGCTTTCGGAATGTCGTCACGTACAGCGATATTGAGACTGGGCCAGTTGAAGGCGGGCGGACACGTTAACACAAATGTCGACGCATGCTCCGTCTCCTGTCTCCAGCTTCCTTTGTTCGCATCTGATGCCGAAGGGATCCACTGCCTATCTTTTGTCGTGACATGGACATTACCTAGGGACCCAGCCATGCCGCCAATGGCAGACACCTTCTCCATTGCTTGTCTGCTGAGATGTTGAGTGAAAATGCGTGTCTGTCGCTTGAGCTCAAGGCGGATTGCCTTAGAATCAGTAGGCGGCATGGGCCATATCGGCTTTGCTTCAGCTATTGAGTCTCGCTTTACAGTCTTGCTCGTAGTGATTATTGTAATGGTGAATGGAACAGGCGTGAACAGCGGGAACGAAGGTACTGTTGGCAGTCTCAGCTGAGCAACAGTCAACCCTTTCATCAGCCCAAGATAAACGTCTCATAACGTACTGTCATTTCGGCACGCGCAGAGCCTCCCCATAGACTCGTTCGCACCGTCTTCTCCGCGGCAGCGCTGGTCCACTTGCCAGTCCATCCTCTGCCAAGCCGTTCGCGCACACGGGCACCGATGCGGTCGACAGGAAGGACCGCAATAGGCTGTACGACGCGTTTGTTCATGCGGAGCGTGCCGCGCACGCCAACGGCCTCGACGAGGTATCGAACGACGGACTGGCAGTCCAGGCGGGAGAACTGGTACGACGGCGGGGCGCTGTCGGGAAGTGCAAAGGAGAAGGGGATGCTGAGAACGTGCGAGTCGGGCGGGGGGTAGGCGGTGCCCCGTGTCCAGACGGGGTGTTCGATACGGACTATGTCCAGGTCGAGAGTCTCGGTGAGCTCCGTCCTTGGCTGGCCGAGGAAGCTACGGGCCCGAAGGCGAGCCAATGGGTAGAAAGCGATACGAGCGTCGGTGTTCCCGGAAGTCCCACCACAACGGATGCACGTACGTGAAGACGGACCCTTTGAGCTTGACACGGACTCCCTCCAGTTGCTCCTCTTGGATGAGGGGAAAGTTAAGCTCCACCGCGCCTTCCACCGTGCTCCCAGCCAGGACAATTTGGCTTGGTATGCGAAGTGTGATAGCGTCCGGCATCAAAATTTGGGTGCACGGCACCAGGGGGCTCTTGGAGTGAGAGCGAGGCGGATCCGGCTTCAAGACAACACTGCGTAGATAAGCTGCTGAGAAGACAGGAACACCGGACAGGTCAGGCGTCAAGCTGCAGCCGAATGAGAGCCGTCGTTCGGGCGATCACGACGAACACATAGTCGGATAGAATATTGGAGACGAGCGTGGTCGACAGAAAGAGGCCCCGCCGTCCGAGAAACGTTGATAGGGTCGAAGACAACATCAACTTTACAAGCATATCATCCCCGTTGATGCGATGGATAGAGTTCGGTGCCTATCATGCGAGCAATTATCAAGCGGTCACGTCAACGTGTGACTTTCCAAGAGCCTTATTCAGCACTGACGAGTGTAAGCATTCGCAGCTCCTAAAACGAAGGCTGTACAAAAAGACTCCTACTCGCCTCGGCCTGAGAAGGGACCTACAATGTATCGGGAAGTTTCAAGCTAGATATACACAGGACAAGCGGTGTAGGCATACCGCAGCTGTGAGGAGTGGCTGAGGTCTTGGACGCTCTGCCAATTACGGCAGGAGATTTTCCCCTTTCGACAAGCTTCTGACGTCCATGAGCAGTAGTACCATGGTTCACATAAAGGTGTTGATGTCAAGGTTTGAACAGAAGGCGGTTAGATCTGTCTTGGAAACCTCCTGTATCGTGAGCACAGAGGTGTTCTCTGCCATGCTTCCGGCGATGGCATAGAGATTGTAGGTCTTTTCCCAATATAGTCACCCGGGTCCTACATTGTACTTGAACGCGTAGTGTTATAAACTTCTGATTCATCATACGTCGCGGCCGCCTCTGTGTCAGGATACAAAAGCTCACGTTCTTTTACAATGAGAAGTTTCATTCTCTTCCTCCTCTTTCATCTCTCTCCCAGTGCAGTCACATGTATTGTGTTTCCTAGCACATTCTTCCAGAATGAGAGGAAACCAATGAAAAGCTAGCACAGCTAGTTGATCACTTAAACGGTCCAGGCTGGACACAAGATTAAAATGCTCGTTTTTAGGCGAAATACCAGGTGGTTGGAAACTTGCCACGTGCGAAACCGAAAACCTGCGGACGCGATGTCTCGGCGCTGTACATTCTTGTCCTCATCGCGTTACGGGGCACATAGCACGCTGCTCCCGTACCTCTGGTGAACGACGATCTCCACGAAATAGTCATCTTGACCTCAATCTGTATGATCCCCATCTGCGTGCTCACTGTTGGAACTTGAGATTGTGGCGTGCGCATGCCACCGTTGTTTGTAGTACCTCGCAGACTTTGCGCGAGCCGTCCTGTATGTTCCTTACGCGTTTGACAGAGCTCAGACAAACGCGATATATCTTCGTTCTCGCTTCGGGTCTCGGACGAACTTTAACACTCACTTTCCCGATGAGCTTCACGGCTCGATTCAGATGCTGTGACATGTGACATGTGAGGACTATCCCATCAAGCACATCATCGAACAAGCAGGCGACTTTAATCTCAAGAAGAACGGCTCTCTGTGACTTTATAACCCCATGTAATATTACTACATGAAGTATTAACAATATCATCGATATGATATCATTGCATCATTGCACTGCAAGCAAAAGGACAAGTACTTAACCGTGCTGGGGGCCAGACACGTTTATAATTTTGTCCAATACTGCCCTTCATAGATCACTGCTCCTTAGACCCGGCTGCTACTTCGAGACCAAAACCTGATTGCTGTTCTGACGGGATGAGCATGCAGGAGCAAAATGGCCGGCCGTACTACCGGCGCATTATTCAAAGTGAGTTATGCGCTATTTTCTTAAGCAGGACCATGCCTTTCTCCAAACCTAACACATATTATAACAAAGTTTGGCCGCCACCTGATGATCTCCAGAGCCCAACGGGATCAGCTTGGTGCCCAGTCTTCTCAAGCATACACATGTTTTCGCTTATGATGCCATTCAGAAGTGGGATAATAGGGCTTCGTTCCCCATTCTGCAGACGGCCTTGGAGATCCGACTCCTGAGGTCATTAAGGCAACCCACCGAAGACGATTTGTTGCTCTAGCGGAAATCAGGTGTGGCCCCTCCTCGTTTGGCATTGGGGGCAAATGTCGGGCTTTTTGTCAACCTGCAATCGCTACGAGAGATGGCAGAATATTGTGGGGCAGAAAACGGCAAGTATGCCACCAAATATGGCAAGTAGTCACACCAGGCATCTTTAAAATGAGAGTCTGCGGCGCACGTACAAAGCACGTAGCCATTTCCTAGTCTAGAAGGGGTTTAAGCATCTGATATTGCAAGTTTTGCCAGATTTGGCATACTGATGAGTTTTGTACATAGAGTTTCGCCACGTTTTGCCATTTGTGCCTGGCATTCGGTCGGGATTCGGGAACCTTATCCCCAGCGCTCTCCCTCGGATAAGACAAAAAAGAGTAATCCTGCTATTTGAAAGGAAGATGTAATATTACAACTGAATGATAGATGCCGTTACGGTGCTTGAGAATGATCTCAAATGCTGTACGCAAGCGGCGTTACATTGATGCATCGTTCCTGAGGCCTCCTGAGGGAGTGTTCCCATAATTGCGTCTACTTATAGTTGTGAGTTCAGGTCTTGTCGTGGGACACCTCATCAAGATAAGCATTACAAGAGCCGGTAAGAAAAGGAGGTTTGCTGATCGGACCGCGAGGTCGGCAGCGGCAAGAGCTCGGCCTCAACCACTGATACCCATCCTGCTGCGCACGGGAATAGATTCACGGTAGATAGCCTCGCTCCTCGACGTCCACGGCGGGAGCTCCCTCTCTGTTGGTGCATGGTGAGTACACTACGTGCAACTGGGCGTCACAACAGAGTCCGACTGTAAAGCTTATCTGCTACCAATCGCCTGCGGAAGTCATCAAGAAAACACGCACAAAGGCAGTGAAGGGAAGAAAGCACGCCAGTGGGAGTGTCTCGTGCTACAGCATCCGACTTCCGGCGGGCCCATTCAGATGACTTGAGCCAAGCTCTTGCAATACATGCGGCGTTATTCCTCATACCCCTACTCATCGCACCCCGACTATACCGGTCACCAGCTCACCACCTTACTCGATTCGCCCGTGGACGCCTCGACCCGTAAACATACCTGCGGTCGCCAGCAGTCAGATTTTCCGTCATTCTCGCCCAGGAGACCCGTCTTCACCCCACCAGTGCACCACTATGAGCCTCAGCACACAGCAGCGGACAGATATCAAGCGCATCATCGAGGCATTGGGGCGGCAAGCTATAGAGTTGCAGCAGCAGCGGGGGATGCTCATCCGTCTGATCCAGGCTGATCCCAGCTACGTGGTGAGCGGCGCCATTCGTCACAGATGCGGCGCGCACCTCACACACTCGCAGGACGATGTATTTCGCATCTCCCGCGGTGTGCGCTACCTCATCGAGGCCGATCCCGTGGCAGGCCGCTTCCAGTACACCGAGTCGGTCAACCAACTTATCGTGAAGGTACAACGCATCGAGGCGTCGCTCGCCCGGATCAAGGAGAAGACGACCGAGCTGCACCTGCTCATCCCACCAATCGAGTGCCTCCCCGCCGAGCTGCTCGTGCTGATATTCCAGGCGGGCAGTCTGTCGGAGCCGAAGGGCCTGCACCCATTTCCCATGATTGTCTCCGCCGTGTCACGGCGATGGCGCGCGGTCGCCATGAGCACACCGACGCTCTGGACGAATCTGTATATCACTCCCGTGCGGCCACGCAAATGGATACCCCTAGCCCTGGAGCTCTCCAGAGGCCATCTCCTCGACATCACGGTCGATGCACGCATCGACTTTTCACCAAGCAGTGCGACGGTCAAAACGTGCATGGCACAAATCAAGCCGGAACTGCACCGCTGGCGAAGCTTCGCGCTCATGGCGCACCATCGCCATGTGATGTTGATTGTGGGAGAGGAGCTGGCGGATGTCTCGGCACCAACATTGCAGCGACTGCGGCTGTCGCTTGCGGGCACCGACGGCACCGGGAACCTTGAAGTATACATCCCCCGCCTCTTCTCGGAAGGCGCGCAGGCCCTCACGTCGGTGCGCTTCGACAGCGTCGCAGTCCCATGGCGGCGAGAGCCTCTCGTCGGGCTGTCCACGCTCGACCTCCGCTGGCTATGGTTCCGCCTCTCATGGTCCTCCTTCGAAGGCATCCTCGCAGCCTCGCCCAATCTCACGCGCTTAATTCTGCGCGGTAAACACGTTGACGTGCGGCCCCACGAGGAGTATAGCCCCATCCACCTGCCACGCCTCCGCTCCCTCGAAGTCTCGGGCGACAATTTCTGCTTGTTGTGCTCGCTGCTGATCGCGCCCGCGCTCGAGACGCTCACGCTTGCGAACGTGGACGAGGGCGAATTCCGCGAGTTCATGGCATGGCTGCCCTACTCCGGCGGGCGCTACACGACCCTCAAGTGTCTCATGCTGCTCAATGTCGCGACATGTCCACTGTCGTGGGACTTTGTGGCTGCGTTCTCGACGATCACGCAGCTCATCGTGATCAACTCTGGCGCGAACCAGTTCCTCGAGATCCTCCGCCCGAAGTGGCTGCAGAGTGCTACGGGGGTAATGCACGGTGCGCTCGTGTGGCCGCGCCTCAGAGATGTGACAATGCTCGATCAGACGAACTACGACGATTTGTATGGCATGGTGGCCGAGCGCACTGCGCACGGCTCGCCACTGCGGCGCTTGATTGTCCATACGGAATTTGTCCATAGGAATATGCTTACGCCCCTCCTTCAATACGTCAAGGTCGACAGTGTCACCTACCTCGACAGAGATCTGTAGGTCAGATCTCTGTTTAGCTCACGCGCCACTAGGCAAATGTACGTCTAGCTTTAGTGCCTATTTATTCATTTCTTACCGTGCGGTCGTCTGCCTAAGGTAAATGCATGAACAGCTTGGTGACCTAGCTGGCTCAACAGTATATGCCTTCGAAGTCGGCGCTTGCAGCTGCCACTCCCTGCAAGAAACCATGTTCTATCCCACAGTCAATCAATCGCCTCAACCCTGCAAACCAGTGTACGATACCCACCGAATTCCCATCGATTATCACTGCCTTTGTCCCGGGCGTGGTCGAGTGCCCTTCGTTTCGCCCATGGACCCTTGAACCCTAATTCTGATACTGGAGCAGATAGTGTTGAGGGACGTTCGCAAAAAAAGTCCCAAGCATCGTCCCATCCTAGCACGAAGCCGTCGCCGAAGCGCCAGTGTTCATAATGGCCAGGATGTTGCGACCAGTAAGAAGTATGACCACCTAGGTTAACAAGTAATTTCATTCCGTCAGCCTCCGCGGCTCGAGGGGTTTGGGAATCATACCAAGGGCTGCGTTCCGTGCTTGGTCTCGCCTGATAGTCCTCTCGGGGTCATCCGTGAACGGTCGTCTCGGCGACAATCCGACTCGACCCGGGAACACTCCAGCCTCAACAGCATCCCTGAAGGACCACCCCTTGTCGCCCTTCTGTTCCTTCTTGTACGTCCAGAAAAACCAGCCCGCACACCAACGGTCAAAGAGACGCAATTGTGCTTCTATATATTGCCGTCTTGCTTGATCCTCGTTCCCAATGCCTTGCAATGAACCAGGGTTGAGCCCGCCTGACCACTCACCGACAATGATTGCGCAGCCGGAGCCTTCTAGCTTTTGCGCCACTCGTGCGAACATCTGCGGCGTCCACTCGTTGGGGTCACTCAGCACTCGAGTGTGCTCAATGACCGATGTGGAGATGTCCTGCTGTGTGAAGCAGCGATAGAGATGGTGGTCTATGACGGCGAACTCCCTAGCAGCACCGCTCAAGAAATCAGCGTATTGGTCTGTCATCCAGACATCACCGATGTACAGAGGAATTGTCGGATCGACAGCACGGAGTGCACGGAAAGCGTCAAGATACCACGTCTGCAGGGTTTCGTGGTGGTGTGGTTCGTTAAGGAGCTCAATTCCAACAAGGTTGGGTAGCGGGGGGTTGTGTGAGCGGGCGAACGCTGTTAGGTGCCAAAGCAATGCGGACAGGACATGGATCGTGTGTGACATGTTGTAGGGGTTTGTGAAGAAGGTCGGGCTGGAGGACGTGCCCGAGTGCGGGTCGGCATTTTGTTTGCCAGGGGCTGCATGGAGGTCTGCTGGGCTCGTCAATGACTGTCCGAGGTGACGAGTGTACTGCACCACGTACCAATGAGCACGCCTAAGCCGTATCGATGGGCCGTAGCGATCGCCTTTGTAATTCTATCCCATGCGCCTGCGAAAACATGCGCGTATTCTGCAAAGTCTGTTCCTGGAAGTACCGATGGGTCCGCGCCGCAAATATGATAGTAGCCAATCTAGACAGCACAAGACGGGTTTAGTACTGTGCGTGAGTGCGAAGTGAATAGTTATTTCCGGAGAGCGGCGGTGATGCGCTCGGTCGCAGGGCGTGCGGCCTGTGCGTGTCATTCAATACTTTCGGTTATGCGACCCTGGCTGTACACCAGGCGGCCAACACGAGCCACGGATCGCACGCCGAGGAGCGCTTCCGCGAACCATCGGCGGAAGCAAACTTGACACATGCCGTCGTGGATTCTCAAGATCCGCGACCACACGCCATATCTCGCGGGCCACCAAGAGCCGGACGCCTTCCGTAATTTGGCTGCCCGTCCGTGTGTCGAGTACGTAGCACACACTCACGGGAAGGCGAACGGTGTTGATGCCTCTTTGTGCGATCCATGCCCAGTCGTCCTCGGTGATCCAGGTATCCCAGTGCTGTTCAAGCACGGCTTGCGCATTTGCGCCTCGCGCTACGTCGAGATCGCTTTGACCAGGTGCAGCAGCCAAGCGAAAGGGACTATCGGCGATCCAGCGCTCTAGTACGAACCAAGAACCTGCACGATCAATTGATCACGGTCACAGGATAGAAATGGTACGGAAGCAAGGACATGCGGACCGAGATTGATACCGCGTTGTTTGCGGTACCTGTAGAAGTCCAGTTCTGTTGGAAAGGCCATGTCCTGGGATAAGGAAGGAGCAGATGTCTGGGGCTGTGCCGCCTGAAGTTGTGGTTGCGGGTGCATCTGCTGTTTGAGAAATTTGGACAACTTGTGCATGTTGGCTGGAGGAGAGCTTGGTTGCTGACGACAGCCTCGTTCTCCACGCGGTGACGTACTGGCCAATATTGCCATGCGACAATTGTCACCTGACGGATCGATCGTTTGCTAGTCCGATCGTTCCAGAGCAACTCGCTGAGTTTGGTGGAACTAGGAACCATGATGTAGTGTCAGCGGGGATGATCATCATTTGAGTTCCTCACGCCCACCACGATGTCATAATACCCTGAACCGTCCAGAACGTTGTGCGGGTGCTTCGTTCTCATTGTAACGCCTTTAAGTCGTGAGTTGACTGGTATGCATGGATAAGCGACATTGCACGCCGTATTCGCCTGGTCGAGCTCGCAGATTCAGGCCCGACAGGATGCCAGATGAAGCACATGTTCGGCACAGCGGGAATCTCGTTCTTCGCTCCATCGAGCGCAAACCTTTTTATAAGCACGGGCGAGAGCGTGCCTTCGATAGCACCTGCAACAAAGCTACCGATGACCGGCAGGAATTATACGAGTGAGGCCCAGGTCGCACGCCGCGAGCATAGTGCAAAATGGCTAGATCAAACTGGCGCAGACACGATGGTCTCTTCGCGGCGGACGTTACGTGAGTGTATCCGCTGCGGGTATCGTGAATGTGACGACATTCTAGGCATTCGAACGGTACGGACGGTGATCTGGTGAGTCGTGCTTAAACAGAACGCGCAGACGGTAAGCATGCGGGGACGCTAAAGAAGAAATGGCTGACATACCATAAAATATGGAAGCATGTAGTCAAGTCGACGAGAATGGGGCCCCCGCGGTAGATCCTCTGTACCTGTCCTACCCCTTGTCTGCAATATGATTCATCCCGCGCCATGATATCAGATTCTCTTGGAAGCATCGACTCAGGTGACCAACGCACCCAGTCGCGACCCGCCCTGGCCACGGCCTAAAGACCAAAAGGCTCGCCGGGGTCTATATGCCGGTACCGAGCACGAACAAGAATAAACATCTCCATTCTCGAATTTTGTATCTGTCTTCCCCCACTAGTCTCACAACGAAAACCACAACCACAATATCACCGCAAGCCTTTTGTTCATGGCATACTCGATTCTTAGTGTCACGTGTACCCAGCCACCGTCCCGAAGACCTCCCCTCGAACAGGCATGTTTCAGCGCCCAGGGAGGTACAGGTACAACTGTCACGAGGGATACACGTACATGTGGGATTATACAAGAGGATCCATGAAAAGCAATACGCACTTATGGTGTGTCTGCGCTAGTGTCCTCTGGAGCGGGCAGCGTGGGCGAACGATAAAGGCTCACTCCAGATGGTGGTACGCCGTTGCGGAAGATACTACTGCATCCACAATGTAACTACCGTTCGACATAATTATCGACATGATACGATGTCGTGCTCGGCTAGATATCAAGGGTGAAAGCTGATTGTTATATCGACTATCACTTTAATTCGGGAATCATACCTTGAATTGTCGGTTGTATCGAGCCCTTGATACCATCACCAAAGGCTATGTACTCTAAGGGGATAATGTAATGTGAATGACCCTTCTCCTGTGTTATGGAAAGAAACTGCATGCCTATTCACTGATTCGGATACGAAACCTGTTGTCTCCACAGGTCACAAGGAGCACAATTGACAGGTTCTCGTCTCATATGAATGAGAGCACAGCAAACTCATCAATATACATCGAGAGTAGTCACTGTATGATTCAGGAGTAGTATCTGAGGTGGAACATATTTGTCTGCGAATGACCGAACTTGAAGCACATGAAATTGGCTTCACGCTATTCGCAGACGCCCAAGTTGCAAGCGTGAGAAACGATTGACCCTTGCGGTAACCATCGTTACCCGCCGGCAACGGACTTAAACACGGGATTTAATTCTTTGCTTGCCCCAACGAGGCCTAGCTCTTATTTTCTGTCCTTCACCGTCTTGCCATTCGTTTTGGTTACTCGTAGCTTGCTGTGCTGATTGCCAGTGAGCGTGAACGAGGAATAGGCGTCTAGGGCGTCCAATGAGTTGTTAGCATGAAGACAGCACAGGGAGGCGTTGTCGCAGGTAAGTCTTAGCTCCTTCTCAAGCATCCGTGATACTGGCAGAGTGTACTGATTTCCCTGGCTATGGGCTCAGGGTGTCTTGCTAATTCGTCACGGATGGCGCAATCTGACCGCTACTTCGCCGAGTAGCCTCCATGCTGCCTGGGAATTAGACTTCAGAAGGCCTAACCAACTCACACGTCAAAACAGATATGAACTTGAAGTCTTGCCCGGACGCCGTTTGCCGGCTCTACGTGCTCATCAGGGCTATGGGACTCCTTATCTTCAGGCCCTGCCTCGAGTGGTCTGCGCGTCTGTCGTTTTACAAATCTTACGGTGCCTCAGGGTACGCATTTTCCATGGCTATCAGCTTCGGGATTCTCTTCTCTGCGCTCGTGTTGCATCGTGCTTAGCTTCTCGTCAGTCTTCATCCCGATATCGCGGACAATGTGCTCTGCGTGGCTGCACAGCTTTGAACGTCGCGTTCCATAACGGCTCAAGGCGCTCATTGTCTGCCTCGCTATCGGACGGGGTGACAGTATCCCCTTCCTTGACCAGTATCTTCCCCTGGCGGTCTCGACCTGCATCATGCCGTAGGGCCAGTTGATGGGTCAATGCACATGGCGGTATAACTGCTTCTTCCGTCCTACTCGTATCATTCTCTTCCATGATCTGCCGGGACGCTGGCCTAGATTTCGCAGTTTACCGGGCACTCAGCGTCATTCTGTTGACATGCGTTGGTGGTTTGAGGGGGGGCCTCCGCGCACGTCGCAGCGCAAGTATCGCCATTCGCGTAGACGATATGCTATCGTGTAGTGGCTACAGATGCTGACCACGCCGTGTGATGCTGATTGTTAGCGTGGATCACAACGGTGTATCCTGTACAGTGAATCTACATTCCTGCAGTCTTTTGTTGTTGATTTCTGAAAGGTCGGCAGAATGCCTGGCTTCTTTTCCTACGGTCTCACGCTCCCTGCGGCTGGGGTGTTGTGCGAAGTAACACAGGTGCTATCTTCAGAAAGATACTAGGTGCTTCTAGGTCGCGATATCGCTCATGCATTTGGACTGATAGTCACGGCCGGGGGGGAATGGGGAATGGGGAGTGGTGGTAAACATCTCGCAGCGGCCAATAGCATACTAATTCGTCGAACCCCCAGGTTTGAGGCAAGCTCACCATTGATTATGCTAGCTCACCACACCTCGTCGCGCATAAAGCTCAAAAATTACTCACAGCATCCTGAGTGCACGAACGTTAGGCTATTCTATACGCGAGGCCTCGACTTGCTTCGCCTCCATGTATGCAAGACGCGTGACATGCTCGCAATAAGTCATGGCCAGGTTAAAGGGAGTAGCAATGCGGTCGATCATGCAAACATATATCTGCTTTACGCTAATTTACTTGTGACAAGACGATTTACTGGCAAAAATCCATATTCCATCGTGCATCGGCGTCGGGCAGTGACACTACAAATGTTCCTTGTCTTGATGTCTTCGAAACGTGCCTCGTGTCACCGGTGTGTTTTTCCTTTCGGATATTCTCCAAGCCTCGAACTCCCTGCCCGGCTCTGCACTTCCGCATGGATCTGATAGCCGATATAGAAGCTCTACCTCTGGATGGCCTCTGGAGCCTCGCGATTGCAAGGCATCTGCAGCTCTCACGACGGACTTTACTCTCCCTGAAAGTCGTGGATATCTGCTGGTACCTGCTGCTGGATATGTTATCCGACCTCCCAAATTACACGGTGTCTGGACCGTGGGCTGTTCTCTGTGCGCATCTATCGCTTTCCCTTAGTCTCCGACCGCTTCCCAGTACGTTCGGCAACAGGATCTGCGTCCTCAAGATGGCATTCAACGCCCCCTCCCCGGCGGTTCCCAGACGTCAAGCGCTACTGATTGTGCTGCGCCATCACAGCAAGTACCAAGGATGATATGTCTAGTCTCCGTCATGGCATACAGCTATGGCGCTCTCTGGCTTCTGGTCTGGTCTGCGGGCATGCTTCTGAAGCCACGGCGTCCATAGTATGATCTGGTAGTGCCGCGTTCGGTCACAGTTCTCCGTCGCGATCTGCCCGGGGGTCTGGCCTCGAGTACTTGCTGCTTCCCGCTCGGTCAGCGAAATGATGGAATGCCTGGGCTTTGCACCGTCATCACTTGGGATGGTGGAACACCAACTGCAACCATCGGAGCGTTCTTTTTCGAAATGATGCAAGCGGACTGGCGAACCTCCATATAGTCATTATGTACCTGCGCCCCTCCTCGGGCTTTTGCAGCGCGATGAGCATACGCTGCCTGGTTCCTGACCTGTGCGCCGCCCCTGGGACAGCAACTGCTGGCGGCGCTCTAGCTCGCTCGCTGTGGCACGCGGTGTCGTAAATGTGTCTTCTCGCCGGTCCCACAACGACACACGAGATCGAGCAATCTGCATCTCATTTGTGATGCCCGATTCTAGGGTGCTGATCGTCAGTCTGGACCCCTGTGATTCAATCCGACCGAAGCCATCATCACTCATTCCGCCGGGTGGAACTTCCGGCCACTTCGCATGTCATCGGTTCTCCCACGTATTGCCTCTCGCTGTTGCCAGCTGTCGCCCTCACACCGCTAGCGTCTGCTGTGCACCGGATATCCACAGCGCGAACGCTCCCCTTTCCCAACAGACGCACGAGTGAACTGCGCTCCTTATCGTTTTTCAGAAAGACGCGACAGTGAGCAAATTGATTCGTGCCAAACGCATGATGCTGTAGCTTCGAAACCTGGGCCTTTCGTGCTGCCATGACCCACAGGCGTTTCAGCGTCGGTAAGCTGTATACGGTACAGTGCGCTTGTTGCGCCGCCCTAAATTGGCAGACACGCTTTGCACACGAGGCAGCCTCAGTTTTTTTGGATATCAAAGTACACGGTGTAATGCCAGGACCTGGGCGTCCAACTCCGCCAATCACGTTCCGTGCACCTTTTCTTTACATCAATTTTAACCAAAAATGCTCAGGTGGCCTGCGTTGTCGTACCCTCATTGGTTTGGTCTTGCTCGCTTAAAGACATCATAATGCCTGACTCTCACGGACTTTACGGAGCAGGGCCAAGGCCTTTGGAGTTGCGACGGCAGTGCTGCTTTTCCCGGATCGGGACCCTACTGATGACCTAGACCTTCCCCGCATCTGCCTTCGTTATTCTGGGGGGTTTTCTCATTCGCGGCAGACCGAGGCTAGACCCTGGCGGGTGGCGACGTCGTGTTGTTTCCGAAAGCAGCAGCAGTGCTTCGTACATCGCCCTTATAAGTACTCGCAGCCTACTATCTCTGTCCCCCAGTACAGTCGTTGAGACGCAAGACCGCCGTCCCGTCCGGTTTGCAAGAAGCCTGTAGCCCGCCCTCCGCTATTGCTTGCATACATTCCTCTGACCTTTCTTCAGCCTCCTGCATTGTCCGACAGAACGTTTAGCCCTGCCCATCATGACCATCATGCCCTCGTACCTTCGTAATCTCTTCGGTGGCTCTAATGCGTCATCGCCTGCAGGGACGTCGAAGTCTCATAGCCGCTCACGCTCAGCGGGCCCTGCACCCGCAAACATCTATGCTCCGCGTGGAAGCATGGACTCTGGTGCGAATGTGCCTCGCAATTACAGCTACACCTCTCAAGCGACAAACCCCTCGCCCCTCCGCTATCCTACCGACACGAGAACGCTGCATGGCTATGGCAGACGAGCGGCTGCCACTCCGTACGCAGAGCCACGCGCACATGTCATCCGCAGGGCGAGCTACAAAGCACGCGAACCCGGTATGCCTCTGCCTCGGCTCACGTATCATCACATCCGTCACTCATGCTCGTAATATCATTTGTAGCGAACTATGCAATGCACACGCCCTCGGCAAAGTACACGACGCCTCCGAGCTCACGCTCGAACTCGAGTTCCTCGCTGTATGGGATGGGTGTACCGCGAACCCCTAGCTCCGACGCAGGACACTATAGCTCCTCTTCGGACAGGCGGCCCCCCTTCCGACACAATCAAAGCTGGCAACCTGGCAGCAGTGCCGGAAGCACATCTTCCTGTGAGTATCTCACGATGCGCGATGTTTTACATCCTCTGATATCCTGGATACAGATGGATCAGTCCGTGGGCACTCTCCCGTTCCGTCAGGTTCGCACTCGCGGCCAAGGACACCCTGCCTTCACATGCATCCGCTTCTCGCGCACACCCGCCTCCACCACGCCCCGCTGAACTACGATGTCGTCTTTACACCCTCAGCGCGCACTGTGCTCGATCGCGCGACACATTCCCCCATTCCCGCGCACACCCTTTCTCAGCCCGCCACCGAGCCGCCGATGCCGGCTGGCGCACGACTGGTCCTGCGTTCGCACAAGTTCCCATGGCCCGTCGTCGTTACCTCCCCTAGCGCAGTGAGCGCATCGCCTGGCCCTCGGTTCACCGTCGGCCCGCCGACGCACGCGCGGTCCGCGTCCGGGGGCTCGATCTCGAACCTAGACGTCCTGTACGCGGTGCACACGACGCTCATGACGCAGATCACGCCCGAGGAGTGGGAGGCCCTCGGGCGCGGCAGTCGCGCGCAGCAGAAGGTAACGCGGGCATACGAGCGGCGGTGCACGCGTATGGGCGGCGGCTGGGAGGGTGGCGTACGCCGGGTCGACTGGCTCGGAGAGAAGACGCGACTTGTTGGCGTCGAGGTCGACAAGAGCGGCGGCGGCGGCGGTAGTGGGAAGCTTGTCTTTTCCAGGGCATGAAGCCATCCAGACGCGCAGGCCTGGTGGCTGACTCTCTTCTTGGGTTTGACGTTTTTCGTCGTGGTGATCTAGTGGTGATTCTCTTTTCCGGTCTGTGGCCGGCCTAAAACACTTGCAGGTGCTTGCCTATGTGCTCGACCGCTTGTCCGCTCTCTTGCTCTCGCTCTCGATATCGCTCCTTATCAGGTTTTGGTTTGATGTTTTTGTTTTTCTCACGACTGCTACGCTTATGACTGCTTGACGAACGATATGTTTATGACGACTGTATACTAGGTATTCATGCTGCATAAGGGACGTTGTACTATACACTCATAACGCCTACGTGCCTTCTTTGTGTCCTTAGCCTATGTACTTTTAGTCTCCATATAACGTGTGCGTAACTACTACTCGCGACGCATTGCTCCTTTATATGATGACATGTTCAACCGTGTATCCTCGTACAAGCTCAAGCACAAAACGCGCAGTGTAATCTCTAAGGGAGCCCTGTCGACTTCCTTGCAGTGCATGCAGAGTACAAGGGAAAGTCAACACGTATGATAACATTTTGAAGCGAAGCTCAGAGACGGGCGGGCGTTGAACAAGGTCATGCGGGCATCGGTGCTGTAGCTGCGGGAGCAGTGCCCCAAGATACGCGTGCGAGATGCATGAACGAACGAACGATCGGCAAGACGACATGGCCCCACATCTCCATGCACGAGGACCCATGTCAATCCAGAACCCAGATCATGGAAGGGGAACCCCAGAACGAGAAGCGAGATCGAGCGCAGGCGGAGAAGATCCAGCGGAGGTGCAGCTGACTTCGAGATCCGGGCGATGTGTGCGCAGGTGACACCATGCTTGCAGTGCTTGTGGTCTCGGAATTGAGGGGTGGATGCTGTCACCCCTGCGGTGTGTACAAGGGGATCCACGCGTCTGGCGCGAGACCGTGAAATAATTCAAGTTCTTTTTGCGGTCCCGCAAGGAAGATTGACACATCTCCGGGGGAGCCTGGCTACTCAATATGTAGGGATGTCACTGAGGAGAAGAATATGGTTCAGCCTTGGTCTGCTAGACGTCACGAGAAGGCCCGTGATGCTTGCTCGTGTATTCGTGTGCTGCAATGCCTGGATGTATCGATGCAGAGTCGACAACGTACCTATCATCACTTCATGTGAGCAGTTTATGCGTCGCAGGGGACAGAGACTCAGCTGGTCTTGTAGGCAACCCATAGATTATGACGCGAGTCTTATGTACTATTAGGCCTTATTGCTGTTTACACGAGAGGTGGGCGGCGGCCCCGCCCGCTTGCCGGGCGCGTCAAATACAAATTCTCACCAAACAGCCGCCCACTGAGAACACAAGAATTTCGACAGTGACATCTTGATTTTTCCACTAGACTCGTCTCGCCGGTCTGCAGGCCATGGGACCAGAATCCCAATGTTGAAATATCATCACCTCCGGTACCCCTTCTAAAGTAGAATCGTTCCTGCTCAGCGCTCATGCGCGATCGACAGGTGGCTCCCTATTTGTGCAATGACACTCATGGGAGTATAAATCGGACCATTAATACAAAGCGACAACACAAACAGGTTCTATTAAGACTTGGTAGCAGACGGTGCACGCGCTACTCCCCGAATAGCGTCCACCCAGCTACTATGCTGATGTACTCAATCTATAGAGAACGTGCCGCTCTGGTCGTATACGTCCGCATAGTTCCTGCATATGCACCTCGAGTCAGGAGGTGCTTTAAGTTGAGGAGAATGCACGTACGTGAGGTTCACCGCTTGCAATGTGTAGTTGGACCTATACCATGAGACTCGTAAGCACCTGTCCAACCACAGTGTCGAGCTTGGATTATCTTACGAGACGGGAACATTCGGCACTATGAACCAGAATATTTCATAGTAGGTGAGGACATTTGTGGCGAGCGTATATCGGGTCGCTCCCGTTGAATTATGATTGACAAGGAGCAGGTCGAACATCCCGGAGTTATAAGGCCCCACATCCGATGCCCACGTCTCGTTGACGTTCGTGCCTCGCTGCCATACGGTCGGCGTGGTCAGGTTGATCGTCATCCCGGAGGCAGAAGCAAGAGGGGCAGCCAACATGGCGGCGGCAAGCACGAAGGCACTACATGCCGCAGATACAATACAGGAAGTCAGTCTCACATGATTTCTAGAATCAAGGCGGAGAGCGTACCCATGTCCAGAAGCCATGATAGTCACTCGACGATACTGTCTGACTTGACAGTGCGTCTAGTGCCCCGGCTTATATGCTCTTCGCTTACTACAACTTCCATGACGGCGGCATCGTCCGCCGTGAGAAGAAGGCACTGCAAGGGAACTTGTGAAGGTTCGTTGTCGTGAAACACTCTCGCTGCACTGCTTTCATGCGGGCAGCTGTCGGTTGACGTAGCAGCTCGGCTCACTGATGGTGCTGATGGCATGACAGGTCGAGGTGCGTACGTGCAGCTTCAGCTTGCATGTCTCCGAAGGAGTATGCCGCAAATCCAAGCGAGTACGCATGATAGGACCGTGTTGTGGCAGTAGGTAAGCAGCATTCATGAAGGCATAGCAGTGGTAAGACGGCACTGATATCAAAACCGGGCTTGACGTCGCTACGAGGTCGGTACGTATTACGCAGTTCGTGTGCGCAGTTTGTCCTCTGGTAGCAGTCTGACAAACACAACTCGGTTCTCTGCAGAATGATCCAGATATTTACCAGATCTTGTCATTCAAGTGTCATCAAATCGGCAACCGTCAGAACCCCTTCTCATGCCACCAGAACGCACCACTGTGGTCGTGGACCTGTCTTCGATCACTGACATACACCGGTCAGACAGGTTCTGAGCAACTTAATATTTACACTTACGTGAGTTCACGGTGTATAGCCTGTAAGTACCAGCACGCCCATGGAGTGTGCGAAGAGTTTATTACGGAGGAAAGGCATCTGGCATGGTGAAACACACATGCTCCTCTGAGGTGCTGATGTTAGTCACGCTTTGTACTCGTTACGCCATGACAAGGATTAGTGTGAAAGACGTCGGGTCTCCCACCGCGTATGCCCAGCTTTCGTAGATGACCGTGCTGGGGTAACTTGCAGCCGGGGTGGATCAAGTGATAGCAGAGACGAAGGAACCGGCGGCGACGGCGGCGAGCACGAGGTCACTACACATGTGGTGTGGGAAATATTAGTCGTGCCACTACGTCTCGTCGTAATACGCGCACTTGCGGATGGAAGGCATTGCGATCTACTGGGGCTTTTGACGTCTGCTGGCTTTGCAGTTTCTTCTGTGCCCCTCATATTCTGTTCATACAATACAGCCGTACGACCGAGTTGTCCACGGTGGAAGCAAGTCTAGTGTTACCGCTCCTTGTGCGACCGCGGGTCATTGATTATAGATAGTATGTCTTGATACATCCCATAGCCAAGGCGGCAATCTGAGTACATGCTGCATCTGACCACCCTTCATGTACTATGGATGTAGGACATTTGGCCGTTGAACGTTGAAGAGAATCATGCGAGCTGCATCGCGTTAGTGTGTACGATGCATGACTGTTAGCCTCAAAAATCATCAGCTTCCGGGTTCTGAATACATTCAGCACGACAAATCCCGTGAAAGTCTGTCGCGACGTCTCGCATGCAAATGCTCCGATCATTAGGCCCTTGCCACGCTTTGAGAGTGTCTTATCGAAGACAGTATTCTTCTGACCCTGCCTTGACAAGTCCACTGCACGTGTAGCTCGAATCATGATAGTAGCAATCCGTGTTCTGTCTTCATATGGGCTTGACGTGCGATCAATTCGACAAGATGGCGTACCTGGGATGATCAAGAGAGAGTAAATAGGCTGTGTCCATGCCCGTCCAACGGTACAAAGGAAGGGTAGCAGCCCTGAGTATACGGCATGCTTCATCGGTTGCTGGTTTGACATGACGCATGCCAGTACGACCTATGTTGGAATTAAGCGACGGTCATATTACTTCAGAGTACGGTGGTAGATCAGAGTTCTCTGTCGGGAATGCTACGCTCATTCTGTTTTCATCCTCCTCAGGGGGCAGCCCAGAACCGAGTGCAACAGGTACAATCATATCCAACCCACCAGCCAGCCATCCGTAATGGACACGGAGGAATAGGCGATACTGATAAGAGGTACGTCCGGAGATCATTGTGATGCTTCGACATGCACATCAACATGAGAGGCATACCTCGTTTGCGATGGTCGCACATCTGAATGTCGGCGGACATCTCAATTGGAAGGCCGTCTTGAACGTGACCGTCTGCCTCCACTTTCCTCCTCCACTGCCAGAGCCTGTCGCCACCCACTCCCTCGGTAATGTCTCGACATCGACATTCCCTCTCGAATAATGCATCCCTCCAAGTGACGCAGGCGATCGTTCGTGTGAGCGATGCAGGCGGTGGGCCCGGATATCGACCTTATTTCGAAGCTCGAAGCGCACTTGATGAGGGCTCGAAGGTGGAACGGGCCACACCTTGCTGTCACCGGGAGTGCAAGTCTTGCTCAGTGTCGTGATGGTGACCGAGAATGGTATATCTGTATGTAGGGGGAAAGTGGTCATCGACGGATAGCAAAACTATGAGAGGAATTGTAAGTGAGAAAACGATCATTCCAAGACCGTCATTTACCTCCATCTCGATATTGGCATACTCTCCCCAGAACCCCTTGCGAATCCGATCAACCGTACGTCTCTTCGTCCATTCACCCTGCCACCCGCTTCTCAATGCGTCTGCGATCATGGAACCATTGGGATCTGCTGGTACAACCTCAAGCTCATATGTTGATCTCCTATTCGGCTGGAATATACCGGCGCGAGATCCAACGGCGGAGACTGTGTATCGAACGGAGCCAGTGACTCCTCGATGTTCATACGAAAATGACGGTGGCATGTCGTGAGGAAGTTCGAACTGGAACGGTGTGGTCAACGTGTGCGAGCCGGCAGGCGGGTATGCTGAGCCTCGCGTCCACAGTGAGCGGCTTCGTCGGACAATATCTAACTCCTCTCTTGTAGTCGAGCTGCCGCCGTTTCCATTACTCCGTCGAATAGACCTGCGCACGTCCTATCAGAAGAATATGTGAGTCCAATGAGTTTGAGGACGCACGTTCGTACATGCCCTCTCAACTTCACATGGACCTCATGGATTTGCTGATCCAGGATTGCGGGAAAGCGAATTTCGACCACACCCTGTACTCTCCCGCCTGCAACGTGCGTCCGTCGAGGTATTATCAGGGCTATTGCGATTCCGTTGCGCATCCTGAATGATAGTGAGATTCAACTGATGGTGTGACGACGTACGAGCGCCAGTGTCTTAGAACCCTTTTATATGCTTGGGCGTTCATAATGATATTTCGCAGTCAGGCGACATGCGTGCTGTGGTGCCGTGATGGTGGTTGATGCAGCACGACCCGCTTGGGTGACAGTTTTGCCATACTCCAGGATATAGCCAATACTTGCACATAGCCTGATGTCAGCATAAGAGGGACGTACTATTGAGGAAGGTGTTCGCAGCAAGGCAAGTCGGATCAATGGATGAATAGCTTGGTTGTTAAGGACAGCCTTGGGGCGATGCGGGCAGCTGGGGAGTCAAACTGAACAACGACTGCGAGATGTCAAACACAAACACTGCTACCAATGAATACATACATACGGCGTCTTGCGTCACACTAAACGACTTCATGTATAGAGGCAGCGTTGTATTGGCATACAAAAGTCTACTTCAGAGGGGGCCGCGGTTGACGGAATTCCAACGTTGGAAGTCCACGACGCCTCTGGTATCAGAACGTGCGAACAGACGAGACGGGTCTAGCGCAGTAGAAATCAAGACCGTACGCTCAGCGGTTGGCGAGATGTTCGTGTTCTCAGAGGGAGGTCGTTCAAGGAGAGCTTGTGTTCGACCGGGGCGAGATCCTACGCGAAAACGGCGGTAGGGAGTACTGCAGATGCAGATATGCTGAGCTCATGAGGTGTTAAAGGATATGTTTGCTACGGCAGTGGACCAACAAAGCATGCGTGTATGTTCTGGAACCCAATCTCAACTGACCACGCCAATTTTGTATGCCGAGGTCCGTAATGTGGTCCCCGGTGCGATACCATATTACAAATGGCGCAAGATGTTCTCGAAATTCCCGTTTAGCTCAGTTGGTAGAGCGCGTCACTAGTATGTAGTTGTCGATGGTGAGATGGTCATGCCATGACGAGGTCAGTCGTTCAAATCGGCTAATGGGAAGGTTGTTTTTCTAAGCTTTGTTTTGCTGTGGACTACTTACAGCTAACATTCGAGCATAAGAGGCCAACTATTTGACATTTCGACTGCACTGGAATGTAAGAAGAGTGGTCGTAAAGTGATCAAACATGCATAGTACTGCGTAACTGACCTTCGCGAGGCGGGTTAAACAATTCAAAAACCTAACACGAATTGTATCTACTCCAATGCTTGAAACGACCAACAAAAAGGACCACCACGGCGCTGCCTTCCCACTAGCCGACTCGAACGACTGACCTCGTCATGTCAACTAGCGTACTAGTGACGCGCTCTACCAACTGAGCTAAGCGGGACTCGCAGGTTGAAATGGCAAGGCGATTCTGAGTGGCACTGAACACACGGGTCGATGCAATCCAAGGGCTACAGAAAAGCGAGACTGGTACAATGGGTGCCTACAATGTGTCCGTCCATGCATACAGTGATAATGATGTGGTACAAATAATGTGGGCTACATCGTCCTTCCGTCCTAACCAAAAGCGTCCGGCGCTGATAATGCTGGGTAACCTGGGGCCTACAGTGGTATGTCGATGGAAATGTGATGTTGGATGCGTGCGTGGGCCGTGGTCCATTCAGCAATTGTGTGATAATCGCCCCACGAAAATAAAACTTTTGAGAGTCGATCTGTGTACCATGCTGATACGCGAGACGGCGATTCTGGCTTAGTTGAGCTTGACGTCGCAATATAGGACACCGCCGGCGAACTTCGAGACCTCTAGGCCAGCGAACAATGTCCTCGGACCCAACAGCTTGACGCGTGTGACATACGGGGCCTGCCCTGGCGCTGGCACGGCGGATGACTGCGATGCGCGCTGCTGCGTGTCGATCGGAAATCGCTGAAGCTCTGGACCACGTGCCTGAGCAGACATTCCTTGAGCCAGTTGGCTCAGGACGTTGCCAACGGTAAGGGTAGTGCCGTGCTGGCTATATATATCGATAAGGAAAATGCCTATCACATCGAGTCGCATCCTCGATACCGGAGGCTGCGTAGCCTGTTCCGCCAAGGTTTTCATGTCTAGCGGGATCCTATCCTGCGGCAGCCTGATATCAAACTGCGTGGAAAGCGGGCCCGCAGCTTGAAGCACATGGTGCATCATAACGCCCCGCTGGGGACTATGGGGAGGAGTCATAATCCCGTCTATGGTCATGGAGGGACGGCGGTCAATATACGGCACGAGGGCAGTATGTACAAAAACAGGCATACAAGAGGCAGGGTGGTTGGGGGTCCTCTGTGTGCCACCCGCCGGCATGCCCTGAGAAGGGACTGTGCGCCGGCCGGGGAGACTCAACATCGGGGTGGGCGGGGTGGGCGGCAAGTCCACCGGGATCATGTAGGGAGCGTTCGGAGTGGGGGGCTCCGAGCGGGGTGTGCCAGGGTGCATGATGTATATTGGGTTATATTAGAGAATGTGCGGAGGCAGCAGAGGGGAGGGGCTCCGGGAGGGAGGGACGAGCGACGGCGGGGGGCGGGGAGCGGACTGGAGGCGGGGGCGGACGGGCTCCGTTGCAGGACCGCCCCCCAGGCAGGGCGCAGCTTTATAGGGCGCATGGTGCGCGCCCTCGCTGCAAAACAAAGCCAGAAGCGGACTGTTTGTCGGTGAAGAGATGGGCGGGGCTGGCCCGCCGTGTGCGGCGCGACGTAACAGCGTGGGAGGACAGCCGCCTTATCGCGAGCCGCCCAAGGCCACCCGCCTTGCCGAGCGCCCGGCAGGCGCAATATTGCCCTTCCTGGATCCCCGATCGTCCGTATAAGGTAAGAGGCGCTGTCCGACTGCTGCGGTGTCGGTGGTCTGATACCTCGAGGCCGGGCGCATGATCATTGTCTGCCACTCGTTTCTTGTTTGTCGCCACTCGAGAACACGCCCCGTCTTCTGGGCAGTGCGCGCGCAGAACACGCCGCCAGCCCGCCGTGTCGGGCGGACAATGGGCGGGCGCGCCGGCCGGCGGTGTCCCGTGTGCAGCAGGCGGGTGTTTGCACGCCATCGTATAGTGCGATGCTTTGTACACCCGCGTAACGGTTTGCATGCCCGACGCGTCTTCTCACCACCGGCCTGCAGTCCGCCTGTAGGAGCATCTCACATGCCGGATTGACAGAACCTTCTCGACTTCGCCGGCTCGTGAATGCATTGCTAACAGCTTGTGCTACGGATTCAAACAGAAATTGACAGCCGTAGAGCGTATCTGATCGCGATCCCGTGTACAGCGGATGGTATTAGCGTCGTATAGTAGTAGCGGTACATGAGGCCCTTTGAGATCGAGAAGCAGACAGTAACTTTGTAGGCAGGAATAGGAGTGGAGTCCGAGAACATGTAGAAACTGGCTATTCAGTAACGATGCTTCACGTACGTGTCCTGTTATGAATGAGACCTAGATTCATCTGCAAGATATTGTGAGGTGATCACCCCAGTAACCACAGGCGTCCATTCTTGTTGCCACGCAGGCGACATAGAGGTTTAGTTGGACGGTAACGCAACAGAAACGATGGGCGGAGTCACGTATATGGAGGTAGGTACTGAGGATTGAATTGGGACGGCGGCCTGAACCGGCGACTGCAGGGCAACCGAGGCGAGCTGCGCGGTGACTGGTCCTTGAGCGGGCGTCGGAACCAAGTTAATGGGCGCAAGCATCGGGGGCGTGGCAAGTACCGGGGTTGAGAGCTGCAGCTGCGCTTGAATGGGCGTCGTTATGACGAAGGTCTGAGTCTGTACGGGCGCCTGCGGAGGCGCGGAGTTCTGACGATCGACGATGAGCGGAATATAAGAGTGAATGTTTAGAGACGGACGCACTGCAGGAGGGGGTGCCCCGGTGCGGCGTTGCGCGGTCCCCTGATCCAAGTAGAGAATAGGATATCCACAGGGCGGACATGCCCAGTGGTGATTGTGGTAGCAATGTGAATGGCAGCGACAACACATGTTCGGAAGAGAGGAGAGAGAACAGGACGTATCGCAAGAATCGAGGGTCGATGGTCGACGGTCAAGACGGTGCGTACAGTCGCCTTGGAGCTGAGAGTATGTAGAGGGCTCGGTCAACGAGTGGGAGATCTAGTACGCAGAGATAGAGTCTTCCGCGTACCACTGCTCCTTATGTATACGCGAGATACATTGATGTTGCATGCGTATGCATTACAGCGCGAGCGGAATCCTTGTAAAGGACGACATGTCTCCTGGCGATATCTTGTTCCACATACGCTCGCGCAGGGCTCGGTTGCAGATGCAGAGCCGGAGTGGTGACGGATACAAAGGCCTGTCATCGTCTGTCATGTCAGCAGTACAAGGACTTACTGGCTGTGTACGGCTGTGGGTCCCTGCAAGGCACCGTCACGTGCAAGCTTGATAGGTGCAGCCCGAGTTTGACCTCTCAATGTGATCCTTGCTTAACCATGGTGAGGCCCACGTTGCACACACATCAGACCGCTGGCTTTCGAGGCTATCAACTTGGGTTGATTTGCTAGTTGTACATAAACTGTTTTCCGAAGCTTTCTTGCGGATCTCACCAACCGCTAGAGAGGGCAGTCCCTCACTGCGAGAGATCGCGCTTAAGACGCCCTTCCCATGTCGTCGGCGCTCGGCCAAGCAACCAACGCAGCACATTGTTATTCCCCGGAATGCCCCTGGATAGCCGTTGCATGAGCTTCCAACCGCGCATCCTACAGCTAGTCAACGCACCTCCTATCGTAATAGTACAGCATCCTGTCCAGCGTCTCCACCGCGTAGTCGCCCTGCGTGACAACGTGCATCCCCGTCACCACGTCTTCGCGGTTGATGCGTTTGACCGTAACCTCGTGCCCGAGGTGCGCCGACAGTATGCGTGCGAGGTCCTCGAACGTGCAGTTCTGCCCGACTAACTCGTAGCGTGCGCGGTTGTGCGGCGCGGGGTCGAGCAGGACCGTGCGCGCGACTGCAGCGAGGTCTTGGAGGTCGAGGTAGCCTTGCAGCGTGTTCAAGGAGTAGGTCGCGCGCAGCGTCGAGGACTTACGCACGGCTTCAACGTCGACGTTTTGCATGAAAGAGGTCGGCTGGCGGAGGGTTTAAAGCGGGAAAACGATGAGGGGCGGGTCAGACTCACCTCGAGAATGGTGTAGTTGAGTCCAGACTCGATGAGATACTCTTCAACGCTATGCGGGCCTGTCAGCGCCCTAGAGACGGCGACAGTCCGGAAGGGGACCATACTCGCGTTTCACCTTATGGTGGAGCATCTTGGTCAGAATCGGGAAGAGCACACTGCAGTAGACAAAGTGCTGCACGCCCGCCTGCTTCGCTGCCTCGACCAGTGCAACGCCCATCGCCATCTCGTTGGGATGGAACGCCGGCGCATTGTGGAACACCACATCTATGCCCTGCAGCGCGGGCGAGAGGGTGCTGGCCTCGAGATAGTCGCCGACGGCGAATGCAGAGCGTGGGAGCTCGGGATACCGCGACTGCAGTTTCTGGATGGCGGAGTCGGAGCGAACGAAGAGGCGGAGGTCGGAGTGCCCGGACTGGAGGAGCGCGTTGAGTACGAAGCCAGAGGTGCGTCCAGCGGCGCCGGTTATAAGGATGGTCATCGCGTCCTGAACATGTGGGTGCTAGTCCTGTACATGATCGTCAATCTACAAGTCCGAGACACGGATGCGAACGCACTTTACGTGTATGGTCTTGCGGCGAGTAGGGCGGTGTAGCTGCTGTTGCTGTTGCTTTTAGGGCGAGAGGTTAAAGTTACAGAGGGACACTGTGAAGCAGATGTGTTGAAGACGACTTGCAGTGCTTGGAGTCAGCTTTGGTAGCGCTCCCAACAAATGATGCTGCGGTAGACGTCATCGTTGCTGGCCGTTGAAACCGTCCTCAGCCGTCAAGAGCAGACAAATATGATGTTTGCTGTCCAGGTATCCAATCGGCCGACAACGAGAGTCTTGGCCTGTATAATTGCTTGAGTAGTGAGGTGGGTGGGTGGCAGTGAGAGTCATGTAGCACAGGCGCCTGAGAATTGTAGAGCCACGGACAACCTCGACGATCGGTCGCCCGATACACGATCATTTAGCCACTGCGGCGTGCTGCATTCCTTAAGGCCTTTCCAACCCGACATCCCGCACGATGTCTTCTAGGACTGCTAGTCAACAGACTGCCGACGCACTTGAGCGCGCGTTCACCATGTAGAAGCTGATGCACAACATTGCACAAGCCTGACGCAGGTTCCCTTCCCCCTTGAGTCCGCGGCTGATAGTCCGGACGCTAGTGTATACGAGCACTACTCAGTGCTAGCGCGTATCCAGCTTGTGGAATACCACATGTCGCGCACTGACTGCTAGTTAAAGGCGGACGTGTGTCATGAATATGCAGCGACCGCATGATAGGACTACTGCACCGCGACCGGTTCCTCATCTCCAGCCGGCATTACCTCGGTCTTTACTTGGGTCCACAAACCTGAATACATTTGCCATAATTGCCATCCGTTTACATGCGTGCACCATGATCATGCGCCCTTGACCCTCTCGTCTCTCGTTGTCGTGACGCGATCTCTTGTTGTACAATGCTCTTGCGAGACTGCAATGTGCACCGTCGTGTCGATCCTGTCAAGCAAAATGAACGGTGCTACTTTGACGAGAAGCACACATAACCACCCACTGCACGTCTATAGTGTCCAGTTCTACACCGAGACGGTCGGAAATCCCCCTGACATGTTGACGTATGTTGAGCCTGAGAGCGATGGATTAGATGGTTCGCTCCGGCAGCAACAAGTATGACGCACGATGCAAGTATTGAGTTTACGTAGACTGTCAATCGCCATGAGATCCAGTATAAGCGCGGCAAGCAAAACCTCGACGCATACTCGAGTTTCCAGGAATGATAGTGAGTACCGAAGGTACTGCTTCGCTATGGACTCCTGCCCCGAACTAATCGACATGCACATCTTGAGCAAGCTGTTCGCGTCTTGACCACATAACGTCCTCACCGATATACAAGAGGCAAGCTGGAATAAGCTGTAGGAGCATAAGCGGACACTACGCTGAAGTCTATGGTAAGAAGGGCATACGCGGTGACTATGCCTCGGGTAACCGCAAAAGTCATCAGGCTCGATATCATATTCTCGGTTCTGCACGCGATGATCAATGCAATGATCAGCTGCCATGGGTGGATGCCGAGGCTCTGGAACATACCGTGCAAGCCCCGTCTTGCGCTCATGTAGCACCATACACAAGGCAACGGTGATATAAACATCGGCGGCAAACGACGCGGCCAATCCTAGTACTCCAGCCACCTGGGGCAGCGGTGGCATGAGAACATTTCTCAAGTATCCCCAATTCTGCGCACCAAGTTGTTCGGGATAATTGTGTACGCGTAGGTCTCGCCGTACCTGTTATGGTTCGAGCACGATGAATAGAGAAGCAAGGCGACAAATTGAGACTCACATGTTCACCGTTTGTGCTGATATCACGTTGAATAGCTAACGGTCATCGTGGATCACAGGCGGTTCCTTGTACTCACCTACACCACATGCTGATAAAGGCAGCTCGTCAGGGAGACTTTGAGACAGCAGCAGAGCATACGAACCAAAGGCCAATAATGCCAATACAATCTAAGATACAATGCAAGATGACGTCAGGCACGTATTCAGCTCAAATCCTACATGCACACACCCCCAACAGTGTAGACACATTGCGGAATCGGCTGCCTTCTAGAACTGCAGCACTAAATCAGCATCACCTTCATATGTGATAGTGACCATAGACACATACGCCTCCATATAGTGCTGATAAAAAATCTACACTCAGCGTTATCAACATGCGAAAACACGAAGGCCGCATAGAATATTTAAACCGACCCTTGCACCGCAATGATCGTCGTTTTCTGTCGAAGGTGAGCCATTACATCTACATCGCCTCACTGAAAGCTCACCGAAAAAATAAATTCAGTCTAGACTCGTACCTTAACCGGTCAGAGTAAGATTTCGGATCATTGACACAGCTTACTGCAAAGGACCTGTCAAGGTGGTGAGTGCTTAAGCATTGAGAATCCCACATGAGCTTACGGAGGGCAAATAATCACGAAGTCGACGTCTGCGTGATGCTCGATCGTCCAGAACCAGGTCATCTGCAGATGATGAGAGTACAGGCCACTGACTGTCTCGCGAGCAGACGGACCGCAATGTCGAGAATGGTCCTCCCAAAGTCAAGTAAACTACCAATGCACTCGTGAAGACCATTCATAGTGGGATGTAGACATGTCACATACAGCAGACCAACTACCTATAAGGGGTATCAAAATGAGCGACAGTGGGACAAGCTCCACTTCACAACGACGCACGTATGCTTTCAGCAGTCGTGAATCTTCCGGATAGTGCCTGAAATAGTATAGCGTCTGCGCTATGGATATGCCATACAAGCTGTGTGCGTTAGATGGGCATCAACCGGGTCCGGGAATTTAACACGCACAATATGGAGAATATCACAGCAGAGAGAATAAAGCCGATCCAGTAGTTGAGGTCAAAGCCAGACATAGGGCAAGTAGGGCAACCGAGCTCTTTGCTACGACCTGTACGCAGGGACACTTATGTAGTGAGCTGCGTTTTTTGGTGAGCAAGCAAGCAGCATATGAGGCATTTTTTTCACATGCACCTGGCAGACTGACATGTCAATCCCTCTGATGAAACAGCAAGAAAGATATGTCACTGTCTCTACCCCCAAATGTGTCCAAGGTACTTGAAATATGAGCGAATACCAAGGTGATTACCGGACCATTCACAAGATGTGTCGTGACAGGGATCTATCATATGTACATCAGGTGATCCCGCGAACCTTACGATAACAAGGTTAGATGTAGACGACTGAGACATGAATGGAAGTTGGTAAGGGTCTCCGAAGTTGGGTCCGGGTTCGGGCTTCTTAGGCTCTGAACCTGAAGCTGAACCTCCGACAATGGCGTCGGACCAAACCTGAACCTCCGACAATGGCGTCGGACAAACCTGAACGTGGACCTAACCTGCCGAGCGGGTCCAGCAGGACCGGCACAAAATCAATCCAGGTTCAACCCGCACAATCTTGTGCTCGAGCTGTGCGCAGCGCTGTCAAGCCTCGACTGCCAGGGTCGCTGGAAGTCGCTGGCGCTACCGCACGTCCTCATTGCTCAAGCGTGCGCCCGCGCTTCTGCAGAGCCACGCACAGGAGAAGGCGGAGCTGCTAACAGCGCTTCAGCGCACGCAGGCGTGGGTTGGCGGCCGGTTCGTGTGTTGGGAGCACGCTGCGGACGCGAAGAGCGTTCTTCAGGCTCCTGCTACCAGGGTGACGTATTGGCGCTGTCTCCGCTCCCTCGCGCCGCTGCGCGTCAGGAACATGGATAGCGCGCTCGGAAGGGTCGACGAGAGCTTGAGGAGATGTGTTCGCACTGCTAATTACTGTTGATAGTAGGCAAGCATTTTGAACGCGTCCTTGGCGCTGCGACGCGTCGCGACAGTCAAGATCTATACGACGCGTTTCAGAGATAGAAATGCTTATGTAAGGCGAAATCGCGTCTTACGGTCAGGACCCCTCAAGTTGAGTCAGGCTAGCATGCCTTCATGTACGATGCGAATGATATGGCGAAATATACTCCAATGTCTCGAGACAGTCTTGTCTGTGGCGTGTCCCAGTGAACTATCTGAGACAACTCCACGATTGCGTTCTCGGCTGACGATGATGGCTGACGTCCGGCATTGCAACTGTGAGTGATTACCATTCCAAACTACATTTCATACAGACTCTGCTGGGACGTTCTATACTCCGCTGGACATTGGACGTGGATCTTCGACACGGCCTAGTATCCATTTACATTTGCCTAACACGCTCAATTGCCCGACATGCCCTCGCTATCCGTCGTCCGAGCGGCGAACGCAAAGTGGTCCCCCTCGAAACCACCCACCACCGTCTTTCTTGGCGGGACGTCTGGCATCGGCCAGGCCCTCGCGCGCGCGCTCGCTCGCTACACGGACGGCAACGCGCATATCGTCCTCTGCGGGCGCAGCCGCGCCACGGCCGACACCACGCTCGCGTCTCTCCCCCGGGGCCCCCACGCAAAGCACGCCTTCGAGCCCTGCGACGCCTCGCTCATGCGCGGCGCGGCAGCCACGACAGCCACGCTCCGCGCCCGCCTGCCGAAGCTCAACGTGCTCGTGCTCTCCCCCGGCTTCTTCTCGCTCCGCGGGCGCGACCCCTCGTCTGAGGGCATCGACCGCCGCCTGGCGCTGTTCTACTATGCGCGCTGGAAGTTCGTGCACGACCTGCTCCCGCTGCTCCGTGCGGCGCGCGACGCGGGCGAGGATGCGCGCGTCATGTCCGTGCTCGCGCCGGGGACGGGCGGCCGGATCGACCTCGACGACCTCGGGCTCAAGCAGCGGTACAACATCGCGCGTGCGTATCGCGCCGTGCCGACGTACAATGACCTGATGATCGAGGTGCGTGTGCACGTCCCCTGCGACGGATCGGAAAGGCTCACGTAGTATCTCGCCTGTATTGCAGGCGTTCGCAGAGCGCGAGCCCGGCATCGCGTTCACGCATGCATTCCCCGGGATCGTGCGTACGCCGATGATGGGCCGGCTCTTCCAGACGTTGCTGTACCCGATTGCGACCGCGCCCGACGTGTGTGCCGAGCACCTCTTGTACGCGCTGCTCGCAGCGGACCCGGGCGCGTCTCGGTGGGACAACAAGGGTAACAACATGGGGAAGACGCGGTACTACGGCTCGGATGAAGCAAGGCAGCGGCTTTGGGAGCATACGGAGCAGGAGATTGACAGGGCGATGAAGGTCGAGGCATAGGAAATCCCACAGATTTGTATGCCTTCCATTGATATCCAGGATGTTTGTGCACGGCGAGTTTCCGTACAAGTCTGCAATGTTCAATCAAGTCTACGGGCGCGAAGCAATGTGAATGCTTGTCAAGAACCTCTGCGTGTACTGTGCTATTTCCACCATAGATCCAGTCACGCGTCATGGCTCTCGCTGAACAAACCAGTCAATTGTCGCGCTGGTATGTAGCGCCAACATGGAGCTGTTGATTCTACCACTGCTTCTTGGAGTTGACTAGTTAGAAAGGTGCAGCGGAAGCACGTGAATCGTCGCGTACATTGCGATCACAGCTTTCTGATTGCCACCGTTCTGCCCGTTAGGCGCCTCGAGTTCGCTTCGTCCCTCTCGTTGAGCGCTCAGGCTTGAATACTCGAGAGTCTCACTGGCCGAGCCGTAGACAAGCGTTGTATTTTCTGAACGCACGTCAGGACGTACACCATGTGCACATAGAGCCATCAGCGTCCCGGCGCACCATGCCGTGAGTTGCGACAGATGTGCACCATACAGACTGGGCTGAGGGCATTCTCTGCAGGGGATATGTCACAGCCAAACGATTACGGCAAATTTAGACGGGCTGAGGGCATTGTCTTACAGCGTCTGCCATCAGCGACGACGTTGCAATAAATACAGGGTACGTTCTCTGAAGCTTCGGTCATCAACCAACATGGTCGTCGCGTCGCTCCTGCTCTTGAGCGCTGTCCCCTTCGCCGTTGCCTATCCCTGGGCAGCCCAGTCGGCTTCTTCCTTTGCAGGCGCAACGAGCACGGATGTCTTCCCGCCCCCCGGCGCGACAATCACAGCGGACGAGACGTACTTCCCGGATGCCGAGCAGGTCGGCTTCGCCGGCCCAACGCCCAGTAAATGCCGTGCAAGTAGTCGAGTGGTCGCTGTACTGATACTGTATACCATCCTTCAGCTGGCGCGGAGCCTGAGGCCATTCAGACTGCCCCGGTCGCACCGGTCAAGACAGACATCTATCCTTTGGTCAGCCCACACACAACTCCCGGGTTTAACCCTCTGCGCTATTGGGGAAATCTCTCACCGTGGTCCTCGGTCGGCGGCGCATTCGGCCTCCCGGACGCGTCCCCCCAGATCCCAGTCGGCTGCGAGCTCACGCAGGTGCACATTCTGCAACGCCACGGCGCACGGTACCCCTCGGGTGGGGACCCGAATGTACTGGCCGGCGCACTGCAGGCTGCGGTCGTCAATGGCACGGGTTTCACTGCGAAGGGACCCCTGGAGTTCTTGAATACATGGACATATAAACTCGGTGCCGAGATCCTGACACCATTTGGGAGGCAGCAACTGTGAGTGGGCGGTACTGCAATGATTGTCAATCGAGAGACTGATGATGTGATGGTCGATCTGACGTACAGGTATGATCTGGGAGTGGCTGCGAGGGTGAAGTATGGGGAGCTGCTGAATGGATTCACGTCGCTTCCTGTGTTCCGGACGACGTCTGAATGTGAGCGGCTTGTGTGATCATTTGTTCATATACTGACGATGGCGCGTCAGCCCGGATGGTTCAATCTGCGTGAGTAAGAAATTTCTTGGAGATCATTCACGACTGACGAACACGTGCTCGTGATCACGATTCTCAGCCTGAACTGGGCCGCTGGCTTCTTTGGCGTGGAGCACTACGAATCGTCCTATCACCAACTCATCATCATTGAGGATGAGGGCTACAACAACACGCTCGCACCGATAACTTGCACCGGCCCGGCGGACAACTGGTACTTCAGCAACTGGACGCAGATTTACCTGAAGAATACCGTAAAGCGCCTACAACAACACCTCGATGGCGTGGAGCTCAACACGGACATTGTCTTTGCGATGCAGGAGCTCTGCGCGTACGAGACGGTGGCAATCGGGTACTCGCAGTTCTGCGACCTATTTACGGAGGAGGAATGGAAGGGCTTCGAATACACCGTCGGTACGTATCCGTAGGTACCTCCTCCCGGGTGGTTGTTCTGACCATCTGCCCGGGTTCCGCAGACTTAGACTTCTGGTACGAAGTCGGACCAGGAAGCCCGATAGGCTCAGCGTGGGGCATCGGGTACGTCCAGGAGCTGGTGGCGCGCTTGACGCAGACCCCGCTCACGGTGTTCGATACGACGACGAACGGCACGTTGGACGGAAATAACGTAACGTTCCCGCTGGACCAGCCAATCTACATGGACGCGACGCACGACTCAATTTTTGCAAGCAGTAAGTGTTGGGTATGCCGCATGCCCGTTGTGCGTGAGGTTAATGGTTGGATGCAGTCGCCATTGCAATGAATTTCACGACGATGGCGGCGAGCGGGCCTCTTCCCGTGGACCACATGCCCCTTGACTACGTGAGTACACGCTGGATCCCCGGCATTAGGTGGCTAACAAGTCGACGACGCACAGACGTACCACGTACAGCAAATCGCGCCGTTCGCGGCACATATGGAGGGGCAGGTCATGACGTGCCCCACGTCGAACTCGACGTCCGCATCGAGGGACAAGTACATCCGGTTCGTGCTGAACGACGGCGTGGTGCCGCTCACGGGCATTGCTCACTGCGCGACGCCGAACAAGGATGGACTGTGCCTCTTCGATAACTTTGTCGCGGGGATGAAGCAGCGCATCGAGGAGGTGAACTTCCAGTACGACTGCTTCGCGAACTATTCGGTGCCGTACCCAGACGAGCTGACGAACGGGCGGATGTGGGTGTGAGGAGTTAACAGTGGCTAAGCATCGCGGCTCCATGCCTGTTAGGATCGCCGGAGTCGACCATTCCTAATGTACTTGAGTAATGGTTGACCTAATTCAGAGTCGTCAGGTGACTGTAGCTCAGACTCCCAGCTTAGGACCTAAAGGTGAATACCGTATCTTGATGCTTGCAAGTACAGAAGGTGAGCAGGCACACCAGGCGATATGGAGTCGACGTCAGGGACAGGCTGCCCCCTCAGAGTGATAGACACTGATTTGGAAGGTGGATGCCCAGATTTGGACGCATCTCTCGAGATCTGTCATACACACGATCGATTGTATATTGTTTGAGCGCGAGCAAGTTGTCGACGTCATCGCGTCACATAATCAATTATTGACGTTGTCTTGCGTCACCTGTCGAGTCGGATCGGATACTGTATGTAAGGCTGGCATTATGCCGGTATTTAAGCTCTCTCGCCTTCCCCTCATCTTCCTACATCTCAGGCATGTAAGTCAGGGCGGACATGCGTCCCAAGTATCATGCACGCCTGCTTTTGTTTGATTTCACCCTGCCATAACGGTCCCTTGGTGCGCCAACCCTCTTGTGCTATGGAGACGATGCAGAAGCACGGGCTTCGGGTTTTTACATTACATGAACCTCGCGTCGAGATGGCTATCACGATTTCAGTCAAGCCGTCAGGAGACGGAACCTGTTGTTCATAAATATCGGCGACAACGACGTCCGATGTCAATACAACGACAGGGAAGCTTAGGGCCACGAACAAGTACTTTCTATTGCTACGTTACGTATGGGAGTACACGAGGTACCATGTTATATTTGGAATTATTCCAGCCAACTTGGGACTGACCAATCCGAGGCTGCGTAGGACTATATTTATGCGATCACGTTTTGATTGCGTACCTGGGCGGCGTCGAATATGACTTTGTGCGTATCGTCGTCGCGTCCGTCGACTCGAACGTGCCCTCGATGTATACTACCCCTTGCATCGGTCAACGGCGCCCAGGTGCCAGTAAACGACCGCATGTACAGCTTGGAACGTGCTGGGAATTTACAGACCCGGCTCAGTCTCACACATCCTAGAACGCGTGCACCATGTGCACACTCATCTGGCGTTCACCTATCAGCACCCCGGCACACTTTGCCGCCAGCGGCCCCTGAGGGACCAGCATAAATATCTGTCGGTCTGCGGGGGTTACCCCCAGGGCCTCCGCCATCATCCAGAATGGTCGCTGCATCGCTCCTTCTCTTAGGCGCTGCCCCCCTCGCCGCTGCTTACTCCTGGGCCGCTCCGTCTGCGTCTTCCTTTGCGGGCGCAACGAGCGCGGACGTCTTTCCGCCCCCCGGCGCGACAATTACAACGGACGAGACGTACTTTCCTGATGCTGAGCAGGTTGGCTTCGCCGGTCCCACGCCTAGTCAGTTGCCTGTGAACAGCCGAGTCATCGCTGTGCTGACCGTGTGTGTCATCGCCCAGCTGGCGCAGAGCCTGAGGCCATTCAGACAGCTCCAGCCGCGCCCATCAAAACGGATACCTACCCACTGATCGACCCGTACACAATCCCCGGATTCAGCCCTCTGCGCTATTGGGGAAATCTCTCTCCATGGTTCTCGGTTGGAGGCGCATTTGGTCTTCCGGACACGTCACCCCAGATTCCAGTCGGCTGCGAGCTCACGCAAGTGCATATTCTGCAACGCCACGGCGCACGATACCCCTCGGATGAAGGCTCGAATGTACTGGCGGGCGCACTGCAGGCTGCGGTCGTCAATGGCACCGGCTTCACTGCGAAGGGACCCCTGGAGTTCTTGAATACATGGACATATAAACTCGGTGCCGAGATCCTGACACCGTTTGGCAGGCAGCAGCTGTGAGTGGGCGATATACAGTAACTGTCGATCAAGAGACTGATGATATGATGGTTGATCTGACGTACAGGTATGATCTTGGAGTGGCTGCGAGGGTGAAGTATGGAGAGCTTCTGAATGGATTCACGTCGCTTCCTGTGTTCCGGACGACGTCTGAATGTGAGCGGCATGTGGAATCATTTGTTCATATACTGACGATAGCGCGTCAGCCCGGATGGTTCAATCTGCGTGAGTTTGATGATTTCAGCAATATTTATGTCCATTCATCTTTTGTAGCCTTAATTGGGCCGCAGGCTTCTTCGGTGTGGAGGTTTACGAGTCGTCGTACCACCAGGTCATCATCATCGAGGAAGAGAATTATAACAACACCCTTGCGCCGTGGAATGCATGCAACAACGCGAACGGCCCGATTTACGAGATGGGCAGCTGGTACCAGGGCAACTGGACTGACGTTTACCTCAAGGATACTGTAAAGCGCCTGCAGCGCGACCTCATCGGAGTCGAGCTTAACACCGATATCGTATATGCGATGCAGGAGATGTGTGCGTACGAGACCGTGTCAATTGGGTATTCGCGATTCTGCGACCTGTTCACGGAGGAAGAATGGAAGGGCTTCGAGTACAGCATCGGTATGCAGTCCGTAGCGCGTCGTCCTGTGTCCAAGGGTGATCTGACAGAGTGGGCGTGGAACAGATGTGAACTTCTGGTACGGCGACGGCCCGGGTAACCCCACGGGTGCAGCGCAGGGCATCGGTTACGTGCAGGAGCTGGTCGCGCGCTTGACGAAGACTCCCCTCACTGTCTTCGACACGACGACGAACGGCACGCTCGACGGGAACAACATCACGTTCCCCCTCAACCAGCCGATTTACATGGACGCGACGCACGACACAGTCATCGCCAGCAGTGAGTCGTGCGATGACAAAATTACATCCGACTATCGCGCTGACGTACGCGTATAGTTGCTACCGCGATGAACTTCACCACGATGACGGCGGGCGGACCTCTTCCTGTGGACCACATTCCCCTTGACAATGTACGTATATGTCGAGCGATCCTGCTGGCAAAGCACACTGAGCACCGCCTCGTGCAGACATACCACGTCCAGTACATCGCGCCGTTCGCGTCGCACATGGAGGGGCAGGTCATGACGTGCCCGACGTCGAGCGCGCCCTCGGCCCCGAAGGAGACGTACATCCGGTTCGTGCTGAACGACGGCGTGGTGCCGCTCACAGGCATCGCGCACTGCGCGACGCCGAACAAGGACGGGCTGTGCCGCCTCGACGACTTCGTCGCGGGGATGAAGCAGCGCATCGAGGAGGTCGACTTCCTGTACGACTGCTTTGCAGATTACCCGGTGCCGTACCCGGACCTGCTGACGAACGGGCGGGAGAAGCTCTGAGTGGAGGAGGAACGCGGGGAGAGGCGTTTGTGGGCGAGCATGGTGCCAAAATCACACGCGTTCAGGACTGTAGGACACGAGCACATGACGCATATGGTGTACAAAATTAATCGTGTAATATGTGTTGTCTCGCCGGACAGCACCACGAGGAGTCGATCATGCACCAATATCGTTGCTGTTCGTGCCTGCCATACGGGTCGTATCGCATGAGCTCCGACCTCAGGCCATATATTGCCTCAAGAACATAAACGTGCAAATTTGGTGCGCATTGCCGGTTCATATGGCAGCACCACTCATGTTCCCGGTGTAAGCGCATCTCGTGAATATCGAGATAGCGTTTATTTCAATTGCGGTGACTAGCGCTAGTTACAGTGCGCGGGCGTGCAGGGTGTTCCTTCACCAATTCAAGTGCAGTACCTTGCCTGTGCAATCCTCACAATACTGGGTCCATAGAGCTTAGGATAGGGGAGACAATGACATCTAGGAGACTACATAAGCCAGGAATCCGCTGCGCCTCAAACTTACTACAACTAGCTACAAACATCAACAAATTAGGCTCAGTCGAACCACTTACTTGGTGGAGGTTGTTAAGACTACTACCCTCGCACACCAGAACCTTGGCATGCACTACCTTGGCATGCACTACGACTCGAATCTCTGAACGGGATAAACTTTGCATTTGCGCTATTCTTCCAGGGCTGCCAATAAATCATGAGACTTCACCCGAATGTCGTTGATTACTAAGATATGCATCACACGCGCGTCGCGCTGACTCGTGAACTGGTTAAATCACCGAACACTCAGTCAGATCATGCACCACCGTCACTGTTTTACAATTCGCCGCAGGGCAGCGGAAACCATAAGCACACATGACAAGCATGATTTCGCAAACCTCACTTCCTCAAGACTCTCCGGCGGGACAGCGATACGTCTCTGTGTATGCGCTACACGCTGGCTCGATCTTTCTCCCCGATAGCGATGTCTTCGAAGACAGCATCGGCAAGGATGGGGGCCTGACGGTGCCGAGCTTTGCATTCTTGATTGACCATGAAGTGCATGGTAAATTCATGTTCGACCTCGGGCTGAGGAAGGTATGCGTATTCTTTGCTGTATCGCCGCGATCTTCATTTGATGCTCGTGAAGGGCGGGAAAGGGTACCCACCAGCATGGGACGAGACTCTGATAGAGCTCAAGGTGGACTGTTCAAAGAATGTCGCCGATCTCCTGCAGGAAGGCGGCGTCCAACCTAGCTCGATCAATTCCATCATCTACAGGTACTCTAAAGCCTGCGGCCCGTGCGTTCCTGTGGTTGATCTCATGCGCATATAGTCACCTCCACTTCGACCACGTCGGCGATCTCACGCCTTTCCCACATGCAGAACTCATCGTGGGCGCGGATACTGCAGCGCTCATGCAGCAGACCTATCCAGGGGATCCCACAAGCCTCTGGCCCGAATGGCCGGCGGGCCAGAAGGTGCGCTATCTGCACTTTGGAGACGCTGACGCACCCGCTCGTCCTATTGCTCCCTTTCATTCTTTCGCGCGCGCGCTCGACTTGTATGGCGACGGGTCGTTCTACCTGCTAGACGCACCGGGACACCTTCCAGGGCATCTTGCGGCGCTCGCGCGCGTCTCGCCGAATGCATTCATCCTCCTCGCGGGCGATTGCTGCCATAACCGCCAGTGCTACACCCCAGGTGTGCGCCTCGTGAGTCGAGAGAACTACCATGATATCGAAACCGCGCGGGACACGGTGGAGAGGCTGAAGCGGATGAACGGGGAGCCGAACGTAGTGCTTGTGCTCGCTCATGAGAGGGAACGGCTCGAGGACAGTATGCCTCTGTTCCCGCAGAGGTTGAATGAGTGGGTCACTACGGAAATAGTTCGAAAGCGCCACGAGTGATTCATTGTGATGTAAGACGTAGGTATTGGTACGTTGTTCATAGCTTCAATTCTATGTCTAGACATGCAATGACCTCGCCTTATAGTCACCTTGCAGGCTCATCCTTGCTATTGTTCCATTTGTATGTGCCTCTGCATGATCGTGTTTGGGTTAGACCAGTCAGCTATCTGCGCATCAAGGGGCTAGTCTGCATTGACCTTTCTTGAAGACAACGCCTCTGCTTCTGCGTACGATGCAACCAAAAGCGCAGCACACAATGAAGGAGTACTCACCGAATAGCATGCACAAAGCCAGCTAGCAATTTTCAGATGCAGATTCTGCCGTAAGTCATCTTAGATTCCATACATGTTCTGGCCGCCAGTCAGCTGTGATGGCATGCAGTGACTATCGAGGTAATTAGTCCGCGTAACAGCGTTTGCATTCACTACTACTTATACAAGTCGAAAACGCCGCGTCCGTATGTAACAACCCCTTTGACATCTTACGATGTTGCATTCTGCCTCTACCATGTAAGTCAGCAACCTACAAGTATGAGTCTTCCGCTTACCAAACAAAAGATGAGCCATAACATTACATTCTTTTCGGATGCTTGATAGAAGTTGCAGTTGGTCTAATTAAGATCCTCGGAGGAATCAAGGCGCTATACGGCAGTGGAACTATTTAGGGTGGTATGTCACGCATGGCTGGCCCCCTTTCGATGACACCTGTGAGTACATCCGTGCGCTAATGGTTTGCTTTCAGGCTGCTCATAAGGCAGCGTTCACCAAGATGAAGCATGCTTATCTGGCAGATTTCAGGTTTTGTGAATATACCAGATACAGCTGATTCTATTCGTATTCGTATGCCAATACAACGCAGCTTTTGTATACGAAATATGGCAGCAGTCGTTTAGTTTAACACAAGACGCCGTATGTATGTGCTCATTGGTAGCAATGTTCATCTTTAGTTTGACTGCACAGCCTACCTCACGCTTACTGCTAATGGATTTAAGTAAGCTATATAAGGAATGCGAAGGAACGGCTGTGTTTAACTGATGGCCCACTCATCGGATGAAGAAGGGCTATCAGTCCCCGAGCTACAGTGCGTCTATGCTTTCACTGCTTGATCTTATTTACACTGCATTGCATATTGTTTTTCAGGTGATCTATTCTCGTCGCGACCGCTGTTCAAGTGTTCCAATAGGCTGAAACACGCATGGACTCAACTCTTGGGTGAGTGTGGTCGTGATGTTACACACGTTCATGACCAAGGCGTGCTAGGATGCAACTTGAGATTGCCGGTGACATCCTTTAATTATCATTAAAACGGGCGCTCTATTGTAGGCTGCCTGAAATTACGTGGATTGCTCTGCCTGAACTAGCGCCAGCCAAGTAAATCGCGTCCTAACTGTGCACAAAACCTGTGAGCGCAACGTCTAGTCCGTAGCGTCTGAGCCGTTACCTGACAGCTGCGCTCGTCGTAGGACACGGCACAGCAATGGAAAAGTCGAAGTCTGTTCGCATTGCCCACAGTTGTCAAGCCCATTTGTCGCAGCATCATTACGACTCCCCCCCTTCACTGTAGCTTCTTGAAGTTTAGATCCAGCTGTACGTACACTGCTTCCTGTGAATAAGTACCGTTGTTTATGACGGCATCAATACCTCTTGGACAGGTGTCCTCTGGCGCGAATCAAAGTGCGCGATGACTGAGCAATTGCCAGCGGCTCAGATTCTATTGATGAAGAAACTCTGCAGGAACGTCGCAACAACGCCAGATGCCGACTCCTTTCCCATTGCGAACTGGTTAATTACCACGGCTATCAATCGCTGTCGCACTAGCAGATCCGTTGTGTAGTGAATTTTTGTAATCAATCTGGGCGGCGTGCAAGCAGCTGTCGCCGCCAATTGCCGTGCAGAACTAATGTCTCTTGACAGTACTGCGATCTTACAGTGCGCAGAAGACTCCTGCGTACAAATACTCGCGGTGAGGACCATGAATATGCATCCCCGCTCAACACCAAATCCGTTGCACTACTATACTAGCAACTATACGTTTCGAATATGTCAACCACTGTCGTCCCGAAGCTCTTCCAGCCTACCAAGGTCGGGAAGACCGTGCTCGCGCATCGCGTCGTGATGTCGCCGATGACGCGCTGTCGCGCGAACGCTGCACACGTCCATGGAGACCTCGCAGTTGAGTACTATGCGCAGCGTGCCACGGTGCCTGGCACGCTTCTGATCACCGAGGGCACGATCATTGTTGGGAAGGCCGGGGGTATCCCGTTCGTCCCTGGCATATGGAGCGACGAGCAAGTCGCTGCCTGGAAGCGGGTAAGTGCTCTAGGCAAGAGTGCTCATTCGTTGACCGAATGCTGAATGGTGTTGTCGCGTCCATCAGGTGACTGACGCGGTGCATGCGAAAGGCTCGCGCATATTCTGCCAGCTATGGGCTATCGGCAGAGCTGCGGTGCCCCAAGTCCTCGCTGCAGAGGGCTACGAGTTTGTGTCTGCCTCTGACATACCCGTCAAGCCGGACTCCAAGGTACCCCGCGCTTTGACCATCCCCGGTAGGGTCTTCCTCACTCTTGGCGTCACGATCACCCATCTGACGAGTACGGGGAATACAGAGATCAAGGAGTATGTTCAGTTATACACGGATGGTGCCCTCAACGCCGTGCGCGCGGGCTTTGATGGTGTCGAGCTGCACGGCGCAAGCGGGTACCTCATTGACCAGTTCACACAGGATGTGAGCAATAAGCGCACGGACGAGTACGGAGGCTCGATAGAGAACCGCTGCCGCTTTGCGCTCGAGATCATCGAGTCTGTATCGAAGGCAATAGGCGCTGACAAAGTAGGCATCAAGTTCGGTCCTTGGGTTACCCTCCAGGGTACGTAACTATTCTTGACGTCGTGATACGTTCCCAATATTGAAGTTTTAATTTGACAACAGGAATGCGCATGGCGGACCCCAAGCCTACTTACACCTACCTCGTCTCCCGCATCAAGGATTTGTATCCCGAATTTGCGTACATCCATGTCATGGAACCGCGTGTCGATGGCAACGTCGATCGCGAGGTGCAGGCGGGCGAGGTGAATAGTGCAATGAAGACTCCTTGATCTGCCATTGATGCCAGTCTTCCAGTCTAACGATTTCCTCCGTGAGATATGGCTCCCGCGTACCTACATCGGCGTGGGTGGATACACGCGGGAAGACGCCCTTGAACAGTGCGAGAAGACTGGCGAACTGATCGCATTCGCGCGTTCCTTCATCTCGAACGTCAGCACTACTACTGCCTTATACACCATATATCTGGGGCTGACCAATTTGCACCGCATAGCCCGACCTGCCTCTTCGTCTTGCCAAGAACCTGCCGCTCACCAAGGGTAAGCGGGAAGACTACACACCGCCATTCGATGGTAAAGGATACATAGACTTCCCATTCGCGGAAGAGTGAATGGGTCTCATCATTGTCGGAAGCGCACAGAACTGCCGCTCAGTGTCCGACCGTTATGTTTTCAATTAGAAGTATACATTATGCAGTATCAGACATATGTGTAACGGGTATTATTATTTTGAAGATGACTTGTGTATGCGGTCTCCTTCTGTCACTAGGCACGAGAACCACAGGCGACCGAGACACGATCGGTTTCCCGTGTTCATTGTCGTGGCAAAGCGATGCAGCGAGCGCGCTTGGCGACACTAGACTATTGCTCCGCCCGGCCCTGTCGATCGCGCATGAGCAGGAACGATTTTAATTCAGAGAAAGTACCGCTTATAGGTGATACTTCAACGTCGGAATTCCACATTTTTTCGATACCCGGACCTGCGGACCGACGAGACTAGTCTAGTGGAAAAATCAAGACGTTACACTGAGCACTCAGTAGTTGTCGAAACCTTTTGTGTTCTCAGCGGGCGGTTGTTCGGTGAGAAGTTGTTTGTTTTTGACGCACGCGGCACCTCTCGTGAAACTGGCAATATAACGTTGCACACATAGAGCTCATCGCTTTGAAGGCTTGCGATATGATCGAATCAATCCGGTTGACAGCTGTGCAGATGTGTGAGACATTACAGCCAGCCATGTTTTCTGAAGCGGCCTGATATCCCGTGGCACACCCTGATCGGTCGCCGGCTGCCATCTTCGCATATGAGCGCCAACGCGCTCGTCTTTAATGCGGTCTCACGAGGAACGGGGATGATGACCGCCTTTTCCCGCCAGGTCTACCGGAAGTGTGCCGAATGGAGGATATAGAATATATAAAAGCTGAACATGAAAGACGTTTGGTGCTCACGAAGCACTTCGAGTCGATATGGTCTTCATCCGAACGTACGCATACAGTTTCACTCCGCAGCAACGACACTAACCTTCAGTTGTGCACAATCGGTAGAGCTCTCGCACTTACCGCGTTCGTGGCCAGCCCTTCTGTCTGCGGGCTCAGGCTGCTAACACCCACTGGAGCCTATCCCGGCGGGGTCGTTGAAGAGAGTTGGGTGTCTGAGCCCTCTGATCCTGCGACCTTCTCTCTCCTCCTCTCGAATCTGAACACGCACGATACATACGCCCTCGTCGCATCCGTCATTACTTCTGCGGGACATGTGTACTTCACCACCCCCGACGTGCCGTCCTCGTAAGACCACCAGCATAACCCCCCTCGAGATCTGTACGACTGAACTTTGACTGGTTCATAGGCTTGACTACGTGCTAGAAGCGGTGAATGTCACGTACGTTTGCACTTTGTGGATCCTGCGGCTGAAACACATGCTGATCACCGGGTGTTATACGCAGGAACGACAACGTGGTGTACTCAACAACCGACCCTTTCGTGATCTCATGAGCGATCGATGACTCGGACCTGGCTGGCCACCAGCTGCTTCAAATGGTCAAAGCACTTTTTTCCTGGAGTCAAGTAGTCGAATGCGTAGTCGGAGTAGTATGCAGAGCCAGACGCATAGGGACAAAGATATTTGCTCGCCTTGTTTCGCAGCACGTATGAATCTTGCTAGTGAGCTATATCAATGTCTCTTGCATCCCAATGTGCCCAACGCCAGCGCAAGGAGCCAAGAAGAAGTCTTAGGGTGCCGGCGTTCTGCAACCCTGAGAACACCAATCTCTCGAACCGCTCATCGTATCGCCTTGATTCTTGCTGTGTTCGACTCTGCTCATCGTTCCGGAGGGCATGGTACCCATGACATCATGACTTGTCCATGCGTGGCTGTCGTCACCTCAGTGTCGTACCTTTGTTAACGAACAATGAGGACCGCTACAGCATCTGTGGGCGTAGCGCGCGTCTGAGTATATGTGCTTCGAAAGGCGATGGGGATGATGAACGCCCGCTCATTATTTTTCACTAGGTTATGATGACAGGATTGCATCAGAGTCATCACTCCATTCCGCCTAATTCGGCCTTGTAAAAGACCTATATATGCATAACATCAACGCCTTGACTGACATGACTGAGGGCACTGACGCATACTGGCTCATTGACTTCACGCGGCGCCATCAGATTTTAATGCAGCAGGAAACGAAAGGGCACGAGGCAGAAAAGCGATGCCGCGGGCGCGCTTCGCGACACTGGCCCATTGCTCCGCACTGCGACTTACGCCGGAGTTAGCCCCCCGAAACGTCTACTAAGATGGCCGCCTTCGCGTGAGACATCTATCATTGCCCAACGTTCAATCTCACAAGGAGTGGAGACCACGGCCTTGCTTTCACGTACGCGTGGATGTAGTATTGGGAACAAGTCTACAACCAGAGCGGCGCGTTCTAGGGGGCATGAGCGAGGTTTCGGATGGGGACCGATAGGTGCTATTTGAGAGTTGTTTGCATCTAGACATACGTCTCGAAACGATACAATCTGGACTGAACGTACGCACCTCGGCTTATAATGCAAGACAAGCGACATGAGCGAGCCGAGTTGCCACGTCAATTTAGCAGCTGCGCGCATGAAAGCAGTGTAGCGAGAGCGTTTCATGACAACGGATATTGACAGGTTCTCTTGCCTTCTCACGATGGACGACTTTGCCATCACGGAAGCTGTAGTGGACGGAGAAGATATAAGCCAGGGCCTTAAACGCACTGCGAAATTTGACAATACCGTCGAGTGATCATCATGGCCTTCTTACGCAGGTACGCTTTCTGCCTTGATTCCGAATATCATGTAATCTTGATTCCTCGTACTGCGCCTATGGCGTGTAGTGCCTGCATGCTTGCCGCCACCATCTTAGCTATCCCTCTTGCCTCTGCTTCTGGGATGACGGTCAACCTTACCACGCCGACCGTGTGGACGCGCGGCACGAACGTCAACGAGACCTGGTCGTCGGGTGTCGGGCCCTATAATTCCGGATTGTTTAACCTGCTCCTCGTCAATACCAATGATACGGGAGTGACCCAGTATACGCTCGCTACGAATGTCCCCGCCTACTACGATATAACATATTTCACAGTGCCGACAGATGTGCCCGTCTCGTAAGATAATCCAAGCTCGATACTGTGGCTGGACAGGAGCTGACGAGTTTCATGCTTTAGGTCCAATTACACGTTGCAAGCGGTGAACCTCACGTACGTGTAGTCTTCCTAACCTGAAACGTCCTCTAACGCGGTGTGCACATGCAGGAACTATGAGGACATATACGACCAGAGCGGCACGTTCTCTATAGATTGAGTGCATCTAGCCGGGTGGGCGCCGTTCGGGGAACAGTATGCGCACCGTATGCTATCAAGTCCTTATAGGACCTGTTTGCGTTGTCGTTCTGTATTTATGGTCCGTTTTGGACTCTCATAGTGCCATTATCACTTCGACAGCCTGCGATTAGTCTCCTGAGAGCAGAGCGCAATGCACTTTCTTCAACATAAGCAGGATGCTGCGATGTGATCGGAGTCACGAGCCTGTTTAAAATACGGTTGGCAGCTGTGCAGGTGTGCGAAGCATTGCAGCCAGCCATATTCTCTGAAGCGGTCTGATATCCCGCACATCCTAATCCTGGTACGTCGGAGGTCGCCTGCTGCCGTCCTTCTATGTGAGCGCCAGCGTGCTTCTCTTTGATGCGGTCTCACAGGAATTATGACCGCCTTTTCCCGCCAGGCAACTGTCTGCTTAGGATGTCAGAATGGATGAATATAAAAGCAGAGCATGAAAGATGCTTGGGGCTCACGAAGCATTGTCTGCACCTCCCGTCATGGCCATTCGAAGGTACACATACCGTCTCACTCCGGAGAAGCAACGCTAGCCTTCATTTGTGCATCATCAGCAGTGCTCTCGTACTTGCCGCGCTCGTAGCCAGCCACTCTGTGTGCGGGCTTGGGTTACAGACACCCGCTGTAATCTATCCCGGCGCGGTCGTTGACGAGAGTTGGGTGTCTGAGCCTTCCGATCTTGCGACCTTCACTCTCCTCGTCTTTAACTCGGACCTGGACATTGCATTAGCGCTCGTCGCATTGGTCAATACCTCTGAGGGGCATGTTCACTTCACCACCCCTGATCTGCCGTAAGACCATCAACATATATCTCCTTGGAATTTGCATGACTGAACTTAAACCGGTCCATAAGACTTAACTACTTTCTAGGAGCGGTGAATGCCACGTACGTTTGCGGATAGCGCATCTCGTGGCTGATCACATGCTGATCACTGGATGGGATACGCAGTGCCAACGACGAGATATACGCAACAACTACGCTTTTCTTCATTGCGTGAGCAATCGACGACCTGGCTGACGGGCGACGGCTGCTTTCAGTGCATTTCCAACACTGTATTTGGCTAGGTAGTTGAATGCAGTCAGAGTAGTATACAGAGCCGAGCGCGTAGCAACGCAGATAGTCTCTCACCCGATTCGCAGCATGTATCAATCTCGGTAGTGAGAGAATCAATGCCTCTTGTGTTTCAATGCGTCTCGTTGGTGCGAGGAGTCAAAAGTAAAGTCTTATACCTTGACGGTTGTAGAACACACGCTCTGGGGGTCTACGTTGTGAAGAGACAGCATAATACGGTGCATCTTGGCTGGGGAATGATAATCTGAATGCCGGCATAGACGAAGACATCAAGGGGAGTGTACCTGCGCCAGTCAACGAATTAGGTCCCATGTGTTCAAGAACTTGGGAGTGTGGCAAGCGCATGCCATCGTATTCGGTATTGTTTGTAGCACCTTGCAGGCTTTGCGCGATCCTCTCTGTATGTTTTCTACATGTTTGAGGTTGAAAATTTGCACCGGATGGAAGCTATAGCGCATTATATACGTACACGTGTTTGTAGTGAGCTACGGCAATGTCTGATGCGTAGTGCGCCACAACAGGCTAAGGTAGGTTTCGAGCAACATCACAAAGTCGCAAATTCTGCTTTAAATGTGAAGGATATTATTTGAGGCAGACAATAAGAAATCGGAAAACAGGAAGACTTGCGGAGGTCATTGTTACACAGATCCCTGCTTCTCGATCTGTTCTAAAATGTGAAGAGCGTTTGAAAATAAATTTGTAATAGTGTACCGGAGCGTTGCTGAGGAAAGAAGCGCGCGAACTCTTCTCTCGAGTGCCATGCTCCGTTCAAATTGACCTACATCATGACAAGGAAGCGCCCGAGCCGCATCCCACTCATAGTAAGACTACTCAAGTACTCAATAGTAGTGACATGTACCACAAGGCAGCGAGTACTCTTCGTACGTGCCGTGAACCAGGCATACGGGACTAAGACGACGTCTGGGAGAAGTCATTCAAGTCGGCAGATAATGGTACATTGCGTATCTATAATCAATTGAGAGATAAAAAGTCTAACTGCGTGAGCTACGTTCTACAACTTGGCTGCTCGACAACCCTGGAAGGGGGATGCCCTCTTCATGCAATCTCCCTTCGAGGACGCCAACAGGACCACACCCGACAAACCCTATCAAGGAAAAGGTGAGAGACTCGAGAATCACAGACCAATCTCAAGGGAATAACATGCGTGAGTATGTGAAGCAGTTCAGAGCTTCGTGAAAATCAGTCCGACGACAACAAAGATGATCGTCGAGGGCGGCGTCACAATGCAATATGACCAGAAGATTGTCCGACTAATCAGCCGCTCGAACGCATCCCCAGACGCTGCCTGTGTGATCTGCGCCAGCGTCAGCGCAGGCGGCGACGCAATCAGCAGCACGTTCGAGACCACGAAGACCGGGCTGTTGCATTTCGTCAGCACGACGCGCACATGAACCCAGATGAACCACCTACTCAGCAAACACCTCCTGCACGTCAAACTTCGCCGCATACGCCATCAGTGGCAGCAGCAGCAACGGCGTCACGAACATGCGCGCGACGACCGCCACCAACACCGTTTTCGTCTCGCCAGGGCGCATCTCGCTGCTCTTCGGACGCTGCTCCCCGTCCCACCGGCGCATGCTGAACATCTCGCGCATATTGTCCATGAACGACGCACAGCTCGCCATGCTTGGGCTCCGCGCCCGCGCCTGCGTCTTGTGCGATGGCAGCCTCGCGCCCGCGCCCTCCTCCGGCGGTGTGTAGAAGTACGCGCCAAGCACGACGAGCGTGAGCGGAATCGAGCAGTTCCCTGCCGCGGTCAACGCGCCCTTCACCGGCTGCACATGCTCGTCTAGCGCGTGCTGCAGCGGCCGGATGCAGGCGACGATCAGCGACAGTATCGCCGCCCAGAGCGGTACGGTCATGAACTCGTAGAACGTGTTCCACCATCTGCCCAGCCGGTGCTTCAGACGCCGCATCCGGGACTGCCATAATGTCGATGTCGGCTCCGTAATTGTGCCCCGAGCAGGGTATCCAACTTCCTCTTCCTCTTCGGCGTAATACTCCGAAGGCGCAGCTGACGCGGATGCCTGCGTTCGCGAACTGGGGAAGGAGGATGAGTTTGGGTCCTTGACCGCATAGTCTCGCCCCCGCACGATGGTCTTGGAGTCGTCCGAGTCCGACTCGGATGACTCAAGTGACGCTCGATGGCGGAGTATACGCTGTTCATCCTCCGAGTTTGGGAAGGCAGTCTCATCAGACTCGATAAGCGGTGCCGCCGGCCGCGCTTCCGCCTCAGAGGCCTCTGGATCTGCGCTTGACAGTAGGCGAACACCATAACTCCATCGCAGCTGTAGTAGTGTCAAGCATGTACAGTCCTTCAGCAGTAGATAAAGACTTACCATCATGCCGAGCGTGGAGTACAGCACCAGGTAAGTCAAGGCCCTTCCTACCATAGCGTTATTATTATCGTCTTCGCCCCATTTCAGGCCTGGAACAGTGAGAACGAGACTTTGCATCAAGGCGATCGGCAAAGAATTGGAGTTCATGAACATCGCGGCGGCAATCGCAAAACTCCTACAGGTGAAATAAGACGTAGTCAGTCATGTGTCACCAAGGTTATACCCTGTATCAAGTCTCGATCCAGGACAGGTACCGCAGATCCGGAAGCGCTTCGCGACCACTGCAAGGCAAGCCCAAAGTGACGGCGCTGGTCCAGTCCTACCAAGCAAATGTAGATTCAAAAGACCCACAAGCCTCAATCCGACACAGCTGAGGCATGATACGAAACATCGTTGAGGAGGTCTGCGCCTTGACCGTTGGTCGCGGACCTTCCACGGGTGAGATGGGGGCATGGTGGTCTTGCGACATATGCTCAATATCTCTGCTGAAGATGATCGCATGGCGATTGGGCAACTCCGACGTCCAAGTCTCATGCTACTTAGTCCGTAGCGTGCGGATGCCGCACAATTATCGACGAGAAACCACTCTCGACCGCGGGCGCCGCGACAAGAAAAACCGAGCTCACCTCTGCGATCTCTTCAGCCTCAACAACCAGCTCAGAAGGTACGCGACAATCATCGACACGGCCGTAGTGACCACGAAGAATATCGGGATGATCCATAGTTCACGAAGTTTGGCTACGCAACCCGGTCAGTGCAGGTTTGAGGACATTTGAAAAGAAAAGAAGGCGCACCTGGCGACAAGAAGAACGCGACCTTGGAGAACAGGAGCGAAGGCGTGAACAATGAGACATTTAGGCGGTTGATTTGCTGGGCGTCCGAATAAGTAGCGCACTCCGCATTCCTATTCAGACGGCATACCTTCTGCGTCTTCCTGTCAAGCACTCCTGTCCTGGCAAGAATATACCCTGCCACACAGATCAGGAATACCTCAAGGATTGACTACAAAGCGCCAGCCCGCGTCAGCACACTATCGCTAGCATTGTCAAAGTCGATGATCCCTTACGTCGAAGACAACCTGGAGGAGGGGTCCGATGGGGGTGTCGTTCATGAATGTAGCAGCGACTGGGATGGATGGTCTATGTTGCAGAGAAAGAACAATGCGAGGTGTCGCGCATCCAGGGCGGAGAGGGGGCGGAAGGTGCAGACTGAGCCCGGATGCGTCATTTGTAGCGTGCTGTGGGCCTGTGGCTGGGAGCCGCCGGCTTTGGCAGAGGTCAATCTCGGGCGCCTCCGCACCTCGCCCCATCTCACACTTTATTCTAACCGAAGTCCTCTGACACGTCCTACAGCGACAAAATCTACGACAAAGAATGCGAGAGGAACATCCAGTATTGCCTCCAAATTCCATGAGAATAGCGAAGAAAAGCAACGTAATCCCGCATTTGCAATTGGGCACACGTTCGCAGTTCTGAGAACAAACCAGATACGCGAACTACATATCGTGTGACGGCCCTTCATATCCAGGCTACCGCGACTCGCGCACAGGCCTACCGTCTCCCGCGATGTATAGCTTGCGTACCAATGAGCAGCGGTCCATTACAAGGCAAGAACATGCGTTTGACAACAACCACGAATGTGAACTACACTCTGAATGCACATATGTAAGTCACGCGCAAACCATTCACAACCTTGCAACACTTACAACCCAGTACTGTCCTGAGAAGGTCATGTGCAAAGAACCTCGGATAGGTCAGTTGCAGCTTCGAAGTTCTTGATTTCTTCATGATCACGAGGTGTTGCGTAGCAGCCTTATCCATTCGAGCTAGCCAGGTATGTGCTGAGATATGTTATTGATGCAATAACGAGACAGGTACGAGACGACGCGGATGAAGAGGGAACATACCATGCTACAAACTTGGTACGAATGACCAGTGAGCCAAGGTCTGTAGTCTGTAATCAAGGAGAATTGCATATTCACGGCATAGCCGAAGGATGCTCCGAAGACGTGCGCGTACGCAGAAGTTGCCAGATTCTGGCGACGGTCAGAGGGGCTCGTTCAAAGAGCCGGCACCCGTCCTTACTAATGTCAGGATGGGTTGCGACCGGGCATGGTCGGAGAGCGTGGAAGTCTCCAATGAGCAACAAACGGTGTAAGTGCAAGGGAAACCAGGGCATCTTCAAGGTTACAGTCGTCAGACGTAAGGGTGAGACATAGATTTTCGAATCAGACCTCGGTGTTCAAATCGAACAGCACAGTAGTTTCCGAACATTGTTAAGCCTCAGTGACAACCCAGCAGGCTCTAGATTAAGACAGTGCGCATGATGTAGGGGGCTTCAAGTTAGGCACAGAACACAAGCGCTAACCTCTATCTACGCGCTGCATCGTTCTTTCAGCAGAAGAATGACGACCCCAACCTTAACAATACACCCAGCTTTTGACAGATGTAGATGTTCACTGAGAGTGAGGCTGAGCACAATCGCGCTTGCAGGTCGTGAGCCAATTGCTGGCCTAAGGTAAAATGTAGACAGACATCTGAAACAGAACGTGGCCCACCTTGTTACCATCTTCGCGCTCTTGATGAAAGCTTCCACCCATGAGAGATGGCCATTCGCTGCAATTGACGAACAGCTCGAGATCTCAATCAATGCTTCGCGATACCGTGCGCGTCTCTCCAGCATAGCGCACAAGCTAGAGAAAAGGCGGTAGTCCAAGTGTTCATTTCCGTACACGCCGCCCTAGCGCGCCCTGGACACCGTGCCGACGGTACACAATTGGTGTGCGTTAAGTTCGTGAGCCCGAGGGCATCACAGGAGTTGATGGCACCGCGGCGTCACCGATTGCATAGAAATAACAACTCCGTGAAACGCCAGCGCAAGATTGCAATCGTGCTGCACCAGTGAGGAGACGCTGGAAAGACTTCCACCATCGGAAACAACTCATCTATAAGGGGGACAGTGGGACCTAAAACACGGCACAGAATTTCACCCCGATATCATGCGTTGGGCGCCGACGTCCTCGATCTTGAGAAAGAGAAAGGCCCAAAGTGGCGGAGCGCGCACGTTGAGGCGGAGAATAAGATAGTCCCAGGGCTTCGTATTCACGGTACAGAGCACTACGACCGCAAGGACGCTGTAGCGCGTTGCGCGGGTGCCGCAAGTTTCGTACCAAGCGCAGTCGGTGGCCTAGAAAGGCTGTGGCCGTCGAAGACGAGCCCGTTGGCGTCGAGGTCTAGAGACGACGCGCCCATGTAGCGCCCGTCGGTGGGGGCCCGCATTAAGGTTTGGTTCACAGCCTGCGACACGTGCACCCTTCTTCGAGTCGTTTGACCATCAAACCAACGCGCTCGCCGGATTGCTCAGCACGTCCTGCACCAAAGTTGTAAGTCACGGCCTTTTGCAAGCCTCGGAAAGCACGAAGTTGACGGGTGCGGTGCGCGAAGCAGTTGTAGCGGAACAAGAACGGAGTGGGAGCGAGCGTCGGTGAGTTCTGAGCGGCGACGAGATCGGGAACGAGATTTGAGTCGGAGTGAGCAACCTCCTCATGTTCTCCGCTACTGCTCTCGGCACCTCTGCATCCTATTCCATGCTCTCGTTCTAACTATATGCTCCCCATGCACACAGATAATTCGCAAACCGCAAGCCCAGCAGAGCCGTTGGAGCATACATCCCTTCGACGGTATCCTCACAATACAGCGATATGGCCAGCGAGCCAAACAAATCGTCCAATACGGGAGGACAGGAGCATGTTCAGCCACATCCACCCGTAGCATATCCCCAGCAGCAGTTCGCTGGCCACTATCCTCCTCCTAGCCCCTATGGCCCATACTTTGCCTACGCTCCCCTCCCCGACGGTTCTCACGACCCGAACGCCCCCAATGGCGCCCCGCCTCCGGGCCCATACCTCATGCCGTATCCTCCCCCGCCTCCGGGCATGATATATGCCTATGCCGCGCCGCCGCCACCACCAGGTAATTTGATGAGTCATCGTGTTTTTAGTGTAGTATATTGAACCAGCAGCTTAGGTTATCCTCCGTACATGCCCGGGGCGCAACCTCCGCAGAACACGCCTCGTCCCAAGCGTAAACAGGTTAAGATGGCGGTGAGTCCAGCGACTATAGCGTCCGAGAAATTTTCTTAACACCGCCGCCAGTGCACCAACTGCGCCGGTGCGTGCAAGCGCTGTGACGAGTCGCGTCCCTGCGAGCGCTGCGTTAAGTATGGTATTGCGGATACCTGCGTGGACGGTATTAGGAAAGAACGGAAGAAAGGCATCAAGCGCGGGCCATACAAGCGCAAGAACCGTACACAGAGCGGCGAGCAGGCTACGACAGGTCAGCTGCCATATTTTGTACCGAACCACTCAGTTTCACTCAGTGTGGTTTAGGTTTTTCGAGTCAGGCCAATAGCGACGATCAGGCTTCTCCTCCAGCGCCTTATCCCGTTCCTCCAGAGAGTAACTACTGGCCCTACTACTACCCGCCCCCTCATGGTTACGTGCATCCTGGGCATGACGCTCATGCTCATCCGGAAGGCACGCCCAACGGCGCAAGTCCGCACGTTCCTCATCCCCCGTATTATCCAATGCACCCGGTATATGCGCCATACCATCCTTACGCGCCTCCTGGCGCTGTACCGTATGCCACCCCGCCTGTGCCGCCGCCCGCACTGAGTACCGTCGCGGCGCCCAACGGGAAGAACAACGACCACACTGGCGCAGCAAGCGAAGCGAATGGCGAAGCTTCAGCGTCGAAGAAGAAGCGCTCCCGCACGAAGACCGGCGACGACGGCGGGGCGAAGGCCCGCAAGACCAAGTATCTGTCTTCGGATTCTCAGACTGACGGCGATGCCGGACGTGGGAAGGACCTCCATCTCGGCGGCCCGCCTGAGGGGGGGCCCGTCTTCAACGGGATGGACAGCAGGGCTATTGTGGCCGTTTAGCTCTCCGTCCCTGCCTCATGCCAGGCACCCACGAACACGCGTCTCCGCCCACGTCTGCCACTCCTGAGACAGGTTCATGACGGCTCGCAGCCATTTGTCTCGCCTGTACTTGTATCGCGTCGTGTTCATTCCCCTTATCGCTCCAACTCTATCGTGTTCTCGTATTCTGTACTCAATAATGCCTATATCGAACAGTCGAGTACTGCCGAGGTACTAGGATACATCTTTTGCGCGTCATTTAGCCGGCAATGGGGTCAGGAGTTAACTCTCTCTGTAGATCCCTTTGGCGTTTTTGCTAAATATCCAGGAGATGTGTCTCGGGCTCGGAGCATAGATTTCCGTTCGTATTCATATGTATGCCCCTCTTCCTTTCTTGGTATGCTTCCCTGTTGTCTCTGTGCTGCTAGTGGTTTCGATACAGAATTTCTTGCGATTTGTATACAGTGTTGCGTGTGGATGATGGATTTGGGTTCCTGTTGTAAAACCAATCAAATTTAAATCACAATGAAATTATTTATTTACGTTGCTTGGCGTGTGTTTTGCTGCAGCCGATGCAAGCGCGGTCGTGGTCATGGTCGTGGCGGCCGCTGGCGTGCCACAGATACATGCGCCTTCCATGTGGTAAAAATGTACGTCAGGCTCCTTCGAGGGCGTCCTCGAAGCTAGATGGCACGATAGCCATAGCATGAACCCTAACGAACAGACAGCTTCCGGCTCGAGAGCTGCTTTATCGCGGCTTGGAGAACCACTACCCTGCTCACCGACGTTCCTGGTTTCATCTGTGCGCTCCGCACAGAAGTTCTAGACCGGTGCACATTTTGCGCTAAGCGCTGGTGAAAAGGGCAATGTTCTCTTCATGCAACTGGCTGACACAGTCCATTCAACCTGCCAGATGCACATATGTCGAACAGAAATATAGCATATGAATGCGGTACAGACGAGCCCGGTGTGCTTAACTTACATTATTGGCGGGCCCGGTCCCATGTTTTCATGTGGTGCCTTCCTGGGACCTGTGTGAGGTCAGCGGTAGTACCGGCGTTTATGACCAGCTTCCTTCCTGTCGATGGACAAGATTAAGTTGCATACTACATCATCGGAGTCACGGGGAGTGCACTGGTGACGAGACGTACGGCGCGCGCGAAGAGGCATACAATTTGCTATTCCCGGAGTTCTGTGGAAGATGATATGGATAGGCTGAGCTCGGGACAGGTGAAAGTACTTTGCCATCCTCCACGCTAGAACCATACCAGGAGGCGCGGCAATCCTCAAAGTCATGACTCGATGTGCGGCGTGAACCCGCTCGCCCGGCGAATCAGGGAAGCTGTCCGCTTTGCTCGATCAGTTCGATTGAATTCGAGGGTGGGCTGGCCTATGTTCAATTTCGTACGCGAGAAGATTACACGGGGTTTACGACCAGCAGACTCAGCAGCTGGGCTCGGGTGCCCTCCCAAGACCGCAAGCGACTGGTGCCACAAGCCACAAGCCGCACCGCGACGAGATCGGGATCGCGAAAAGCGGTTGTTTATTTCCAAGGCTCTTGCCAAACAAAGACCCGGGACACCCGAAATTTCCGCCCGCCCAAGGGGCGCTAAAATTCCGCGGCCACTCCAGCTCACTTTCCGCTCCTCGACTCCTGCACGCCCACGACACTCGTCCGTCGCCCCGCCATCCTATTCTCCCATCATGTCTGCCATCCGTTGCCTCCGCCACGTCTCTCTGTCCGCAAACAGGGCGTTCGCCGTCCGCGCCGCGTCGCGCACGCTCTCGCGCGCCGCCCTGCCCGTTTTCGCCGTGCGTGCCGCACCGGTGTGCGCATCAACGTCAAGGCCGTTCTCCGCGTCCGCGCGGGCTCTCGGCGAGGGTGCCTGTGCGTATATTTTATATGTATATGTGCGGTACTGTGCGATGCACGGCTTGCTGACAGCTGGCGCCCAGCCGACGTGTCGCTCGCGCAAAAACTCGGCGAGGAGCTCCAGTACGAGAAGGAGGCCGCCGCCGAGGCGGATCCCGACTTCCTGAAGTCGTTCAAGGCGCAGGGCGTGTGGGCGGTGCGTGCCTCCCCCTCCCACCTCTTGGGCCGGCACGCGTATAGGCGCATAGCTGACGCCGTATTCTGCAGATCGAGGACGTAGCGGGAAACGACGAGATTGCGCTGTCGCGGAAGTTTGGAAACGAGGCGTGCGTGTGCCAGCCTGTGCCGCTGCCGCTTGTGGAATGCTCACGCGCCAGGTGTATGCCAGCATCCGGCTGATGTTCTCGATCGCGGACATCCAGAACGAGCAGGAGGGTGAGTTCGACCAGCCGGAGGAGGGCGAGGAGGCGAACCCGGAGGAGGGCACCCTGCCGTCGTATCCCATCCGCTGCTCCGTGTCCATCACGAAGGTATGCGCGTATGCAAATGTGTTCTCGTTGGAGGCGCTGACGTACTCGTGTTCCTTAGTCGGGCGCACCCGGCGCGCTCACTGTTGACGCGATGTGCCAGGAGGGCGCGTTCGTCGTCGACAACATCTCGTTCTACACCGACGCAAAGGTTGGTACGGAGCTGACGGCTGAGGCGGATTGGAAGCGTCGCGGACTGTACATTGGTCCCCAGGCACGTGTATCTTCGCTCTCCTCGCACTATGTGCGCACTAATTCTGCAACAGTTCGACACCCTCGACGTCGCCGTTCAGGAGGAGTTTGAGCGGTTCCTCCAGGAGCGCGGCATCAACGAGAGCCTGGCCATGTTTATTCCGGAGTATGCCGAGTACAAGGAGCAGAAGGTATGCAGCGCTCTCGCCATTGCACGTAGCGATTCTTACTGTATGTTTATGACCACAGGAGTACGTCAGCTGGCTCCAGCACATGAAGTCATTTGTCGAGGCCTAGGTGCAGGGCGCGGATGAGTCATTCATTACGATGGACGATTGACCAAACTCTTGCACATTTTGCTTGGTACACCCACCCCAAAAGTCTATGCTTTCATGGCAGTGATTACTACCTACTTACGTGCGCAGCTGCATACATAATACACACCTCCATTCTGCCTTCAAGGGTCTGATACTTCGATGACGACATGTCTTTGGTCTGCGCACGTGATCGGAAGCCGGCTGGACTCGGGGCCCCTATGCCGAGAGACGAGTGCAAGGTGACCTCGTCGTCTGCTGTTGTTGCTCGATTCATTCGCTTTCCAGAGCAGTGTTTGCGATATCGAGGGTTTGATGTGCGGTCTAGAGGGTGTGGTGCTATCTCTGGATGTCTGGCCTGGATATCTACGGATATCCGAGGCGCTCCTCGACGATACGAGAATGTGCCAGAACCCGCTGCACCGGTCGGTGACTACGTGTCCCGCGTCCTGCTTGTTCCTCGTCCTTCTTTCTTCGTCCGCCCTGACACGCACCACGCCCGGCTTAGCACAGGGTGTCCGGAATCGTAGCACGGCCACGTCAGCTCGTCACCACTGTACCTCCCATCGCGAGATTACGCGATGACTCGCGTGCGTATAAGTACAGCGCACGGCTAAGATGCTCTCCTCCAGCTCGTCTGCGCCGCAGTCCTCCCGCCGCCTGGTGTACTGAACTCGACATCTTCTGATTCGTGCTTTCTCTTGTGCTCATCATATCCTACCCTCGAGCATCCAGACATCCCATTCGTCTCGGTAATGTCTAGCCCAGTCGCCATCCCCCGCACCGAGCGCACCGCCCGCGACCTCACCCCCTCGTCGGGCTCGCCTACGGGCCTCTATGTCCCGGTCCACAAGCGCAACGCATCAGCAGCGTCGTCATTGACCTCGGAGCGCCCTGCCTCCCCGCCCCGCTCACCGCGCAGCCACCCGCACAAGCGCGGCCAATCACGGGCAAGTCTGGCTCCTTCGCACGCATCGCCCGTGCCCAGCGCGTCCCCTCGTAAGTAGCCATCGCGCGCCTCTTGTGCTGTGGCTGCCGCTCACGCGCGTCCGCATGCAGTCCCCACCGCGCATCCCCGCGTGTACGATATCCGCACGCTCCTCGCGCTCTCCGCGTCCCCCCTCGCGACGCTCTCTCCCGCACAGCTCGGCGCCGCCTCGGCCATCCTCCCCTTCGTGGTCCCGTCGCCTACCTCAGCGTCCGCGTCCGAGAAGCGTGCGGCGGGCCGGCGCCGTCCCGCGCGCAAGGGCAGCGCGGGCAAGAAGCTCGTCGCGAGCATGCAGGCGGACGTCGAGAGCCGGCGCAAGCGGCACGGCACCTGGGGCTGGCAGGTGCCCGCGGGGCCAGGCGAGAGCTGGCGGCACGCGCCCGTTGCGCCCGTGTCTGCTTGAAGGCCTCGACACACCGCGGCTCGTAATGCTGAACGGACTGGACAGTTGGAAAACTTGATACTATAGATTGCTCCTGATTTGTGGCGATAACGACGATACCCCCTCCCCCCTCCCCCGGCTCTTGCATAGGTAGTTTGGCCGTGTGGCTAATTGTGTAGTGTACAAGATGAATTTGAAGGCAGTTCTGCCAGCCTGTGTCACACGATATCGCATGTGATGCCGGTGACGAAGTTACTTAACAGGTCATCTCCAAGGCCGCAGTGCAGTGTACTTGCGGTGATTTGTGCACCATCTTCTGTATAGGCCTTTTCCGATTATGCTGACCCACATGCATCCCGAGATCCCTAGGCGAGACTCATTTGGGGGGCTGCGAAACGTAGAGGCGTGACCGTGCAGTACGTCATAGTCCCTTCTTTGTTCCACCATGCTAACGTGTATATAAGCAGTCGATACCGGAGCTATACGGTAGCTTCCCATCCTGCTTTTATTGATTTGGAACTGAGCTATGGCAGACGCCGTGCTAGATCGCCTGACTGCAAGCAACGTCTTCGACCTGGGAGGTGTGGTAGCGGTAGTCACGGGCGGCGGGACGGTAAGCAGCATGTTCGTATGAACCTACAGCGGGCGTGATGCGAATGCTGCCAGGGCATAGGCCTTATGATGAGCACCACCCTGCTCGCAAATGGGGCAACCGTGTACATCATCGGACCTAAGCAGGAGGACTTGGACAAGTGCGTCGTCTGTGTCTTGTACGCTTGCCCCGCCTGACCCACAATCGCCATGGTCTCGTGCAGGATGGCAAAAGTGTACAATGACGCCGCAGAGAAGACCGGCAAGCCCGGGAGGATGCACGGCATCCAGGGCGATATCCGCTTCAAGGTGCGCTCCCTCACCAGGAGTGCCCCGCTCTACCAGGTCGCACACACCCAATATGCAATATTCACGCCGCCGCAGGCCGAGGCCCTCCGCCTCGCCGACGAAGTCGGCAAACGCGAGCAGCACGTTACCGCGCTCTTCAACAACGCAGGCATCATGGCCGGGCAGTTCGCCCCGCCCGCCGCACCCACCGCCGCGGCCTTCCGCGCAGCGTACTTCGACCCCATCACAGAAGAGGACTTCGACCTCTCCCTGCGCACGAACGCCGTGGGCCCGTACTGGCTCACGTTCGCGTTCCTCCCGCTGCTCGAGCGCTGGAAGGCGAGCGCGGGCGCGGGCGGCGCGCGCGTCGCGCCGCAGGTCGTGATGACGTCCAGCATGAACGGCTGGACGAAGGACCCGCGCACCGCGAGCCGCTCGTTCCCGTACATGTTCTCCAAGGCCGCGCTCGGGCACGCGACGGCGGCCCTCGCGCACGAGCTGCTCCCGCTCGGGATCCGCGTCAACGGCATCGCGCCCGGTGCGTCCGCCCCAAGCTGCTTGCGCGCACAGTACTAGTGTAGTCCTGCGCGCCAGATCGTGAGCGCGTGCTGACCCCTGGCCTCGCTGGCCGCCGCGCAGGCCTCTTCCCGACCGAGATGAGCGCGCCGGGCACGATCGACGCCGTTGGCGCGTCGCGGATCCCGCCGGACCTCCGGTTCCCGTTCGCGGTACCCGCTGCCGCGCCCGGGCAGCCGGGCGGCACGAACAAGGACATGGGCGCGCTCGTGCTCTGTCTTGTCGCGAACTGGTTCATTAACGGAGAGACGGTGCTCATTGACGGTGGGGTGCGCGCCTGGTCTTACTGGTGGCTGTGGCGTGCTGGCTGATGCGTCCTATGTGCTAGACGTTGCTTGAGCACGCGTCGTCGTACTGAGCATGGCGTGCAAGGCGACTGGAAAGGCATGGCTGTTCGCTGGCTGAGGCTGCTGCGTCATTATTTGCCGACAATTCTGATCACTCGGAATACGTAGAGTCCTAATAACGTTAAGTTCGCGGGTTGGCTCTGGCTTTCACCCAAGCTGCTCCTGATCTTTGTTCTCGCGCCCATCATTCAGATGGTTCTCGATAGTTTGCTGATCATCATTCAAGTATGTACTGTGCATATGAAGCTTCAAAATATCAGACTCCCAGCTGCAGTGATTCACCTTGACTCAGATACGATGAATACGCCTTTGGACTTGTCGCAAATATTCCATCCTTCTCACTCACACATATACCTTGCGGGCCCGCCCCGCCAAGCGACGATAGACAGCATCAGGCAGATGCTTTGTGTCGGAGAACGTCCGAAACACGTTCTAGTGGGGCGATATCCCTTACCTATGGAGAGCAGAGCTTCTGTGGTTCAGCTTGTCTGCCCACGGGAGACTAGTATTTGCCGCTGTTCGACGAGGATCGTAGTCGCTTTTCCTGGTCACTTGTTTCTCGCTTTCCTCTCAGCGACATTTAAGCGGCAATTGTGGTTGTACTACATGTTTGTTTAGCTACTACCGCGGCGGAAACGCGAAATTTCGTAAGCTGACACCCGTCATTAGACGTCTGGACGCCGGCGCGCAGGAGTCCCCTTGACTTCGGACTCAGCCAAAACCGTGCTACGGCCTGGTAGCCAACCGAACCTTCAGCAGTAACCGGTACGTGGTCTACTAATTGCCGTAGATCCCCGACACTCAAAGACCTCGTGCATGTTGGACCAACGGGGATTCGGTCGACGAGCGCGTTTGTCTACAGGCGTAGCGATGCCCGTAAGGGACAATCGCGCACGGTACGTACACCGCGAGCGATAAATTAGTACGATGGGCCTTCGGCCCCCGGCTACCATCATGCCCGAGCTTGCGAGCTCACTCCTGATCCCATGTTTCAACAGTGCATCAGATCGTACACTTGTGTCGGTGTCCCGATCACAGAGCCTGAGGCGACTTGTGGCGCGTTCTCGTTCTATCCCTGCGAGAGACAAGTTACCGTTTCAATCACTCTGTGGTATTCTCTCGTCTGATGATCGTACATACCCTCGCGCGCAGCAGGTCGTGCCTTCGCGCATATGTCCTCCTAAGTGCTGCCACGATGCTGCCGCGGAATCCGTTTCGTCGACACCCTTCGCCTATTTATGTCGACACACGTAGAGAGCGCGATTTCCTGTTCTACACTCGGCCAAGCACTGGACAAGCTGCATGAAGTACTATAGTAACGCAAGAATGGCACAGGGATCGGGTGGAAAGCTATTACTTTCTTGGGCAGGCGAGAGTTCTGGTAGGTTCATCTCCTGCGCAATCGCGATGGAATGCTACATGCCTCACACAGTGAGGCCGCACTTCAGCGGCTGCAGACACAGAGCTTTTGGCATATGATTGGTACGGGCGCTACAATATTTGAGCTCGCAACAGATCTCATCCGTAGCTACACATATCAGACCACGGTTTGGATGCTCTAACAATAGTTCACGAATTGTCATTCACTGGGCCTATTGGGTGCTCGATATACATCAACCCCGACAAGTGTCTGGTTCTATTCGGGTCGTGCGTGTTCAAGCCGCCGAAGCTGAGACTCACCTATCGAGCTAAGAAGTCTAATTAGCCCTCTGGGGAGGGAAGGCGAGTTGTCACAACGTATAGGGCGTACATTTCCACGATGAAGTAGCGGAGGAAACACAGTGAGATATCCTGGTCAAGGCCTAGGCTTTCGTTACGGAGAGGGCGGGGTAATGGCCTGCCTCCATTGTGCACACTGTTAAACGCCTGGGTTGTATAAAACAGGGAGAATGGATCGACACAATACAGGCTCTCTTTCATCTTTCAACAAGCATCTGTGTTAGTAAGTGACTCCTTGCTCTTTTGTCAATAGATGAATAACCTCTATCATACAGACAATGCAGATCATTCTTGTACTCACAGCCCTCATTGTGTCGACCTTTGCGACCCTCACCAGTGACTCGTCTGTCACGCCAATCGCGTTGTACAACAACAATTGCGAAGGAAGCAGCCGCTGCTCACATTCTCACGTCTCCAATTGCGAGACGGCTATAGCCAGCGTAGATCCTGGTGCCACCTACTACGACAAGGACTCGTTCTCAGTTGGTCATTGTTACAGTGCGCTTATAGTCTGTTTCCACATTTTCCCCCAGTGGATAACCTTCTCGCTCACAGTGGTTTATAACACAAATGGTGCCGGGTCTTATCCCGTGAGCGGCCAAACCATCATAGACACCGCTAACACCATATTGTCGACCTGCTCGAAGGCGTGTGGCAGCTACAGCACGAACAACGACTGCGCCACCTGCCATGTCACATTGAACTACCGAGCTTGATGCATGGATTCCTGGGGATAGGTGGCGGAGACTTTGAACGGCGTTATAAGACATCATATTCTTCTGCCGTTTGAGGCTGTTGAGGCCATAGTCAGATGGACACGTCACAATCAGGCTACAGTGGTTCATGGTGTATACGCTACTTTCAAGTGAATGACTCATACCATTTTGACATCTTCGACCGTTGCTCCAACGGATGCATACATTTGCTGTCTCACAATATGGAATTTACCTACCTCTTGTGGCTAACATGACACCTCATAGGACTACATTATGTGCGCCACGAGATTCCGTCAAGAGACCAGACGACATGCTATGCAAGCGTCGGGGTAGTGACTCATCCAGCTGGCCTGACGTTCACTTTCCCTAGCAATCCCACGTCGTCTACTCCGAGAGCACAGACGCGAAGCCACCGCTGGTACATTAGAGACACTTGTTCAAAGAAAATCATTTGCCTAGCCTCTCCTCTACATACCTACCGCTACTCGAAACTTTCCCTAAACCACGGCGGCAAAGAAACAGATCACCCAAGCATTTTCTGTTCTCACCAGGATAAGATCCCCTTGTTTCCCTACCGTCAAGTGTAATCCTAGTTCGGTAAACGCATTGTTATGAGTCAGGCGAGAGTGATGAAATTCATACGCAAAAATGAGTTGTACGTTCAAGCGAGATCGAAGCACCTAACTAGTCATCGTGCGGAGTCTCTATCTAGGCTACCCAGAAAGTGCCACTTTGTTGGTAAACTTGGCCCCAGTTGCTGCATATCGAATGCTAGTCAGTAGGCATCTGGGTAGAGCAGATCGCACACGTACGTCACGTTGACTGCTTGCATGGTATAATTATCCCTGAACCATGGATCCGATCAGCTTCATGTCAGTCGATACTGGTGGATTTCCTTACGCGACCGGCACATTCGCGGGAACGTTGAATCGAACCTGCTCGGCAGAGGTCGGAACGTCTGATGACAGCTTGAATTTGGTCACTCCGTCATCGGGATTGACGAGGACGAGATCAAAGGACGTCGGGTCGGCGGGCGCTGACGTCCATGTCTCCTCGACAGATGCACCGCGGTACCACCCGGTTGGTGTGGATAGGGTGATCGCGGAGATTAGTGGACTTGCTACGATGGCGGCTAGAAAGAGGGCACTATAGGTCGTATGTAAGATTTCGTATGCCGGTGGCACTGCCGTATATCGGGGTATTCAGCGCACCTGAATAGGGAGACCATTGTGAGTCTGCGGTATGATCAATGTTTGCTGAAGCCACAAGGGTTTTTTTGGCTTTGCTTTTATATTCTTCCTGATGTGCGTTCAATGTGACACCAACGGGCAACTCGCCCGTCGTGAAACTGAGCCAGAGCTCGTGCTCCCCATGAGACCGGAGTGCATCAGGAAAGAGACCGCTCACACGCCGCAAGTGACGTTTGCATTTTCAACGCCTCAGCCATCCGCGGCGTGGAGAACGTGAAACTCGCTCATTGCATCGTTTTGATGGAGTATCGGGGGTTCTTTTGGCGCCTCGGTTGCGATATTACGGACCATGTTGAAAAGATCCTCAGGGGAAACTGCGTATTATCTTGTATGCCCTTGATATAGTGCTTGGGTCACAACTGCTGGACTACGTTGGAGTTTACTTTCGAGTCTATTTATTTATCTCGCGTCGTTGAATCCGAACCGCAAGGCTTGATCTCACTTACATTGTCCAGCAATCACATATATTCCTGGGAGCGATTTTGGGTGTTTAGAATATGTTCTCAAGATGAACCAAGCCAAACATTCAGCAATTTGGAGTCTCAGATCTCCGCCATGAGATCGAGTAGGCGTGAGTGTCCAGATACGGAAAGGCGAGAGCTGTTGTGAGATTCGAAGTCCGAATGATAGCAGCGTTGTGATTGGCGGAGCGGAGAAGACGGACTGTAAAATCGTCCTTGGCTCTCACTGCATCCCGTTCTGCTGGCCCGCACTCTCTCCTGCTTCCTTTTACCATTTACGCTTTCATCAGCACGCAACAGCCGACATCATGGACGTCGAAATGAAAATGAAGGACGAGGTCGATGACAAGAGAGACCGCGAGCGCGAGCGGGACAGGGACCGCGACAGGGAGAGGGACAGGGACAGAGACCGGCGCGACAGAGATCGCGACAGGGACCGCGATCCACGTCCAGGTATGTACCGCCCATCTGTCTGAGCTGGGCAGCACAGAATGGCTCATTGTATGCACAGGTCGCGGCCGCAGGAGCGACCACTGGGAGCCTGATGACAGGCGGAACGGAGGAGATGTGAGTACCCTTTGGGTGTTCCCATTGAGTACCCTCTCATGATTTGAACTCCTTCAGCGTCGTCCGAGGAGATCTCGCAGCCGTTCTCGCTCTCGTTCCCGCAAACGTTCTGGCTCGCCTCGTCGCCGACGTCGCTCACACTCGCGCACTAAGTCTCGTAGCCGCTCGAGATCTCGTTCACGAAGCCGTGATCGTCGTGCCACCGAACCCTTCGCGCGCTCACTCGGTGGGCCCATGAACGCGCCCCACGAAGAGGCCGTCGAATTCGCCAAAGTCAGCAAGCGCGAGAACCGCGTCTATGTCGGCAACCTCAGCTACGAAGTCAAGTACCGTGACCTGATGGAATTCATGCGGGGAGGTGGGTGGGGGAATCCCGACTTAGTTTTTCGAAGTGAAGGGGCGCCCAGACTAGTTTCGCGCTGAGATGGCTGTCGTTGGCCGGGTGGCATGGCGCTGGTGTGGCATTGCGTGGCATGGCCGGGAGAGCTCGAGAGAGTTTGGTCTGCACGAGAGTGAGAGGAGAGGCGGTCTGGTCTAGCGGAGGCCGGCGGGCACTTCTGATGCGAGTTTGCTTGAGAAGTGAAAGAGGTCGTCGCGATTCGAGGCCGTCGCAGTCCTGGAGTTTCTCGGTTTACTGATGGAATGGCGAGCTGAGAGGACGGTTATTGATGGGAGCTTTCTTTTTGGGGTTGATAGCTGGTGAGGTCCTGTTCGCCGAAGTACTCGTCACGCCGACTGGTGTCTCGAAAGGCTGCGGGTGAGTTTTCCGTGCTTTTATACTGTTATCGTTATTGATAAGCAACTGCAAACCAGCATTGTCGAATTCGCCTCGCAAGAAGATTCCCAGAGGGCCATCCGGGAGCTGTCCGAGCAATCCCTGCTTGGCCGGCCTGTTTTCATCCGGGAGGTGTGTCATGATTTACGAGTTATCAATTGCGCGGAAAGCTCAGACATCCGTCTGCAGGATCGTGAACACGAATCGCGATTTGGTGCTACGCCTGTACCAGGTAAGATCGGGATGGCCATGGCAGGTCAGGGCCTGCATGCGGCACCCCCGCCTCGCCCTCCTTCCCACAACTTGTTTGGCCAACATGGGTCGAACCCAGGAAACCAACTTTACGTTGGTAACGTGCGTCTAAGACAATTGCTGCCAGTCGATGAAGGGCACTTACAAGATGTTGTTTCTAGCTGCCCTATCAAGCGGGCTGGCAAGATCTGAAGGATTTATTCCGCTCTGCCGGGGCGATCATTCGCGCCGACATTAACATTGGCCTCGACGGACGCCCGAAGGGATCGGGCACCGTCATTTTTGAGACCGCAAAAGATGCCCTGCAAGCTATCAGTAAGTCCAAGGGTCGAGATCAAAGCTACATTTGTTCTAATTGACTACAGGCATGTATAATGGGTTCGACTGGTACGGACGGACTCTTGAGGTCCGCGAGGTGAGTCAAGTGGTTGTGCATGCACAGGATTATTCTCACAGGGTGCTTCTTATCCTGCAGGATCGCTACGCCGGTCTGACCGGTCCTGGCTCTTTCCGTGGCGGCTACCGTGGCGGCCTTCGCGGTCTGCGCGGTAGCGGTCTTCGGGGTGGCTCACGGGGAGGTTTCCGCGGCGGTTACGCTGGAGGCGGCGCCGCCGCCGCTGGGAGAGATTTCTCGGACAACTTATACGCGGACTACTCCGGGCCGGACTCGCAGGGTGGTGCCGCTGGTCTTAGGATGGACGGTTTCGCCGCTGGAGGATATGGCGCCTATGCCGGCTACGAGCCCGAACCGAGCCAGCAGATCATGGTCCGCAACGTCAGTCTTGTCGAGTCTCTTGGAGCCAGTTTTTCTCCAACTGATTACCATTTTTGCTTAGCTGCCGTGGTCGACCGCCAACGAGGATTTGGTCGAGCTGTTCGAAACCACAGGTCAAGTCGAGCTGGCAGAGATCCTCTTCGAGGGCGCGCGGTCGAAGGGCTGTGGTGTTGTCCAGTTCGGCCAGGTCCAAGAGGCTGAAACGGCTATCGGTACGGCTATCGTTATAAATACTCATGTAAACTTCTGGCTGACACGGGCTACAGCCAAGTTCCAGCAATACGTGTACGGTGGACGGCCGTTGGGTGAGTGTTGTTGTGCAAGTTTTGGGAATTTCACTGATTTCATGATCTCGCAGACGTGCGCTTCAATGACCGCTGGCATACGTTCACACCCAGCGCCGCCAAGGGTGGTCAGACCATGCCGATGCAAACAGAGGCCGTCTTATAGTAATCCCATCTTATGCACGTTTCCTCCCCCCTCACCGTGTATTTGTGCGAAATTTCTAAAATTGCTTTCTATGATACTACTTCCAGCTCTGCGCCTCTATTCTTGTGCTATATGAAGTATGTTCCGTGAATATACAAAAGAATTGCCTACTGCGCGATTACACTCGTACAACGCCTGTCCCACGTATGTCTGATGGAAATATGAGACCGAAATGGAACAAAAGCAACGTGAAGGTCATGAGCTAGTATACAGCAGTCTATAGGCTGCTCTTAGCCTCGTCCTCTTGCGACATACGGCCCAGGTCAAGGAGATGCTGGTTGACCTCTTCGGGACTGGTGACGTGCCAGACGGCGAGTGTACGTTTGCTGCTGTGACCAACGGCGGTCGTAAAGACACTCTCGCGTGTGATGGCGAGATCGACGGGGTCGAACTTCGTCGAGGGCTCTTTCGCGAGGAGGGTCACGGAGAGAGGAGGCTCCAGACGAGCGGTCTTCTGGTCACCAGAGAAGAGGAGCAAGGCGCGGAACATGTCCTCATCGGTCTGTGATGGGGCGCGGGTGAGATGCTGTAATATCCTTTCAGATGGAAGCACGTACCTTGTCGTCTCCCGCGCAGAAGACAAACTCGGCGTCAGGGTTGTAATAAAGAATGCGCTTCACAATCTCGCCCTGCGAGGAGAAGAACATCGGTCAATGCGGACGAACCAGTACGGGGAACAAATCGACGACATACCTTGTTCACAGCCAACGGGCGGACCTCGAGGTTCTTCTTGCCGACGAGGACTGCGGAACAATATGAGCAACTGTGAGATCAGGCTGGTAACAAACAAATATACCTTCAATCGGCCGCTTGCGGGCGAGGTTGTTCTCGAGCAGATCCTGGCATTGGCGACATTGGAATAGACTGGCGGAAGAAAGAGTGAGTATACGCAGACGACAGCCATACTGCACAGATGCTCACCCCCACTCCGGGTCGCTCGAGCGGTAGTGCCAGGTGATCGAGCTCTTCTTGACCTCAATGTGGCTGCCGGTGGTACGCTGCCCCGCACATCAGCACAGCATCCCCTGCCACCAATCATGTCTGCACGCACCTCCGTGTAGTAGCGGAAGATCTCGAGCACCTCGTCCATCCAGCTCATGTCGAGCGACTCGGTGAAGTTGGTCCAGTCGGGCGCGCCCGGCTCGCGCACGAAGCCGCCGTGCTCCGCGGACATGCCCAGGTTTTTGAGGTGCCCGAGGTGCTGTTCGAGGAAATGGCCGTCGCGGCCAGAGATGATGAACACGACGTTCCGCGGGTCGCTCGAGAGTCTCTCGAGCGCCTCGAGTGTTTCTGGCGAGGGCACTGCTGCGCTGGGTACACGGACAATGGGCGCGAGCGTTCCCTGTCGACGATGCGATGTCAGCCTCGACGCTACGCGCAGGAACGAATAGCACTAGACGCACATCATAGTCCAGCAGGAACAGCCGCTTCTTCGCTGCGTGGTAGCGGCTCTCGAGACGGTCCTTTGGCATTGGCGGCGTCTGGCGGGCAAGGTTCTGCCGCCCGACCTGCGCGAGCAGCATTTTCGCGAGCATCGCCGCCCAGGTGTGCGACGTGTGCGTCGTCACCGTCTTGTATAGCTTCTGGTGGCGGCTCAGCTTCTCCTCGTCGGACATCAGCAGCCCCTGGTGGATCGCCGCCGCGACCTCCTCCAGACTCCACGGGTTCACCTGCAGCGCGTCAGACATGTTGCTCGAGATCCCCATGAACTCGGACAGGACAAGCGGGCTGCGCTTCGTGCGCTCCTGGGCGATGATGAACTCCATCGAGGTAGTGTTCATGCCGTCCCGGAGGGGCGTGATCACACCGAGGTCCGCGACGGACAAGAGGGCGTAGAACTCATCCTTCTTGATAGTCTGGTGGCTGCAAGTACGGTCAGAATGGTAGCGAGGTTTCGAGGCAAGGCACGTACTAGTGGTGCACGGGAATGAAGTCTAGCGACCCGTATTCACCGTTGATGTGCGCAACCAGCTCGGACACCTGACGCTCGAGCTTCGGCGAGTCGGACAGGGCAGGCGATGTGACCTGGATCAGGACAACGTTACCGATCCATTGGGGGTAGTCGCGCAGCAGCTTCTCAAATGCGCGAAGCTACGAGGAATTTAAGGTCGTCAGCAACCTTGCATAATAATCTGTAAGGGGTATCGACCTTCTGCACAACTCCTTTCACGACATCCAGTTTATCCCTGCCGACGATGATCTTCTTTCCCTCGTACAGGGCGCGCAGGGCCTCCAGCTTCGGCTCGATGCCCGCGCGCAGGCTAAGGATAATGTTAATCAAAACTTCGACTAAGCGTAGAGGCTATATCGTACGTGTCTTTCGCGACGCGCTCGGCGTCCACACCCACCGGGCAGTACGAGATGGCCGCGACGTGTCCCTGCACATCAATGCCGCCCGTATTCGTGATCTCGTAGCCGCACACGCGCACACAGGTCGACGTGAAGTGGCGGGAGTAGGAGTACGTCTGCAAGAACCTAGATCAGTCTCATCGCATATACTGCAGCCGCGCAGCACTGGCCGCACCTGGAAGCAGATGAGGTTGGCTCCGAGCATGCCGTCGAGGATCTCCTTGCGGCGTGGGAGACACCGGAAGATCTCCGAGCTCGGGAACGGCGTGTGCACAAACAGCCCGATCGCCGCCTCGGGCAGCGCCTGGCGCAGCAGCGATGGCACAAGCAGAAGGTGGTAGTCGTGCACCCAGATCAAATCGCCGGGACGGTACACCTCCGCGACACGCTTCGCAAACGCAGCGTTTACAGCATTGTACGGCGCCCAATGCGAGTCGGCGGACGCGTACTCTGTCGCGACGTCTTGCCAGAGCAGGTAGTGGAACAGCGGCCAGAGAGCTAGAGGAGGGGTTGTCAGCGAGTGTTACTCACGAGCACATTCAACAAGATTGTTAGCACGCCATCAATCTGCATGGGCTCCACACCTTTGAGATGCCGCGAAAGCAGCCGCGGCTGCCTCAGATACGAGCAACGAAGACTGTGAACATCCCTGAGGCAGGACCGCCGCTCCGTATCTACGGCCCGCCAAGCCCGTACGCGTGGAGGCAGATCACCGAACGATCTGAAGGCCCCACGTCCCAGAGTAGCGCATAGGTTCCGCGGACCTGGGCCGGTGCCTTGCGCTCGAGGCCGCTCGGGTGCAGTAGCGCATAACACGCGGTGGGGTAAACGTGGAGAAGAAGCGCGCTCGGGGAGAAAAGCGTCGAGCGGTACAGAAGCCTCAAGAAGGTTACCAGGGTGGAAAGTTCCGCGGTCAACGATATCTTCTCCCGTGCTCCTCTCCGTACAGCGCCCCAACGTGGGTTCGTTGTCCACCGGAGCAAGAGCACGAGAAGCGGTCGATAGGTATGAGTGGCTCCGAGCGAGATGGAATCGAAATTGCAGAAACGAGGTACTCGATAAGGCGTGTGATGCATGCAAGGCCCAGAGGCGGACGCGAGGTGCGAGACTGGGATACTGCGGCACGAGTCAAAGCCACCTAAACCGGGCACGAAGGGCTAAAGATCGTGAATGATAATGTAGACTTCCACCGAAACCAGGAGGTAAGATTGAACGTAATGGCGAGAAGTTAATAGGCCGTAACTGAGAACGGAAATCAAAGATAGACATGTGATGGCGTTGCACGAAGCGTAGCCCAGATTCGGACGGAAGCGCAAGGAACGGAGCACTCGAGACGGGATAAGCGTGTCATCCGCGAAATTGGGCAGGATCGTCGGATTTGGCAATTTCGCGAGTACTGATTGCAGCTGTCACCCCCTCACAGAGAGTAGGACGACCGCGTACATCGAGTGCAAGCAGCACAAATCCGAAATTTGGCAGCGCGCAAAATACGGCACAGGCGGGAAAGCGGTGTATCTGGTGAACGGCTAAACACTCACTCTGCTTGCAATAACCCTCGTAGTGGCCGTGGGCTTCCTTGTTGTCGAGCCAGACCGGCACATACGTCGTTTGCTTCCCGCCCTCGATTGAGACTTCATCTCGCGAGCGGTACTTTGCGAGCAGCTGCTCGAGCTCCCTGCGTTCCTCCTCGCCGATGTCGTTGGTGGGCACTTTCGACGGCGAGGCATGGGCAGATTCGCTAGCGGTAGATGTCGACGGCGCGCCGTACGCAGAAGGCGGCATCGTAGGCAGTGCGGTTGGGATGTCGCCCGTCCAGCCGACGACGAGCTGCTCGTGTGTCGAGGCGAGCGACGCAATGCCGCTGATCATGGCAGAGTGCCCGTAGCGTACGCTGAGGGCCCATCTGCTCTGCGCTTCATCCGGCTTGGCAGGCACTGGTGTCGGTTGTTCGATCTTGGGGGCGTCCGCGTACGGCTGGGAGTCGGTGGGGCTGGGTGGGATGTCAGAGGCCTGCGCGGGCGGCGTCTGGGGCGGGCTGGGGATGGCGGCACGAGACGGGCCGACGAGCGAGGAGACGACAGGCAGGTAGTGGCAGACGTGGATTATGCGACCGGAGAGAGGAATGCCGGATGCGCGGTGGTCCGACTCAAGCTTGCGGACCTGCTCGCGGACGGCAGCCAGGGAGACGGGGGCTGACGGGCGTCGGGGCTCTGCGAAGCTGTCCATGTTGTTGGTGGTGGCGGTGAGGATGGGGGAGAGGGAGAGAATGAAGAAGAGGGGAGCACGGAAAGCAGAAGGCTATATAGTAGGCGAGGGGAGTGGGTCTAGGCTGGCAGCTATCGCGACAGTCCATCGCCCTCCTCTCCCTGCCTGATCGGGCTCTCTCCTCCGCACCACGTGACCCCGATCGTGGACGTCATTTACGCGTTGATCCATCCTTCTCTTGCCATCCTGGGCATTCGCAGACCCTCCGAGTTTTGCCCTCGCAGATGCCTGATCAGCATGCTCTAGCGACAGTTTACGCCGACGTCTACGACTGCAGCGCATCCCCACACAACATCATACCTGTCCCCTCGCGCGTTATTTGTATTCCGCGCTGCACGCGGGTCCCCGCATTGCGCTCCGCGGCGTTTCGGTCAACCAGTCTCGGTCTCGAGTTGGCTTCCCCTCCCGCATTCGGCAGCTCTTCTCTTCCGCTGTAGACGCCCATCAACCCCGCACGCTCTGGTAGATCTCGGCTGATCGCTCCATCCTTTCGTCAAATCTGCTGTCAAGCTCGCGAGCCTTGCCTTGTATGGCCATCAGCCTCATCGTATAGCTGGCGGTTAGGAGCAGGCCTAGATTTGGTAATCGTCTTCGGGCCCTGTCTCGTGTGGTACCAGATCTTGGCTCTTAGCGTGGAGATCATACACGGTATTGAAACCATTGCCCCCACCCTACGTTACAGACCTAGTCACACCCGCCAACCGTAGCATCGCCAGTTTCTGCTCATTCATCGACCTACTTCCCGGAGTGCACATTCGTGGATCCTTGCTGTGCTCGAGACTCGCGCGGGCTTTTCTCGGCTATTCCCCTTGGTAGAATTTGAAAACGTTAGGAGAAGATACCTGAGCCCCAGACAATGTTCTACCTCCAGAAAGGAGCGTGCCAATACGGCCTGGGTATTATGACGTTCGAAGGGAGGTCTCGACGTTTGCTCCTAGGAGACTGGCATCGTGCTGCGACGCGGATTATCCCTTTCCGTAGACGGTGAAGATAGGGTACAAACTGATGCCAATGCCTAATACAATCTGGACAGTTCGATCGTCGCACTGCGTGCGTTACAGCTCCCCTGTGAAGACATCGATCAGACCTTCGATTCTTTATCACCTGCAGCCTCAGGGCAGCGCGCGTAACGTGCGTGTATGTATCCGTCGCCACTGAACCCTGCACGTATGCGACTATTCCTTACTATTGTCAGCCTTGTGCGTTCCGCATCGTAAGCCGTCATCCAATACCTGGCGATACCGAAGCATTGCGCATTCAGGGTCTGATGCAATCTAACGCGGAGCCGGAACGTGCGTGTGAGCAAGCAACTGTGCCCGCGCCCTCACAGGCACTGACTTCAACTCAGCGCGGATCATACCAGCACATCGGCGAATCATCGTCAGGACGGTCGCGATCGTCGATCGGATCCCGCAGTATCCGCGGTACGCACATAACGCACTACGTACAAGTGGCGTAACGCGCTTCCTAGACGCGTCCTTCTGCGCAGCGACTCACGCTTCCGGGACATGAGCAACGTGCGCGCCCTTCGTTCAGAGCACAGAGTCGTCGGTGCTCCGGGATCATAGCGCCCCCGGCCGCGTGAATATTGCCGTGCCTCGATGACACCCCCATCCGTAGTTTAAAAGCCCCTCGCGGGACGATACGTGAGAGCTTCCCATTCGTCGCACGCGCATGCCATCGTCCCCGCCCGCGCACCCGGCGCCCTCAGTCCACCCGCTCCTCCTCCTGTCCCGGCACAGCGGCCTGTACGGTCCTCTGCGTGCGCTCTTCCAAGTGCTGCACTGCCCGCCCGTGCGCTCGCAGCGCCTCCGCCCGCCGCGCTCCGAGATCGACAGTACGCAGTACCGGTGTCTCATGCTCACGGGGCTGCATCCATGATTTCGTCACGTAGGTCCGCGAGACTGGTCTTCTCGCGCGCCCTCACTGCCGCGGGATGTCACTGCGGATCTCTGCCCGCGGAGCGCGCGTCGCTAGTCTCGTCGCCCAGAGGTGCTGGCGTAGTAAAGATGTCCGCGCTGCAGGGTAGTGGGCAGTGCTGCCACGGCCATAGTTCAGCGTGATGGTGCATGGGCCACCTGGCATGACGTTGCAAGGTATCAAGCAGAAAGTGATCGAGGAATACAGAGGGGCAAAGCGGAGGCTAGTTAGAATTCAACATAGAAAGAGGTATAAATGTAGTTATTTACGAACGCGCATATATGCGCCGATCTCCAAATCTCGTTGACATGCGAGTTATTGAGTGAGACGCCAGAAGCTCTGCGAGGGTCAAGTGCATGGTCACACCAATCGAGATCTCATCATGAGGTAGCAGCCGCTCAGGAGCGCATCGCCCTGGACATGCACCAATTGCGTATGTCCATGACAATGAGCTCCCCAGACGAAGCTCCGAGAAGGTCTATCTAGCCTGTGTAGATGAATGGTAGCACGAACTCCGGATGCCGACGCCTCCGTTTCCCGATGGATATTGGGGAGCTCCGGAGAGATATCAACATACACGTAATGGAAACGCGCGTGATGTAGAAGTCGGTGAGCGATTCCCACAGTGCATCCGACCGCTGAAGTCGAGTAAGACTTCGGCAATACTCTCGGATTGGAGCAAGCATTGCGGGGCTGGGATGCATCCCGTTCGTGTCGGTGTAGGCCAGTCCAGAACATCTAGGGACGGGTGAGGGAGAGGTCGATAGAGGCTTAAAGCGCGCTCTGCAGTCGCTTCGGTGTATCAGTTCCCAGTGGCAAGCCATCCGCGGGCTGATCAGGTAGATAGGGCATGGCGGCCTTGGCGGAGGCCCCGTGTCGCATGTGAGGATGCTCGCCCATTGCATTGGTGGATGCTGACAGGGAAAACAGGCGAAGCCAGGCCGGGACACATACGACGCCATGCTGCCCGCTATTCTATGAACGACCATCGTCCACCGAATTCGACCGGTAGCGGTGTCCCTGCAGCACCCGTTGAGAAATCACAATCTGAACGAGCCGCGGGTACACTCACCGCTAGCACACACCGATGCGGGTCACTATTCTGCTTGAGCGGGGTGGAGAGGGCTCCACAGGCTACGCCTGTGTGTCACAATGTGGCGTTGTTGTGCTCCCACTCGGTTGCCATAACGCATGCGGCCACAAGGCTGACACCACGCTATGTGATACGCGATGGCGCGGAGAGCAGGCTGGCGATTAATACCCAAGTCGTTTGGTCGGATTCAGCGCAATGGCGTCATATGAATCATAGGCGTATATGTGACTGTACCAAGTATACTGAGGAGGGTCCGCCGTGGGTGTTGTTGGGACAAAATGCAACCAGACGCGCATGGCTGATGCTCGAGAGTGCGTTTGGGCGAGAAAGAGATAGGGTGGAACAAGTGGGCGTTATGGACTCGAGGTGGTCTAGAGATGCGGATTTTATACGTGAGCGAAGGCAGAATCAGGTACGGCGAAGCGGTACCCGGGGCGGACAATAGAGTAGTGGGGCCAAAGTGCTGCGGATGTGGTCCATCGCCGGCTGCCACGGTGCCACAGTTATTGTTCTGCTATATTTATTTTTCTAAGAAGGCATCGAAGCTAAGGATAAATAGATGAGCTCACAGAATGTCAGGAACGCTGCTCCTGAGTCGCTTTAAATCTATCACGAGCCCAAGTATACAGTGCACACAAACAACGCCGACTGAGAAGTACACGTTGTATCGTATCAGACGGATGTAGATGCTTCTGATGATCGTCCCTGAAACCCTCGTCCTCGTCTGCTCTTTTCCATTAGAAGTCCCGACGCTAGGTTCGAGGGTGGAGTTTTCATAGACGACCAGCAAGCAGAATTTGGATTTTCTTGCATACTCACAGTCCGTTCAAAGACTATAGCTCAGGGTGTGTCGCTCTGAGAGCTTTCCGGATGCCTGATAAAGCGCAGTCAACAGGAGTAGATGTACTGGATAGGAGTTAGGAAACCAAGGAAAACAGATCTTAGATTGCTAGATGAGCGCTGTGGCGATGTCGAATGAGCGGCTAGTACTCTCGCCGCTGTCACTCTACCGTCGTGTATTCTAGTTAGCACAAGTCATCGTTGTAGGCTTATAAGCCCTAGACATGATTCGTATGTATTGTTGAGCCTGTGTGTCCATATTGGTTGAGTATGTCGGAATGATGCGGTGAGTTCCCAAGCCCATACTGCATGGAGTCGTCCGATCTTCACGGTCCCTACGCGGCGGCCCGATAGGTGCATTTGCTACTCCTGCCTGCATCAGTAAGACGTTCCATTGGGCCACAGTGCGATCTCAGCTTTATCCACCGACCTTCAAAAGTAACTGACATAGGTAAGGTCGCCTCAGATCGGCTTTTCAATGTTAATTGCTGATGACACGGACATCCAAGGACCGACATAATGTACATTCTCATATCCTTCATCTGCCCCCAATGATGCTCGCAGAAAGTCAGCTGTCTGTAGGAGCTTTCACATCCTTGCAAAGCGACGCGCCTCGTCAGAGATTAACGTGCAGGATACGATTACCTCGACCAAGTTCTGCAAGTACATGTTAAAGGACACGCCAGGTCGTCTGCACTGGCTGCGCCATTTGACAATTCTCCTATATCCACTGAACATCGTGTCCCTTCGCAGACCAAATGGCAGCTCGACCTTCTCCTCACTTTCTTCCGACGAGCAACCGGGACTCAGAGGACTTAATGTATATGAGATCTGGGATGCCTGCAAACTGCTGCTTTCGCTCACACATCTCGTGAGCAAAGTCACGACCGTTCACCATATCTCTCTCAGTTTCTAAACATACCAAGCAAACGAACAGCAATACTGCAGAGCTATCTGGTGGTGGCGGGATGTCTCACGTATTGGGTGTCGCATTGCCTAAAGAGTGTGAAGACTCACTATGTCTTAACGTTGGCTCCTAGAGTCGGCAGGACTTCACAACCATGGGCCCAGTCGCTGGTCCATCTCATGCGCATTTTCCCTGTGAGTTGAGTATAGCAGGAAATTGTTGATGGTCACACGGCTCAATTAATAAATGCTCTTTATGTACACTGACCAACCACTTTGCCGAAGTGCTACTTGACGCGTACTACGAAGTCGAGAGCTCCAAACACCTTCGTAAATGTGGCGCACCTGGTCAGAAACGGATTAGCTTAGCTCGGGGTGTACTTGAGTAATTTCATGTTTATGAACCACCCCGAGCGTTTGCAACGCGGGCTACTACTTCCCCGGAACGGTTCGTTTTGACGGCACCAGCACAGCTTGTTCCCATGAATTTGTCACGCCGATGTCTTCTACATCTGCAAATGGCATTCTCAGCTCGTAGAAATACCCGATCTATGTCGTTCTTGGTAGATCACGCGCCCTATGTAGACCTCCATAGGCATCAGTAGCAATCGCATTCCTACGCGCATGAATACACATGTACCCATTGATGGCATTACTCGTTATGGTACTGCACCTGCGAAGTGTGATTTTGTCTCAGGAACACCCTTTTCTACATAGTACTCACGAGAAATAACTCTCTACATAGTCATCAATAGGTCCTGTAGCCATAGTCTTCTTATCGAGTATTCCAATCGATGGTATCATACAGGAGGAAGCTCCAATAGCATGTGCATGGTTTGTGGATATGTAATTTAGCCAATAATCGAGAATACAGGCATGTGGTCGACAGCGCGGGCAATAAAGGGCTTCCTACGGCTCGGATGCCTCCTTGTTCCTTTCCCCAAGTCCACCACCATCAAGCGACATGCTACGGACTCGGAACACCAGTGTCAGGAGGTAAGCCGTGGATTGCTGTATTCAATCGGCCACCACTTAGAGTATCTATGTCACTGTGCAGTGGGGTGCGTGCTTAGTGCGAGGCACCAGTAAGTGCAAATTTTGTCGCAGTCGCACATTGCATTTCACTCATATTTGCCTTGTACCTAGGGAGAACTGTGCGCCGCGGCGGAGGGAACCACACGCTGCTGTCACGAGTTGGTACGGCGCCTAGCCGTTTTCAACTCGTGACAGCCGCAGCCTGCGCATTTTGTGAACTGCATAGAGTAGCGCTAACTTGTAGTCTTTGTATGTGGAGCACATATTGTACTTTTAGTCTCCAAAAGCTTGCAATGAGATTGTTATCGGTGGAATTTCAGACCTAGAGCTATGCATTTGAGCATTTCCTCAAGCGATCAATATGACTATATTTGGGGTATGGTGGAGGGGGTCAGCTCCTACCACAGCCTCCAATGCTACCGTCCTCGCGCACTACGGGACTACAGTTACTCCCGTCCTCGCGCACTCCGGGACTATATAGGTCGACACGAGATTCCGGATTACTACAAAGTGCTATATAATCGGTAGGAAGACTCTGTGCCTCGCGGTCCTACAGAGGCTACCTAGACCTATGTAGGTTTGTACATTTTTCCTGATGTACGAAGGGCCAGACAGGGGTAGGGTTCCTCTGGAGTTGGCGGTCCACAAAAACGCCACTATGCTGAGTCCTGTAGTGTCCATGCGCGGCAATGGGGTATCGGAAACATTACCACGAAACAAGAATGGCTTGGGCAAGGTTCTCGTTGACGATGCCGCCGACATCAAGAGCGCCAATCGTTGAGACCTGGACCCTTTCCCCCTCCGAGCGGTACATTTGACGAGACCCGCGCGTTGTACACTCGAAGTGTAAGACTACTTTGCATCAGCTTTTCGGGAACAAGAGTCCTACTAGTGGACCGACGTCATGCTGTCGGGAACCTGAGTGTCGGAGTTGTCACGCATGGCGCTGCGCTCGGGGCTCTTATATGAACCACCACCAACCTGCTGCCTGGCTTACCGCTTCCCCCATATACCCACTTATCTATTGACTATTTAACCGTCTTCACCACATCTTCCGCTGGGTCTTCTCTTGCATAATGGATCCCTGTGTCTTTTCCACCTCTGGTGCCGCGACTATGAGGCGCATGTCGGCAGCCAAGGTCCCGCTCTCGTCCAGGAGCCACATCGAGAGCCTTGATGCGGGCTTGTCCTCGGTAAATGGTGTGCTACAACCTGTCTCATGTCACCTTCGGCTCTGTACTCAAGGGTTCCTGTACAGGTGCGCGTGAGGTCATCACGCAGATACGGTCGCGGCAGCTCGTCACCAAGCTCATTCTCGGACACAACGAACTCGGTGATGATGGCTGTGAGACATTATTTCGCTTCTTGCACTCTCCCCAGGGCCGGGGGTATCCCGTTGCGGAGATAAGCCTCAACTCAAACGGAATTGGCGATCGCGGACTGCTTGCAATAAGCGAGTACTTGAAGGACAATATGACGCTGAAGGAGCTCTTTCTCCAGAACGTGAGTTATTTGTCATCGTTGCAATACGACAGTAAGCTGATGTTGTACAGAATGCTTTCGCCGGCGAACCGGAGGTCGTAGCGGCATTTGTGGAGGCTTTGAATACCTCCCGGCTGGAGACGCTTTCCCTGACAACTAATCAAGCACTCGGTGATACTTTTGCCGCTCAATTCTTCCCCGTGCTCGACGCTCTGTTCTTGCGCGAGATCCAGCTTTCGGTCATGGGTCTTACCTACCATTCTGCCCCGCACATTATTGAGTACCTCTCCTCATCGCGCTGTCGTTTGAGCACACTCAGGGTCAACGGGAACCGCTTGGGAATCCGCGGTGGGCGGGGCATTGTGCGTGCGCTGCAGCGACACAACTTCACGCTCACAAAGCTAGAGATGTACGCGAATGGCATAGTGGACGCGGACGCTTCCAGCGAAACCACTGGGAGCGACGACGACGGGACAGGCACGATGATGTGGGCGGACAAGCAGAAAGAACTCGATCGACTCCTGACGCGTAATATGCACCTGAAACGAGCGACGGGGCGCGAGGCGCTGAGTCTCCTGCAGTACGCGCGGGCGGTGTTGCTCAGGCCGAGGAACGATGGTACGGGGACCGGGGTGTCAGCGTGCATGGCGCTCGTGCCGTCGCGGTCCCCGATCCCGATGGACAGCCTGCTCTCGGCCATTGCGGCACCATACGTACTGTCCCCCCCGGAGCCTGCATTCCCCTTTCAACGCCTGCCCACGGAGCTGCAGCTGCACACCCTGTCATTCCTCGCGCCAACATTGTCCTCCGCTCAGCGCATCCGGATCTACACCTACGCCGCGTCACCATCCACGCTCCCGCCTCTGCTGCCGACACTCTTCTCCCGGGAGAACGTGCCGGATCTGTCCACTATGCCGTTGGGGGGGATCGGCGTGGGCGTGGGCATGTTGTTGGGCAAGCGAGTGGGCATGAGTTCACGCGCGGGGTTCGGTGCGCTCGACGGGAAGGATGGCGAGGGCGCTGCTTCGCGGAAAGACGAGGAGCGCGCGCGGTGGCTGACGCTGATGCGGTGCAATGCGTTTGAGCTGGAGGAGGATGGTATGTGGAGTCCTATTCTTGATGGGAACATTTAAGGTACATCAGGCCAGGATAGAGACGATTAGAGGACATGGATTTGGCGGAGGCTGGCACTGGATTTGTAGAATAGCGACGTTGTATTTATTAGTATGCATATATGCATAGATGGATATCCTTATATTTTTCGCTTCGGGCATAGCCGATATATATATAAGCGCTTACAAACTAGAATCTGTCGCCTGCAGCACATGGCCACCGCTGCGCCTCTTCCCGCAACCATCATCTAGCTTGTGTCGAACATCCGTCTTTCGCATCCTGGAGTTTCCATATCCCTGACAGCGTCTCTGACGTCGAGCAGAGCGTTGCACGCCCACCTCTCGCTCTTTGTCTTTACCAGAACCCACCTTCCGCTACTTTGTGGAAATGACTACCCTCACCAAGGATGAGCAAGACACGCTCCATCTGCTTGTGCAGCAAGTCTCTCGCTCGTTTTACGAGCCGAAATACACCGTTGTAATGGACCAGCTGGCCCGCCATCCGGTGTAAGTGTTGTAAGTAGAGTCGCTGTGCGAACCTGCGCTAAAGCAGTAGCGTGATCGCCCCCGGCGTCGTCGACCCCACACGGTCTCGTGCTTCATGCTGTATGACAGTCTGAAGGACGACGACTTAGCGGGACGCATGGGGCTGCAGCTGAAGGAGTTGAACAAGATAATGGCAGTTTTGGAAAATCATCGGCTGGTCAGGGTGTGAGTTTATGTGATGATGTCTTGCACGACTGCGAGATATGATGGGGCCCTGTAGCTATCGCCAGAACGAGCTCAAGGAGGGCGCGCAGCGCTCTGTCGGGCGACAGTATTACTATATCGACTACCAGCATTTCTGCAATGTTGTCAAGTGGCGCATGGCCGAGATGCGACGGATTATCGACTCTTCTCTGCGCAATGTGAGGCTATGCCTCGTCGACCCTCATACCCAGGGTATAACTGACTGGTGTATCTGATAGGAACTTGATAACAAGGGCTGGATATGTCCTCAATGCAAAAAACAGTTTTTGCCACTTGATGCAGATAAGCTGTTTGACATGTCAACCGGGGCGTTTGTCTGCGACGTCTGTCGGGCTGAAGTGATCGACAACGAGGATGCAGAAAGTATTCGCGGAAATCAGGACCGCATGCAGCGATTCAACCGACAAATGCGCTTCATACTCGAGGGTTTGCGGCGGACGGAAGACATGGTACTTCCCGCGTACGTTTTTGCACTGCCTTATCTCGTCGTCAGTCGATCGCTCACGCCGTTCACACAGCTTTGACGTGGCAATGTGGATTAAGACTCACATCATCGACGTCGAGAAGGCCAAAGCGGCCGCACAAAATGGTGGCCTGAAGATAGCAGGCTCATCTGGTGACATGAAGCAAGAAGACGCGTTCGGTGTCGTGCTGTCCGTCGACAAAGACGAAGCGACGCAGAGGGCAGAACGAGATCGTGAAGCGGCGGCGAAGCGCCAGCAGAACCTCCTGCCGGCGTGGCATCTGAAGAGTACGATCTCGGGGGACCTGACGGCCCTTGGGATCAGGGAGAACATGCGTACGGAGGAAGGCGCGAGGGCAGGCGCAGACGCGAACCGCCTACCCAGTTCAAACGATGCGATACTCAGGGGCCTGGGGGCGCCTGGGCCACCACCGACGTCGTTGCAGATAAACGGAGAGGACGTGAAGCCGATCGTGATGGAGCAGGAGGCAGATTGTGAGTTCTCCCCAGTTACCATAGCACATAAGCTCACTATAGGGCGGTTGAGATTACGACAAGTACTATGCCTCGCTGGCTGTTCCATTCGCAGGCCAGACCCCGGGCATGCCGAAGGGAGGCAGCGACTTTGATGACGAGGAGGAGGACGTGAAACCCTCGATCGAGTATCTAGACTCGCTGAATGAGTATCGCAAGCGATCACGGTCGCAAGAAGACGTCGACGGTGGTAAGGCAATGCCGAAGACGCCACGAATAGACGTGGATGCAGCTACCGCGGCGACGAACCGGGTCGACGCTGGTATTGGGGTGAACGGATTCGCACAGCCAGCTACGGAAGACGCGAGTGAGGGGCCTCCACTTGTGGACGAGCCTACAGTTCTTGGTGCGTCATGTTTGCTGCTTGCAGCAATTCAACGCACCGTCGTGTGCCGAGACTAAGTATTATCCTTTGTGTAGTAAACGGCGCGTCGGTTGCGCTGTCGCAGATTACGGACGAGCACGAGGCGCTTATGACGCCGGAGGAGTACACAGCGTACTACGAGGTACTCACTGCACAGGCGATGTGATATGCATTGGCAGTGTTAGTGCAGGGTAAGACGTGGACGGTTCTTACTTGTGAGTAGGAGAATGCATTACGAGGCACGGAGAGCACTCATACTATAGAAAAATATTGTACCATCTAGTGTAGAGTGTATTAATGTCAATGCAGCTGTGTTTTTGGCTTTCCAGAATTCAGCGGCTACCATGGACGCCTGACCATAAGTATTACACCTGCCTCGCAGGCGTGGGAGTGGCCCGGGCGCTAGCGTCGCACATACGGACCCATAACATGAACGTGCTACTTCTGACTAAATCTCAATCTCTGACCACTTCGACCCAACGGAACCAGAAGCGTGTCGCGAATTTCAGCGTCAACAACATGTTGAAGTTTGCCTGACACTGAAGCGAGAACGATCGACAAAAATATGGGATCGCATTTGGCTGTGCTTTGCCAAATGCGGGAGGAACATACAGAGAGGCTCGCGAGTCTGCGGGGTACTACGAGCAATGCCGAATACAATGGCACACACTTTCCAATATCTCAAGTTCTTGAACACATGGAACCCAATTCGTCAATTGGCGCAGGTACACTCCCCCTGATGTCTTCGTCTCGGCTGGGGAAGATAATCTCAATGCCGGCATAGATGCACCGTATTATGCTGTCTTTTTACAACATAGACCTCCAGAGCGTGTATCTCGCAATCATCAAGGTATAAGACTTTAAGTTTAGCTCCTCGCACCAACGATACGCATCAATATCTCTCACTACCAAGATTGATACATGCTGCGAAACGGGTGAGAGACTATCTGTGTTGCTACGAGCTCGGCTCTGTACTACTCCGACTGCATTCAACTACCTAGCCAGACACAGTGTTGGAAATGCATTGGAAGCAGCCGTTGCCCGTCAGCCAGGTCGTCGATTGCTCACGCAATGAAGAGCGCGGTTGTTGCGTACACCGAGTTGTTGTCCCTGAGTATCCCACCCAATTATCAGCATGTGTTCAGTCACGAGATTCGCTATCCGCAAACGTACGTGACATTCACCGCTTGTAAAAAGTAGTCAAGCCTGATGGACCGGTCAAAGTTCAGTCATGCAAGCTCCAGGGAGATATATGCTAATGATCTCACGAAGGCGGCAGATCAGGAACGGTGAAGTAAACATGCCCCTCAGAGGTATTGACGGATGCGACGAGCGCTAACCCAATGTGCACGTCCGGGTTAACAATCCAGAGAGAGAAGGTCGCAGGATCGGAAGGCTCAGACACCCAAGTCTCGTCAACGACCGCGCCGGGATAGACTCCAGTGGGTGTCTGTAACCTAAGCCCACACACAGAGGGGCTAGCTACGAGCGCGGCAAGTACGAGAGCACTGCCGATGATGCACAAATGAAGGTTAGCGTTGCTGCTGCGGAGTGAGACGGTATGTGTACCTTCGAATGAAGGCCATGACGGGAGGTGCAGACAGTGCTTTGTGAGCCCCAAGCTTCGTTTATACTCTGCTTTTATCTTCATCCACTCTGACATCTTAGGCAGATAGTTGCCTTGCGGGAATGGCAAAGGGCGGTCATAATTCCTATGAGACCGCATCGAAGAGAAGAACGTTAGCGCTCGCATAGAAGGACGGCAGCAGGCGACCTCCGACGTACCATGATTAGGATGAGCGGGATATCAGACCGCTTCAGAGAACATGGCTGGCTGCAATGCTTCGCACACCTGCGCAGCTGCCAACCGTGTTTTGAACGGGTTCATGACTCCGATCACATGGCAGCCTCCTGTTTATGTTGAAGAAAGCGTATTACGTTCTGCTCTCAGGAGACTAATCGCAGGCCGTCGAAGCGATGAACTCTTCCTGTGCAATTTGACGATTAGGCATGAAAGGGACGCCACGATGGTCCTACATACCCGGTCTCGTATCTTAGGCTACGCCACAGTCAAGGTTCACCAGCAGTTAGAGCACGTCGGCTTGCCCTTGTCGCACAGTGTCATCTGACGTATGTGCAATGTTGATTATCTCGTTACGGTACGCGCCTCGTCTGCTTCACGCGATTAACAGGTGGTTTACTCATTGTGTAATGGCACTCTATGAGAGTATAAAACGGACCATAAATACAGAACGACAACGCAAACAGGTTCTATAAGGACTTGGTAGCATACGGTGCGCATACTGTTCCCCGAACGGCGCCCACACGGCTACTATGCTGATGCACTCAATCTATAGAGAACGTGCCGCTCTGGTCGTATATGTCCTCATAGTTCCTGCATATGCACACCGCGTTAGAGGACGTTTCAGGTTAAGAAGACTACACGTACGTGAGGTTCACTGCTTGCAACGTGTAATTGGACCTAAAGCATGAAACTCGTCAGCTCCTGTCCAGCCACAGTGTCGAGCTTGGATTATCTTACGAAACGGGCACATCTGTCGGCACTGTGAAATGTATTATATCGTAGTAGGCGGGGACATTCGTAGCGAGCGTATACAGGGTCACTCCCGTATCATTGGTATTGACGAGAAGCAGGCTAAACAGTCCGGAATTATAGGGCCCCACAACCGACGACCAGGTCTCGTTGACGTTCGTGCCGCGCGTCCACACGGTTGGTGTGGTAAGGTTGACCGTCATCCCAGAGGCAGAGACAAGAGGGGTGACCAAGGTAGCGGCGGCAAGCATGAAGGCGCTACACACCATAGGTACGATACGAGACATCAAGTTTACATGATAGTCGGAATCAGGGTGGAAAGCGTACCTGCGTAGGAAGGCCATGATGATCACTCGACGGTATTGTCAAACTTCGCAGTGCGTTTAATGCCCTGGCTTATATTCTCTCCGTCCACTACAGCTTCCGTGATGGCAAAGTCGTCCATCGTGATAAGGCAAGGGACCCTGTAAATATCCGATGTAATGAAAAGCTCTCGCTACACTGCTTTCATGCGCGCAGCTGCTAAAATGACGTAGCAATTCGGCTCGCTCATGTCGCTTGTCTTGCATTATAAGCCGAGGTGCGTACGTTCAGTCCAGATTGTATCGTTCAAGACATCTGTCTAGATGCAGCAACTCCTCAAGTAGCACTTATCGGTCCCCATTCGATACTCTCGCTCATGCCACCTAGAACGCGGCGCTCTGGGTGTAAACTTGTTCCCATTATTAGCATACATGGGTGAATGGAGGCTCTGAGCTAACGAACATGCACGCGTACGTGAAAGCGAGGCAGGGGTCTCCATTCCTTGTGAGACCGAATGTTGCGCAATAGTAGATGCTTCGTGCGAAGGCGGCCATCCAAGTAGATGTTTCGGCTGGCTAACTCCGGCGTAAGTCGCAGTGCGGAGCAGTGGGCCAGTGTCGCGAAGCGCGCTCGCTGCATTGCTTTTCTGCCTCGCACAGAGGCTTTCGTTTCCTGCTGCAATAATATTTGATGGTGCCGTGTGTAATCAACGAGCCATTATGCGTCAGTGCCCTCAGTCATGTGAGTCAAGGCGCTGATGTCATGCATACATAGGTAGGCTTTTCCAAGGCCAAATTAGGTGGAATGGAGTGATGGCTCTCAGCCTGGGAGCATTGCCTTGAGCCTACCTTAGACCGTCTTGGCGCACTACGCATCAGACATTACCGTAGCTCAGTCAGGCCTTATCATTTGAAACGCGCCATCCTGTTGCATGTTTCTTCAAATTTTGCAACGGCCCTTGCCCACTTCAGTCTGAGAAAAGTGCGCGACGCTGTGTGCTTCTCCCTCCGAGGTGGCCCGTTTGAGCGGTGGCCCATCTGGGCTCAACAAGCGGGTACCTTTGACGAGGGAAAGATCACGTATGGGGGAAGCAGCGCATTTATTGAGTAATTTGCAGTTAGGGGAAAGGAAGGATTGAGTCAGGAGTATTGGCTATACACAGTACCATTCGAGCATATTGTGGGCATCTACTCGGGCGTCAAGTCCACAGCACTATGAAACTGATTTCTTCGGCAGCAGTTCCACGACACGCGTGGCCTTTATCTCAGCGCCTCGCTTTCCGAAATAGCGTTCGCTAGCAAAGCTCCAATGCAGGTTACCGACGATCCAGTCCTGCAATCCCTGAACGTAGACTCGGACGTCGGCATCAACGGCCGCGCCCCAAGACGGGAGAAGCTGCGTATTTTCCATGAAACCGTCAATAGTCTGCTTGAAGAGGTCGCCGACATGGTCAATCGCGTCTTGCATCTCTAGGCCTTGTGATTTCATAAGGATCACGATTATCTATCGGTTTCCGGATGAGCGAAGCGAACGAAACAGAGCAGGAGGATAGCAATTCAAGTAAGGACCTACATTGTAAATGCCATGTGCTTGCTCATTGTTGAAGGAGTAGATATCCTGAAAGTAGTAGATGTCAGACTATCTGACCGTCGTGACACAGAACGTGTTGAAAGGGCGATTTACATTACTCCACCTAGAAAAACACCATCAGCTGTCATGCTCACCGCCGTAAATTATAACACTGACGCCACCAGGTCATTCGCAGATTGGTTGAGAGCACGGACAATAGGGTCGTCGACGACATAACGGGGTAGTTCGATCCCCATAGTGTATTCGATCAGGTCAAAGGAAGGTCTGCACGCGCTCGTGTCCCTTCTCATCTTTGATCCAGACGCAAGAGAAGATCAACGTCAGCGTGTCATGGTGTGTCAGTGAACTCACGATGATGTATGACTCAAGATCTGGAAGTACACCGCGCTCGCGGTCCTGAGCCTCCTGGCGGACGGCTTTAAAGAAAAGCGCTACCTTATCTCTGAAGCGCGTTTGGACACAAGGCTTGGCATCGCGAATAAACCGCGTCCAAAAGCTGGAGGAATATTAGTGATGACGAACTGCGCAGAGTGTATTCGGTATCCACTCACTCCTTCGCTATCTCGCGCACTCTCTGCTCGTCCTCTTGCTTATTCAATTTCCCCTCAGACCTAAATACATCCATGATAGTGTTCGCCAGCTGCTCTGTCCCTCCCTCCTTCATTGTGTCGGTGAGATCATCGAGGAGGAATAAGATAGCAAGGAAGTCACCAGCCACGCGCAGGTGTTCCGTGTCACAATCCGGGTAGCCGTATGCTGAGAGCAAATCCACCTTGACTGCATGCACCGCAGCGAGCTGCTCAGATGACAATTCCGGAAAGTTGTCAGTTAGCCAGCCGGTAGAAGTCTGCGTGGCGTCGCCGTGTGGATTGCAACGGAGGGGGAACTGGCAATAAGAAACTAGATCAGGAAGAACGAAGCACCGGGAGGTATCTGCCATGGCCGTCATATTGACGGCTTGTGTTCGAGTCAGTGTAGGGCAATGGGACTACCTGCGACGTGCCATAGAGGTATTTATACACCACACGGACGAGGGCTATCTGCATACTTGCACAGTTCCATCCCTGTGTCGCCTGAGATGGTGCGACGTTTCGGCAGTCTGTGGGAGTGGCGTAAAAGAGCGCTGACAGAAAAATGCATTACGCACGCTGAAATGGAGTTGGGCTCACAACAATGCTAACAAACGGGCTGTGTATCCAGTGAGTACGCCAGGTATTCGCACACTCAGTCAGCATGAACAAACTCCACATTTCTTCAAAGCTTTTGATGCTTTCGTGCCCGCTGTGCGCCTTTTGACCATAAATTGACCCACAAAGCATACCGATGTGGCCATGGCGCTGTCCGCATAATTACATGTTGCTTCAGGAACCTCTACATTTCCATGTAATGGGGCTTGTGGCGGAGGCTGGTCATATTCTGGGAGAACAGGGAGGATCAGAGCACGCCACAGGCACCTGTGGCTGTATTGCGTCCGTCGTGGCTCAAGGCACACAAGAAGTGACATGACTTCACGAATGGACTTGCAGATTCATAGCTAAAGCGACCTTGAATAAGCTCAACCTGAGAAAGTCCGAACATCAGCAATGATACAAACGCCATGCTCCTCGCGCAGCAGATGAACTCACCGCAGGCAACATCGACACCGGTGGGAGCCGCTCGATGGCGAACGAAATGACATGGCTCAAAGTGCCCTAAGACCTGCCAACCGACACTCCTGCAGGAGCTCCACGAACACAGCGTCACCGACTCAGAACGGCACGCCAACCTCCTTTCACAGACTAACACGTGTTATCTTAGGCGTCTACAAAGTTCAGCAACGAGGACGAGGACCAGTTAGCTTCAATTGATTGGTTTAGCACATCTCGGACGGTATGCTCCAAAGAATGAACGCGATTAGTATAAGTTAGGCTGCAATTTCTGACTATGGAATTATAATTCGTCCCTGGAATGTTCCTGTGTTTCGATAGGGGATCCTGGCGCCACGCGTGCGGCACCCACATCAGCCAGAACATTGACGTCGGCTGCAACAATCTCCGAGCGCATCCTCCCATCCTCTGCAAGACGCCGTGCAAAATTCGCAATTTCTCCATCATACTCCTCCCATTCAGGGATTTGCCGCGCTCTAGCAAGTTTAGGTTCTTTCTGCAATATGCCTCTTTTGTCAACAGACTGTTCAGCTGTGCGCTAGGAGACATACCGTAAGCGGATTTTGGCACAAGTCGATGGTCTTCGCCCGGTGCAGCCGATCCTTGCTACCTGTTCAACGACAGAAGTCAAGACAAAGTACGGTCAAATTTTACAACACTGACACCAAGTTTCACACTACAGAGCACGGTCAGTCTACGTTGCAAGATCTAATGAGGAATTAATACACACCCATAACCAATCTTCAGGCAGAGAGAACTGTTCGTGTGTTAGTACAAAGTCACTACTCATCATTCTCATGCACTGACGATGGGCACTTCTCGCTGGAGGTTATTTGGCAGATCTGTTGAATAGACTAAGCCCAGTGCTTCATAGCAGAGGTTCAAACACTCACCCTGATCGAGGTTAGCCAACGAATTAGGGTCTGCTGACAGTTGTTGATAGTGACCGCGAAGTTTGTCCTAAGCATGTATTTGTCTCAGGCTTGTCACAAAGGCCACGACGTGTTCTAGACCTACTCCTGCTGCAATCTATGCAAAGGTGAGTAGTTACCCCGCGATGATGTTATGAATACGTGCCTGTCGGAAACGAACCAAATCTACAACGTAGAGGGCACTTTACGGACGAAGCTTCAGGCCACATAGATGGAACTGTGCTCTCCAAACATACCTGATATGGTATGCCATGCCATGCAAGAATTCCTTCCAATATCCAGTTTTCCAAAACCGGAAACCTTCCATCTCAACGTTATCGTCGCCCATCGGAGTGTACCCATACGGAGCACCATGCAGGTCGAGATCAACCAACTCCTTGAGGTCCGTGCGGACAATTTGGTCAGCATCGACGAAGATGACCTTCTTCAAATCCATAGGGAAAAGGACGTCAAGGAAAAGAATTTTGTATGCCCATATGATGCGCTGCTTTTCTTTCTGTGCTCGTAGCCAAGACGGCCATTTATATGTCACTAGTTCGTACTGGAAACCATATTCTTTGGCGAAATGCGGGATGAATTCCTGGGCGTCCATACGATGAACATGAGTGTTTGATCCAAGAGATTGGTGCACCAACCAGGAACGAGGGAGAGAGGAAATTCTCAATGAACCAGAACTTGACGGTACTTTGAGTATTGGTATTCCGAAGGACACTCAGGATCATAATTGAAGCGAAGCGCTGTTGTCACAGTCCGTCAGGCCAATTGAATACAAGCATCTCAAGTATGATTTACCTCGTATAGCAGACCCGACGCAACGGTAAAAATATTGATATCTGCTTGCCCGCTACCGGATGACGCTAAATCAGTGTTCTTGTGGCCTGCGAATATGGAAGACAACCTGTGGCGACAACAATTAGCCAGGAAGGAATGAAGTATCTCCCGACGCACCGCGACGTCAACTCAGTTAATAGCCCCTTGGGCGCCGAGCTCCCCTCCACAGCATCGGCGAGAACGTCCGCTCGGTCCATTCCAGGGCGTCTTCTCAGTCGGGGGTACAACGTGAGCCCCTCGAAGCTCGTCAAAGTGATCTCATTCCCAACTTCGTCAACGGGCGAGCTATCCCAGCCCTCATTACCGACACTTTCCATTTCAAATATCTCGCGCCCACTCCCGGGACGGATCTCCAAGTGGAATACGCCTGGCTTAGTGCGAAACTGGAGGTACCCCAGGTTCGCGACGACCTGAGTATCTGCGATCGCAGTGCCGGCATGAGTTACAAGCTGAAGCTGTACACCCCGCGGAGGGACATGCGTGAGGGGTTCACGTGCGTGGCCCTCAATCACCAGATAATCGAGGTCGAAGACAGCGTGAACACCTCGATCGCGTTCGTGTGCCGACAATGCACCGAGCAGTATATTGTCCAGATCATGAAGGGCTTCCCGGGGCCGAGCAAGCCAAGATTGTGGCACATCCATGGCCAAGGTGTATATTGGCTCAACAGGTAGTCCTATAAATTTGGTTTTCGCGTGGACCTCCTCTCTGAAGAAATGTCAATGGAGCAGCATAGGATATCAACCAATGCTCACCCGTTCTCATGGAAGGTCGGTCGTGGCAGCAGGTTGTATCGGTAGAACCGTTTGAGAGGCAACTACACAAATCATTGAGGGGCGCACGCCGACATCCTTTTTAATTCTTACCTCGCCATACACAGCCGGGTTGATGTGAAGTTCGGTATAAACCCCAGGGATATGCAGGAGCCACTGCGTCTGATCAGTCGATTTTCGGCGAGATACTTGATCCAACACGTACTTGGATGAGACTGGACCATTTCTGAGCAGCCTCGCTGAGCGGATCAAGGACGATGCCAAAATGGTACATCGCAGTGGTATTGTCACCGAAGATGTGTGCACTAGAGTACCATTAGGCTGGGATCGCCCCAAAGTAAAGCGGTACACATACGTGTATTCTCCATCAAGGAGCTGGTATCTGCGCTGGCGAGGCTTTTCAGGCGCATTGAACAATCCAACCCCGCTAGCGTCGGGGAGCTGAATGGATGAGACTATGGACGATGCCAACGTGACAATATCAGTATACGATGCCCTGAATGTTCTCATGAGCCACCTTCATGAACGATTATTGTTTAGGCATACCGATCGAGATCGTTCAGCCCTTCGTAAATGCTCTCAAGAGCATCTATAACGGGCTGCACGCGCGTCCTCATTTCGTAGGTCGCTAGAGCGCCGAGGTCCTCGGCCACAAATTCTTCAGGTTCAAAGGGCCCAACCACCTACATGTTCCTGCGTTCAGGGCACTGATCAAAATACCGCTTCTTATATAGTACTCACACGACCATTCACGATTAGCGCTTGTTCCCCTGGCTCCAGCTTGAGGTCGCGAACGATCAAACGACTACTGCGAACATAATCATCATACTCCTTGTTGCTCAACGTTCCCTCATGAAGAATATCATCGAGGCTACCAGCGGCCGGGAGCACTACCTGGGAGCTTTGCTCGTCTGCACTAGCATCTTCAAGTCCCAAAGTCTCCACGAGACGGGAAGGCGGAACGTGATGCAGAATGCCTTGGCAAATGAGTTGTGCCAGAAGGGACGAGGAAGCAGTTTCCACCGTGGATGGCGCTTTGGTCAAATTAGCAGGATTGTGGATAAACGAGACCCTTGATGGGTACGAGCTGGTCTGTGTCCGTGATAATGAGTACAATTCTTTCGCTTTAAACTGTAGCGACATACAACAGCAGTGAGCACTTCTTTGACCAGCGATATGCCTTCTTTGGTGTCGAAATCAGCCACGATGTAAGTGGTGAGGGACACGCGCTCGGACTCCGCTGAAATTCCGTAGAATCACTTAAGATGTCAAGGGCAGCGAACCACCATTGGTACTCACGAGGATACACGAAGGACTCAGACTGTCTAGGGAAACCATTTTTGCCTACGAGGTCAAGCAGACTGAATATTTGCAGGTCGTCCGTCTTGCCAGACGGGTAAATGTAGGCATTGCGCCTCTTGGCTGATGTGGGCTGATCGTAGAAGTACGTCGATATGTTCGGCAGCTCCTCATCTGTGAGCTTTCCTGTCGCGATCTGTCACAGGTATAGCAAAAGATTATTACGAACGAGCACAGCCACGGGCGACACGAGATACCTTTTCTTGGAGGAATGCCATTTGCCCACCAAATTCGATTTGCATTGCCCTCAGGAAGGCCTAGACACGAGAGATGCCACTGTGAGACTACTCCATTCGTGATTACAGACAGGGCGGCTTACGTCATCTAGATCGAAATGCTTGCCATTGACGAACACATGTCCGTGCGGAGCTGAGGACAACGTGACACCGAGTCTCTGAGCGTAGGCACGAGCTTTGTCGGTATTGATTGTCGGCGCATCCACAGCACCAGCGAGGATTTTATCGAGATCTGTCGCGAGACCTTCAGGAATCTCGCTCTGGGCCATGAGTGCGCTGAATGTAGAGCGGACTAGGGCCCAATCGACCGTAGGTGCCAAAGCCTCGATTGGCTTGTCAGCTTGTGAGATCTACGCGAAGATCGCGTTAAAATTCGGCGCTATCCCATTTCTAGCGTGGGACTCACAAATCGCAGGAACTCCATCGCCTGCACGTTTCCAAAGTGTTCGATGAGGTAGGAGACCAGGCGCGCCATTTGCGCACCTGTAACAGAGATGAATGTCACGGCCAGTGGGAAATAGTAAAATACACACCTTCTTCGGTCTCGACAATGGGCGCGAGACCCCATCGGAATGGGAAGTTTCGGTTGATGATATTCGATACTGTGACGGCAAGGAAGTGGATGCTACTTGACTGAGAGAGGTCCACGGCGAGGACGACGTTGAAGACATTCGCCCTGATATTTGGGAACTGACCCGGATACATTGGCCGCAAAAGCTGATGTGCCATCACGCAAAACTCTAAGACCGATGTTGTCTACATGAATGACTGGACGTACCATATGCAAAGAATTGCCCCATCGCGCATACCTACGGCCGTGTGACATGAGGAAGGCATTTGAGACGTTCTCATCGTGCCGCACTCACCTAGGGTCTTTCTCGAAGTCATTCATCCAAATAATAACTTCTCCCTCTTCTGGTCGATCGCTTGCATCGAAAATTCCATCCAGGACGCTGCTCTGACCTTGCGCACGAACGATGGCATCGTGTGTGAGTAGCTCGACTGCCTGTCCGGGCGACAGGCCCAACGACGTCAACGAAAGCATAGTCGTACGCTCCCTCCTCAACAGCCTCAACAGTCTATTATAGTCCGCATTAGTCCTACTTTCGACCGTGTTTTATTCTGAACACCCACCCAAAGGGATTCATGTCTTTCTCCTGAAGTAACATACCATTCAGCCAGGCCATGTTGCCACCGGGGGCGACCTTAGCATGATTGTTCTGAACCTCGGCCTCAACATCTTCAGAAACTGTGACCCGCCTGGAGAGCGAAGTAGCGTGGCGAGGAAAGTTCTGAGAGAGGTGAATCAGAGTTGACAACGGCTCGTCGGAATCATGAATGAGTTGAGTGGCTTTCAGGCCGATGCCTGTACGGGCCTCGGTCAGCCGGAGAGATACAGCCATCTAGCAAGGTAATACGCACTCTGTATATCAGTCTCTGTCAGAGGTGATGAAATATCTAGAGACGTTTCTTCGGGATACTGCTGCAAAAGCGTCATAATAGGATCAATCCATGAGGATGTTTGTCCGTCTTCTTGACCTTGTGCCTCGTTATCGGATCCTATAGGCTAGCAAGTCAGATTCAAATATCGTTCAGTATATCCGGCATACCTTGCCATCTATCATCCAATGCAAGATAGTCCATCTTTTTCATGTCTAAGGCGACACCATAGCCGGATAGATACACGCGCTCGGCAGGATCCCTATTCCCGGACGGAATTGGCCTGAACACATACTCTACGTGGGGAGATGCAACAGTTGAGGCAGCGTACAGATATTCATGCAGTTCGCGAAAATTCCGCGAGGACAAGGAAGCGTACAGAACGGCCGTTCGAGGGGGTGTGTCGAGGGTACGGTCAGGATGCGGTTGAATATGATCAAACGGTAAAAGCTTTGGTCGACTGTATGTCCTACATATAATAAACAACCGTTACTGAGCAGTATCAGGCTCAGCTTGCGGGCGTTACATACCGTTCAACATCCCCCAAATCAGGTGGGTCTATTGTCTCTACTCCAGCGAGTTGTGCCAGCGTCTCTGCGTCACATACAACCTCACCATACCAATCCACCCACGACTCGCAGTCTTGCCGCGTTTCATTTAAGCGTGAAGCGTGCCGGTCGGCATAGTACTGATAGAACGCCTCCAATTTCGGCGTGGCCGCATGCAACGCGAGATCCATTTCGACCGCAGCAAGAACGCCGGGTACAGAGAGGTATCCATCTGCAAGTATTGCCTCAAGCGCATGACGGTGAACATCCTCGGGTGTGAGCGGCGGCGGGTTAGGCAAGGTTTCGGGATTCGTCAAGGAGTTGAGAAGAGGAAAGAAGGCCTCAGATTCTTCTATATAGATGGTTTCTCTGCCACACCGTCAGGTACAGGTGTGATAGAGCGAAAGGGCGACATACAACAGCTCAAGAAGACTGTCGGAGACGGGCCATGAGGACCGCAGCTCGACCTGAACCGGAGGGCTCAACGCATGGCTCCCAAATATTATAAGGCCTGAGTAAATCAGATATAACCAGCCTTGCCGCATGTGTTCACGATGCGGCACAAGAGGTCCCTGAATTGAGCAGCCTTGCAGACAGATCGCTGGTCACTGTCCGCAGTCGCCGACGACCGACCCAGCTGAGCCAAGGAGAGCAAGCAATTATGTGTGTTCGCTTCTTCTATCCGTGTCTCTTCAGACGGCTTCTGTAAACGAATTATGGAGCGCGAAGTGAGTTATGGTGTCCTGTATGGATGGATGGCTGCAATGGTAAGCGCCGATGTGGTACACGTCCATAAGTGCCACGTGGTTCGCAGGCGCGTGTCACATGCGCGCGTCGCTCTGAAGCCAATCAAACGCGTCTTTTGTTTTCTAATTCCTCGGGTGAACCACACAGCGTGGGTACATGCAGAGTGTATCGAAACCTCCCGCGGCTCCTAACATTGGTTTCCACATCCTCGTACGTATCTGCTGAGTGAACTGCGGGTCGCACGGTGTCGTTGCCCTTGAGGATAATCAGACGCGTCGCCGTTGCAGCAATACGAGTGGCCTCCGAGGTGTGAGCAGGGTTACAGCATCAGATGTCTATAAAAGTCTATTTTGGCCCATGTCCCATTGGCACCAATATGCATGCCGTTCCTGCAGGCGCTGCAATGGGGGCCGTCATTCGCCAGGTTCTCTAGGTCATCTTCCAGGTCTTCTTGGACTGCATATGCTCAAATTGACATACGACTAACACTACCCACTGCAGGCTAGCCTTTGGCCACTGGGTCCCAAAATTACGGCAGTATAGATGATGTCTCAGTGATCATTCAATACGTCACCTGCAATGCGAAAGGGAAATTCCTGAACACCTAACTCCCCTCCTGTACCGCCACATAGCTCGGCGTGGCGTGGCCGCCGAAGTCAGAGTCTGGCGAACGCGTTCACAACACGTTTTGCCGCCAATTATTCCTGCAGGCCTCTATGTCAGTGTCCAAACTATGACATGGCCACGGGGTCCATATCATACTTCCACTGTGTTCTACTCGGGCGCGTGCCGGATTGAGCCTTTCTTCCATGCATGTATCTCCGGAGTCACGCGTGCGTTGAAGGAGTGGTGTCATGCAGGATCTATAAATGCACCGTATTGAGCACCGGAGTCGTTCATCTCACTTACCACTGAAGGTGTGATATCTGTGCATCTGCAAAGCTGCATTCCCCCTGGTAGAACGGCGGTTCTACGGTAGCCTTGGGTAGGACACGCCATCTATAGCTGTCTTGCATAGGAGATCCATCCTATGCGAGACATCTGTAGGACGGGTGTACCTCTGCGAGCCTCTGTAGTCATCAACGTGATGGGTAGATAGGCAGAACAATCCCCCGCGTGATTTGGCTGCTTATCTATCTTTGCGCAGTGCAATGTGTGTCTTCAAATTGAAAGAGATCATATTATGATGTGGAGTAGAGAACAAAACCTGTCAAGTTGCGAAGTCCGGTATATGAACTGTGCTACTTGAAGCACCCCCCACTCGCTGCATTAATGGGCCAACTACTCGGTGCAACGTTCACCAGCTCAAATAGACATGCATCGGGAGTTAGTGCTCTGGGCCAGCTGATCCCTCGCGCAGCCGGGAGAGGCCAGCCCCAGCGTCTGAGCGAGCAATTTTCCTCGCTTCAGGCATCTCGCTCTTTCGTCTCCTCCCACATCGTCCTTGCGTCGCGCAGCATCTGCAATGCCTCCTTCCTCGCTCACGTATCCTAGGATTTCGATCCAGCCCTGCCCACCCTTGTTTGTGTTTTGTCTCTCCTCCTTTCTGTTTCCTTCCCTTTCCCGGCTGTGCGCTTGCTTGGGTAGGCCAATTTTGTCTCTCATCACCGGCGCCACACTAGCTCGGTGGTCTTGTTTGTATTGACATAGCATACCTGCATAAACCCATGCTTGCGTCTAAATGTGTGCTGTGCCCGCTCGTGAGTGAACTGCGCAGCAGGTGTCCTGCCCTCCTGGCTGCTTCCCCTTGCTCTGCATCCCACTCTGGCTAATGCCAAGGGCTCCCCACACCTTTAGCTCTCGAGCGCGCTACGTGTGTTTTCCTCTGCACCTCCCCCTGTGTCGATGAGGCCGGACTACTGCAGACAGTTAGGTGAGTGTCTGAGTCTCCTTTCGACACCATCATCTTACTACCTAGGCTACAGACTACAGGCCTCGCTCAAGAACGAGCTGCCACCAGTCCCACAGGATGATGACTTTGCCGACAACAACTTTGCGAGCACCCCGAATGAGCGCCATTAGGCTCCATAGCCGTAATCCTGATGTACCGTAGTCCTGATATTACCGTAGTCCCAATGTACCATATTGCAATGAAAATATACACAATTTGATTCATATTTCCAGTTTGACTCAGTATGTCTGGCAATAACATGATATTACCAAGCATGAAACTAGATCTAGGCTGCGTGATGTAATGACAGCAATCGGGATCCATCTGTGTCTACGCGTGCCTACAGAGCCCAATACGTCTATGTGACTACCGGGCTACAGAGTCCTCCTGTAGGACAGCAGCGCTACACAGGACTCCTGTAGATGGGGGGCTGGCAATATGCCTATGGGACCTACGCAGGCTATGCGAGACCCGCGTAGGCATCGTCGAGTTTGCAGATGACTTTATCATTGGCCACTCGACTCCATTTACGCGGTGCAACTGAACGCCTCGTGTCTGCAGGACGGTTTATATAACGAGTCAGATCGCGCTCCGGCATTGCACTCAGGCTACAGCGTCCAGAGACATAATCAGGAAGTTCGCAGCGTTCATGAAGCTCCACGTAAGGAAAGTTGTGATTTATACAATATTTAGGGAAACTCGTACGGAAGGAAATGTCCGTGAATATACACGCATCGCTCGAGACGTAGATAATATGTCACGCTGATACATATGTAGAAAATCACAGGGCTAGAATCATTCGGCGGGAGTCGAGCCGTCGTCCTCCAAAAACATCCTTCCTACCATAATAAATCCACCTATGGCCGGTAGAGTAAGAACGGTTAACGTAACTGGAGGAAGCCATCGCATGGACCAGTCAAAGGCCTTCTTGCGCCACAGGCTGTTTGTCAACCACTTTGGTCCTGACCACTCGGAAGTCTTCCACACGAACCAGAAGAAAATAATGCTGCTGCCAGATATCTGATCCGCGACGAGCCACGCTAGCATCAGCACGCGCTCCGCAATGGTACTCTGTCCGTTTTTAAAATGGGTGAGCGCGTACATGATCGCGTAGGGAAGAAACATCGCGGTCCCCAAACACACCGACACAACCACCGTACGGATCAGTGCATTGATCGGGAAACGTTTGGTGGTTTGTTGGAGTCCGCAATGAGTGATGGGGCTGATCCCGAACACAATGCTCGAGGCGCAAGTGGATTTATGCTCCCCGTTGGTTTCTTCCAGGATCACGCCGGCGGTTACCTGCGAAGTAGTAGCGTCGGTTTTCTCCGGAATAAGGAAGAAATTCTTGACTATTTCTCCTTTCCGCACAGCGAGAACAACTTGCTCCTCCGACTTCGTTAGCCGTAGGTGCACTGGCGTAAAGTCTTTGGGGGAGTTCTGCGCTTCGTCCTTCGACTTTCTAACGTCCTCCGACTCCCCTAAACGCCCAACGGCACCGTCGAAGATAGCAAGCTTACGCTTCGCTGCCTCTTCGAGAATCGGCGTCCGAAGAACGTGACGGGTGTTGTACTCGCCAACAACGGCGCAACATATCACGTTGGCGCCAGACATCAACGCGTAGGGCACCACGGACAGACCATAGGCCGCATAGCCAAAGCGGGAAACTTGGTCGCCCAACGTAAACGCAAGAACAAGAGAGGCGGATACGATCTGAAAGATTGCAGCCAGGATTTTGAGTATGTTTGGCGGACTATGGACTTTTATCCCCTTGGTAGAGATGATCGCGGAGTCCATGATCTGTTCGATGATGGCCCGATCAGTAGGAATGACGAGGGAATAGCCGGCGGGAGGTTTGAGCTCTCCGAGAACTGTGTGCTGCTTTTTTTCTGGTACAAGAATATGGCGTTCCTCGGTCAACTGGAACTCAGCAGGTGGGTTGTCTTTTGCTCTACGAAAATACCAGTGGGTCTGAATGAATGGCCTCGCAAAACATTCAGGAAGATATGACTTACTGATGAGAGCAACCATCAAATTCCTCCGGAAGTTTGACGAAAACCTCATCCTCCTCGTCTTCTTGTGGCCTCCACTTTTTGTTGCGAGCGACGACAACGAGAGCTCCGTGAACGGCTGCGGTGCGTAAGCTGTCCAGATCCCACTGCTGTGCTATCAACAAGATGTCTCGGCCCAATCCGTGGAATGGAAGGAAGATAGAGATGCATGCCGCCCACGGAATGGGGCTGAAAATTCTCTGGTGCTGATGCGGACTTTCAACCTCCACCGTCAAAGGAACGGAGAACGCGTGGGCAATGAAGTTGGTGGCGTAGAACGTGAGGAGGCTCCATGCACGTCGTACGGATCTACGGTGGAAGTACGCGATAGCGGGAGTGAATGGGGAAACAGCCGCCAGTGGTGCGCCGAGGACCGGGACCAATAGGAAGAAGACAACGAGCAGAGGTGCGAACTCAGGGCTCTTTCTGGCGCCCGATGGTGGATAGAGAGCGTTTACGTCTAACATACCGATGTGGCTTTACGGAGACAGGGTAGCTTGATCCTCTGTGCGAGTCAACGTTCGTTTTATATATCACAAGGACTAGTGCATCTGCAGGTGTTCCAAGACGAAAAGATGTGACTCACCGTGCAGCCGACGCCACAGCCTTGATGCTACGAGTTCATACTTCGTGCTGCTTGCGACAAGAACCACTTCCATTCCATGAATGTCAATCTGCGCTTTCCTCGTGTTGGTCGGACAGACCAGGCCACCCGCGTGGAAATCTTCTTTTCCCTTGAAACAATTAATGCCATCAACGTTTTTATAAAGCTTCTACAAGTTCACATGATTGAACCTACCAACTTCTTCACGATTAGGCGCCCCTATCGAGGCCTTGACGACTTTCGAGCCTGAGAGGTGAACCACGGTGTTTTTGATTTGAAGGCGAATTCCGGACGGAACCCTGCTATGAAACAAAGCCGTATCAATATCGTGAGGCATCCGCTGCGAGCAGCGGCTGGAACTGTGCTGAATTGCAGAATTTCTGTCAAATCACAGCTCTGAGCGAGTATACTAGCCTACATACTCACCTATCAGAGCCGATAGTAAATGAGCAGCGAGGGGGTCATAGACGAGCAGACAAGGTCCAAACAAGGAATGAAAGCCCCCGATATGGCAAGCCACTTCGACGATCGAACATTGCGTCAAGAGTCGACTGGTAGTCTCGTTTCCAGACCTTATAGGCGGATCACGTGTGCTATTACCCAATTGGGTGGCGGAGATCTAAAAACCCCTGCACACTCTCGCCTATAAGGTCTGGTGAATTTTGCAGGGAGGGAGGGGGGTATCCATCACGCGTCACCAAAGTCACTGGTGACGACGCCGTTACCTCTCGCGTCTGCTTGCGTACGTGACTGTGTCCGACGCGCCTCGCGTCTCGCGCCGCGCACCTCAAAACTCAGTCGCTAGACAATGTATGCGCATGTATGCTACGGTAGCCAACCTACATAATCATAATGTCGTCTATTCATCCGAGCCCTTGGCTGAGCTCGCTACGCAGTGTCGTTGACGATTCTGACTCCGACCTGGACTCCCCGCCAGCTTCGGACTTGGGCAGCGATATCTTTGACGACCACTCGGGGCTTCTGTCTCTGCAGATGAGTACTGGTGCATTTTTGCTGCTTCCTCACAGGCTTTCTTAAGGATGGATGCCAAGAGCGTCGAAAGACCGTACGAGAACTCGGCAAGAGTGGACATAGCGGGAGCCATACTATGCGTCGCAGGCAAGACGCGCCGCAGGCACGTCAAGCGCCGGGGCGTGACGGATACCCCCCTCCCTCCCTGCAAAACTCACCAGACGTTAAGGGGGGGAGTCGTGCAGGGTTTTTTAGAACTCCGTATCCAGATATAGTAACACCCCACGTGATCCCTTCTCCCCCCTAACGTCTGGTTACGAGACTAGTCGACTGGTGATGCTGATTCTGTCCGATGTCCTGTCTCCATTACTTCATAGGTCTCTTAGATCAATGCATAATAAAACGAGAGAGATCTGGATGAAGCATACATTTCCCCTTCCCCGTCATCGCTCACCTATACTAGGCCTTGCGACAGTGCGATACCTCGGGCAGCCCGTTTAAACGGATCTAGTACACGTCTCGAGCTCACACGTTGAGATACACATCATCTAGATCAGATTTATCGAAAGTCATTTCTGTGTATGTCTGAGACCAAGTTCTATGGGCCATCAGTAAAACAAGACTCTTACTTGTCCTAACATCCTCGATGCTCCAAGTCAAGACGGTCAAGACTGATTCAGGCCATTCGATTCGGCAAGACGAGTTTTGCATTTGTTACCTTGCTCGATTTGATGCGTGAAAGAGAAGTCTGAAAGGCATCATACATAGCGTAGGTCTCAATTGGAATATCAGGCTAAACGACGTTCTACAATCAGCGCTGTCCTTGAACGCGTTGGAGACGTGATCGTGTCCGGTTAGTTTGCCCAGGATTTCGAGTCCAAATACAGGAGGGCGATCGACTGCCATCATTTTCCCTTTTTGGTCAGTTACGGAGACCGCGACGAATCGGGGCGATACTCTAGTGATGCCCGTTTGGGGCAAAGTGCTACCGATGCCAGGAGCAATTATCACCAATTCCCCGCACCCCATTTGTGAGTATCCTGCGGCGAATACACATCTTGTAGGCGACGCTCATCTAGCAGCTTCTTTGTTGCACTAGATCAATCATCCGGGTCAATTAAAGCCACACGAAGGGACGCATATTAGCTGCACTCGTGCATCGCACCTTGCAGCAGTGTTAGAGCTCGTCACCTTCGTCTGGTGGCCGCTAAGGTATGTTTCACGGATACCGCGACATCAAGGCAAGCTGACAGATTATCAACACAAACAAAAAGCCCGAATCGACCACCCGCTCTTTCCATCTGTCATTCCTTCCACTCGTTTCCCGCACGCCCTTTCCATGCATGGCGTCCAAAGTGCAACCCCACTCGCCCTTCTCTCGCCTTTCGCGCTTCCTCAAGTCCGGACCCTCGTCCCCGGTTCCGCAAGAAGAAGACCCTGAGAACGAAGACTGGTACATTCCCTACAACGGGCCGTATGAACAACCGCAGACACCAGGCATGCAGCATGAAGGCGAACGGGATAGCTGGGGGCAGCTGGTAACCGGGTGGCTCGCAGATGACGGACGTAACGGGAGTGATCGGTATGGCGGCTCAACTCGCAATCGTGCCGTGTCCCATGCGTCTGCTCTCACTAATTCTTCGGGTGTGGTGGATCCACATCGTCAGAGCTCTCACGCTGGTCGTACCTTGGCTCGTCCACCGACGGCGCCCATGGCGCACCTCGCTCAGGTCGGTGGAATTGGGGAAGTGCCAGTGCCCCCGCGTGAACCGCAGACACCGCGAAAATCAGAGTCGAACCGTCAGAGCTTTGTTAATCTTCTGGCACGAGGCTTCGCGGTACGGCATTCAGCCTCCGCCGGACAACTCGGCGGCGGCGCAGCTGCCACTCCGACCACATCTCGCGCTACGGCTCAGGATCCAGAGGACACACAGACTTTGTACGTACGGCGGCACCCATACGCATTCCCCTTCACGGCGCCTTTGACGCGCGACCGTTCACCCTCGACCTCACCGCGACCCCATGTCACGGCTCGCGATGTCCCTAATCATAAAACCGCTCACGCGGAGACACCTGCATACCTGAAGCCTGCGTCCAAGCCGCGGCGCAGCCTCAAGGCGTCGATCTCCACGCCCAATCTGCGCGACCCTCCCTCCTCGACGTTACCTCCATCAGGACATAGCCGATCCGCGATGCCCAAGGGCAGGCAACGGTGGCTATCACCGGAAACGTGGTGCGATGCGATAATCCTTCCAAGACCGCGGTTTGCTATACGCGTGGATCCAGGCGGGGGCAGTGGGAGGATTGTAAGCCCTCCAGGAAGCCCGGTATGGCCGCCTGAGGCTAATCCGTTTGGCCAGGGTCGGCCGGTGACGGTAGTGGGATCTACTGTGGAGACTGATGTCGTTCGGCGGCCATATGAAGCTCGACCGTCTGTGCAAGAAGTACGGGAAGTAGCACCTGTCGCAGGTCCGTCGCGAGTACATGAGGATCCGGAGGAGCGTGCTATTCGAGAGGAAAAAGTTGAACCGGCGACAGTCAGGGAAGATGCGAATGCTGCCTCTGATAAATCGAAACTCAAGCCACCGCGTCCGAAGAGTTTTGCGTGGGACGATCTCGCCCTGCCCAGCCCGGCTCCTTCATTGTCGAAGTACGTCGCATATTGCCTGCCTTCCCTATTTCATTTCGATCAGGCACGCCGCTTCCACCTTCCATTCCATATTCGCGCCGCGTTCGCTTCGTCTGTACCAATATCGAGACTCATGTCCTTGTTTGTACAGGGTGCTCGAAGAGGGAAAACAGTTGGAGGAACAGCGCAAGGCGTGGCAGTCGCAAGCGACGCGCTCATTCCAGAACAAGCGCACACGCTCGATGTCGCGCGCGCGTGCGAAGTCGCTGGTGCAGCACAATGGCCGCGCATCGGCCATGGACGTGCTCGCGGAGCGAACGCTGCTTGGGAACCAGGCGCATCCGCCAAAGGTGCATATCCGCTTGCACCCGTCTCAATCACAGCTCTTCCATGTGTCGGAGGATCACGATGCGGCCACGGGTACCGGCACCGGTGCCGGGACAGGGACAGGGACGGGTGTCGGTGTCGCCACGTTCACGTCTTCCATGTCTCAAGGACATACGCGTTCGCATGCCCACTCGAACTCTGTGGGGACGAACGCGTCGTCACGGGTCCAGACGGACGAATCGTTTATGTGGGGCGCGTCTGGTGCGCCCGGAGGGCACAAACGCACGCACTCACTCGGCAAGTCCGCATTACGTCTCGTGCGGACAACAGCCTCTTCGGCTGCGAATTTCTGCGGCTTCGCGAGCGCAGAGCGGATCGTGGACGGCGACCCTGGAACCATGTCTACTGTGGCCGAGCTCTCTGGGGCAGAGATGCTTGAAAACGCGTTGCAAAGAGAGGATACACGCGTTATCCGACTGCGAGACCAGAAACGCACGGAAGATCGAAACGCAGGCAGAAAGAATGGCGTTGTGCTGATCACCCCAGCCACTCCCTCCGCTTCCCGCAGTCCGGAGCTTTCCCCTGGACGCTGGGGACACTCTGCCGATGCAGGTCCTAGTGAGCCGATCGGCCTTTCACCTGTGCCTTCTACGGGATCAAATTCTGCTGAGGGCGTGGGCATTGCAATATCGACTCCAACGCCTTCTGACGAGGCTGCGAGGCAAGTGCGGCCTGGACGGGAGCCCCTGAGGATTGCACATCCATATGCTCAAGGGGGATTCTTCGTCCCCCGTGTAGAGATCGACGGCGAGACGGACGCTGGGCTATCCACGCTTCCTCCTCGAGCGGAAAACGCTTTCGAACGCCACCGACAGCCTGTGATTGTCCACCCGTATTCGCCGTATGCGCAACATCGCTATTCAGGACGCGCAAGGTCGCATACGGTTCAAGAACCGGTCGACGCAAGCGACTACCAGGAGATAGAGTTATCACAAGGCGGCAGCATGTTCGCGGAGCTCACACCAGGCTACATCCGCGAGTTCCAGGCGGAAGACCTAAGATATTCTCCCTCGATCGTAGTGCAGCCTGTTGAGCAAGAGCAGCGGCATGATGCAAGTTCCAGCGGTCCTATGCGCGTCCATCCGTACGCATCGCAATCCAAGCGTGTCAGCGAGTGGGGCTTTGCGGATGCGTTGACGCACACTATGAGAGGCAGAGCAAGTCCAGATAGCGGCCTGGGCACGAGCGAGAGCCATGCTGTCGCCCAGGACGCTGATGTGGGCCCTCCCCCTCTCCCAAGCGTTCCCGATAGCGCAATACACATCCCAGAACCCCCGGCCGAGTTCTTCAATGGCATGTTGGCGGTACCAGAGCGGAGCCCTCGAAGTACGCAGGAGCGGCCAGGTATTGGCCGAGAAGCCACGCAGTCATCGTCCAATCATACATTTGCATCGTCTCCCCTAGAAAACACTACTCCTCCCTCGTTCCGACGCCACGGGTCTTCATCGGGCATGTTCACTGACAATGCGGCTCACTCGGCAGGCTCATCTCCGGGCCTGGTGTCGCATGAATCTTCCCCGCCGCTGTCTCCTCGTCCTCTCAACTCCTCTGGCGATCTGGAAAGATTCCGTAACCTGTTCTACCAGCCACCTGCCAGGAATCGATCGCCTTCTGAGGCATCATCGAAACGTGACCAGCCTCGTCAGCCTAGCGATAGTTCTCCTGCTGATCTGTCATCTGAGAGTACTCGCAGTGTCAGCGGACTTACGACGTTGGCTCGGCAACTCGCTGACGACCTCGAGGAGCTTCGCGAGATCACAGGAAACAGGGATACAGACGAACATGTCGAAGCTTCATCCCCAATGTGGGGCAGACGGTTTGGTGGTTTACGCGGACAGCGCCCTCATGAAGCGAGACCAGACCCCAATATTGTCCTTTCACAAACGTCATCTGGATCAAGCCCTTCCACAGAGGCTGCATCACCATTGCACTTTACTCTCGATCAGCACGCATCCCTGGCACCACCTACCATTAACGTTCCGGAGGATGTCGAAAGTGCATCCCTCAACTCATCGGACTTCGAGCCCCCAGCGCAGGATGAGCCAAACGGTAAGTACCTCGCTAGTTTACGCACCGCACTCGTTGACAGTTGTACAGATACTCTGCGGGTAGGTACTGTCGAGGCGTTAGCAACTCCTTCGCCCTTGAGTAACCCCCAACGGTTGTCAAGTCGGCTTTCGCTCATCCATTTTGTCCATGGCAATGAGCGATCTCGCAGGGAAGATCGGTCATATGGGAGAGTCAGTTCTCAATACTCTAGTTTGGGTGCCCCCATCTCCGATGGAGCTCGGTCGAGCTTCATGACTAACACTTCCAGGATGTCCGGGCTCTCGGACTTCCCCGTGCCACCATCCGAGATCACGCCCGAGCACATGTCGGTACTGAATTCATATTTCGATGAGAGCCCTTTGGCACAACCTGAACGCCCATTTGATCCTCAATTTGCGTCCCGCGCCGAAGGCTCACTGGTCCGAGAATCTAGTAGGGGCACATTTGGTCGTCAGAACGATATTGGTCACGCTCTCTAATTATTACTCACAAACTACATATTCTACATTCCTCTATACCCTATTGCTGTACCCGCCGATGACCTGGACTTTCACATACCACTGGTTTCGTCCTGTTATTATATATTCTTATTGTAGAAGCGATAATCTGATTGCTACAGACATATGGACAGAGCATGCGATTCGACTACAAAAAATTACCAGAATACAGCATTGCTTGACATACTACAGGGGGAATACCTATTCGTCGTATTGAGTAAGCTGTGTACATCGTCCCGTGAGCCACCAGCGCAATGACAGCTAGATATGCGCTCACATCCAGAGTGAGGGTGCGTGAACTGTTGACATCTTGATCACGATATATGCCTACGAGAGAGTTGCTGCGTTCATACAGTGAGCCTTTGAGACTGATGACGATGAATTGGAATGTCTCCGAAGCATGAGACCGTATGTAGTTGGCGATCTTCGCAACATTCGTGTTGTCTAGAGCTGCATCTACTTCGTCGAGAACGAAGAAAGGTGAAGGTTGATAACTGTACACGTGTGAGTGTCTGTGGGAACATATGACATGCCACCTTACCTGTGAATTGCGAATAAGAGTGCGAGGGCAGCGATTGTTTTCTCGCCACCCGAAAGCTGCTCCATGTCACGGAATCGCTTCATTGGAGGCATGGCGTGGTATTTAATGCCAGCATTGTATGGTTCCTAACACAGGTCATAGAAGCTGTAAGAATAAGGCTTGCTACCTTGGCCCGAGATGACCAACCTCGCTGTCCTCCAAGCTGAGATAGGCAACACCACCCATCGGCGCAGCTTTGCCCTTGGTAAGATCCTTGTAGACTTGGTCGATATGCTCGGAGATGTGGTTGTAGGCCTTGTTGAAGAGCTCACATCTGCACAAAGGGCATTAGATCAGTGAGAACTTGATAGGATCAGGACACATACCGGCGACGCCTGACGTCGTTAAAATGTTCGCGTGCACTCTTAGAATCTTTACGGGCTCTGTCAGCTTCCTTCTCGGTTTCTATCAGCTTGGCCTCCACATCATCCAATCTAAACAGAAAAGACGTCAGAGCCCTTCAATCGTAGGCTAATCCTTTACGGACCTATCCATAGCCTTTAGATTGGGAGCCATGTGCTCGATCTCTGAGTTGAGTTTGGCGATGGACGAGTCATAGTCAGCCAGGGCTTCGGCGGAACCATCCTGAGACACAGTCAGCATCAAGCACCATTGCCAACTCGACAGGAACATCACCTCTCGTTCATCATCATCAAGGCCTTCGAAATTAACGACAATGCCGTAGTCGGGGATCCTCTTGACATGTTGAGACCCTTCTTCATCTTCATCGACATCCATAGCCACCTCTTCACGTAGATTCTAGATCTATGTGTAAGACTTAAAGAAATGCAGCCATCACATCCATGTTCGCACCTCTTCCATAGGCACGTTTTTCAAATTGCCTTCTACCAATGGGAGACGAACCTCATCCAGTCGACACTTGCGATAGATGGAGGATCGCTCCAGACCGAGTTTCTCAATCTCGTCGTTCTGCGGAAGCGTTATCAGCTATGCTCACGGGACCCGATGGAAGCACATACGCGAGTGGCAATCTCTTTCAAAGCCTGGTCGAGTACTTTGCTAGCCTTCATAGCTGTATGCTTAACCTGTTCAACTGCTTTTGATTTCTCTTCCAAAACCTCGTTGTGCTCCTTCAGCTCTTCCTGTAGCTGGCTGATCGTACTCTCAGCCTCCGTAATTTCCTCTTCGATGTTGCCCTGCGTCTGGTTGTGTTTGGCGATGTTCTCTTCCTCGGTCCTAACAACTGTGTTGATGGCCTCGAGCCGATCTTCCGTCACCTGCACTTGTTCTTGCACGAACTTACATCTACACTGGAATGAGAACGTGGAATGAGAGAACTTATCACACACGTACTGATGCGTAAGACGAGCTATCTGCGTCTCAAACTGAAGTCTGGCCTCGCTTTCCGCACGAGCCACTTTCAGTTGTCGCTCCTCATACTCTCGGATATTTGCGACGCCGATGGTCTGGCAGAACGCTGCAAACACTTCGTCTTCAGCCTCATTGACGACGCTGGCAAGGGCGTCAAGCTTCAGTTTCAGTTCATCGTAGGCTCCCTGCGCCTGCAGCACCACTATCAGACATATGAACTTATTACAGACTAGAATAACTGTATACCTTGCGCAGCTCGGGTTCCAGACGCTTGATTTCCCTGTCAACATGCTTGAGTTCGTCCTTGATACCGTCCAGACGGAGCTTGCAAGCAGCCTATGTCCGTGCGATTAGCTCTCTACGACAATTCTGAAATCGAGAGATTGAGTATCTCACCAGATCATCCTTCGCGACGGTACAAGCAGATTCCAAGCGGGTGATTTCCCCAATCAAGCTTTCGTCCGCTTTGCCACGAGGCTTAGACTTGTTGAGGTCTCTCAGCTGCCCGAGAAGGTTGTCGCGCACGCGCTGGAGTCCTGGGAATCAGCACGGGTGTCAGTCGATCATACCACTACGAGAGGTCACGAAACCGGCCTTGAACATCCTTCTCTTCCCATTTACGCCCATTTCCGTGGCTGCTACGGCCACCAGTTAGCAGGCCACTCTTGTGGATGATGGTGCCCTCAAGAGTTACAGCTACCAAGAGCTCAGTCGAGTTGCTCATTTCCCATTGACGACAAACCGCTAACCTTTAACTTCCTGTCCCTTATCGTAGCAGACATATCTTGCCACTTCTAGGGTGTCGCAAACTAGAGCGTTTCCGCAAGCGTGGTGCATCGCTCGCTCCACCGCAGGCTCATACTGGATCACATCGACCGCAAGCCGGGCGCCCTTGGCAAACGATCGGAACCTGTCATTGATGGGCTTGACTTGGATTGTATCGAGAGGAATGAATGTAGCCTGTCCAGCACGTTGGTTCCGCATATACTGTATGACATGGAGGGATCAGTGACCGTTCAACTTCGTTGGCCATAGTAGAGTACCTCTATGCAGTCGATTGCTGTCTTCTCCTCGTCAACAACAATAGCGTCGATATTTCGGCCCAATACGACGGATACCGCTGTCTCATACTTCCTTTGCGTTGGCTTACACAGATCGATGACTCTTCCTCGGACGCCTGATAAAAAGTGAGTGTCTAAATAGGATTGAGTCGTGAGAACACACACACACCCGGAAAGATGCGCTGGAGGTTAGCTAGCGTTTCTTTCATCCTTGCCTCGCGTTCGGTCTCCTTCTGATCTACGCCTGCCTGAAGCAACTTGTTGTGCACGTCGACGAGCTTCTCGTTGATCTCTGTCTCAAGTTTCCTTTAAACGAGAGGATTAGATTGCCAGCTAGAGTGATGAGCCAGGAACGCTCACGAGATCCTCGTCCGCTCAGCTTGTTGGTTCTCCAACTCCTGCCTTGCCTTGGCCAGAGCCTCGTTCAATTCCGCAACCTTGGCTTCTAACTATAAACTCCATAAGAGTGGTGCAGACGAAAGCCGGATTATTTGAAAACTCGCCTCTTGCCTCTTTACTGTCTGAGCGTCTTTGTCCTGTCGTAGTTTCTGGGCCTTCTCGACTTCTTGCTCATGCTTGTCCTTCAACTGAGCAAGCGCTCTAGCCGCCGTCTTCTCGTCACGAGAAAGCGCCTCGAGGGACTGCCGTTCTTCTACCGCGAGCACACTGGCCTGCGCTTTCCTGTGAATACATATCAGCCTTTGTCCACGAGAGGCTCATGCGTGCAACAAACAGTCGGCGATATTCCTCGAGGCTCTCTTCGCTCAACGAGAGATTGGTCTGGGCAGCTCTCCTTTGCGCCTCTATAAAGGAGGTTGAGTATATGCGCATTCGATCTGCGCTACGACTTACCTTGAGCCTGGTTTGCGGCCCTCTGGACTCGGTCAAGGTCTGCTTGCAGCACACGCAGCTGCTCTCTCTGTTTCTCTGCGGCTTGCTGCGCCTTCTCCCGCTCCTTCAGAGCATTCTCGCGTCTGCGCTCCGAGTGCTTAATCTGAGCTTCGACTTGCACAAGATCCGGTCTCTACAGAATACTGTTCAGCGCCATTGAGAGGACAGGCATCGGGACAGTATACCTTCGCCTCTAACGCCTTCTCGGCTTTCTTGATCCTCTTCTCTTTCTGCAGGACCACGGACCGTGCTCTGGCCTGTTCGGCCCGTGCCTCTTCAAGCTCCTGTTGGTGTTGGCGCTGTTCCTCCCTAAGCCCAACCAGGGTTTGATTCTGTGCCTTAATGGCCTCAGCATGTTCTTCCAGAGACTGTTGAATGTGATACAGCTTGAACAGGATCCGACGCAATACGAGGTCATCCTAGTGCGAAGATTCCGTAAACATAATATATATCGCACGGAGACAGCCGGTGCTCACCCGCTCCTGAAAAAGTGCCTCAAATCTCTCAGCCTCTGTCTTTTGCTCCTTGTACTGCTTAATCTCTCCGGCTATGCCCCTGCGCTTCGTGAAGTTGAAGGTTGCGTTCTCCGTAGCACGATCCTGAGCTTCCTTGGCCTTTTCGTACTCTCCAGATAATTCGAGCGAGCCACTGATTTGTTCGATCAAACGCGACAGCTCTTTAGGAGATTGCGAGGCTACAGCCTCAACATCGCCCTGGAATACGAGGAAGTTCTTGGCTTTTACGAGTATGTTGTGGGAGACAAGTGCAGCGTTGTACGCTGAGTACGTGACGACATTTCCATTGAGCTTATACTCTGAGGTACCGCTCGTGGAGATGCTGGCAATGAAGCGCCACGGCTGGTTAGGGAGAACGAAAGGCGAATTGTAGTGTGTGCTCACGTTCTTTGGAACTTCCACTCTTTCTTTTTCGCATCCTCAAGTACAGCAAGCACCCACGCTTTCTTCGCAGTCCCCTCACCCTCGTCTTCTCCTTCCTCCTCATCCTCGACCTGAGCCGCCTCTTCCTGACCTTCCTGTCTCGCCAGCCGCCGGCCACGATACACAAGGTCCTTCAATTGACTGCTCCTAAGCTGCGCACTCTTTATCCCAAGGACAAACGAAATGGCATCCATCAAGTTAGACTTCCCCGCACCATTGGGACCAATAACTGAAGTGAAATTATGGAAAGGACCTATCACTTGATGGCCCCTGAGGATGGTGTTCATATGAGACACACATATATCAGTGAGTATACATACCTGTATGACTTGAAGTCGCAAACCTCTATGCGAACAAGCGGCATTTTGAAGCTGGGAGGATGGTTCAGAACGCGAGAGTCGCCCGTCGCTCAGTCGAACGCGTCCTCAGTACACGGTCACGTGAAACGCGGTGCCACCGTGACGCGCAACGCGCTGGTTGTAACTTCGATCTATCGGAAGACCCAATTGAGCAGAACTGCGGGAACGGAGACCTGAATCTTAATCATCATGATTCATATCTCGCTCATTTTACATGATACCCCATCTGGCTTGTGTTGACATGTTCAAGCCAGTGTACAAATTGCCTGGAAGTCGTCTGCAGCCAAGGCTTGAAATACAAGCTTCCCAGTCTTTTAAATGCGTAAGCAGAAACTTCCTGAGTTTTCACTTTGTTGTGATTATACGAGTAAGGGTCCCGCTTTCCCCTCCGACCTGTGGGCACCTCACTCGTCACAACTAGGGCCCAAAACTGCATGGCATCGTGGAGATCTAAAGCCGAAGTAAGCCTAGGTGAAACCATATATAATTATGAACTAATAGAAGATAATATTTTATACAACGCTCGTGAACTCACCCGTCCGCTCAGTTATAGGCTGCCGCATGATAGTTCGTCCATAACTGTACAATCGCAGTGTGGGATGTTTCGTGTCCTACTGATGGAGGGCACGATGATTGCGCTGCAAGAGTGTACTGTGTTGTGCATCCGAGCGGATATGGTCCGCCCCCGTGTTCATCGCGAGGCCAAGGGGTGAATGCTGATCGCTGCACAGCGTGCTGGGTTCTGCGCAGACTGCGTCGAAGCGAGTTCAGCCATCTGCTGCTTCTAGAACGTATGCTTTGTGAGTGGTATATCCCAGGCATTGGATAGACCTGGGAATGACAATGGCACCCCTACCAGCTGTGTGTCTCATCCGCAGCGAGCGAGCTGGGTATAACGTCTGCCTCAGCGCGGATGCTGGAATGCGCTTCTGCGTCGACTAAAATTTGCCAATGCAGGTCACTCAAGTCCGTACTTTTGTGCAGTTCACGCGCTGGGGATACTTCCCTTGCATTGTCGCCTTCATTGTCGCCTTCCTCTCCCATACCACGCATGGCGCTCCATTGGGGCTCGATACATCTTTATACTGCCCCAAGAATCTCGACATCCTGTGGAATTTGGCAAAGTTCCTTGGCACAAACTACATTGCCCACGCCATTTCTGTTCCTCTTGCAGCGGAGGTTGGCAGATTCACGCAACGCGTCACAGTCCGGTCGCCGACACATTGGGCAGCAATTGTGTCTCTCTTTTTGCCGTTTGGAGGGCTAGGGAGAGCGATCTTGTTGGTTGCTGAGCACTTGGAATCGCTGAACGACAACGTTCGAGCCGCGCTCAAACACGGATCAATTCACATAATCACTCGAACGGAGATGTGGCAGCCTCCGGACGACAGGGAAGAGATCATTTTCGTCCGCCTTCCCCCCAAATGGCATGATCTACCCTCGGAGTGAGTTATAGGTTTCGATCTTATAACACTAGTCTCATCTTGTCAGTAGCCACGCAAATAATGGCTATGCCGCGTTCAAGCTCGTATCAGAACGGGAATCGCATATCGTTATCGACCACCACGACCGCAAGATCCACGGAGAGTTGCATCTTCCCCGGGGCTATGCTGTCGCAGCTCCTCTCGACAAATCCATCACCGAAAGCATCATCGACACTCGGCTACTCGACACTCGCGGCCTCAGCATTCATCGACCGCCACAGACCCTGAACCTCCTAGCCGCTGTTGCTCAAATGGTTGCAGCGTGCATCACTCTGAAATCCACGATAGGAAACCAGGTCGAGCGCTTCGGGTATGCAGCATACGGGTTGTCCGTATTCCCCTACGCATTGATGTCGGCGGTGAACGTCATCTGCTCTGCTATTGTTGGGGACTTCACGTCTGGCTATATGCTCAGAACGCCTATACTCCAGGAAGCCGAACGACGCGGGGCCGTCTTTGATGGCAGTATTGGGAGGGTGAGGTCGCTGTATGCCGAGCCAGGGTACAAGGGGAAATCCGGCTTTACGGCTGTGGGGATGTCTATCAAGCCCGAGAATCCCGCGGTTGTGAATTCACGCAAGATACTTGTCGTGCGAGATGGCGAGAAGAAGAAAGAATTCCTCTTCGACCCAGAGCGCTACAATACCGATATCGACACCTCCTTCTTCGATATCTCATCTATCACTCACGACGGCCAACACGACGAAAACGAAGTGAAGCCGTATAAGAAACGTCACTGGCTGCGGTATTTCGCAATTGCACTGGCCTTCCTCATCACCATGCTCGCTCCCTACGCCGTCATCTACTTCTTCTCTGGCTTCCGCAAAGGCCAGAGCACAACGGCACAGCGGCGGTGGATGATGTCGTGGTTGGTCGCCGACCAGGTTTCTGCAGCTGGCACATTCGTCTTCTGGTGGATTTGGCAGAAGCACGGCAACATCATCCCTATCGCAGTACACTACGCCGGCGTTGCGGGACTTCTAGTGCCCGCAATTGGCGGACTCGTCACCGTGGGTGCAATGTTCCTGGAGGACAATCAGTTCGGCCCTTGCGGCCCTTCCTGACCGACGGCACCTGGTGGGCACAGGTCCTATTGTATTGTTTTATTTGCCGCGTTCTGCAAGACGTGGCATGGTCCTTTTTTTACCAACCGTGCCGCATATGTGATTGATGTATGTCAGATCGTGATATGCCCATGTTGTGGTACCGTACCTATTTCATGAACAATCTCTTGAGCATTCCAATTTTAACTTGACCAATATCTAGGCCACTGTCCACGACAAGATTGCATGCAACGTATGAGACGGCGACGTGTGGTGTCAAGTCTGCGCGAGGCAGCGCGTCCCAGACATCGTGTATGGTCATAAATTACAATAAACCCGTATCAAGACACAGAACGGCACCTACTTATTATCTCCGCATCGGGGCGCCTTCCAGAGTCCACTGGTATAAGAATACGATGGGAAGACATGAGGCTTCGTGCTGGCACGCCTCAGGAGTAGTGAAGGCCGTTGCCTCGTTGCAAATGCGCACAGTGCGCGGGCGGCACAGATCCCGACAGCCTCCTATGCACTGATACCCCTCGCTATCTTAGCACTGCATCCCACCAGAATCAACGTGTCTCGAAGGTAATGTCAATCACGAATGGAAGGATGTGAGAGTAACCGTCACGAGTTGATTGCCGCTGAAAAGTCCAGATTCATGTAGACGCCCTTTGTGCTACATTTTGAAGGACTGGGTGATGTCATTATAACTTCATGCATAGTCATGGACTGCCACATATTTCAGAATTCCTAGGGCCACGGGCACTGGCAGGCTCAAGTACAACGCGGCGAACCCTACCGGCCGCATTCACAGCGCAGATTGCGGCGTGACCCACCCGCGAGCCCGTCGGGAATTAGGTTGGACAGCAGGCAATCGTCCAGCCAACATGCACCGGAAAGCCATGAAGCGCACAATGATGGATCACACACTCCTGCCAGTAGAATCGCGTCCAATCACCACTCAGGGTCCGAAATCATGCAATTCGACTTCGAGTGGCGACATTGTTTTGCAACGTGCCGATAGGAAGTCCGAGCCAGGACTGCAAGCTGTTAGCCAGGACAACGGTCGCCACACGATTGTATCATTAAGACGATCACGATCGAACATGCGGCAGCCTCGATCGGTCCGCGTGGACATCGAGATGAGCACGGCGCAGCCTCAGGCCTCGCTGGGCAAGGCAGCGCGTAGCCGCATGAGTTCGTTCCATCTCTCATCGGGCTTCCACCCGATTGTTCTGTCTTCATTCAGAGCAAGAACTTCCTGCAGGTCTCTACCATTCCCGTGCTCCTCCACCTGCTTCACCTCAGCGTCGATAGCGTCAAGCCATTTGCGTGCGACCTCGGCTTGTTGTGGCTCGAGATTGGGGATGCGCAGAGCCCACAATGCACGGTCCGTGCCATGCGTGACATATCCTGCGCACAGTACACACATAACAATTGGTCAGGAGCAGGCACGATAGCAAAGAGAACATACCAAACGGACGAAGCTGCTCGGGTGTCCAGCGGATCTCGTATCGCACGACGGGAAAGCCGGCCGCCATCAAGTCCCTCGTGAGCAACCTGACCGGGAGGTGCACCTGCCCGTCGCTCATCAGCTCTCCGAACAGCCGCTTCACCTCGTCCTCCGAGGCATCGTCCGGCAACGCCCGATACATCCCCAGCAGCCGTCCCACCACCTCTGCGGGATAGTACCTGTCTGCGTTGTGCCTTACGTCGCGCACGGTGCGCACGGGGTGCGCTATGGAGTAGAGGTACCACTCCTCTGTGAGATCGCCCACGACGATGCTGCGCACGCCTTTCGCTTTGAGCGCACGCGCGAAGTGTCACAATGTGCTCTGCCACAGTCCCCTGGTCAGCCCAGGACTTGCCCCCGGTGGCGGGAGCCACCACACCATGTGACCACATGGTTGCATCAGTTGCGGAGCAATCGGACCGGAGCAGAGCTCCGGCCACACTTCTTTTGTTGCATTGTTCCTGTGGCCAAGTGGCCCTTGTTCTCCTTTTGGACTGCTTTGTTCTTTTCTCTATTGTTCTGCCGTGGGAATGCTTTCCCCTGCTCATGTATATAAAGAGCTCTGTAGCGACCCTTTAATCGATACTTCTGTGACCCACTTCGACTTCAGCCCCACTTGTGGCATTCAGTCCTTCAGTGCTAGTTCTGTGCAACTGCTCCCTGCGTCGCCTTGTGATAGGTTATGAGCCCCGCACTCTAGCAGTCAACTACACACACTACTAGCGCGCCACAGAGTCAATCACTTCGATTTTCGGACCACTTCTTGTCCCTACACTCCCATATCTTTCCCTCTTGCCACAATCTGCGCTTTCATCCTCTGCCACTCTATCTATGGCTACAATGTCGAACCACTCGTCCTCTCTCTCCTTCCCCAAGCTCAATGCCTCGAACTACAAGTCCTGGGCTGGGGACATGGCTACCTGTCTGCGCTCTGCAGGCCTGTGGCGCCTTGTCTCTGGTGCCCACCTCAAGCCACAGGCTGCGGACCCCAAAGCCCCCACTGAAGCGGAGGTCACACTACTGGAGAAGTGGGAGGTGGAGGAGGCAAAGGCTGCTGGGTGGTTGTATCTCATGGTTGAGGCGGACCAAAAGGTGCATTTCTCCAACATTGACAGCGACCCTGTTGCAATGTGGGCGGCCCTCAAGGGTGTCCACCAGCGTCCCCATGCT